GCGCTACATTGTTCATGCTCGTCAACGTGTCTGGGTGCTCGGGCCCAAGCACTTTCTCTCTGACCAACAAGACTTGTCGGTGCGTCGTCTCTGCTGCCGAATATTGCCCGAGGGTTGTTTGACACCGCCCTACGCGATCTAGCAGCGAAGTGCTGGCTGCATTGCCTGCTATACCGTAGCTTCCAGCCACATAGATCGCGTGCGGCAGGTACGTCGTCCATACCTCCTTGTTCTCATGCCCGCCGTACGGCACTACCTCTTCGAGCCGCGCCACCGCTGCGTCCACCCATGCTGCACGCTCATCGTGTCTGTCAAGCCACCAGACAGACGCCATGTGCACCAGTCGGTGCATATCGAAGAACCTGCCTCCATCTGACTCTTGTCCCGTTTGCAGGCGCTCTGTTATGAACGCGTACCCTGTTAGTGTTCCCAGCGCTTTCGTTTGCTGCACCAAAGAGGCTCCAGGAGGCAGTAACGACTGGGGGATGTTGACGCGGTCAATACATGCTATGAACGAGAGATATTTCGCGCCTAGCTGATCTTGCTTGCGTATCTGATCGAAAGAGATGTGCCACGTCTTCGCGATCGTGCTGTCAAGTTCATCGTATCTGCTGGGGTCTTCGAAGCGCTCGCCGAAGAGCTCGGTCTCTGCACCAGTATTTTGGAACAACGATATGTAATCGGGCACTGACACATCGTTGTTGTTCATGAAAGCGGCTGCCTGCACGATAGCAAGCGGTAGACATGCGAGTATGTCCAACAGTTTGTCTACAGCCGTTTCGTCATCAAGCAACGCCTGCTTCGTTATCCGTCGCATTAGTAGTTGCTTGGCTTCCGCTTTGCCCATATCACTCAGTCCCAGAACACTGCTCTGCGTTAGAGCATTAGCCACCTTCCTACTTCGAGTGGTGAAAAGAATCGCGCCTCTATCACTGCGCGGGAGATAGTCGCTCAGTCGAGCTGGCTTCAAGTCGCTATTCGCGGTACCTAGTAGTACCTCATGATCGTCAGCATTATCGACAATCATCAGCCAGTCGTCCACGCTCTCTGAGCTGAGTGCCACCTGAACAAGCTTCTTGACGTCCGCGTTGTCATCAGTGATTCCTGGTACGCGGAGGCGGGCTCCGATCTCCCGGTATGCAAGCTCGAAGCTGTCCTGACTGACAGCAGGCACCCAGAACACCAGTCTAGCGTGCGTTGCCAGTACGCGATATGCAAGCTCGATGGCAAGCGCTGACTTCCCACACCCTCCCAGTCCATATATTGTCATGCGACGGTGGGTGTCGGAGACGAGGAGATGCTGTTCGAGAGATCGGAGCTCGTCTGTTCGTCCAACAAATTGCTCGTTCCTCGCGAATGGTAGCGACGAGAAGACTAGACACGCTTAGCGGTATACAACTTGCATAGAAGTGTGCTACCATGCTGAGTTAGGACGTACCGGACAAGTCACGCAAGCTTTCTGTTCCGTGTCCCTCTTGCCGCCTCTGTATCTCGTCCTTCAGCCGTAGATTGGCGTATGCTTCTCCTTCTCCATATATAAGCGACAGAAACACACCAAAGATGCCCAACAGACAATACACCTTGTCCTCCTTCAACGTCGTCGTGCGCCCAGCTGCCCAGCTCATTCGATCCTCAACACTGAACTCGCTGAGGCTTTGCCCTCTTAGAGCCGCGATAGGTATCTTGGTGATCTTGTGAATTTCCTGCTCCAAAGACACCCTGCTACCCAGCCGCTTGCCGTGCTTGCAGAAGAACTCAACACCAGCCGGCGCCAGAAGCTCTTGCAACGTCCAGCCTCGCGTGAACCATCGGCTCCGTCGAAAGCCTTCCTGCCACGCTAAGCGGAAGACTCCAGCGTCGGTGACCTCGTCCGGCACAACGACGTCCGAGAGGCATACGTAGCACTTGGATGCCCGCTGGTACCAGCGAAACATGGAGTTGATCGCTGTACTGAGCTCATCGCTGGTAGACTTGTCGATGCAGCAGGTATCGACCCAGAAGTACTCTAGGCCGTCCGCTGCAGCTCGTTCACTGCAGAAGCGGATCTTGTTGTAGCCAGTCTTCTCTGTGCCTGTACCTGCGACCAGTTCATTGTACGTGACTTCTTGACCCTCGGTCCAGGTGTGCGAAAGGATAGCGTACGGAGGGGGGTCGTCGTCGCTGAACGACACTAGCTCGAAGCCGCCGCTCGGCAAGCGCTTCAGAAGACGCATCGTCGCGATCACGTTCTCTCCGAGCGATGAACGTCGGTTCAGTTCAACCAATCACCATGCAAGCGTATGACGGTAGAAGGTCAGAAAGCGCAAAGCAAAAGTGAATGTTTGTCGCCCAGTGCAGGTGTCGTACATCGCCACGGGACTAGTCGGACAGGCTGTAAGCTGGCGCTCGTTGGACGCTTGGGCTGTGTACCTAGCCACCAGCTCGCTCAGCGCCAGACTGCAGGCTCGAGTTCGCTTGCGGGAGCTTCTGGGGCCGCTTTCGCGTCGCCCCATTGGTCCGGTCTTGGGCTGTCCTTATGCGTACGACAATATACGATAGACATAACGCTGACTACATACGATAGCTTACGGCGACATCTGAGCACGCTACTGCAGACTGCCTGCATGCGAACAGACGCTAGCGCATCCCGACGCACTGGGTCGCTTTTTGCGATCTTCGCTCCCAATCGGCGAAACTCCCGGACTGCATACATATCAGCTTAAACTGGCCTTTAGCTTAGGAACAGATTCTTCCTTTATCGTACTTTGTATCAAACCCTCCGAATCCTACGTAGACCCTCATGGTTGCGAACCTTCTATATCAAAGGAATTATCAAGAACAATCTTTGCTAGTCAGAAATTCGCGCGACAACGATGGAAGTCAAGGCAGAATATGTTTTCTCATTGGTTGTAGCTCCTATTCGCTACCATCCAACAACTCCTTATTGAGATGATTGTAACATTCCAGAGGACATGGGGATAGACTTAAGAATTGGCCCAGTGTATCTCTACGAGCCTCCCAAGACGGCGGACTCAATCCGGGAGCGCCAAAGATCCATGTGAGAGTCTGCGAGAAACCGTACGAAAGTCTGGACTTGACGATTCACGGCCGCCCACTCCAATATTGAGCTGGAGCTCTTACGACAGGATCATGCATCGGACCTTTAAAGTATTATCCGCCACCGCAGCACAGCCCAACGCATCACAAGCCAACGCATCTGTTGGTCCATGGATATGGGACGAAATTCATAAGCGATATAGAAGACTCGAAAACAATGCATGGGTCTGGGCACCGGCAGTTGCCCCAGGACATACACGTTCCAGGAAAGATGGTTGATATCGTGGCCTTCTATCGAATCGACCAAAGGGTCTGGCGGGACCTATCTATCGACTATCTCTGGTGACGGGACAAGTGTTCAACCATGAAGCAGAAGACCAATATTAAAATAATGGTAACATACTTACAGAACAATATTAGCAGCACCTATCCGGGCTCTACGGTTTACAGCCATTGAGTGGTGTTGCCCCAGTAGCTTAAGAACTGGCCGCTCTGCTCCACCTTTGAATTCTTTACAACGTTGAGAATCCTCTTTACGCACTCCTCGGGAGAGATGAGGCCCTTCCACTCCGGGTACTTCTGCATCATCCTGCCAAGCATGACCTGCATCTTCGCCATCTCTTCGTCGGTGACTAAGAAATTCTTGTTAGTATCACTGCCAAGTCTGTTGGGAAAAAATCAAGAATACAACCCCTACATAACCCAGCCATGCCTCTACAAGATAAAGCAAAGAAAAGAAACAACTCACACTTCGACATGTCCGTCATCGCCTCCGTCGCCACCCCGCCGGGCGCAATACTCAGAAAAGTAAACCCCTCGTCCTGCAGCTCAGCCGCAAACTTGGCAATAACCATATTCCCACCCGCCTTGCTCACGGAATAGGGCACCGAGTTCGAGATACGCGTGTCGATGGTCTCGGGCACGTAGGCGACGCCGGTGGAAATGTACGTCACGCGCTTTTCCTTGCCTGCGCGGAGGAGCGGCAGGAAGGCGTTGATCGCGAAGAGGGGGCCGGCGATGTTTGCCTCGACACTCTTCTTGAGCTCCTCGAGGAAGAGCTCTGGCTTGTCGGCGAAATCGGTGGGGTTCATACCGCCCGTCGATGAGAGGAAGGCGCCGTTGATGAGCAGGTGGTCAATCTGGCCATCGACGAGGGACGATGTGGCCTTGGCGGCGGCTATCAGGGAGTCTGCGGATGTGAGATCGGCTTGAACTACGTGTGTATTTGGGATCTTGTCGGCTTTCACGTTGCCCTCGAGGTCGGCGACATTGCGGGCGGTGGCAATCACGGTGTTTCCTTCCAAGGCGAGGGTTTGGATGAATTGGTACTGGATGCGTTAGCTTTTGCTTTATATTTTGAGGGTAGGAATGCCCTGCTATGAAGGATGTAGTTTCATATACGTACCCCAATTCCGCGCGAGGCGCCGACAACAACGGTGGTGGGCATTTTGAACTGGTTAAAGATCTAAGAGAAGAACGGCTTTGAAAACTGCTCAATGCCACAATTGCTGAGGAACTGTCAACTTATATATAAATGACCCTTCTTCACAGTTAATATGTGCAGTCTAAAGCCCCACATGCGGCATTCCATCACATGATCCCTAGCTTTCACATACACAGCCAACTCGCAACATCATCCTTCATCCTAACTCCACCTTGTAACTCCGACATGCAGCTTCTTACTAAGATCTTTACAAATCCGGAACCCGGGACTTTCAAATTCCGCGGTCTCATTTCCACTCCTACTGATCAAAGAAACGCCAAGAACCCAGAGATGTAAATGCTATTCCGAAAACGGATTGTAGGAAGCTCGTTTTTATTGATTGAACACTTTCAGGCCCGTGCGCACGCGTCCCCCATCAACACATGTCAACACCACACCTCTATAGTATTGCAGCCACCCACACATAAAAAATATGCCTATCTCTCGTCGCAAATTCTTCAAGTATAAGCAGAACAAGGTTGTCAAGCAGCCACTAACTTCCCGGTCTGAATTAACTGCTGTTGAGCGTGCGTTCGTGTTGAGCGTGCGTTCGTGTTGAGCATGCGTTCGCGGTTGGCGCGCTCATGGGCATGCGGGGAGAGTATGCCTAGGCCAAGGCTGCAATATCATTGAAGTGGGTCCGTCCTGGCGTTGAATGTCCTTGAGGACTCGAGTGAAAAAGAACGTACGAGAATCTAGCTGGACTTGCAACGTACAGTGACCTGCCGACGACGCCCGTCCATCAACCCCGAAAGGATGAGCGCATCGCTCAAGCCACCACTTGCTGCGGCCGCCATAGCACACGAGACATAGGGATTGTGTGTTGCATTGTCCTGTAATTTGCTCATTTTTTTCCGAAATTTGTTTCTGATCGTTCTCTTTGGCTACGCCAAGCCTTACGCAGGAAATGCACCAAAAACAGAACCACGAATTGCAAAACCAAAATGGATAAACAACAAACCAGAGAAGACACAGAGGAACTCCCTATCTATGGCAGCACATCGGTGCTTCCACCAAACCACCGATGCTGGGGTTGTTGTTGATGAAGAGGTTTTTTTTTCAACAATAGTATTGCACATACGGGAATCGTAGAAATTTGCTACTAAATCGGCAACAGCTACCCCGCAATTACTGTCCCATGCTAAACCTCCTTCTCACCATATACTACTCAGGAACGACAGGAACAGTGACAACATCATTCACTCGGAAGACATTCTACCATGTTACATGATCGCAGCTTCAATATGCTCCAGTCTCACAGCTTCTTTGCGTTTGCTGACCAGCAAGCTCAACAAGCGGACTGCGTTCTTAATCTGTGAAAGATCAACATTTACTCAGAGTGTCTGCAACATAACCACCGAAGACCTACCTGTCGGCCGTTATGGGCCATGGCTGCAAGCTTTGCATACTCATCTTCAGTCACACAGAGCGTCACGCTAGCACTTGTCGACAGGCGTGCTAAATGCGCTTTCCAGATCACCAGGCGTGCGTTGGCATCGAGATCTGGATAGGCAATTCTGAAGTGAATTCGACCTTTGCTGTGGTAAGTTCCTCATCCTTCAGTACGTCTAAGACTTGTCACTTACTCTCGAAGGCAGCATCCATGGCATCGGCACGGTTCGTGGTCAACAGCAATATGCCCCGATAGTACTCCAAGCGCCTTAGGAACACCGAGACTACTGCGTTCCGATGGAGATCATCCTTGCTCCTCTCGACCAAGAACACATCAGCCTCATCGAGAAGGACGATGGCTTCCCAAACTTCTGCAATCTGTAGAATGCGCTCCAGCTTCTCGTCAAGTGTATCTGCGTCAACACCGAGCTCCCCTGAGTTGATAGTGTAGAGAGGACGTTGTGCGATTTCTGCGATCGCCTCCACAGTGAGAGTTTTGCCAACCCCTGGAGGTCCACACAATAGCCCAATGAGACCCCTGCCTTTGTTTTCCACAAAGTCGTCAAAGGTGTCACTCTTTGATGAGTGTTCCCTGACCAGCAACCCTATCAGTTCTTTCTTGCTTTGCGGGAGGACCAATTGTGCGAAGATTTCCGGGTGCCACTGAATAGGAGCAATGTCCTTGACGAGGAAGCCACCTAATATGACAATTAGCACATCGATAGTCGGAGGAGCAACTCTCTCTTCACCGTCCAACAGGAAGAATGTGTTTCACCTACCCCAAACCTTCTTGCCCAGATGAAACCCGTACAGAATAGCAGGCATGGTCATGATCTGTTCATCGGATATAACCTCCTTGTCGATGGCGCGGTATATGTAAGGGATCAGTTCGTCTTCAGGACACAGCTGACCAAACGTAGCATGGTCCACAACTACGTGCCCCTCACACTACGGCGAAATCAGTACCGGGAGTTTCTTGGGGCGTCAGTTATATACCTACCTGGAACGGCTCAAGATATCGAGCACCATTGAGGTTATGTTTGGTCTGCACGCCATGACCAGAACAATCATGCAACCTTGATGCTCCGTCTTGCATTCTCTTCCTCCCTCTTTTTAAAAGTTCAGACCGGGTTCCCTGGCAGTCCGTCACATATCGCAGGGGATAAAACGGCAGCTCTATGATCTTTTGAGATCCTGGGAACTCTTTGATGTGTAGCGCAAGGTACCCCTTGCGCACAAACCCCATCTTTTCACCATTGTCGTCCACGAAACATACATCTCGGCCAAAAACCATGTCGCCTTGGTCATCTTTGAAAGTGTCGTGGTATCTGGCAAAGTAGGCTCTTGTCTGCTTCAATTCGTCCTTGTCGACGATCAGCTCGTTGCGGGGAAACAGAGCCCAGAGAAGGGTCCATGTGATTTCACCTTTGGCTAACAGCGTTTCAATCGTCGGGCCTTCTCTTGCGAACTCGTTCTGGACCACTCTCAGAGCAAGCTGTATCTGGTCGTACGTAGTGCGGTCCTCTGATCCGGGATTTTTCAGCCGCTCTGCATGTTCCGTGAGTTGCTTACTAGCATGATAAAGATCCTGGGGTGAAATCTACAAGCTCCACTGTCAGACCCTCATCGTTCTAAATTTCAATCCGTCTTCTTACTTCAGGCGGTACTTCTTCCAGTGTCATATTATCGACACCCTTGTAGATCGTCTTAAGTACTTCATGAAGACCTCCCGCCTGCCGAAGCTCGATTGTTGTACCCAACAATTCTCTGCGCATGTTGTAGCTGCGCATGACAACGATGGAGTACTTCTTACTCAAGGATTGCTGTCTTTTCTTCCTCTTGTACAAAGTAAATCCTTTGTCAGAGCTGACCTTCGTTATCCAGATGCACCATGCTGAGGTCAATGAATCGCTTAGTCAACTTACTTGTCATAGCTAATCAACATTAGTGACGACGTGACCGACACGCAGCCTTGCGATAGAACTTACACCTTATCGACATAGCTAATTCGAAGCTCGCGTTCATCTTCGATCGGTACACTGATATCATCGACATTGTGGTCGGGGTCTATCTTATCTTGTATCGAATCTACCTGGCCGCTGATTGACGACTCTTGTAGTTTGTCGGTCGGCTCAAACGGGCCAACAGGCTCTTAGGTATCGAATTGATTGTTTCCGTTCGCTACCTCGTGAGATAACCATTGGACATCCATATCTACGGACGCGGTCTAGAGAATGAGAAAGAGGCAGAGAAATTGCGATATCCAGATACTGAGCAGGCTCAGACCCCAACTAAAAAAGGCTATATTCGATCACGTTGATACCCCGCTCGATGTGTCAATACTGGTCTGCAGGCAAAGCTAATCCTATTAGGCACTTTGAGGTTCTATTGGATCTCAGCCTTATGCATGCATTCAACAGCGGCCAATACTTCATTGCAATAGTAAGCCCGCTGTTACCGCTGATAATCACGCAGCCTACAAACAAAAAGCCGTAAGCAGCCGTAAGCTTGGCTGCAGCTTCTCTGATTTTATCCTCGCAGACTTACCCCTCTTCTATCTACCAACCTAAACTCGTGCATCAGCATTTGACGAGATGATTGATGGCGTACTCGACGACGATTCGGTTTCGAGTTTTTCTACACTCAATGATGGCGAAAGCGAAGCAAGTCTGGACAACGAGAGCAACGATGAGCAGTCTACCGCCTCAAGCTCATCGGAGGATGCAATCGATAATCAAGACCTTGGTTCCGAACTCTCCTTCGAAGGAACTGGAAGTAACAACGGCTCTCGGCGATTGAGTGCATCGAGCGATGCTTTATTCAGTGATGAGGATCACGCAGATGCTTCTGACACGGATGAAAGAAATTCTCTCCTATCATGGGACGACCAAGAGCTGCTTGATCAAAGCGATCAGCCTATGCTCTGTTCAGACTGTCGAGAAATACCATTCAACCAGATCTGGGGTGGGACGCCATTCTCTATGAAGTGGACTGGCAATTCTACATGTCCGGTCTGTGCGATCCTAGGATCCTTCATTCCTCCAGACTCCGACGGTGAACTTCAATCCATCATGCGTTTCTGTCCCGATTGCTCGCTTTCATACCGCGGAGAGCTGCTGAGTTGTCAACGGCCTGTTGACTTGTTGCTCAAGAGATACGGAAAGTATGACATCATAGTACGATTCCATGGACACATAGTTGGGAGTCTGACCGCTTTGTCGATCTGGGGTCGGTCTACCACCCACCATTTCTTATGACCATGAGCTAACGCCCTGTTGCAGTCACCAACCCCAGCAATCTTCGCTTCAGGAGAGACACCATGCGTACGATCAAATCCTGGGTATCCCATTGCGACAAAAAGCACGCACAATGTCAGATCAACGCGGTGGGAAGGTCCCTCGAGAATTCTCCACCGTACCTTCCATCCCGAGTCATCGACGTGGGTCTGAATGATAGTCTAGACTCACCATATCTCATGATACCAGGCCAAAACCAGCGCGGTTTCTACACCATCCTAAGCCACTGTTGGGGCGAGGTGCGCCAATTATGCACTTCTGATCACAACATGTCTCAGCACCGTCAACAGCTTCCATGGGACTTGTTATGCAAAACCTATCAAGACGCAATCACAGTAACGAAATCTCTGAACATTCGGTATCTCTGGATTGATTCTCTTTGCATAGTGCAGGACAGCAGTGAAGACTGGAAGTACGAGAGTGCCCGCATGGCTCAATACTACGGCGACGCATACTGTACAATAGCTGCAGATGCCGCTGTCGATGGTAGTAAAGGCCTGTTCGTGCAAGAGCACGAGTTCCTCCGGGCCAGGCTACCTGTCCAGACGTTCATGTGCCATCACGATCACACGACCATGTTGACAAACAAGCAAAGGCCAAGTATCGTTCTAGCAAGGAATCCCATGCACAGAAGAGCGTGGTGCGTTCAAGAACGCTTACTATCCCGACGAACGCTACAATTCTCGACTGACCAGGTGTACTTTGAATGCAAACGCTGTTTGAAGGCAGAAGATGGCCGGTATTACGGACGAGGGTCGATGTCGCACAGCTTCTACGAAGTTGTTGACTTGAAATAACTTGGAGATATGGAACCATCAGATGTTCACAGCTGGGATTTAGGTGCGTCGCAGCGATACTACAAGGTCGTCGCTTGGTACTCCAGTTGCCTACTCACTTACCCGAAAGATAAGCTTCAAGCTTTGGCGGGCCTGCAACAGTCTTACTCTCTGATATATGGAGCACAGTTCCGGTCTGCTCTCTGGTTCCATCCAAGTACATCTGTACAAACTATTGAGACGCTGTGGTGGGAGCCTTCCCGACACTGTCTGACAGAAAGAGTGCTGAATGGATGCGACATGTCAGTCGCACGTTCATTTCCAACATGGTCCTGGGCCTCTTGTAACGTGTCAATCGAAGTGGGGAGGTTGTATCGGATACATTGGTTACGAGAGGTTGTCTTGCGCTCCGGAATCGGCCAACCAATCCTCCTGAGCTACTTCGATGAATGCTTTTGCGAGAGTCATCGCCATCCTGTCTTGGAAATCAGAACCAAGATCCGACAGTTAGACGTAGAGGATCCACAATTGGTATTCTTGGAGGACGGTCGCGCTTGGTTAGACTTTACTGAAGGATTCGAGGTAACTGTGCATTTGCATGAGCACCCAATGGAGCGACCGGAAACCCTGATTGTAGCGCTGCTCCAGATAGTCGACTGTCACTCTGAAGCGTTGATGTCTACCAAACGGCAACGACGCAAGGCTATCGAAGACCATCTCAATCTCCGGAGAGGTAATCGTTGGTTTTTCAGTGGTCTGTTGCTGAGGCTTTCGAAACACTCGTGCCGTGGCAGGCACTACGAAAGAATAGGAGCGGTTGTCATCACCTCTCCTAAAGATCTATTTGAGGGGCAAGAATGGAAGACTATATACCTAGATTGAATTTATCATTCGTCTTTCGAAAAGAACCCAACATTTTTGCTTCTCTTTCCCAACTCTACTAGCCTCTCCCTCATCTTTGTCGCCCTCTCCCTCATCTTCGGCTCCAGATCCCCAAAATCATCTTCTTTTGCCCACTCTCCGACACCATGCTGCAACACATTCCTTGCCCTCTGCTCACCCGCCGCTACCGTCCCAATACTCCCATGCAACGTCATTCGCTCCTTGGTACTATCATACACCCCCCTGTGCAGTATGTTATTGTTGTAAAACGCGACTTGCCCAGCCTTTAACTGAACCGTGATCTGCTCCGGCATATTGGGTTCATATGGGTCGGCTTCTCGTTCTGCATTGGTTCTTGCGCGTCTGTGGCTCCCAGGGACAAGGACAAGACTGCTATCATCGAAAAGCGCAAGGTTCCACTGCGCATGATACCCCGGCCTATTCAAGCGCTCCATCTCTTCCTCCGGCGTAGCAGTAGTAGCGATGTCATCTCTGTGCCAGCGCAAGCTAAAGTCGGCGTCTGGGCGGACAAGCATGTTGTACAATTCCATCGTGAGGTCCTCTTCTCTGCACTCAATCAATGCAGCGACGTACCTCAGCAGCTCCTCATCGAAGTAGCTTTTTGCGAACAGTGCATGATCTGGATTTGACGGATGGAGCAGGTGCTGCACGCCCCATATGCCTTTTGATGGGTCCTGAGGCCATGGTGGGAACTGTTTGGGGAGAGTGCGGATGTATGGCCATTTTCCTGTGCGTGCAGCTTCGGTCATGCGTGTTGCTGCTGAGCGGAGTGCTTCGAGGTCGAAGGTTGGGAAGAGAGCTGCGGAGAGGATGACGAAACCATCTCGGTGGAGAGCTTCGCGAGCAGCTTTGTAGGGATTGGCTGTGTGTTCGCTGACGTTTGATGCAGCAGGTCCCTTGTGGGCCTCGGTCTGGAGCGTTTCCGTTGCCATCTTTCAGTAACAACTCTCTCCGTGGTTTTCAGATAATGAACGAAAGAGTGGCATGCGACACACGTGGACTGATTGACGGTGAACATCTGTAGGATGGACCTCTGATCTACCCCGCATTGTTCGTTCACCCCGCTTCTGCCATTCTCTACCTATCCTCATCTACAAAAAGCATTTTTGACGTCTATTCCAGGAAATCTGCACTTCAAGCAATCGGACTTGTTACCAGCTGATATGGAGCCTACGACGTTGAAAGTTTCTACCCCTGATCGGTTGCCACCAGATGCACTTTTGTTTCCCTTGATATCTCCGTCAGCTCTTTCTGTCTGTTCGTAGTCCCGATGTCTGCCAATCCTCGCTGGCTACCATCATCGAGCACATGAAACAGCACAATCAATGCGCTCGACTTGAAGTCGTGATACGACGCCTAGTCCCAGCCTGCCAATCTTTTGCCGGTCTCGCTTGCTCTCTTTTACTCTGGATTACAACCCATACGAAGAAGAACAACTTCATGACAACCACAGCAACTGAATAGGTTATCAGCACCCATCGTACGTGGATGCAGACTGTGTTGTAGTGAACATCGCCCTGTGCAGGGTTGCTTTGCCCATAGTGACCGCGTTGACGACTCAAACCGTCAGGGCATCAGAGATATTTGCAAAGAATCGTCGACATCTTTGAACGTGCCCTTGCCGGTTTCTGCATGCCGCAAAGTCAACAGTATCTCTGAAGAAAATGTGACCTTCTGCAAATTACTCTCGTTGTATCGCCGCACAAAGCCTTCCATAACTCGTCTTCGATAGTTTTAGACTCACATAGGACGTTAAACCAATCAATCGAAGCCTTCCATAACGTCAACACCCATGTCTCCCATAAAAGAGTTTCTGAATGGTCGCGACACAGAATACCTGCAGGATGTGTTACATGAAATCGACGCTGTGAGGGGTTCTGACTTACACACAAGTGGGTGGAACAAGCTTGGCATATTGGCTCTTGAAGGTTGGATACGAGCCTCCGTTGCGGTATGTGTCGAAACGGCCTTCAGCGAAGTAGTTGCACTCACCCGAAAATTTTACACCTTGTGTGGTCTCATCGTAAACCGCAAAGCCATTGTACGGAAGCCACCGCAGATATTTTGTTAGGTTGGATCCCATCTCTTGTAGCTGCTGTCTTGTGGATGTGTCAACACACTCAAGATCAACCACGTTGTTGTCAACCTGGTACACCGCGTTGAACTGATGCTCAGTTCCACCCTTCTCTTCAAGTTGGAAGCCACTTATTCTAGTCGAGTATGTCTTCACACAAGGTAACATCCGACATGAGTATGCTGCGAAGGAGGGCCCAGACTGCCAATCCAGAACACATATCATCCGCACGAGAATACCTCCTTCACGAACGGAATTAGTTGTTCCCTGAGCGATCATAGCAGTATTATGCATGAAGCCGTACTCACAATTGCTACGCACTGTCAAAATTAGCTTGCCCCAGTCTAGCGGGCCCACTAGAGCACGTTTAGGTGATATCCAGAAGTAGCGTTCGGCGTTAGTACGCAGTGTCACTTTACGGGAAGTTCGCATGTCACTTGGCGGGCGCCCACGGGCAGTATTCATAGCAGAGGATTGAATGATGTGCCTTTGTACATTGAGAAGGTGATGAGTGCAGAGTTTCTTTTGGGCACTTGACATCTGTTACACACATGGTAAAATCGGACAGTCGCTACGTGTGTTTGTGGGAGTAAAGAGTGCAGCAAGAGCCGAGCTGCAAGCAGAAGCAAGGCTCAAACTCTGAAGCTGAATGCACCTTCCGATTGTTGCACGGCCGGACATCCTGGCAGACGACTGACTGTATAGGTCTATGTTCATTACACTAAATCATCTGCATGCGACCGCCCTTGTCTAGTTATCAGCTAACTCTCTCAGTCGTCGGCCCAGCAGTCTCCCTTTTCTCCACCAAGTCAGCACTCATCTGGCTATTCTGCGCATCACTCAACGCTTTCACGATGTCACTCTCCGCCTTCTCCCTAACCAACCTCCTCAAACTATTAATCAAGAACCCCGAGAAAATATCCACACTCCACTCATCCGGCAACATCGCCAGCACATCTCCAATATCAAACCAGCCTCCAAACCGCTCGAGGAGTTCGCCCGTGCGCTCAATGCGCTGCGATAAGTCCTCGATGTTAAGGAACTCTTGGAGCAGGAAATTGAAAAGTCGAGATTGTTCAACGTGCGGGGGGAGTTCGGATGCTGGGATGGGCAGGGTGCCGGTTGTGATGGGCCGGAAGATGGAACTATACCCGTATAAGCAGTAGCTTATCGCCGTGTCAAAATCCCCCAGCCCATGCGTGAGCAACCTCAGCGCTTCCTGATGCTGTTCCTGCCTTCCATGCAATATAATCATCTCGGGCACGAGTTCTTGTTCGTACGGCTCGAGGCGGGTCAGGATGGTGCTCACGTCGTACGAGGAGGTGGCGGGTTGGTTCGAGCCGAGGAGTTGCAGGAGGCGCAGACGCGCTTGCCACCACTCTGCGGGTATCGCATTATCTGTGATGAACTGATGATAGGTAGGTTTTGGGGGCTCGAGGATGCGATACGTCTCGTAGGTTTGGGAGAGGGTGGCGCGCGATTCAGGGCTAGACTCAAGCTCATGAATTACGGTGTCGAGGTAGAAAGCGATTAGTTCGTTTACGTAGCGCGTGTGCTGGTGATGGTCAGTGATTGAAAAAGGATTACTAAGATGGAAGGCGCATACCTTCTTGCCAAAGACAAGGTACTCCAGGTACTCTTTGACCGCACCTGGGGCCCTTTCTTTCAGCAGCTCGACGGCGCGTGTGGGCTCGAACTTAACCCTGCTATGGTCGTCTGCAAAGATCTGTACGCCGAGTTTGGGGTTGCGGTTTGCTAGCCATGCACCGTATTCCTCAACTAGCGACTGATCCCGGATGCGTGCGAGGTACTTTCGCAGCTCGTTCTCGCCGTCTACAAACGCACCGCCCGCGTCTTCTTCGCCGTCAAGGATACGTTTCCAAGTAGCAAGCACTTTGGAAGCCTTGACTGATGCCTTGCAGTTGCTCTGATACAGCCTGCTAAGCACATAGAGCCGTTTGAACTGTTCAAGGAGTTCTACCGCCCGATCGAAACACTCGACCTCCCGATCGACAAGCTCGTTCAGCTCGGCACGGTACATTCCTGGACTCGATGTACCGTTGGGGCTGCCTTGGTCCAGTAGGAGAAGGATATGAAGTAGCGCTGCGTCGACAGTGCTAAAGACGAACGGGTCGCTTGTGACGCTTGCCATGCCTTTCCGCCTCTTCCAGAACTGGAGGTATCTTTTGACAAAGTGAAGCAGATTATCACCGAATGGTCCATTGACATCTGTCGGCATTGTGGAAAGGTCAGTCTGTTGCAGAAACTGTTGGAGGACTGCTGTGATACCGCCAGATATTTGAATGCCTTCGGGTCCTTGGAAGACTTCCTGGCTTAGGACTGGCAACATCGATAACACTATTCGCGGATCTACCTCGCCTTCGATAAGAGCTTGCTCAGTGATTCGCTTCTCGTTTTCGAAGATAATGATGTTGGTCTTCGTGCGAAGAACGACGTCCATGAACAGTAGTACGGATGCTTTCTGACGGATGTAGATGAGGCTGAGATACTCCGACTCATTGCGAGGGTCTTGTCCTCGTATGTCGCCGAGCACTCTTTCAACAGGGTTACGGTTCGGTTGTATTGTTGTACCGTCTTCTGCGAATTGGGCTTGTTCTAAGCGTGAATCCAAGCGTGTGACAAGCGGGTTGCGAACAGTCCACCATATCTGGTTGCTGGCCCATACCACGTTTCGTGACTTGAGCTTAGATAGTCGCTCTGTGAACTCAAGATCTGCTTTCTCTTGAGCTGTCGCAGGTGCCTTCGTGACTTCTGTTGAGATCGATCCCTCTATGGAGGGCAGCTGCAGCCGTTGTACAGTAAGCTTGGACCCAATCTCAGGAAGGACAAGATCGTAAGGCTGGACGACAGTACGCATACCTAACGGCACAGGAATATGCGTGCTGTCTCCCTTTGCTGACAGACCTAGCGAATTCAAGTTCAACCAGTCTTTGGTTTCTTCGCCTGCACCAGGATCCACGTCCCATCTTTGAATCTCGACACCATATTCGAGGTGGTCTGCATCCCCTCGATGAACCGCAGCCAGCACGTAGCCTTCCTCAGCGTCCATGTCAGGACCCATGGACGACGTCAAGTCTATGCCTGAGCCATCAACCACGATTGCGTCGGGGTAACTGCTAAATTGAATGCTTCCTCTGCACATGTCGCCGTCAAGATTGACGAACATACCAACGCCTTGCTCAGATGGTGTAGTGCCAACTGTGAGCAGAAACTCGTTGGGGTTTGGTGAGGCAATGTGTGGTCTGAGAGGAACGAACGATGGAGGTTGTGGAGCTTCTTGTACCTCGACCTGAGGTGCATCCTCTCCTGGTGGAGGCGGTAAAGGCTTGCCAACAGCCGCACCTTCTGTAGTTTCGCCCTCAGTTGGCCGTGTTGGAGATCGAGCGGGCGAACGACCTGGTGCTGGCGATGCAGTTCGCGATAGCGACTCAGGCACGTCGAAGCCATAGCGGTGTGCTGGAGGTCGTGGGCTGGCGGTTCGAGAAGAGGGACCGCTGCCTATCCCCATAATGTTGAGGCTGGTGCTCCGATTGTGACCCTTCTGACCGCCTTGATGTAGTTGTACGCTTGCAGACGACACGCTTCTCGAAGGCCCTTGAGGTACAGTCGCAATGGTCTCTGCAGCTCCCCCAACGTCACCAACGTCTGGATCTAGAGACGAGATTGGGAACAAGCCAACCTTTTGCTGATGCATGACGTCCAGCAACGCATATGAATGACTGTCTGCCGCGCAAGAGAAGGTCTCCCGTCTGACCGAGACTAAGCATCCGCCGTACTCGATCGTCTTGACTGCCCTTGGTGGGGAGTTCTCGGTGATCTGGACCAGTCGTAACCTCTTCTTCAGGCCAATCACTACCACCACGCCTTCATCGTCACCCTCTTCTTCGTTCAAGTCCACGCCTCCAACCCATAAGCAAGATATGGGCTTGAAGGTGGAGTCTGGGCTCAGCTCGGGCAGCGAGTAGATGGAGAGGGTGTTGTTGCATAGCACGCATGCTTTGTAGATTTTAGGGAGAATGAGGATCTGCTGCACGCCGGGCCCGTGGCCATCGTTGTGCGGAGGCTCGAGCCTGGAGGCGATGATAGCGGTGGGCTCTGCGGAAGGGTCATTGGACTCAGGCGGTAGGAGGACGAAGTGGAGGATCTCGGCGGCAGAGGTGCCAACATAGAGGTTGCCGTCTGGGCTTCAGTTAGCTGCCTAGGAACGTGTATCATATATATGTATATATATGTATATATATATATATATATATATATATATATATATGTTTATGTGAAATATATGTGCGTACCCCATACTTCGACACAGGTTATGCGCGCATCGCCATGTTCCCCGTCAGCGGACAGCGGCAGGTCCGAGACGAGCTTGCGGAGGACGAAGGGCCCGTCCTGCGGCGGCGGGCGGGTGATCCCTTGCGGAGTGGGAGCTGCTTCTGCCATTGTTCAGGATCATCACACGCGCCATGCTGGCTAAGGGCGTGAGGCGAGGGCCATGTTCCTGGCAGTGGAGGTGGTCCCTCAGGTACAAGCTCATGATTGCGGCCAATCGGTCGCCTAGCCTGCCGCGCGCGCGTCACCCCCAGCTTCGTGTCTACATGAGCTTGACCACGACACAGGATAGCGGGACTCGTCAAATACGGGACTGCCATCTGGCTGACATAGCATATCTACGACTGCACGCGTGTGAAGGCGACCGAGAATATAACCATGGAGGGCGGTCTGGACGTTGAAGCGCATGCGGCGCAAGAGGAAGAGCCGAAGCAAGCAGGTGGGGAACCAGAGACAGAAGAGGGCAATAAGTTCCAGAAAGCCATTGGAGCCTGGAGGAGTATGGCCATGTAGCTTGTAAACCATAGTAGAGAGCTAATGAAGCTTCAGATATCGATCTTACTGCCCTCATTCCTCAACTCGACACCGTAGCCTCAGACGTCGTCGCACACCAGAGGGACACTCTCACACAGAGGAAAGAACTGGCGCAAAAGACCAAAGACTTCAGGAAGCTAGACGATGAAAGCAAGCTCAGCGACATCAAAGGCCTCCTGAAGTGTAAGTGCATTCATTGCCCGGCATATCTAAGCATATCAAGCTAAGGGTTTGTAGCATACCAAAACTTCATTGACCTCATATCCAACCACTCCAAGACCGTCCAAGCCTCCTTCTTCCAAGTCTACTCACCGCTATCAGAGGCACCCGACCCATACCCTCTCCTCGAAGCCTCCGTCGACTCCCTTGTAACCGCCGAAGAAGTTGTCCCGAAGCTCACATCTGAGAACGCACGGTTACAAAAGACTGTCGCAAGCTTGACATCACAACTGGAGGAGTCAGAGAAGAAGCTCGAGGAGGAACGCACAGCCCGCAAGACCGTCGAGGACAGCCGCGACAGCAAGATCAAGGAGATTGAGGCTTCATGGTCTGCAGTTCTAGACGAAAAGAAGGACAACTGGGAGGCAAAGGAGAAGAGTCTGGAAGAGAAGGTCGAGAGTCAGGATCGACTGTTGAAAGAGCTCAAGGCCAACTACGAGGTATCTCAGAGGCTAGGCAACGGGGACGAGAGTGCAGGGCAAAGCACCGGCGCTACAGCGGCAGAACTCGAGATTGTCAGCTCGGAATTGGAGAGGACAAGCCACCGCCTGGCTGAGGTCGAAGCACGCAACGAACAACTGCGCCTGGACCTTGCGCAAACTGCCTCTGCACAGGCCCAGCACGTTGCTGTGGAGGACGACCCAGCTTTCCTTCGCCTACGCTCTGAGAACTCGTCATTGTTGCGCAAGCTTGAGAATGCACGATTCGAGAAAGACTCTGAGCGCACACGCCTCGAGACCGGCTCACGCAACCTAGAAAGAGAAATCAAGTCCCTCAAGAGCGAGAAGGATGCTTTGCGCGAAAAGGTGCAGAAGTGGAGTGACTACGATAATGTGAAGCAGGAGTTGGAGGTGCTCAAGGTAAAACAAATCACGGAACCCAAATGCAAGCTTGTGCTGACATGTCTAGTCAATCGAGTTCGCAACAGGCGACGATGACGACGAGGCAACTGAGATCGCCCTCTCGCAAAACGGTGCTGCTGGCAAAGGAAAGGGCGAAACATTAGAGCAATTGCTGCTGGCGCGTAACAAGAAGATCAGCAACGAGCTGACGGTCTTGCGTGTGTCTCACAACGATTTGCAAAGCAGATTGGAGGCCCTACAAGAAGAGCTATCACAGGCCAACATGGAGCTCGAGAAGTCAAGAGCGCTCAATGAGACGTTGGAGGCTGATCTCGAAAAAGTGCAACAAGAGGCGTCGAATGCATTCGATCCCTCTGGCATGTCAGTGGCAGGGACCTATGTGTCCAGATACCCACAGTCGTCCTTCGCAGGCACAAGACGTGGAAGAGCGACATCACCTACCTCATCTATCATCTCCGGGTTCGACAATTCTTCACAAAACACCCTCGCCTCACTGCGCGCTGGTGAGCAGGTGGGCGGAGGCTCCGGTATCCTGCCTATGGTTACAGCGCAGCGTGACCGCTTCAAGAAGCGCAATTCCGAGCTCGAGGCCGAGCTCCAAAAGTCACATTCGACGATCTCCTCACTGCGATCTGAAATCGGCTCGCTTCAGAAGGACAACCTCGACCTCTACGAGAAGACGCGCTATGTGTCATCTTACAATGCACATAATAGAGGTCCCGTAACCTCTGCGTCATCGTACGGAGCCAATCCAAACCCATCCACTGTTCAGATCGGCGACAATGCGACCGACCGGTACCGTTCCGCCTACGAGTCGAATCTGTCACCTTTCGCTGCCTTCAGAGGCAGAGAGTCAGCTCGCGCGATGAAGCGCATGCACATCTTCGAGCGCATGGTCTTGCGCGTAACGAAGTTCGTGCTACAGACAAGAACGAGTCGGAACATATTCGCAGCGTATTTGCTAGGTCTGCATTTCATGGTGTTCTGGATGCTCTTCTCGACTGCCGGAACACACACAGGTAGCACGATTGGAGTTGCTGCCGGCTCAGCAGCTGGGCCTATCGACGTGGGACCTGGTGATCTTTGGCACAAGGACACGGTTGATGATGGGACCACGTAGATCTTGGTGTAGCTATGTACTTTTTGCAGGCGTTGAGCTCATTGTTGCAAGCGTTTAGCATCCGCAAGCGAGCAATTAATACCACTGTGGTCTCCTAATTCACATCTTCCACGCACCGCGATGTTAAAATCGCTTCATGTAGATCGAAAAAGCTGCACCACTTGTGACCTCCATCGTGCTTGCCATTTGGGTGTGGTCTTGGCGCTCTGTAAACACCCGAGCGAGGCCCTGGAGAACAACGCCCGCCAATCTCAAAAGTTCATCACCAACGCCAAGACCATCAACAACTTGCTCCAACTCGTTCCGCGCACGCTTTACCAGAACAACAAACCTCATACAGAGTCCCTACTCTCACAGTATGCAGCGTCGTATGGTGAGATGCGAGCAGACGGCCCACTTGCAAGATTTGCCGCTAATGAACAGATAGCTCACCAAAGAGGAGGAGGCATCAGCAGGCGGCGAGGACATGGAAGTCCGCCGTGAGGACCAGGAGAAGATCAACAAATTCAGCTCTCTGCATCAGAAGGAGACGTTGTTAGAGGAGGAGCTCAGGGCGAAGATCGTGAGTGAACCCTTCCAGCGCCGCCGCCGTGCCATTGCCTTCCTTTCTGTACCCCATAGTGAGGTCCTTTGAACTGCAGGAAACTAGACACTACCTTCACTGTAATGATAAAGAAGGAGCGATAGACGATGCTCGCTTTGCTGAGAATGCAATGCTAACTCCTAACAGAAGGAGAAAGAAGATCTTGAGGAGATCTCGACGGAACTTGAGCTTGTAGATGATGAGGAGAAAGTCCCGTAAGTTCAAGCCTCTGCGACTATCACAGACAGCAAGAGCAATCAACAACTTGCTGACGTTCTTACAGGTACAAAGTTGGTGACTGCTTCGTCTCGTTACCACAACCACAGGTCCTCGAGCTACTCGAAAGCTCGACTCAGACCATTGATGAGGAAGTCGATGCACTGAAGTCAAAGCTCGAGTCTATTCAGGAAGAGATGTCAGAGCTGAAGAAGGTCCTGTATGGTCGTTTTGGGCGGAGCATCAACCTCGAAACCTAAGCACGACATGTCCTTGGCGTCAACAATGCAATGGCATGCAACAACAAACAATACGACATATCACAACATCAACTTGCATCACTTCGCCATTTCTTGACAGATGGAGTTGACTTTCGCACTCGGAATTGGCATCGGACTCGGAATGAAGCTCAAAAAACAACGCAGTCACGATCATCCACATGCAATTTGAGTCACAGTATCAATTCGATAAGCTCTCGACGAATTGCATCCATCTGAGGCTCTTGCAGCGCATCGGCCAGTGGGTCCACGCTCTACAATACCGAGTTTACCGTTACCGATATGCGATCGTCACGCGTTTGCATTGTCCCCGCGTTATGCAGCTAGCTCTGGCGCTGTCGTAATAATTCCATTTTACGCTACAATTTGCGCGCCTTGGAAATACTGAATAAATTCGCGGAGTCAAGCTTCTCCTCTTTACCGAATCACTTACACCTCGCTTCACCATTTGCTTGTCATGTTCGTTTTTTTCTCCATTGGATTCCAATTGTTGCCAAGCTTGAACGTCATCACCCTGGACAATGGAGTCCGCGGATTTGGAACGGACTTATTCCCGCGATCAACAGCAACAGCGGCTAAACGATGGCTTTCACGTCACAACACCAGTGGCACTTGTGAGAAGTACGACTTCCCGAAGCGTGAAGAGTGCTCGAAGTCAAGGAAGATCGGGAAGTCAACGTACGCGTGCCTAAATAACTCACAATGCCCACTGGAGCATACTGCTAACATAATTACTTAGATACAGAAGGGTCTTGTGTCACTCGATTGAGGGACGTCGAGAAAGAGGTGGACTCGTCGTCTGACCTGGAGACAGGAAATGGAGATGATATTGAAGAAATGGTCTCACCACCACCCTCAAGCACAACTTCAAGAGCAGGCTCACGTTCGAATGAATCTAATGCTTCTCATGGAGAACCGACCGCCAAAAAGATAATCCGGTTCAAGGATGGTGACCCTGACAATCCAGACAACTGGCGGCAGGTACGAGTGGTGTTCCCATATTCAGTTCCCATACATTGACAAAGGGCAGATTAAGAAGCTTTACGCGCTTTTCGTGGCTATCATGAGTGGTGAGTAATATAACCATGACTAGTTACGCTTCTGACCACCGAGTAGTGACGAACAGCACAATTGGCTCATCGTATATTCTGCTCTGTACGATGTCGCCGTATAGCAAGCTGACCAATTCAGACTACCAGCTGGAGCCACTGGACCCATTTCGCAGCACTTCCATGAGACGAACGAATACAAGCTCATCCTGCCTACCTCCATATATCTCATCGGCTATGTCTGTGGACCTATGTAAGCAAGAATACTCTTCTACATAGAGGTCCTCGTTGCCGTGACCTAACAGAAAACCATAGGATCTGGGGACCGCTTTCCGAGTCCTACGGTCGCAAGCCAGTGATGATAATATCTTTCGCCATATTCACCATCTTCTCCATCACCTCGGCCGTGTCACCGAATTTCACTGCCCTCGTCATCTTCAGACTACTCGTTGGCATCGGAGGCAGCTGTGCGATAAGCGTCGTTGGCGGGATATGCGCGGACATCTATCACGATACAAAAAGTCGAGGACGGAGTATGGCTGGTTTCATGGCTGCGACTACGTTTGGACCGATTCTAGGACCGCCAATCTCCGGGTACATCTCAGTCGCCTCATGGGCTTGGGGCTTCTGGGTGGGAGCTATTCTGGCTGGAGTCACATGGCCGCTATTCATCTTCTTGCCTGAAACGTACGGGCCGGTGATCCTGAAGCACCGCGCGCAGAAGTTGCGTAAGGAGACAGGCGATGAGAGCATCATTGCGCCCATCGAGCTGGAGAAGACGGACTTCAACCACATTGTGACTGTGATCTTGACAAGGCCTCTGCGTATGCTTTGCTTCGAACCGCTGGTACTGTTTACCTGCTTGTACTTGAGCTATGCATGTAAGTCGGCCATAAACAAACCCTCCGTGTACCCCACTGACTTACTCAATAGACGCCATCTTCTACATCTACCTACAATCCTACCCCATAATCTTCACCGGCATCTACGCCTTCACCCCTGGCGAACAAGGCCTCACCTTCCTCCCCATCGGCGTCGGCGCCATGATCTCAGCCTGCTTCTACCTGACATGGGACTGGTATCTGACGCGCGCGCAAAAGCTCTCCAAACCCTGGTCCCGCAACGAGGAAATGGTTCGCTTGCCGCTGGCCTGCATCGCGGGACCTTTCTTCGTCATCTCGAGTTTCTGGCTCGGATGGACGGCTAGAGAAGACGTGCATTGGATGGTAAAGAGTAGTTCTCTGAAAACGGATTGAAGCCTACTGACAGCCCGTCAGGTGCCCACGTGTGCTGGTGTGCTGTTTGGAATGGGGTATTTGTGTCTTTTTATGGCGCTGCTGAATTATCTCGTCGACGCATACGAAGTATTTGCTGCAAGTGCGATGGCTGCTGCATCGCTCTCGCGATCGTCGTTTGGTGCCGTACTGCCGTTTGCAACGAGGCCTATGTATAGAGCGCTGGGCGTGGCGTGGGCGACAAGCTTGTTGGGTTTCCTGGCAGTCGCGTTGTGTGTTGTGCCCTTTGCGTTTCTGAAGTGGGGTGGTCGGATGAGGGAGCGGTCGAAGTTCTGCCAATATCTTAGGATGAAGAAGAGGGAAGAGGAAGAGGCGTTGCACAAGGAGAGGGAAGGTGCGAAAAAGCTGGAAGTCAAGGTTGGCCCGGATGAGGTGAAGGGCAAGGAGGAGGTATAGCTAGACTTGGGTCGCATTGTGCAATTCTGCCGCTTGACATGATGCCCTTGAGTCAGAAATCTCCCTTTGCCTCTTGTCTATTCTCTTCTTCACCTCACCGTCCCCCTCGCCACAATTTCCCTCGATCCTCGCAACCACACTCTCGCTATCAACTCAAGTCATCGTATTCTCCAACCCACTTCAGCCCCCCCCCCCCCCAGAATGCCGCTCTTCAAATTCCCGCAGCGTCGAAGAGTTCCAATCATCGTGCTCGTCCTCCTGTGCGCTTCTGTCCTAATCGCCGGCTTCCACTACATACACTATGCACCAACAACCTCCAGACCGCCACGCCTCGTGAAAGCAACAATCGTCTACCCCTCCCTCTCCTTAACCCACAAACAAGTCCTGGACGTTCACGCAGCACAAAACGCGCTGTTTTTGTATGGAATGCACATTCTCCGGCGCCCGATCGTGAAAGGCGGCGCCAACATCTTCTACTGGTTGATGCACGTGCTCACCGCCGAACTGCAAAGGCCGGTTGAGGAGCGGGTGGAGTGGGTTCTGTACGTGCCCTATGTCCCAGGTGGCTTCCATGCGCGCAAGTTGCTGAGTCGAGAAGTGGGGTTGTTAGAGATTGACAGGCTGATGGAGGGGGGGTTTCCAGATATATCGATCCGAGCGTTGTGGCTATGGATCCGGAGACCGCGTTGGACATGCTTCTCCCGCCTCGCACCCTCAGTGAGGGTGTGGAGACGTCTGAGGCTTTCAACCATCTGGCTTTCATATTCCCCACGCCTTCCAACGCCGTCCACATCCACAACCGAACACTCAGTCTATCCGTCTTCTGGCTGCGAGTCAGCCCTACAACGCTCACCCTCTTCGCCTCCGCAATCCACGAAATTCACTCCGACACACATTTTCCCCACAGGCGGGACGTTAGTGCGTTGGCTTTACAGCGGGTTCTTGAGAGAGAGAAGGAGGAGGAGGGCTGCGGGAAGGTGGTGTATCAGCCTGGTTCTTGGTACGGGGTTCCTGAGAATGGCGAAGTGGAGAGAGGGAAGGGGAAGGCAATGTTTGGACAGCCTAGACCCGGGAATGTGTTTAAGATGGAGAGGGAATTGGGGATGTTGCTTGAGCAGGCGGAAGGGAAGGGCGGTGATGCAGATATGGGTGCGATTGAGAGGGATGTAAGCGTGTGGTGGGAGCGTGTGATGGAGGCGAGGCGGGGAGGAGCTGGCGGAGGGTGAGGTTAGAGTTTGGAGGTTGTTGTTGTTGAGAAGATGATTGAGAACCAATATGAGACGGTGTGCGACGGTGTGGAGGCACGTCAAGTGCTAGCGATGTCTCCCCATGCTTGCTCTCGAGAAGAAAAGACGGGATAGATCATCCGCGAAGGCAGTGACGCTGTATGATGCCCACAGGTATCGAGGAGTCAGCGGAAGAGCGAAGGTGTCCTGATGTATGGACGACTCTCCTTCAGTCTCGCAGAGCTTTTTGTCCTCGGTCATACATTGCGTTACAGGAAGTGTGTTGTCCTTGCGCCATACTCCAAATCAACCTGGTATCTCTCAATCCCAAACCCCGAATCCAAATCCAAGAACCCATGTCAAAGCAAGCCTCGCTATCCAAAAAAAAAACCATAGCGACATCCCCTAATCATCTCAGCTCGTGTCCATAGCCTCCCCACCATCTTTCGTCGCCGTGTTGCCTTTGCTCAGCGCCTCAACAATCCCCTCTAACCCCCTAATCTCCTCGACCCTGACCCTCCCGCCTTCCACCGCCCCTTCAACCCCCTCCCTCGTATCCACACCGCGCTTCTCCAGAATCCTCTTGCTCTGACTTTCCAAGTATAATTTCCTTTCTCTCGTCGTCTCACCCGACTCAGAACTCGATCGTGTGCTTGTGAACAATGCGGTGCTGGCGAGATGTGGGCGCAGGTTGGAGAGGAGTTGGCGCAGGTACGGCAGTTGCGAGGTTGTGAAGGAGGTGTGTGTTGCTAGGGTTGTAGCGCCGTTCGCTGGTGTTATCGTCGATGTGGAGGTCTGGGGGAGAGGTGTGATGCCTAGGTTCTGACTTGCGGGGGTGTGGGTGAGGAATGCGAATGTGCCTCCATTCTGACTTGCTCCATCCTCTCTAGACGGATTCGTGGAATCGCGCTTCATGCCCTCCTGTCGTGGTTGTAGCAGCGCGCGCAGTTGCTGGATCTGCGCTTCATTCCGATTCTTCTCTGCGAGCAAGGCCGCGTTGAGTCTCTGCGTCTCAACCAGTTTCCGCCTCAGTGTGTATAATTTCTCTGGCGTCCAGCCCTCTTCTCCCACACCTCTGGGCGGCGTCTGTAACCCATTGTAGTGTCCCAACCTCACCCAATTCGCCAACTCCTCCTCTCCCCTCGGCAAACACAGCACGTTGCGTAACGTCCAAATCTCCAATTTATCAAAATTCTTATCCACCGCATTCTCCATCAGCGTCTCCAGCTTGAGCACGCCCTCCTCAATCTCCAGACTCGCATCGGGGTAAACATCGTTCCCGTCTTCGTCTTTCTCGGGGGGTCGCCTTTCAGCTGCATAGCGGTCTGCAAAGCCCAGGAGGTGCGGCGGGGCGCTCGATATGCCTGTTTCGAAGGTATCAGTGCAGCGATACAGGACCTCGTTTATCGTGTTGATTATGTCGTCGATGAGACAGATTGGCGGCCAAGAAAAGTGCTCTGTGAGAAGAATGTTCTCCTGTTGCTGGGCGTTCGCCATGTTGTCGGCCGTTGCGGTATGCGTAAAGTGCCTGTGTCGCGTTGTTTGCGACACGCGCGATGTGTTTACCCTGGTGGGGATCTCACTGGTTGGCGGTGCTAGCGCGGCCCCGTTCGGGTTGGCGTTGTTTGGCTGGGTCACCGCATCCGTGGCGCTGGTAAGTCCAGCCGAGTGTCAGGGATGACGTACATTCAGCGCAGCGATGTCGACAGCGTGGCGTCCTCTGAGCTTTTCGATTCAAATCCCGTGCCGTTAGCTTGGCATGTGTTCGAGTGCGGCAGGTGAGATGGAGTGACATGCACATGCATGAGAAGCCAAGAGCGTAGATAGTCGTGGTGTGAAGAGAGGGCCGTCTATGCGTGATATTGTTGGCAATATGCAGATATCGTGGTCACGCTCCAAGCATCAGATGAGTATTCTGTGCTGAAACTGAATTATACACCCAATACCAACTGCTACTCCGCATCCTCATCCTCACCACAACCGTGCGAGCCTTGAAGCTTCTAGCACTCTTTGTCGTCCCTCCTCACTTGCACCTTCTCACCGTTCTCTTCATCCTCACTGTTCTCGTCGTCACGCTCAAACAGTACCATGCACAGGTAACGCTATTTCTTTTCGTCCTCATGGGATTCAAACAAAGGGAATCTCAACGCCTGAAGCGAGCTTGTATCCACTACTCTGCCATCCCATCCACGCGGACCAGGGAGAATAATTGGGTAACCAAAATCAAGATAACACTGACTCAAACGCTTCCAAGCCTGATGGTAGTAAGACCGAAGTCCACAATGCGTCATGTCGCTGTCGTAAATGCAGTATATGGGAAGTGAAAGCTGGGCTGTCTGTCAATTAGAAGACACACCCAGCATATGACCATGTCGAAGTTGTCCAAAGACGTCCACGGAGGAGACGCCGGCACGATGCCTACTAGTACGCTCGTGCGTTCTCCCGCCGGGCTTGCGCTTCCTCTTGTCGGTCCCGCTGTTCTCGCTGGTACCGGCGCTCTTCTTCTTGCCGCCTCGCCTTCTTTTCTCGTTCCAGCCGGATCTTGTGTGCCTCTGTGCCGTCATCCATGAGCGACTCCTTGAACCAAGGGTGTTGCAAGGCTTCCTTGGCGGTTATGCGCTTCTTGGGATCGTACACGAATATCCGTCTGAGGAGGTCGAGGAACTGTTTGTTGAAATCGGTGTGGCCTGGTATTGTTTCCTATAGACGTCAGTCTAAGCGAATGGCAGCGACCGGTGATACATACGTGGAGCTTCTTCATCGCCTTGACGTACTTTTTCGACGCCTTGTTGATATCGTTGTTGGGGTAGTCAAGCTTGTAGTTCTTGAAGTATCTTGCAGCGCTGCGACTGTCAGTGATGTTGCTCTCGATCAGTGTATGTTGACTTACGAGTTGGCTGAGTTGCGAGAGTTGGTGCGGTCTTGCTTATAGACCGCTCTGACGATGTCTCGATCAATCTTGCCGCCACACACAGCCTCCATCATAGCCAGATGTTCGAGGTTATCGTGCGTCTGGAAGAGGGCATCACCAGTGAAGAATTCGACAAGGATACACCCTATGCTCCAGATGTCGCAGGGGAAACTCCATCCGAGATTGAGGATGATCTCCGGTGCACGGTAATGCCGTGTCGAGACAACTGAAGAGTGGTACTCGTCGTTGAAGGTGGCTGATCCAAAGTCGATGAGTCGAATCTCTGGGTCGAGAAGGACCTTGCGATGTCTTGCTGTGCGGTTGACCGTTGTGGACGACGATGGTACTGTGCGGTTGTATGTGAATGTCTGATAGGCATTCTGTACCAGGAGGATGTTCTCAGGCTTGAGATCGGTGTGGATGAGGTTGAGGTCGTGCAGAAAGGCGACACTCGTGAACAGCTGCTTGGCGAACTTCTGGATATGCGAACTCGGGAAGGGCACGAAGCTGTTGCTCTTGAGGAAGTCGAAGACGCTTTGCCCGTACAGATCCGTGACGATGCAGATGTGGTTGCGGAAGTCGAAGCAGTCTCGTAGGTGGATGCATCGGTTGACGTTGTGCTTGTCGTTGGATGCCAGCGTTGAGAGCACCCGCAACTCGATGCGACTGGCATCACGGTATTTCGGTACTGAGCGGATGACCTTGATGGCGCACTTGGTGCCCTTTCTCTTGTCCCAGGCTTCGACGACCTTGCCGAAAGTTCCCTGGCCCAAGAGTTTCAAGATTTGGTCTGCACGTCTGTTAGCACTGCAACGGGAGCATGGAGATACGGCGGATGCATACATCGCTCCGTGAGATCGGCCTCCGGTACTACTATGTAGTGGCCGTCCTCGTCGTCGACCTTCTGGTCCTTGTAGTTGGATTTCTGTTCCCCAAGTCAGTATGCAGCCTAAAGGATGCGGAGCACTGGACCCTTACATCTGCAACGACCTGGACGTAGACATCCTTCGCCTTGATTACCGGGTTGGGTGGTGGCTGGTACAGGCTGAAGGGGTCGTGGTCATCGAGGTCGCGTCTCTTCGCCTGCTTAGCCTCATCCTGCGCCGCTGCACGTGTTCGTTTCCTCTTCTGGCCCACTGCAGTGTTCTCGAGCGGCGAGATGTGGTGGCTGTTGCTGGCCTGGGACCCTAGCGACGTGGCAGCGGTTGTGTTGAGTGCCGACGTTGTCCTGTCTGTGGATATGGAGTGGTGGGGCGAGTCGTAGTAGGGTGTCTGGGTGGTCGAGTAAGAGGTGTGCTGGTTGTAGACAGGGTCGTACGCTGTTGTGCCGGCCGTTGTTTTGCGCTTCTTGTCCGTGTGCCGTGCGGAGCCGTTCGTCGCAGTCCTCTGGAGCGCAGGCTGTCGCGGTGCAGGCGGCTCATCGCCGTCGTCGTTGTCGCCGCCGCCGTCGTCGTCGTCGTCGTCGTCGTCGTCGATGACAATGACCTCCTTCGGCAGGCCGTTCTTGTAGAAGTCGGCCCAGTCAGGGTGCCGCCGTCGCTGCTCGCTGCCCATGGTGGGCGCGCCCATGTCGGGGGCCGGGGGCTGTGTCAGCGGGGGCAGCTGTTGTGGGTGTCTGCTGTGGGTGCTCGCGGTTCGGCGGATATCTGAGCCAGGATTCGAGGCGCCGCTAGTGTAGCCGTTGTACATGGAATTGCCTATTCTAGCGCTGCCGTTCGCGATTTGGTTGGCATTGGGCAGGCCCGGCTGGTATGTCTGGTGGTGAGAATAGAATTGATGATGGGGCGGGAGAGTGGCCGTGGCAGTAGAGGGCGTCGACATGGCCAAGGTGCTGCTCGGCGGTCGCGGGCCTGGCGTTGAAACGCTACTTCTCTCGCCGGGTGAGCGAGACGGGCGGCGCTATACCACGCCCGCAGCACGTCTGCTGGTGAGTACGGCTGGTGGATGCGCGGTAGCAATGCAGAGTGCGCGGCCGCCGTGTGCTGTCGTCGCAGGCTCGCGGCGGTGCTGCCGTTGTCGCACGCAGTCCCAGCCCGTCGTCGAGGGCGTCCGGGCGTGCAGAGGAAGAGTCGTCAGGCGGCGGCTGCTCGCTGGGCAGAGGGCGAGGCGGGGCAGCTGGATGCAGGCGACGCTGGCAGGGCTCGCTCTCAAGAATGGCGCGCTGTTCTCATGCCAGAGCGGGTGCGTACGTCGTTGGCAGGGCAGGCGAGGTTTCCACAGACTCCGCAAGTGATCCCTCAGGCGTGCGGTCAGTGCGCTCTTGGACCGTCCGCGTCATTCGTCAACGCGAAGCAGCACGAAGCGCGCCGAAAATCGTGCCCGCCGACTTAACCACTCTGCTGCCTTTTTCCGCGCAGAAGACGTGTTACTTTACGCTATGGAATATGGAAGCGAGCGAGGCGGGCATAGCTACAGCGGCCAGCAACAGATTCACTCGTTTGCAGGAAGGGGCGCGGTCGTTGCACCCTCCATTAATATCGGCTTGGGCGACCCTGGGGCCCTCCAGGCCCTTTAGACAGAGGCAGCACAACGCCTTCCCTGCCCTTTCCGCCGGCTATTCCACGCAGCAACCACCCCACCAGTCACTCGCTGCTGCAGCAATGTGTGCACATGGCTTGCCTCTCCACTTCGTCGTGTTGCTTGCGGGAAAGACCGTGATGCCAGCCATGCCCACCCTCGTTAGCCTCTCAACCGTCGCCACTTCGTTCCGCACTCAGCTTCTTCACAACTACCAAATACCCTCGATAAATGAGCTGAAGGATGTTGCAGGCCTTAAAGCTGTAGGTAATCACTGGCCCTGCACGGTAAAAGTGATGTAATAAGCGCAGAGTCAGCCGGCACGCGCAGTTCGGCGTCTCAGTTGATGGTTTGCTGCATGGACCACCTCCACCAGCCTTCGTGTCACAGATGCATTTACATCAAGACCTTCACACGCGTATTGTACAGGAGTAAAGGGGATGTTGCACAGAGATTGCCACCTGTAACGCCCACAACACCCAGCCCATTGAACTGGAATCACGTGTGTTCCATTGCTGCTGGGTAACATCTACCATGTCACCTTTGAGGTGTGTAACCATGGGCGTGAGGGTTTCGACGGGCATTGTTGCAAAAAACCAGGACGTGCAAGCGCTCTTTTCATACTCGATCATTGTTTGAGTGTGTTCCTATGCTGATGGTTTTGCGGATGTGTGCAGTTGGTGCTGTTCGCGCGACCGTTGTCTCTCGCCTCACATATCTCCACCAATAATGTTAATTCTAGCTGACAACACTGCCACGGCTGGATAGTCCATGGATCACGATCAAGCTCGGGGCGTTTGGTATTCTGGGACAAGTGTATGTTGTGTATAGAGACATGAGCATCGAGTTGGTCCTGGAGGTAAGAGGGTTGTATTAGGTACCGCACAAACTGATCTACCGAGAGAATTACCTCGTAAAGCGAATCGCTATACAAATTTAGCCGCAAGAGATATAGGTACCGAGCCTCCAGATCCCATCATTCCCCAATGATAAGCGAACAGAAAGTTCAGACAGCCAGCTTAATTTTCCTTGATCCGCCGTTCCATGTCCATCCCCGACGACGGAAGCGAAAGCAAGAAATATCGTAAGTCGTAAATCGTTGTAAGTCATTAGCAGAGTGAGCTGCACAAACATGACAAGAATGCTCTAGGGAGTGGCCGGAACGTCGAGAGTGTCGAAGTAATCCTCTATAAGCCGAGCGACGCGGTCGACAATGGCATCGATTTCCGTGTCGGTGATGTTATACGAAGGGGAGAGGATGATGTGGTCGCCGTTCACACCGTCTGCAGTACCCATCCCGGGGTAGACGTGTATCTCGTATGGTGGTGCGAGACCTGCTGAAGTGTGAGTACAGCCTTCAACAGGGAGGGTGGATGACTTCACCTTTCTCGTATATCCTCCAGTTTATCTTCATATCCGCGGGAAAAGGCTCCATGGTCTGCTTGTCCTTGACAAATTCAATCTGTACAAGTCAGCACAGTGGTCCTTGAAGCTATTGCTTCGTCGATACTTACACCCCAAAACAATCCTGCACCTCGAATGTCGCCAACATGTCGATGATTACTAAGACGTTTCTTGAGCGATTTCGACAACCTGAAGCCCTTCTCTTTGACGTTCTGCAGCAAATTTTCTTCCTGGATGATCTTCTGGACTTCGAGACCAGCAGCGCATGCCAGAGGATAGTTCTGGAAGGTGTGGCCGTGGCTGAAAGCGCCAGAGCCAGGACCGTACTCGAAGGCATCATTCACTTTTGGACTGACGAGCATTGCAGATAGCTGCTGAAAACCGCCGGCCAGACCTTTACCAACAGTCTGGATGTCTGGTGCCACGCCTTCTTTCTGCCATGCGTGAAGATAGCCAGTGCGACCCATCCCACACATGACCTCGTCGAAGATAAGGAGGATTCCGTATCGGTCGCAAACTTCTCTCATCGCCGCGAGATAGCCAGCTTCGGCCGGAACACAGCCAAGTGCCTATAGGCGAAGTCAGTAAACGTGGCTCTCGAATACAGCTACACCATGTTATTCCAAAAGCTGTAGAAGGAGGCCTCCTTGCATCATGCCCAGTCGACACTCTCCCGCAGACCTCATGAGTAATGCTCCAAGGGGGTGCAGACTTACAGCGCCAACGACGGGCTCACAAATGAAGGCGGCCACATTCTTAGGACCCAAGTCTTGGATCTTCTGTTCCAGCTCGTTCTTGAGGCGTGTAACGTACTCAGCCACTGACTCCCCCGTTTGAAGACCTCGATAGGCGTAGCATGGTGAAATGTGATGTGTGTTGTGTGGTAGTACGCGCTCGTACAGCTCTCGTCGTGCTTTGTGTCCACTCATGTCAAGAGCACCTAGAGTGGTTCCGTGATACGAACGGTCTCGGGCAATAAAAAGTGTACGTGTTGGCTCTGGGTTCGCTTTTTCTGTAGCGTGATACTGTAAGGCGACCTTGTATGCTGCCTCGTTGGCCTCAGTCCCTTGTATTATGGTCAGCGGATACTGTTAATGTCTCTCGCTCGCTTACCTGAGGAATAGAAGACGGCTCTGGTCATCTTGCCGTCCGTTGTAGTGATTAAGAAGCGTGCGAAGTCTTCCGCGACGTCCGTATCAAACATCATAGAAGAAATGTAGGCAATGCCTCTCTTGAGAGTCTTAATCATGACTTGCTCAACGCGTGTACTGAGATGCCCAATACCAGTCACAGCAGCACCTCCAGAAGCGTCCAGTACGTTCCAACCGTTCTCGAAATGGAGTGTCTGCGCTGAGGCGCGTTTGATACGATATGGTGTGCTTCTGACACTGCGATTGAAGAGATACGACCTAGTCGCAACGGTAGCTGGTCTTGAACTGCGGCGAGCCATGACTCGTTGTGGTTTTCGTATAGCGGAAGGTGCCATGGCCGCAGATGGCATGTTAACGTGCGCGAGTGGTGAGTGTTTAGTGCAGGATGAAAGGATGGCAGCTGATGTGGCGTGTATTTATGTCGTGAACGGGTTTTGGAACAAAGTAAAGTGAATGAAATGCATGGTGAAGGACTGGGCTGACTGCCACCTTTATACTGCGCCGTGGCTAAGAACAAGAGCGGGAAGTAATGTGATCGAACAGCTGCCCTCTGAGAAGGCCCTTTCCGGCATTCGTGAGAGCACTACCAAACTTGAGTCTTGGCACCCCGAGCCTTCCTCTTCGGGCCGTCCGGAACTTGCAGATCTGAAGCCTGGTTGCTCTGGGCTACGATTTTGATGCGGAGTTGTAACCTTGACCCGCGCGGGAATCGCAAATTCGAACAAATGCGGTGTAGAAGTGAGGCAAGCAGCCTTGCAGTAAGCTTAACGATAATAGCTGAGTTAGTACATGGTGATTGAGTCCAATCGGATTAGCTGTTATTTGCACTTTCCATTTTCGATGCTGCTCAAGTCGTTCGATTGAAATGCATGAAACTCAAACAGAGCGGCACAAATGCCGGATCCACGGAAAGCAAGCCACCATGTGGTCTCATGCATGTAAGTTTGCTTGCAGTTAGCGACAAACAGCTGCATGCTGTAACCGACTAGGATTGATCGGAGTATATCTGAACGTTCGTCATCCTTGTTATAGCCCTCAAATGTGCCTACACTGGGCGAAAAATCAGCCAATAGCCAAGAGCTGGGCCCCAGCAACCTGGGCGTGATGCACGCTTCGCAACATGGATGCGTGAGATGTCGAACATAGCCGCTGTTTTGGAAGCTACCGCTCTGCGTGCATAGGTTCCTGAGTTGAGTATGTCAACTTTAGCCGAGGTTTCTATGTAACAAGTACTCCGAAGCCTTGCATTCGAACAACGGATGGTCTCTCAGGGTAACATACGCGGATGACTCGGTATGGAATGACACGGCCTGACCGCTTGTTAGCTTGCCCTGAGGGCTATCGAATCATTGCAGCACGGAGTCGACCGTGAACAGTTAGTGTTGCTTGCGTTGGCATCCTGGAGATGGAGCTCCGAGTATGCCTTGATCTTCTTTCCCTTGGCAGCGGACCGGCACTCACTACTGTTGCTCGAAGTGACAAAGAACCACTAAGGTGGCGGGACGAAAACGGAGTGCAGTCGTTCTAGGATAAGGACTTCATGTCACTCCCTTGAGCCTCTGATCACTTGCAGGGATCATACGGCTGGGCCAGAATTCTGATCCACTGGTTGGTGCCAGGGAAAACAACAAAATAGCCGGCGAAGATCTGAGAGGCGTCTTCGGTAGTGTAACAGTATGATGCTGACTGGTGACCGGTGACGGTGCAAGCCTCGTGGGCACCGGTTGGGAGGACTGAATACGAACGCAACATCAAGAAACCACATGAACTCGTTCGTGGCCCCTCCAATGTGAAGGAGAGCAAGGCCAATGAACAGAGGCATGGGTCGCCCTGAGCATGGGTTGGGATGAAAGCACGGATTGATGGCGCGATGTGGCTGCATGGACCATGGTCGAGGACGTTAAGATAGCCGCGCTGCAGGAGAGCACGATCATTGGAAGCGGTGAACGAAGCGAGGTTCTAGGGTTGAACGGCGATGAACGAGGTTGACGACTGCCGTTCCGAATGTCCGTCGTTCGGGCCGTGTTTTTGACTTGGCACTTCCGTGCCTGCCGGTGTCCAAAGTTCTTTCCTGAGTCCCACGTCGCAACTTCCCCGCCAAGCATCTGCACTTCCCCACATCAACAAACTAGCACCGACGCCTGCAACTGCAACGCTGCGCGTACACAAGCCAACTGCGGCAGAACTTTGAGTAAGCGTGTTGTTTGTGAAGCAATTGGTCAATATCGACTAACATTCACAGGGTGAACCTCGCACATCACGCACCATGAACCCCCGCATAGAGGAAGTCAGCGAGTCTGACAGCGACCCCTCCGAGATGGACATCGACGACATGAACGAGCTGCTCCAAGCACGAAAGGTTGACGAGCTGATCACTGCACGGAACGTTCCCGCCTCCGCCCTCCACCAGGACCGTCAGGAGATGCTGCAGCCACAAGGGCCAAACGTAAAGACTTCCACAGACCGCGAGAAGTCAAAGCACTACCAATGCTTATACCCGGTATACTTCGACAAATCGAGAACAAGGGCGGAGGGTCGACGTGTTGGGCAAGAGCTTGCAGTCGAGAACCCGTTGGCACGAGAGATGGCCGATGCTGCTGCAAACCTAGGACTGAACACCGTGTTCGAACCTGACAAGACACATCCTAAAGACTGGGCGAACCCTGGACGAGTACGAGTTTTGCTGAAGAAGGACGGCAAGTTGACGGACCCGGATATTAGCAACAAGCACCATCTTTACATCCTCATTGCACAATACCTTAAGCAGCACCCTACCCAGAGCAACACGCCCTTTAGATTACCCATCCATGGTATGCCCATACCGAAGGAGATGCCAGAACCAGCCGTTCCCAATGGCTGGAAGCTGAACAAGATTCTGCCACTCCACTCCCCTGCTATCACAGGAGGCGGCGTGTCCGAGAACTTCCTACAAGATATGATGGCAGAGATGCAGGGTCAGATTGGAGGAGGCGAAAGTGGCGCAAGCAGTGGCACTGAGAGCAAGAAAAAGAAGGACAAGAAGAAGAAATGAGGAGATGCACGATTAGATGTAAGGCAACACCAGTAGACTACGGACCAGCACAATTTGGTCGTCTAGTCAGCAGACCATGGTCCACAAGCCGAGCACACCTCACAGTGCAATCTGAGGCTGAATCAAAATCTGCCAGCACAGCATGTGGCACGACAGCGCCCGGTACAAGAACGACGGAGGCAGAGAGACAAATACGATACAAACTCAACGCAAGCCTTCGCCACACATATCTTTGCTTACTGTTTCGATTTGTTTTGATTCGATTCGGTTTATCCATTCAGCTTCTGTGACCGCTTCCAACTTTCCCAGATGTCTCTTGCTACTTTGAAAGCCGCATCCTTAGAGGCTTATTTTCGTATCAGGCAGCAGCAGGATACGTATTGCATGTCCATCCCATCGAGGCCGGGATCTGACGTTATCACATTTGTTATCTGCCACTCGTGTGGGTGAGCATCATGCTTTTGGACTTTATGAGGCTGTCAAGAGGCTGTTACGGTCAATGAAGGCTGTTTTTTGTCTCACACGTCCCGCTCTAACTGGCCTCCCGACAAAGCGGTTCAGACGTCACTCACGCGCCTATCGCGCCTGATTGCCTGCAAGCCACCAATATCGATCATGCGCCGCAATTACTCGTCACTCGCATAACACTACCACGTGGCATTAGCGTCTCCTCCCGGATCCCCGCCATAACAAACATGAAGAGCTGGATCTACGATTCATCTCCTTCAACATGGTCAAAACTCCCGGCCCGAGTATCAACATCTACGGCCACGGTTGCTGCGGTCCACTCGCCTTAGGAAACATACCCTGGCCCCGCTAAGCAAGGATTCCTCTTGGTACTGAACCTCATTCGACGGTCACTTCTTCGAAAGCAATCCATTCTTTGCTCTGATTTGAGCGGTCACGTTTTCCACAATCAATATCGCCGCTACTGTGCCGTGGGAGAACCCACGGTTATGCACTGGGTAAGGGGTGCTTACGCACCTGCCAGGGTGCATGTGTTGAATACGAATTCCGAATGAGGTGTGGGCGGGGTCAGCCCGCATTGAGAGCAACGGAGAACGCCTTGTAAGCACGAGCATGAGGCGGCTGTTTCCCCCATAGGAGGTTGCGCAAAGCCGACACTGGACCATGACTGTGGGCCTTGATCTGAGACGATGCTTCCAGCTGATCAGGGTACGTTTTAGCGGTGTACCTGCCAAGCATCCCGGCCGTGAGGTGCACTCCCCCGGGCAGGTGGTGCACTCGAATACCTATTCTGAGGTATCGACATAGTAACAACAGGTTAACAGCGTTGCACGTCAACGGCAATGCATGCTCCAGAACAAGTCGGAAGCCTCACTCGCCTCTTTTGCCTTCTCTGTGCATCAAGTCCCGGCTCTCACACACCCTACTAATGCACGTTAAATACCGTACAGCAGGGTGGCAGCTTGAGTCTTTAGCTCAACGATGCTTTTTCCAATGGTCGGTCAGTCCATCAGGCTGTACTGTTCTCCTCAGAGTATCTGATTCGCCATATGCGAGAGCTGCGGCGTGTACATGGAGCAGCCTGATACTGCACAACAACTGCTGTCCAAAAGTCTTCCGCGCAATCACTTGCGAGCATGATGGCCTGACACTGCATGTACAAATAACCGTGTAACCACACCTACAAGGATTGTCCAACGGCTTTAACTCCAGCACTGCACGCTAGCAATAACCGCATGGTCGCGCAACATGAACAGTATGCGAACAGCACGTTCCATTGTGCTTCTAGCCGAACACTACCTGCCGAGATCGAATCAGCAAATCAGGCTGCCGGCTCACGTCACATAGCATACGAACTCAAGCAGTTGGACAGAAAAGGTAGAATTCATCATCGTATCATTGACTAGGACCAGAGACTAAGCTCCTGCCCGCGCGCTATCATCGGGGCAACAAAAAGTGGCTTCGGCATGCCGAAGAAGTAAGAATAGAGAATTGTATGTAGTAAGAAACTAAAATGCCGTGAATTGCCTCATAATCGGCCCCTCTTCACCGTCATGATGATTATGGCTTGCAGGCGTGAATCCTTCGAGGGATCACCCACCCCCAACACTACGAATCCTACACACCGGAGAAAGAAGTGGTCAGGCTATTTGCTTGCGTGTTGGCTTTGCATCCCGTGCCGCGTCTTCTGTTGTGACATGCATGTGCTCGCCGGAGAGTCGCGCCGGATCCACTCGAGCTGACAATGCGACCGAGGTGCGTTTCTTAGACTGAGACACCAGCCTGCTGTGCGAAACCGAGGCGAGGAGAGCCCGTGGAGACGTCGTGGATAACGTACTTGCTCTTGAGGAAGATGTCGCCGAAGATGTTAAAGCCGATGTCATCACTGGTCTGAATACCACCGAAGCAGGTGCTCGAACCGGAAGAGATAGGGGCGTAGTTGATGAACTTGCCGGGCACGGTCTGGGCGACACCGCCGACGGTGATGGAGAAGTTGGGCAGAGTGGTGGAGCAGGGGAACACGTAGCCGCCCTGTGTGTTATCGACCTTGGCGCCGGTGACCTTGGAGTAATACGCCTTTGCGATGGCGGAGTCGATGTAGATCAGCGTTGTGCCCGTATCGACGATGCCAGCGATGTTGGACTTGACGGCTGCAGCGGAGCCGACCGAGTAGCCGGTTGCGGAGAAGCCCCAGAAGCCCTGGCTGGAGTCGACGTCGACGTAGGTGATGGCACCGGTGTACTTTGTGGAGTCGATGAAGCCGAAGTCGTAGGTACCAGCGGCGTGGTACTTGAGGTTGACAGCGAAGAGTTGCTTAGCAAGCGAAGACTTGACGGTATCGAAGAAGGTCTTCTGGGGGGTGGGGGAGACGGTGTTGATCGTGCTGAAGGCAAGGCCGAGAAGACCGTCGGTGTCCTGATCCTGGGAGAACTGGGCAGAGACGGATGTGGCAGCCTCGACGGCCTGAGAGGTGGCGGTCACACCAGCAACGGTGACCTTATCAGCGTAGACCTTGCCAGACGCACCGGAGCCATCACCGTAGCTGATCTTCCATGAGTAGCCATTCTTGACCTTGGAGGCATCGACCTTATAGTAGTCGTGGCTAACAAGCTGAGAGGAGGCCTGGAGGGAGGAGAAGACCCAGCTTTACAGTCGTTAGCATTATGTCGGACTAAAGCATACACTCTTTTACTTACAGATCAGCAGATCCGGTATCAAAGTCAAGGTTAACAGTGGTGGTGCCGATGGTGACCGGGCTGAGGTAGGACGAGTCGTAGTCGTCGCTGGGGTTGGCAGGCTCAGAGCCCGTAACGGCAGCAGCAGTGACGGTCTTACAGATATCAGTCTTCGCTCTCTACATATTGGCCTCAAGTGAAAGACATACGTTGGCACGTGCGTCGGCAGCGGACTGGATGTGCTCCGGAACGACCTTGCCGTACTTGCGGAAGGTCTTTGCAACCTGACCGGGACCGTTCTTCAGGTGGATTTTGTGCTGAACCTGCTGAACGGAGAACGCATCGCGCTTCTGGACTGGAGTCGCAGCAACAGCGCTGGTCAGGGCAAGAGCCGCTGTGAGGTAGGTGAAGGAAGGCATGTTCGATAACCGGTGGATGAACCGAAGCGAATGTCTAAAACAAAAGAATGGATGATCGAAGTGATGCCGATGAAGCCTGCTAAAGGATGATTTCCAAGCCGTGGAAACGGACTTGACTTTATAACAAGCATTGTTGTGGTCGCGGCAGGAGGCAATGGTGTGGTCGCGACACGCACAAACCTCATCTACACTGAACACGATACGCCAATGCCATGTGGGGCCATACACCTTCGCAATTAAATTAAGCAACCACTCCCAGCTTGGCAGGTACCTTGGTATCTGGGGTTTGAATGATCGACGTTTTGACACAACCTTCTGTTCTAGGTCGCGCTCCGGACGTAGAACTGCACGCCCAAGCATAGTACATGATGCTAGAACTTGGTCGCTAACCTTGAAATACGACTTTGCGACAGATGTTGAAGGCCTTGTGCGACTGTAGGCCCGAAGGCAAATGGGTTACATTCCTGATTAGGCGCTGGCTGCTAAACAAAAGGATGGTCGTGACGATCCGCGCGAATGGCGTAGTCGGTCGTGGCCGGCTACTCCTTCTCTGTGCTGGGACGTACAAGCCAAGACGGGAAGGTGACGAGCTGTCGGCCTTCCATTGGAGCATTACCAGATGAAAGGGCGCGTGAACATGGCCATTGACGTGATAAAAGAGGCCATATCCGCCTCCTTGGAGCCATGGTGTTGCAGGAGATAAGCCATGCCAACCAGTCAAGCATCAATATCCGAGCGTCAAGCCTTACTCCTTCACCCTTGGCAAGATACACCTCGGCATCCAACAGCCACAACCGCTGGTGGCCAAGGACGATCAGTGTTGAAACCGCGGAGGTGCGGAGATGATAGTGGATTGGACGAAGCCTCTCTGTTTCATTTGGTTTCAACACGGCCCGCGCGGCTTCTGTGGAGCTGAGCAAGCAATGTTATGCACGAACTTCGGTTGCGCCATGAGAGACGGCATTGACTCTGATGATTGCGAACGCTCCGTCAGACCGTGAGAAGCAAACATGGAGGCTTCATCTGCCGGACGTTGAGACGAATTATCCAGAAGCCATGCGCCAACGTGTGCCAGGGCTGCTTCAACGTGAGTGGATACACGCCGTAATAGATCCTAGTCCTTAAGACAGCGGGCGTAGCTGTTTCAGGGAGGTGGCAAAGGTAGAAGCATTGTCTCTCGTCTCCAAGGGTTGAGGAGGTCATGAGAGTCGAGATGTCGAGATCGCCTCACCGAACAAGAGCCCGGTAATTAACCAAGCGGGGCCCTTGTAGACTTCAACAAACCAATCACAATCAACCAAGGAGTTCAAAAGCACCGTCGCGATTTCAACGTTCGGCCAAACAGATGCAGTGCATTCAACTGTACTTCTAACCTGCCTCTTCAGGTCGTAGCTTCAATGCAGACCCGACTTCAGCCCTGTCTTTCTTCCCAAGCTCCGAACGTCTGCAGCGGCGCGCACTCTCAAAGAGGAGGGTATTAAGCAATGCTGTCAAGCTTTCTCGAAGCTTGTCTTGGATCGCAATGCAGTGGTGCTGGCGTGATAGAGGTGGTCCAGCAATGGTGTGCTTATCTTCGAAAGCTCCGCAACTCCTGCCGCAATGCGGGCAAATCGCCTTCCTTTCACGGTGCCGAGCCTAGCCTACCTTGCTAACGGTCTACTAAGGCGTGATCACCTAGCCTGGAGATATATAGTGATTTGCACATCGAATCTTGTCGGATAGGCCGACGCCCAAACGATGTGATCGCCACTGAGAGACCTACTCGGCTGTATCCGTACTGCCCTTCACTGCGCCCTCGAGCTGCTTGAGGGCGGCGCGATAAACCTTCTTCCTGCCGTCTCCTGTGACATCCCTCTCCTTCCAATCCATACGGATGACCTTCTTATCGCCTCTCCTTACGTTGTCGCCTGCAGCGATCTGCTTCCAGAACCATGCGGCTTCGGTCTTCGAGAACAGGGTCAGAGCCTGACCAGGCTTGCCTGCACGTGCTGTTCGTCCTACACGATGCACGTAGCTTGTGATGCTTGTGGGCATGTCATAGTTGATGACGTGTGTAATGCTGGGGATGTCAAGTCCTCGCGATGCTGCGTCGGAGGCTATGAGTATCTTGACATCTCCGGTGTTGAATGATTTGAGAAGCTTGCGAGCAGCGTCTGCTGTGGATGCGCGAGTCATGGTCTTCATGTACTTCTTGAACGAGGGTTCCAGCTCGGATAGAAGATGTGATAGACGCGAGGCGCTCTCGGTGCTCTTCGTGAAGATCAAGACTCGGCTGATGTGACTTGCGATCGACACATGCCCCTCTGCCTCGGACTCGTCTTCAGAAGACGAATCAGAATCCGCAGAGTCTGAGTCTGAAGATTCCTGGTTGGAGAAAGACTTGATCCCAGCGAAAACGTAGTTGAGCAGAGCGTGCAGCAAGTGTAGGGGCTTATTTGCGCCGTCGTTGACAGGTGCTGCATACTCGTCGAGGGTCGAGGGAAGCTCGAATACATTCTCCTCACTCTGGAGAGGCTGGTCTTGGACGCTCTCGCCCTGCACGACAACGAGCTTCGGACGTCGAAGCTTCAGTGTTCCCAGTTTGGTGAGATCTTTTTCCATTGTAGCACTCAGGACGATCTTGGTGAGCTGCCTACGGGCGGGCAAGGCGACAGACCAGATCGAGCCATTCTCGCGTTCTCTAAGGCGTTCCTGGGCATTCATAAACTCAGGCGGCGTGTCGCTGTATAGTGCGTTCATCAGGACGCTCGCCCAACCTTGGAAGTTCTGGTTCAGCAGCTGGTCTGCTTCGTCGATAACAAGCCAGCGCACAGACTTGAGAAGAAAGCCAGTTGTGTGTTCGATGTGCTCCACAAGTCGTCCAGGAGTGCAGATGAGGATATCCACACCAGAGTCGTAGCGGGGGATATGGTCTCGAGGCATGCTCATGAGATCCTCAAGCATGCCACTCCTCTCGACGAAACCAGTCTCCAGTTGTTGAGAAGCCTTTGCGTGTAGCTGCTTCGCCTTGGCCGGGTTGTACTGAGCTCTCAGCTTAACCAGCTCTTTCTGCTCAGTTGCCAAAGGAATGTTGCCCAGCGCTGTGCCAACTTTGATCTTTGTCCCGGCGCATAGCTCTTCGGCGACCTGCAGAGCCTGGTTGACCAGCTGTCGACTAGGAACCACGACTACTGCAGATAGCATTGGAGCTGCCTGGTCTTTCAAAGCCTCAATTATTGGCAGGAGGTATGCCATTGTCTTTCCTGAGCCAGTCTTCGCAGACACGCAGATGTCTCCCAGATGTTGCTCGAATCCATTGTGCAGCATAGGTAGCAGCGCAGTCTGCACAGCAAGCGCGTTCGTGAACCCTAGCTTTTCAAGCCTCTTGACATAGTATGGCTGAGTACCGAGCTCCTCGAAAGGTGTGGTTTTCGCGGCTTCGACGATAATGGGCTGAGCGAGCCATGAGGGCAGAGTCGAGAAGGTGGGGGCGAACTCAGGCTCTGGTACAGGTGCAGGCTGTGGCATAGGCTTGAGGTCTTCAACGTATGGTCAGCCACTAATTTATGTGAAGCTGATACTCGAATTGCACTCACCATGAAGCTCTTCCTCTGGCTGTTCGATATCGTCTTCTGTCTCGTCTTGATCTTTCCTTGCTTCTGCCAATTTTGAAGCCTTCTCGAATTTCGAAAAGACGGCCTTGTGTTTCTTAGAAACCTCTTCATTTTTCTCATCTTGCTCTTCAATCACTTCGCTCTTCCGCTTCTTCGACTTTTTGCTCGATCTCGGTGTTTCGGCAGGGACATCTTCCATAACCACATCCTCCTGAGCTTCCGCTGGTGCTGCGACTACCTCCGTGGTCTTGCTCTTCTTCTTGGATTTCTTCTCTTTTTTGGGCACAGCAGCTTCGGGGGAGATGGCCTCCTCCGCAGCGTGCGATTGAACGGTCACTGGCGTCGCTGCGGGTGGTGACGACTGCTTTGCAGTCGCCAGCGTCGGCGGAGCGAAACGCTTGAACAGAGGAGCCGGCATCGTACAGGCTGGAGGTAGTCGGTAGGTTGAAGCCTCCCGCTCACTGCGTGGAAATTCTGGGCCGAGACAAAAAGATCGCGGAGCTTGCAGCGCCAAACGCCGATCGCCGATGACGCGCTTGCACATGCTTTCGCGACCGCAACTACCTCCAAGGTCCATCGACAGATACATTTTGGCAAGTCTACAATCCTAGACCTGTAATGTCTGCGCCCTTTGGCTCACGTAGGAGGACTGCTCCTCATACATTCCCAACATGCCGTACAATATCGCGTATGCCTCCACGCTCAACTCTAGGTGCTGCCCAGCTAACAGGTAGCAGCATGGTCAGCGACAACTTCTACCCTCAGCCCGGTATGAGCTATGTCTAGAGCTCATGAACTGTCTTCTCATGTAATGTAGGAGGTGTAGAGAGTCACATGTACCAGCTGTCCACTGTACGGGCCTGCATTCGTCCAATTGCCCTCTGCTAACCGCCACAGAAACTTATCGATCGTGGTCACAAAGTAATAGTCATTACGCACGCGTATGCCGGTCGAACAGGTATTCGGTACCTCACCAACGGCCTCAAGGTCTACTACGTGCCCTTCTTCATCATCTATCGCGAGACTGCCTTCCCCACCGTCTTCTCCTTCTTCCCGGTATTTCGCAACATCGTCATACGCGAACGAATCGAGATCGTACACGGCCATGCTAGTCTCAGCAGTCTCTGCCATGAAGCTATTTTGCATGCTCGGACTATGGGGCTGAGGACTGTCTTCACAGACCACAGTCTCTTTGGCTTCGCTGACGCCGGGACTATCCTCACGAACAAGCTTCTGAAGTTCACATTGAGCGATGTGGACCATGTAATTGGCGTCAGTCATACTTGGTATGCAAACTGTTCGAATCTACTGGCAGTCCACACTGATGACTGGCAGCAAGGAAAACACCGTCCTTAGAGCGTCTCTAGACCCATCTATGGTCTCTGTCATACCGAACGCAGTTGTCGCAGAAAACTTCCGTCCACTCTCGCAAGACTCCCACGATTCGAAGCACCGAACGGCACCAGGTCCCCGACAGCCTCTTGGACCTGACGATGTCATTACGATAGTCGTCATTTCTCGACTGTACTACAATAAGGGCACCGACCTACTCGTTGCGTCCATACCCCGTATAATCGTAGCAAACCCCAACGTTCGTTTCATCATCGCCGGTAACGGGCCTAAAGCGATCGACCTTGAGCAAATGATCGAGCGAAACGTGCTGCAAGAGAAGGTCCTAATGATGGGTCCAGTCCGTCATGAAGAGGTACGGGATGTCATGGTCAAAGGCCATATCTACCTCCATCCGTCGCTCATGGAGGCTTTCGGCACGGTCATTGTGGAAGCCGCGTCATGTGGTCTCTACGTAGTGTGTACACGAGTTGGTGGTATCCCTGAGGTGCTTCCTACACATATGACCGAGTTCGCTGCACCTGAAGAAGATGAGATTGTTGCTGCCACGGGACGCGCGATCGCGAAACTTCGTGAAGGAAAGGTCAGAACAGACTTGTTCCATAATCAGGTGAAGCAGATGTACTCCTGGACAGATGTTGCTCAACGGACTGAGAGAGTGTACGACGGCATCAGTGGTGTGATTCGGCACGACGAGTTCTACCAGGGTGCAGGAGCCGCCGGAGTATGGAGTGCGACACGAGGACGTTCCGGTGTGCAGAGCTTCGCACTCATCGAACGCCTGAAGAGGTACTATGGCTGCGGCATATGGGCTGGTAAGCTCTTTTGCCTCTGTGTCATTGTCGACTATCTGCTTTACGTTCTGCTGGAGCTCTTTGCGCCAAGATCTAGGATCGACATCTGCAAAGACTGGCCCAAGAAGGTGCCGAAGGAAACAAAGGAGAAAGAGCTTGACACAGCCAGAGACAACAGCAACCTCATGAGGAAGAGGAGCAGTCGATATCGCCGCGAGAAAAGAGACGAGCGAGACGAGAGTTGACCGCCTCACGCCTCACACAATCGACCATGAGATAATGGCGGTATTGGAGAACGTTTCTTTATTGTGACTTCGACTACGTTTGAAGTATGGGTATAGCGCAAAGTTATCTACGACAAGCATGCGCCGAATTAGAAGAACCAGGACCAGGAACGCCTTCCAACGCCGACAAATGCTCTGTACAAACCACACCAGCCATCACCACGTTGCTACAACTCTTCGACGCTTATGCGTAGAACCAGTACTCGGCCGCATAGTCAACGCTGAAACTACCCTGAACTCCCTCGCACGTCTTAGGCGCAACACCTCCAGCAGTGTTTATCCGGTAGACCTCCTGGTAGTCGCCATCGAGGTGTACGAGCTTCAGCCACGGCACGCTACCGAGACCATTGGGCCCAGTGCTAGCACCCTCTGGCGCAGGCGTCTTCGAGGTTGCGTTGACATGGACAGAGCCGAAATTGACCTTGTCGGTCTGCAGCTTAAAGAACGGGATACCCTTCTCGGTGAACTCGTGGTGTCCAGACAGTCTGCTCTCAGCGATTTTATTGTTGGGGATGGCATAGCCGAGAGCGATCTTGGTGACAGATGCAAGCACAGCAGGCGCGCGTACACCATCGCAGGTCGCATTGAAGAGCGAAGCTACTGCGCCGACGGCCTTGGGTGTCTCGGTCGCCGCGGCGGTTGCGCATGTGTAGTTTTGTACACCGCGACCGACCGCGATGTGGGAAAGCTTGAGACCGGAGCCTACAACTGGGAGGCCGGATGCTTCTGGGCGGCGTTAGACAGTGCTTATTAGGAAGGGAGGTTTATGGGCTTACCGGCGGGAAGAACGACATTCGACAGATCGCATGTGGCACTGGCTTGATCCATCTGATCAATCAGGCGAGGAGAGATCGCATTTCTCGGGTTAATAAGGGCTATCGAGTCGATAGTCTTTGTGGGTGCGGCGAAAAGGGTGGCAGGCGCAAGGGCCAGGACGAGAGAGAGGGTGTTTGTGAAGATCATTGTCGAAATCGTGGATGTGTTCCGATAGTCTGGAGGATCTTCGAGATTGTGGTGGTACTGCCGATCAAGGATGCAGTGGTATTATATCTTGTGCCGACGATGCCGAGAATGCTGATCAAATGGCTCTCAGAATAGCTGATGTCCGCAATCGAAACGAAGTGAGAAGTTCGGTTTGCTTCCGACCCGTGAGGCGTAAGTCGCTGTCGTAAGAAAGTATGCTGCAAGTGCACGGTTTCTGACTGAGACCAACAGACAACCAGAATAGAACCAAGAGAATAAGCACTGGGTATCAAATCGAACAAGACCGTTGTTTGCACTTTGCAAGGCGAGTGAATCAACGAAAGTCACCCCATCCACGACCCGTCCGTTCTCTATATACAGACCCTCTCTGCCTGCCACGCACACGACACTCCAGCGCGTAGACAATCGCTCGAGACGTTTCCTACAACCGCCTGTCCCACTCGCCGAACGAAGCGATGCACAGGGATCTGGATGTTTGGGATGCTGCCAGCCAATCGAAGTAAGCCAGCTATGTTTAGACCCCTGTCGACCAGAACTCAGCGGCTCGCTAAATTGGCAACCCATTTCGAACAAGCATGACTTCCGCTAAGGAGACCCACTGCAGCGCCTGATTGGGCTATTTTGGGGCGTTTGATGACAGGTTGATGGTGGGGAAGCAGAGAGAGTGCTGATGCGCTTGAGGTGGGTGAGGGTCGGCAGCGTTGTTTCCGGGAGGCTGGATATGTTTTGTAAGGATTTGGGGCGTTCGCTGATGTTTGTCAAAACCCTCAGAGCGCAGGATGCGCATAAGATGTCTTGGTGTCCCATCGCATCTTACAGAGACGCGTACGACCATCTGCACGTTTCAATTATCAATCATCACCCAACTTGACCTCGCAGACAGCATGAACACATGATGCGTTGCTATGCATACATGGGACGCGCAACCCCACCCTCCAAGTCCCGCAAACAAGCGACAAGGCCAGCAACCGCCCTCGGCCCCTCACTCGTTCACGAGTCAAGTGAAGCCTTTCCTACCCTCCTCCCCGCCATCCCGCAGAGCCGCCGGTCACACCTGCCAACCAGCGTTGCGCAACCAAGTATCTAGCACGAGGTTCACTGAACCAGCGGGAACCTATGCTTCCTTCCTGCCAGCAACGGTAAGTCGGAAAGCTGGCATTGTCCTTAATCTCTAGAAATAGAAATCTTGGGGTTCTGTAAAAATGGTAAATTGACCTTATCTGGTAAGCATGGATAGTCGGCCAATCAACAGCCATTCACGGCTTCTCTATGCACGGCCAATGAGAAGCGAGAAGTTGCAGCCTGAGTGCAAGCGCTGCGGAATCGCTATTGGTAGCTTGGACAGCGTCTGGAAAACCGGCAGAGCTTCGATGTGAGTGGCAAGTCAGCATTCAGCTCGCATTGGTAGGTCTTGAATAGCGGCTGGATGTACGGCAATGATTTGGAGGATGGTAGACCCAAGTTTGTTTGGTATTTGAGTATACGCATCAGGAAGGGAGAAATAGATGGTCAGGAAGGCACAACGAAGTATTACGAACTTGCGGAGATGGCGATCACAAAGTGAGTGAACGCAAAGTTGGTAAGCGCATCTCCGGAGACATACATTATAGTTTAGGGTTGGTAGCTTGATGCTATTCATTATGTTTACGTCCATCAGAACAACTGGGCGGTATGTACATGATTGCAAGATCTTGCTGTAGTCGGTTTCCTGCAAGATTCCTAGCCAGTTCCCAATTGTGTAGGGCATCCCTAATGCTGCTTCTAGTACTCCACAACCTTCATCCTCCTCCTCAACGCCTCCGGCAACTCCTCTTCCTTGACCAACCCCATACCCACCAGATCCCCCCAGACAAACATAGCTCTATCCTGGGCGTAAGCGAGATAGTCAAACTCCTCGTCATCCTGTGATTTGAACAGATCAGCATCTTGGTCCAACTCCGGTTTGGTCTCGTCCTTTGGTCCCGCCCCCTTGGTGCTCACGGCCGGGCTCTTCTCTTTCTCTGCTTCTGCCTCGACTCGAATGTCGACGGTGGCTCCATCGAGGGCTGCGGCGGTAAGGTTCTCGGCGGTGCCGGTTGCTGCGCCGTCCGCGGTATCGAAGTCGGGCAGGCCGGGTACGTGGGCTTGGACGATGCCCCAGGCTACCCACATGGCTGAGTTGGCGATTCGCCAGAGCTTGGTTTCGGCCATGAGGCGGCGGGCTTCTTCCTCGGTATTTCGCTCTGCCTGGGCTTCTTGTTCCTGGTAGGACTGACCTGGAGGTGCACGTGAGTCCAACATGAATGCAGAGATGGTGCTGGGAGCAGCGGTAGCGGTAAGGGCAGTGGTGCTGGCAGAGGTTGGAAGAGGACCAAGGTGAGGTGTGGGAGGGTTCGATGAGGCTCCACCGGGGGTTTTCAGGCCTGGAGAGTGCATAAGGTAGGCTCGGATGAATCGGTGTTGCTCCTCGGGGGTGGGGTAGTAGTTGCTGGCGCATGCCCACGAGTAGTCAGGGTCATGGTAGTTGTAACACCACTCGGTCTACATACGTTAGCGAAAGTTCAAGCGAAGAGGATCGGATGCGAGTGTGATGAAACTATGTCTTACGAAGTGGTTCGCAAACTCCATGCCGGGTACGTTTGCGTTTGCGTACTCGAAGTCGATGACCACGAGCTGCTTGTGCTGGTTGGCTGGGAGGAGAAGGGGTGATTCGCCTTCAGGCATCATACGGAGGATGTTACCGTATTGAGTCTATCATGCTCTTATTAGCCAACACTCTTGCGTGCAATCGATATAACTCACGTCGTTGTGCGCAAACACCATGCGCTCGTTGATCTTCTGAATCCCGCCGTACTGCTCCTCGAGCCACCTCCTGTACTTCTCAATCATCTGCCTGAAAACAGGCCACTCGACGCCGCAAACCAGACCTCGCTTCCTCCAGCGATCAGGGGCAGACGTGACAGGTGCATCGCCCCCCTCGAGTATCTGCTGGTCAAGCCAAGTGACAACCTGCTCGCAGCGGTCTACCCACTTGTCCCAGTTCTGCCAGACAAATGGCCCGGCTTCCCGCTCTGACTTCAGAAGCTCGATACCCTCATGGAGTTCTCGCATACGCTTGGCAATCTGCTTGGACGTCTCAGGAACCCGCAATTCCTTGAAGGTGAGTGGTTTGGCATGGAAGAATTCCTCGAACCGACCGTTCTTGAAGGTACCGAGCATGCGCGGGCCGATGCGCTTGCGTCCAAGACGCTGCAAGATCTGGAGCTCAGACTCGCGGTCGATGAGGTGCTCTACCTGAGGACCGTAGATGCGAAGAAGTAGCTTTCTGCGACAAACATCAGCTACCGCTCGTCTGCTAATCGACATAACTTACGGTGGCGGGTTCTTTGGCACAGGCACACCATCTGCGCGCTCTTGTGTAGACTTGACGTTCTTGGGGGGAGACACAACATAGACAGCGTTTGTCAAAGCACCGCTCAGCCTTTGAACGCCGATCTCGTCGTGCTGCTCCACGGTCACTCTTCGCCAACCTTTCAGTTTTAGGGTGTGTGCCAGGCGGAGGATCTCGAAACGGAAAGCTGTCCAGGCCTCTTTCTCCTTCCGTCTTCTTCGCTCAGAGTCTTCGTTCTCAGGCTCCGGGTCAGCGTCATCAACGCTGTAAGCCATGGTCTTCGAGTTGTCGAGCACGACATCGCAGCTAGGGACAAGCTGGTCGATCGAATCGAAGTAGTCTGAGTCCATCGAGATAGCGGAATGGCGCTTGAGGCCCGTTGACATTCGGCGCACATGATTGATCTTTCTCTTCGCATCGGCGGGTGCTATGTTCAGCGTCTTCTCCAGAATACCTGCCAGCTGATCTAGTGCGACCGACCCATCAGACGAGTCAGAGTCACTTCTGCCTCGTGACGATGAAGGCACACCAAGGTGATCTTTGGAGCCTTCCTTGGATTCCTCGCTCTGTCTGGCATCTTTGGCAGCTTTTCGTTTCGCTTTGCGTGTTGCCCGCCTTGTACGCTCTGACTTGAGCCAGCCGTGGATGTGCTTGACTAGTCTTTCGTGCGCATGGGCGTGATGGTGTGCGTCATTTGAACTATCCGAGAGCAGAGAAGTGAGCGAAGGGTTGCCATCTTTTGCTTCTCCGCTCTGGCTTTGCAGCTTAAATGAGCCCATGTGCTCGATTGATGGTCTGCCAGATAGTCGCTTGCCGCTGATGCTTGCAGGGTAGTGTCTAGACGGTCTGTCAAGGTCGAGGTAGTCTTTCTGCTCAAGTTCTTTGTGCTTGGCGATCATGAGAGGTGAGATGCCTTCATCAGGGAACGATACGACTGTGGAGGTTGAATAAGCGAATGTTCATATTGTTGCGTTGGTGGGATCATGTTGCTGAGGGCTCGAACTTCCGCTGTCTGTTCTTCACATCTTTGTATACAATCAACGCCTCATGTGTCTGCAATGTAACGCTCATCACACTGAAAAACGTCCTGCATTTTTTTTTTTGCAGAACCAAGCTTGGCTGCAGTTGCGCGGGTGAAGTGCAATTTGCGCCAGCATTGAAGAGACAGAGCGACAATTCGATTCGAGGCAGAACAGAAGGAGCATTTCGAGCAACATGGATAGGCGCATGGGTTTGGCAGGTGTTACTAGGCTTGGTATGGGGAGGACGAACCTTTGGCAGGCGCGCGGGGTGACGTGCTCCCCTCCACGGTGTTGCTGCGAGATAGCTCCGCCGTGTCTGGCTGCTTATTGGAGGATGCCATGGCTGTCGGAATGGGTGTGCGCCAATGGTGCCGGGTAAGGTAAGCTGGAAGGTCTTCCGAGGATCACAAACACTCAGGCGCAGGAGTGAAATTGGGAAATAGCCTCGAAGTGTGCGTAGGATGGGAGCTGGTGTTAGAGTGGCAGGGTAGCTATCGATTGCTGTAGACTAGAGGGTCCACGTGCCAAGTTTGGTTGGGCTCGGAGCTGCGAATGCTCTTGAGGCAGGTGGGAAAAAACTTGAGAAGCACGAACGGCTCCAAGTTCTTGAGAGACTCGAAGCGTATCTGAGGCTTGTGTGATATGTTGCGTTGGGAAAGTGGCGCATTCATCAACCTGATTTGCATGTGCTAGCCTTCGCATATGCGTGCGGCTTTGCGAAGATTCAGGGTCATACGAGCATAAACCTTGGCGATCTACGTCAGGGCTGGAAACCTGGATGCAAAGTCTTGAACGAATGGCAGCCAAGCGGTGACACACGGTGGGTCAAGTTGTGATGCGACAGTTGTGGTGTTGCTTGCGAGGAAGGCTTGTGCCATCTTTTTCTTTGTGATGTTTCTACACCTAATTCGTCTACTCGAGCCTGCTGTCAACAGCTTTACTCGTACCGTGCAAGCTGGGTCACACAAGCTGAAAACCCGAACGCCGCGCTATGATGCTAAGAACGTTAATCGACAAGGACTGTCTGGTCAATTGTATACAAAACTGTTCCGTAGGAGACCAAAGTTGCGAAAAATGAAAATAGTGTACAACCCCAATTGCATGCGCTCATCACGGTGCCCGTTCGACTATTTTCCAAAGCCCTCAGTGCTCACGCTGCCCACTCAACCGTTTCGAGCGCCAAGAGCACCAAAATCAAAGTCGATGGTAATATCCAGACAACGTAGCTCTGGAATAGGATCTTGGACATAGCACCCATGTAGACGTTATTGATCTGGCAGATCTGGGCCAGCTGCAGTGCGGTCGGGGCACCGCTGAGAAGGAAGCAGACGATAATGAAGATAGGATCATCGACGATGCTGACAGGTACGTATTTGGCGACAACAGCCAGTATTGGGGCCATGCAGAGAGTTGGAATAAGCATACGGCTGATCAAAGATGCGATGACAAGCTTCTTTTCGACCTTCGGATCTTCCATGGAGTGCTGATCTTCCTTTGGTAAAGTGTTGCGAGCCAGGTTGGCGCCCAGAACGACTAAGATGAGAGGGACGGCAACCTGTCCGCTCTGATTGACGGCACGGGTCACAGAGGTGCTGATAAAAGTTCCAGGGTCGAAAAATAGGTGCTGCAGCTGAGGCACAGAGGCAACGATGATTGCTGCCAACATTGCCCAGAGAGGAGGGTTCATGAATGCCCAAACACCCTTGAAGAACCTTCCAAGAACCGAAGATATCTTGGAAAGTGTTTGCTGAAGCCACTTGGGCAGCGACTCGAAGATTGAACGACCGACACGGAAGAACGCATTCGAGACGGAACTTCCTGCGCGTCGAGCCGCCAGTTTAGCTCGCTTTGGCCAACCCTTGGGGCCTTTGGGAACATTGTCCTTCTTAAGTGAGGTGAGAGCATTGAAAGCATCATTGCCGTTCGCTCGACCATTGGTGTAGCCGTTGATCCTACCGTGGAAGTCTCCTTCTCCTGCAACTGCGACGTTGCCGTTTGTGGGTGTGATGAAGTTGGCTGACGCCAAGACGTCGCCTCGGTCTTCGATTGAATGTGTGTCGCTGGTGCCGGTAGAAGTGGCGTAACTGGTCACGTTGCCGGACTCGTAGTCCGAATGTGAGTCGTCGAGCAAGCGCTGTGCTTCCTCTTCGCTGTATTCACCGCTTTCGAGGGAATCGATAGTTCCACCGTCTTCTATCTTGTATGTATCTGCAGGCGCTAGGAGGACGTTGAACCCCCAGGTCCATCGAACCAACTGTCCAAGCTGCTGGAAAATGAGCAGATAGAGGATGCCACGTGCGCCAACTTCGTTATCATTGTCGCCAGGTATCCTGTCCCAGTGGAGGCCTGAAATCGTTTTTGAGAGCGATATAACGAGGGAGATAGGTAGTGAGTTCGAGTTTCCAAAGACCTAGGCTTATCAGCAGCGGTTCATCTAGTGCTTTTGAGGGGACCGTACCGCCATTGCGACAACGAAGTTGGATTGTCTCTTCTTGAAGCTGAACAGCTTGGCGACTACGAGCGCAGCAAGGTAAGAGATGATTGTTTGGATAACAAAGATAACGGGGATCACGGCGAGTTCTCCCAGCTTCTCTGCGGTTAACTGCGATGCAAGCTTGGTAAAGACTGCAATGCGTGATTAGCATTGCACGCGATTAAAGGAGCAATGCGCGCGCTGCCACGCGGTAACTAGGTGCACTCACTAAGACAGGGCGTGAACAATTGTGTGTTGAGGTTGGCAAGGAACTTCTGGCTCTCTGCATCGAATTGGCCCATTCTTGCGATGATATAGCCAGGCGCGCTGACACACACAACCTCCATGACGGCCTCGAAGACGAGCAGCGAGAGGTTGGCGAAATCGGGGTGCGAGCTATGCGCCTTCTTCTTGAAAACCTCCATGAGACCATTGTTGCCGTAGTCGAACGATTGCGAGGCCATGGAGACGAAGTTGTTGGGATTGGCAGTGAGGTCGCGCAGGCGCAAGGCCTGGAGACTCGTGAAAAAAGGCATGCAGAAGTGCCGCAGTGCCTGACGCGCGATTGGCAGGTGCGATGTGGGTGAGAATGTTTGGGTTGTTGTGGTGCACCTGAGACACCCTGCGTCTTGTTTGCCGGAGGGTGCAAGATCGACGTCACAGGAGCGCGATTGAGCGGAGCGCACCACGGAAGAGCAGCTGTTTGAGCAGTTGAGGGCAACTTTAAGAGCGCGCTACCAATTGTGCGGCGGTCGAGACGAGGTCTGATGTACCGCAGTCGACGTGGACAGCGCGGGCGATGCAAAAGCAACGCTGGCAGGCGCAGTAGGATGCAGCAGCCAAGACGTGCTTGCGTGCTTGCGTGCCTTGCTCCTGGGCACCGACTTGTGTCGATGGTGAGCTTGCTTCGTCTATCCCAGCTGAGCTGCGCTAAGAGCACAAGTGAGGGCAAGTGCAGTTCAAAGGCTAGACGGACGCTCCGGTCCATGTTCGCGAGGCGCCCACATCGCGTTGCAGGTTCTAGGCCGCATCGAGAATCCCATGTGCATCGTGCAGTGCCGTCATCGCTGTGGCATGGCATTATGATGGCAGTTGCTGTCTGACTGATGGGCATCAGGACTATCACGTCCAAGGATACCAATCGCCAGGCCTTCTCTGTGTGAATTACGTTGAACAGCCTGCACTGCACTCCACAGCAGCCCGCAGAAGGCCCTAGCGATTACCGCATCCTGCTGCTGCTGTCTATCAACTCGCCCATCGTGTCTTTGCTTGATCTGGCCGGATCGGTGCGTGCAAACATGGTCATCGAAGAAGCCGATGTTGTCCCATCACGCAGCAGGCCTAGGAGCGGCAGCCCATCCGGCAAAGCAGGACTGAAGCCTTAACCAACACCTCGCAATTTTTGCACTCCCTGATATTTCCTCCTGCCGTGTAACTCATCGCCTTGCCATGGTCGCTGTGCGCTCTGCAGCATCATCCTGAAATTATCCGGACGCTCTGCATACGTCACTGGCATTTTGGCCCTCCACAATCCTGGTAGCACCGCACCGCCACCCCGTGCGTGGGGCCCTTAACGTCCGCTCGACCTCATAACACCCACAGATCGCTAGATCGCTGTCCGCTCTCCTCTGTGGAGGCATCATCACCTGATTGCTGTCCGCTCGCTTGTCTATTACTATCAATACCTCTCTGTCCTCTGCTGCTCCTCCTGCCCTCTCTCGACCCCGCAGTAGCATCCAGGACATCATTCACTCTCCTCCGCCATGGCCGACTCAGGAGCATCTACCCCAGAGGCGGAGCTCAGCGATACCCCCTTCGATAGCCCGTCGCCGTCCTCTCCTCCCTTTCCCTCGAGCCCTACCTCCACTACCCCCTCGACGCTCAATATTCCCGAACGCCCCGCCGTACGCTCCAGCGTCACGACTGGCGCCACCGTCAACATGACGCCTTCCTCCACTCCTTTAGGGAACATCAATGCCGCCAGAAACCCTCGCGGCAGTGGCCCCACTATCTCCAGCAGAGGCAGTGGTCTCAACGTCTCGCAGGACATCTTGGCGAGGATACAGGCAGTGCATCTGGGCCGACAAGGTGCCCCACCACCTGGCGCAGCTGGTCGAGGGAATCTGCCTCAGAGCCCAGGACCGTCTGTTGGCCCACCGAACAACCTATCACCAAGAGGAGGGCCAATAATGGCGGGTGGTGTACCCGCTAGTTTCCGCGGCATGCCTGGAGGGAAACCACCTCTGCCCAGCTTCGCATCTGCCCCCGCTATTCCTGGCCGTACTGGTCCTGCACCTAAGTTGTCCATGGCCGAGAGACGTGGCGCACCAAAGCTCGGTGGTCTGCCTGGTGCAGCACCACCCGCTGGCGGTGCTCCTGCTGGGAAGAAGCGTCCGGGCCTAACCCTCTCACAAATGAATGGAGGCGCGCCGGACGCAGAGCCTAAGAAGCAGGAAACTGCATTGGACAAGTACTCGGATTTCATCGACACCAAGACTGGTAGCCTTAAGTTCGCAGGCAAGGCTGTCCTGAATCCAGATGGTGTACAATTCGCAAACGGTACATCCTTCAGCATTTCGCTAGATGAAGTTGATACGCTCGACGAGCTGGGCAAGGGCAATTACGGCACAGTATACAAGGTACGACACGCAAGACCACGCATGAGGAAGCCAGGTCAAGGTCTTGCCGGAAACAAGGCTGCACCAGGCTCTCCTTCGCGAAAAGACTTCAGCGAAGAACCAAGCCCAACTACTGCAAAGCCTTCTGGAGGCACAGGCATTGTGATGGCCATGAAAGAGGTCAGGCTGGAGCTGGACGACTCGAAATTCGCCGCTATAATTATGGAGCTGGATGTCCTTCATCGTTGCGTATCGCCCTACATCGTCGACTTCTACGGTGCTTTCTTCCAGGAAGGTGCTGTGTACATTTGCATGGAGTTCATGGACGGCGGATCGATAGACAAGCTCTACGGCGACGGTGTCCCTGAGAACGTCCTGCGCAAGATCACATTGGCCACAACTATGGGATTGAAGTCATTGAAGGACGAACACAACATCATTCACCGCGACGTCAAGCCTACGAACATTCTCATGAACACACGGGGTCAGATCAAGATCTGCGATTTCGGCGTCAGTGGTAACTTGGTTGCAAGTATCGCGAAGACGAACATTGGCTGTCAGAGTTACATGGCCCCTGAACGAATTTCATCAGGCGGTGTTGCTCAGGCGGGCGCCAACCCTGGAGGCGGCACCTACAGCGTCCAGAGTGATATCTGGAGTTTGGGTTTGACCATCATCGAGTGCGCGCTTGGCCGCTACCCATACCCACCTGAAACCTACAACAATATCTTCAGTCAGCTTAGTGTAAGTTTCCCCTGTTCTGTTAGCCTTGTCGCGCGCAATGCTAATTATCTGTAGGCGATTGTGGATGGAGAAGCTCCGGATCTTCCAGAGGAAGGCTACAGTGAAGCCGCCCGAAACTTTGTCCGTGGATGTCTGAACAAGATTCCTAAGCTGCGACCAACATACGCTATGCTTCTCAATCACGCGTGGCTTGCACCTATGATAAAACCGGAGACGATCACAGAAGAAGATGAGGATGAGGTGGCAGCAGCAGAGGCAGCAGAAGGCGGTGTGGCCGCTGGCGATCAGAGCCCCGCTGAGCCAAGTGAAGACGTTGTGGACAAGGAGGTCGCAGACTGGGTAAAAGACGCAATCGACAAGCGCAAGAGGGGTGTTCTTGGCAAGGCTCCCAAGCCTGCATTACACGCTGCGCCGCTAGATGCAGTGTCGAGTCCTTCGCAGGACGGTGTGAATGGCCTCGACGCTGCAGGTGCACCTGTGGCGACCACCACATGAGATCGTAAAAGCAGTCTATGGCATCCGCTGTCCATTCACCAAACTATGCAATTCATAGGCTTGCGACTGTACCAGTTGTAAATCTGGAGTTTTGGGATTTTTTGTTAGCTGCTGTATAACGGCACCGGCGCATACCCGTGGGAAGCTTTTTGAAGCATAGCTGTTGGAGCATTGGGCGATAAGCACACACATACCTAAATGACATGCATGTACAACTCATCGATAGGTTCCCTTGACTCCATCAGACGATAAAGTACGTTATTGATATTTTCAATGGTCGAGTGAAAGTTCATGTGACGTATGCAAGGGGGAATCCACGCCAAGAATGCGGGTGTGGCTCATGCTGTGGCGCTATGAATGAACACGGTGGTCGCAACCCTACGTTTATTGTCCAGCACCTTTTGAGACAGCGCCCCTTCTTGCCCTGCCATGCACCGATTCTGAGACAGCTTTCCTCTCTACGACACATGCGCCTGGCCTGCGACCACATACCTTTTCTTTTACCGTCGTTCTCTTTACCCTCCCCCGTGAGACGCATCCAAAATGTCGTCCGGGACAGACTACAACTACGATGAGCAGGTCCGTTCACGCGCCCACTTGGACAAACAACGCGATTAACCGCTCGCAGGGCCAATTCTTCCCCTACTTCATCCTCACAGTCACGACACTGGTCACTGTTCCTGTTACAATCTCTTTCTTCAGACCGAGCAAAGGTGTGCATTCCCGCCCACGCTCCCACCCCGCGCCTATCTTCTGACACGTATACAGAACTCGAGAACACTGGAACAACAATAGAATCCAACTTCACACCCGAACATGCCGACCTCATCCAGGGACAGCGCAAGAAGCAGAAGCGGGCGGAGAGGAGGACGAAGCGGGGAGTCCTCATGCTTGGCGGATGGTCGCTGAATGCGCTCATGATGTACCTTATCTATGTCACAGCGCGGACAGTCACCAAGATCTGGGATCCCTATGAGGTTCTTGGTATTTCCAGGGTACGTGCGCCCACGCGGTAACATCTGGTGATAGATTGGTGGTCTAACGATGAGAACAGAATGCAGACGAGAAGACGATCAAGAAGCATTACCGAAAGCTATCGATCACGCTGCACCCTGACAAAGCCCGCGAGGACCCGTCAAAGAACATCACGATACAGTCGATCAATGACCACTGGGTCGATGTCACCAAAGCGTACAAGGCTCTCACAGACGAAGAAATCCGCAACAACTACATCCAGTATGGCCATCCCGATGGCAAGCAGAGCTTCAGCATTGGTATCGCTCTTCCCCAGTGGCTGGTAACAGAAGGTTCAGGGAAATACGTCTTGCTCGTCTACGCAGTACTGCTCGGTGTCATCCTCCCATATATGGTCGGAAAGTGGTGGTACGGAACACAGAAGCTGACCAAGGAGAAGGTACTCGTTGCGAGTGCCGGCAAGATCTTCCGTGAATACGATAACGAACAGGGCGAGACTGGTGTTATTGGAGCTTTGAGCACAGGAAAAGAGTTCGACGAGGTCTTCACTGGTCACAAGGCAGAAAACGGTCTTTCCAAGCTGGAGCAGAAGGTTCTTGGGGGTTCGGACTCGGTCGTTGCAGAGGTACTCACCAAGAAGGACCGACAGAAGTTGGACGACCTGGAGGACAGCCGGAGACGCAAGGTTCTGACACTCCTTTGGGCATACCTCGGCCGCGTCGAGCTTGAGGATGAGACCTTGAACGACGAGAAGTTCGAGGTCGCTCCCATCGCTATCCGTCTGAATGAAGCCTACACATCGATCGCGCTCGCCTACGGCAGCACTAAGGCTGTCCTTTCCGCATACCACACATCGCAGAACCTGATCCAGGCTCTGAGGCCCGGCGCTTCTCCCCTGGAACAGCTACCGCACTTCACACCCGCCATCGCAAGCGCAGCCGAGGCCGAGAACGCGAAGACACACCTTTCTATCCAGGAGTTCATGAAGGTACCCGAGGGACAGCGCAGAGCGCGCATCGGTGGCCTTTTGTCACAGGAGCAGTACAGTACAGCCATGTCAGTTGCGTCGCGGATACCCGTCTTCACTGTCGAGAAGGCTTTCTTCAAGGTTGTTGGAGAGCGCTTCGTCACACCAAGCAGCTTAGTTCAGTTCGTTCTCAAGGGTCGCTTTATCCCATCTAGCGCCTCCGATGTTCCTGAGGTCAATCCCAAGGACCTGCTCGACATCGACCCCGAGGAGGGCGACGTCGCCGCAATCACAGGCCGCAAGAACGACCGCTCTGGCGAGAAGCCAATCCAGCCTCCTCTCGCACACGCACCATACTACGCCCGCGACCACGCACCGAGATACCACATCTTCCTTGCCGACAGCAAGCAAGGCCGCATCGCAGTTCCACCTTTTACATTCTCTACATTTGACAAGCCCATTCTAGACGAAAGCGGTAACCCGACCTACAACGTACAAACCTTGAAGATGCAGTTCGGTGCGCCGCCTCAGGCTGGCAGCTACACCTTCGTCATGCACATGATCTGCGACAGCTACCTTGGTATGGATACAAAGATGGAGGTCACGCTTGTTGTTGAGGACGCGAGCAAGGCCGAGGAGGTTGAGGAGGAGGGTGAGATCAGCGAGCCTGATGAGGGTACGTCACAATACAACACGCACATTTTTGACATGACTAACACTACTGCAGACACTATCGCTGGGCAGATGCGCGCCCTCAAGGGCGGAGAGGCACCCAAGAAGAAGAGAACCGATGACGAGTCCAGTGGCTCTGATACAGAAGGCGACGTTGAGAGCGAGAGCGAGACGGATACTGACACGGATTCGGACGAGGAGTAGAGTCCGAGAAGGAGTCGTCAAGGCTGGTTGCTAAGGAATGGCGCGAGGGACAGACGTTCCAGAAGACGTCGGTTCAGAAGGGGATGAGCAGACCTAAGCAAGCGCGGTTGAAACGGTGATGATACCCAAGGGGGTGGATTGTACAATTGATTGGTTTGACGCAAGGGCTCGATGATGGCATTTCACGGCGTTCTTAGCACGTACATGGGTCCGTGTTGGTTTCTTGGGCGGGAGAGAGATAAGGCAGAGCACGAACGATACAGTTTTCTACTCCACATTCAAATCTCTTCTTCCATGGTGTCAATCTTCAAAATATCTTTTGTACTAGAGGAACGGTGGCGCGAAGGCGACTCGGTAGTGCTCTTGGTGATAACGGTCAGTGAGGCCATACACTTTAGAGCTATAGTCTGCAGGGCCATAGTCTGAATAGTCGTGGCCTGCCATGCTGAGGCATGCTGAGCCATGGTCTGCAGTGTCGTATCCTGCCGTTGGCGAGGGGTCGTTCATGAATGATTCGATTCGGGCCATACTGAAGGCATGCTCATATGAGATGTGAGCCAAGGAAGAGGCAGAGGCTGATGGACGCTGCCGTAGATCAGATCGTGACCGCAAGAGGCAGAGAGAAATGTGAGAGCAATTGAGAGGTGCTTGTAAGTCAGAAGAATAGTGTGACGAGATGTCAAGAAACTGTGACTCGCTCATGGCCAGTTGAACAGGAAGGCGCGCGCGTGCGCCTTTGCTCTATCCGCAGCACGCTGGTGTGCGGCTAGCTCATGTTATGCACTCGCTCTTGCAATGTACGTCATAGCAGCAGCTGTAAGGCTCTGTGCAGATTGGCTCATCCGACCTCTTTTGACCAGGTCTCTGACCTTGTCGAGACTGCCTGTATCTGGCGAATATTGTCTCAATGACTCGTCTCGTCTACCGAACCCATATTCGTAGACAGTTTTGACAGTCCTGGTCCGCATTGATTCGAACCTCCCATCCGCACTCTTTCCGGTGCGCGTAGCTGTTGTTTTCCGTGTCGAAAGGATGTAAAGGCTTATCTCAATCTCCAAGCTCATCGCCTGCACCCGTCTATTCCTCCTTCGTGATGCTCTTCTCCCCCCTCTTCTCGCGCCAGAAATTTGTCGATTGAAGCAATTTCCAACACCCTGTCAGCGCCAATCTCCACTTATTCAAGAAAGCAGGAGTGACTTCCCACCCTTTCGGATCCCAAGGATTGTTCTAAACTATAACTCCAGTGCGACCGCACATGTCAATACAACACTGTTCCTCGTCCAAAAATCCAGCTGCGTCAAGCAAGATTAAGTTGTTGCGTGGTGCAACGTTGGGCAGGAGATCAAGCCATGGGTGGTGCGGCACAGATCGCTGAATGTTCGTCGGCTTCAAGGACATTGGTAAGTCATCTAGCCTGGGGTGGTACGTGTAGGACATGGAGAAGGGCGAAAGTGCATCATCATGCATTTCAGACGCAGTTAAACCAAGAACTTCGATGTTGGCGACAAGGGCGCGCCGAACATTGAGTTGAGTGAGGCCTAACAAGATGTCTGTACGTGGTGATCTTGCGTCGTAGGCTGCGCGTGCCGCTGCTTCTAGAAGGGAGAGAAATTGGATCGATGCGTTTGCTTTAGGACCTATAATGTTGATATCGTTGAAGCAATGGAGGGATGCTAGTCTCACTAGCAGAGCTTCGTTCTTTTGATTATCGATTTCATCTGTCGCATTGCTTGACGCGCAAGGCTTTTCCTCGAGTGCACGACGACGTTGGCCTGCAACTATAATCAGTTCTGCTTCAAGACAAGTCAGTATAGGCGCAACCACGTTGCGCTCTCTGGTTGATGCGGTTCTGGCGCCTTCTTCGCTCAGTTACGTTTCCAGTAGCCGCCCAGTCTACTTGCGGCACGATGATGGTGGAATCAGCCATTGTGACGTCGTCGGAAACTCGCGATCAGAATAGCACGAACAGCCCAGTATACATGCATATTTGGGTGTGATGAAGAAAGAAAGCTCTGGAGAGCAAGTTGAAGCGAAGGATGATGCATATCGTTAGCGCGGTATTCGAGCTCAAGCCGGAGCTACCCCTTGACGCCGAGCTGACCCCTAACCACCCTCGACACCTCACCTCAAACACCATATTTAATTGAAGCTGAACATATCGATTTCTAGAATCAATGACAAGCACTGTTGGAGTAGCGGCTCAACTGCCTCTAGCTTCTGGCACAGCACCCAACTGTTACCACTACTACAATCACTTCAGCCCTGCAATCATCGATCAGTCACAAGCCAAGGAGGCGATACCCGGGCTGTTGCAAAACGACTGCGTATCTATCGCCGATAAATCCAGCGTGGACATTGGAGAGCTTCTAAGGTGGAATCCAAGCTTGAGCATCAGTGACTGTATATTTGAGCCAGGCTTCAGCTACTGTGTGGTTAAGACCGAATATCCAAACGAATGTGAGGACTTGCCATTGCATCCTTCAACACAAAGACTGATATTAACAGGGGACCTGTCATCATCTGAGGTAGTGTCCAATGATCCATCGATTTGCACTTTCGACCCAGAGAGAGGTGAATATGTTTGTCCGGACCCACCGACCTGTACGTTCGATCCACACAAGGGGGAGTACGTCTGCCCAGAAACTACACTTACCGATGAGAATGAGGAGGAAAAATCTGAAGAGGGCTCAGAGTTGAGATGAGAAACAAAGAGGTGTCAGAGAGGCGGTAGAAATTGTCTTGCGCTACCAATGCTATTTAAGAACTTCCTACTGCACATCTACATAGATTAGGCTAATTACCCAGCGACGCAGAATAGACATTCGATGTCGCAGCTCGTCTGCCAGCTTCATCGTCTGACTTCAACAAGTGTAGAGATATGGAGCCTCCAGGCGCTTGTTTTGTTCTCACTTTATGTTCAGCAGAGTGGCAAGTGGCAGTGGATGATCCCGCTTAATGGAGTGATGGTTCAGATGGCCCAATCGCTTGGCTTGCACCGCCATGAGCGAAGCTTCAATTTTGAAATTGGATAAGTAGAGTGGAGAAAACGGCTTTGGTGGTCAGTCTACGCATTTAATAAGTATGTTCCCTCTATCTTCTTGGCTACCCAGCAATGCTTACATTATCACAGATTGACAGCTTTCATTCATGGTCTACTGCAGCTGATCCATGATGCCGACGACGACAACGACTTCCGCATCCATTGCTAGGCGAACCTACGCCAGTGTCGATCTTCTGTCATTACGTCAAAATGACGAGGATACTGTCACGTATGCTAGCACAGCTTTACACTACAACCGATCGGCGTGGAGGCGTGGAAATGCGGACAAAATCAAACAATTGCAACTGAACCTATGAGTATGGGCATCGGAGCTGAACAAGCATCCGCATGTAAATCGCCTGGATCTTGGCAACAGTATACCCAGAGGAAAGAAGGACAAAGACCTCGAAGAGAACGTTCTAGTTGTTCCCTGGCTCGAGTTGGTGGCCAACATCACGAGGATGCTAATATACTTGCCTGATTTGACATTCGACCGGTCGACACCGCAATTCCAGGATAGACTCGAAAGGTAGGTGTTCTCGTCTGTAACGATTATCGAGCTGCTAGATGACGATCCTTTGGACCAAAAAGTCAGTATTCTGTCCCCACGTGGGCCCAGCATCATCTTTCAGTGTGGCCTACTCTAGGTCTTCAATCAGTGTCATGCGCCTGTCGAGGCCAATACCTAAATGACACGCACAAACAGAGCCGGGACACGTTGTATCATATGTTAATCTGCTGGAGGGGCTTGCACCTGCGTATGACAGAGGTCCTACAGGGGAAGAACCCCCCCCCCCCTCTTAAGTCTTGCAGAACCTTATTGAGGCTGCAAGGCGCTTTGGATAGCTACCAGGCGCTCGAGCATGGCTTCACTACCATCAGTATAAATCCTGGCCTCGGGACGGCCCCGAAACGAGAGGCTTCCGCTCCAGACGCACAAGTGGACATATGGAGCACAACCGAGCTGGTGAGTCTCAACCAGTTTGGCGACTTTGGTAGCCTCTCCAATTTCATACCAAAATTCGATTGAACTATGGCTTCCGACTCCCCCGTTACAGGTTGTAGTGGCTTGCTGCCATTGATTTAACTATCTCTGCGTCCTGCATCCGCCCGAACAAACCCGCAATGATTTTGCAATACTGATTGTGGCGTCGAAATTGCTGTTGAGGACGGATTACTCGATGAACTTGTTAATGTTCCGACCCCAGGCCCAGGGGTAATTTCGCTGTACCGGAGGAAGAGTCGGGCCTGAATTGGCCTACGCCGAAACCGTTGCAGCGCGTGCCATCATCCCATACCCCAGGATCACTATCTCCGTAACCCCAAAAATGACTGTTGTCAAAAGTCGAAGTTGAAAAGCGACGATCTGCGCATCATTGGTGGGGCAAACATTAAATCATCATCTTCTCTTGCGGGTCGCTCAACTATACCCTGTACTTCATTACCAGCTTTTACCTGTTACTCCTCACACATTGTAGAATGAGTTATGACGAGAAAGACATCAGCGCTCTCGATGAGCGTGTCGAGGTAGCGTCACTGTCTAACAGACAAGGTCTTGCTGCCATGGAAACTGGTTACTACTCTGGCGCCACGAAGAAGACCGATCCCACTGAAATTGCTCTTGTACCCAAGCTCAATATCCGAATTATGGTAGGTTCGATGCGGCATATGATAGTGTAATTGCTCACGCCCATCAGCCAATTCTATGGGCGATGTACTTCCTAAACTAACTCGATCGCAATGCCTTGCCGCAAGCTCGATTGATAACACTCGAAGAAGACCTGAACCTGAAGGGTATGGTACAATAGAGCTATTAGCATTCTTTTTGTTGGTTATCTGCTCATGCAAGGTACGACACGTTCTGCTCGTCGAGCTAAAGCGATCTGACAAGTGTCGGTTCCCTCAAACATGTTCTTGACAAAGATAAGACCTTCCATCTATCCATTAGCCTGCATGATTGGATGGGCTACGGTATCAGCATGTACCAAACTTGTTCAGAACCACGGTGGTCTCGTGGCTACTCGATTCATGTAAGCACAGCCTAACAGAGGCTCAGGTCTGAGGACAGGTCTGAGGACAGGTCTGAGGACAGGTCTGAGGACAGCAGCTGACCGAATTCACCCATCAGGCTCGGCTTTGTCGAAGCTCCATACTATCCTGGTGCTCTTTACATTATGTCTATCTTCTACACATGCAAGGAGCTTGCCACCCGTATCGTGTGGCTAACACTGGTCCGGTTGTGAGTACCGCCTGCTCTGGCCTGATTGCAGCTGCAATTTTGCGACCCTTGACGGTGCTCATGGCATCGCTGGAGTGAGTTCTCCTCACTGGTCAATGAAAGGAATTTGTTAACCTCGTTGCAGTGGAGATGGCTTTTCATCATCGAGGGGCCGTTACTTTTGGCGTCGCTCTCTTCGGCTTCTGACTACTTCTTGACAAGTGCGTTCCTTCCCCCCTGATTATCCAAGAATTGATGTGATGATCTCGCTACAAGCCCATCGATAACCCGCTGGCGTACTCAGGAGGAGCGCGATCTCGCCGTTGCCCGCATCCGCCGCGACACTGTTGGCGTCAAAGAACGTGGTACAGCCTGGGAAGGCTTCAAGCAAGTGTGTGCCGACCCAAGGACTTGGCTGTTTTGCCTCATGCAGAACCTGCACAACTCCGCCGTGACATTCAATAACTTCTTCCCTACGATCATCGCAAGGTAAGGACTGCTCTTCCTCGAATGTTTTTCGTTCGCTGACAGTCTCTGCTAGCCTTGGCTTCAAGTCTCACACTACAGCACCCGTCCTCACTGCGCCGCCGTATTTCGTACGTGACATACTCGGTATCCCCTTCGCATGGAGCTCCGGTCACTTCAACGAGCGTTCCTGGCATATCACCGGTGGTCTCGGACTAGCAGTCGTTAGTTTTGATACGTCCGTGGCCTCCATGAACACCGCGATTCGTTACACAGCGACCTTCTTGTATGCCACGGGTGCTTACTCTGTCGGCTCGGTCCTCTTGGGCTGGGTCAACGCCACACTATCCCAGACTCAAGAGAAGAAGGCTGTGGCATACAGTTTGGTCAACGTTACGGCCAAGCGCAGCGTACATCTACTGCGCATATCTGTGGCCTAAGAGCGATGGACCAAAATACAACATCGGCTTTCATCGATGATCGCGTTCGCTGCTGAAAACATTGCCTGTGTTTGGATCATGCGCTTCTGGCTCATTGCACAGAACCGTAAGATGAGGCGTACCGAGGGCGATCACCAGGTCGCTTACGCATACTGAAGATTGGGCGTGTTTTGGATTTTCTTAGATCTTGTTGTCGACTGAGCGCTCTTCAATCAGGGTCATCTGGAGTGCTAGGAAGCACATCGTATCTTGTATCTTCTGAATAGCGCTCTCTGGGACAGGGTGAGATTCACATCCTGGAAATGTTTGTGGGGATTGCTGCACTGATCAGGCAATCGGGTCCTTATCCGTAGCGCGTCTCCCGTCTCTCTCGTACCAAACCATAGAAGCTTCGGATCTGCGTCCGATGGCTAGGACACCTCTAATGCCATCTTTCTGCTGTGAACACGCGAATACAAAAGAGAAAAATTGAGGGAGCATCCACGAGAAGTTGCGCGCTCATAAGTTGACAGCTCACAACGTTTCGCGCGTTTCCAGGGCGGCTCCGCGTCGCAACGTGGGGTTTTCTGTCCGGATACGGAATTCAAACACACTTATCATTTCCACATCTTTCTCGGACCGCAACCTCCAGGTCCATCCGGGGAATTGCGCCATTCTCCAAGCTCTTCGTACTGCTCTCCTTGTCTGCAATTGGACCGGTACTCTTTGAGTGGATACTCCCGGTGAGGGGAGCGTAACGCAATTCCGCATGCGGAACCGCAGGCGTATATATTGCGGCTTCGCAGCCCTCATCATGTTAACATGAATTTGATCTCTACCACCTTGAAAAACAACCTGAAGAATATCAGTAACTACCTTCCATTCTCACTCACCATGGCACCTTCACTCCATCCTTCTGTGGACTCCGGCATCCAGAAAGGCGATGCAAACATAACCGGCGGAAAGCTGTACTGCCACTGCCCAAACAACAAGGTCGAAGTGACCCTCGGATCCAACGTCGCTCACAACCACGCTTGCGGCTGCTCAAAGTGCTGGAAGCCTTCCGGCGCACTCTTTTCCGTCGTCGGCGTCCTTCCCGCAGACGAAGTCAACGTAACCGCCAACGCCAACAAAATCCACATTGTCGACGAGACCGCGGCCATCCAGCGCAATGCATGCAAAGAGTGTGGTGTGCACATGTACGGCCACATCATCAACGACCATCCCTTCAAGGGCCTGGACTTCGTGCACACAGAGCTGAGCGACTCCAAGGGGTGGCAAGAACCTCAATTTGCGGCCTTCGTTTCCAGTATTATCGAGCAGGGATTCGATCCTAAGGGAATGGATGAGATCCGCCAGAAGTTCAAGAAGGAGGGCCTTGAGTCGTATGACGTACTGAGCCCGGCGCTGATGGATCTTATCGCGACACACACTGCTCAGAAGAGCGCGAAGCTGTCGTCGAAGTTGTAAACATGTTACGAGTAACGAGTGCAAAATGAAAAGTCATTGATCTTGAAGCGCAAGACTGAGCTGTTGAATCACGACTTTATGTGATGAGGGTACTAAGCAGACAGAACTGAAGAAGTCAAGTGGGACGAGAGAGTGCTCGGTGTACTTATACATACATTCCTGTGCACCCTGTTAGCCGCCACTCTACACACAGTGAGAGTCACGCTAAACCCTCAGAACAATCTTTCGAGAAAACGAACACCTTGCCTGAGTACCACCCTACGTGTGTTTCGAATTTCAATATAGCAACACTCAACAGCTGCTTCCATTTGATGTTTGACATTGGACAGCAAATTCGATTCCCCGCAGGTTGCGTTGTCCTTAGTGGCATAGCATTCAAAGCCAGGGGATGAGAGCACGTTCGTGGGATTTTAGGGCATACATAGAGCACTACAGTATATATCTGCGGAATGCGAAGATTGTTCGCATCCGGGGAAAAGTCGGCAGTGCAGGATCGGCAATGACGCATGACTAGCGCCGGCACCGGCTCGTTCCTCCAGGGCACTTGTTCGCGCAAGCTCGAACCAATCCTCTATCGTGATCATCACACTGAGAAGTGATCATGACTGTGCTGTGACAACGCCACAATGGAGAGGGTCAAAACGCGCAAGCCACACAAGAAGTCAAGGAACGGCTGTCTTCCTTGCAAAGCCCGTCATGTCAAGGTGCGACTGCTCCGATCATGGCGCCCGTATATTGGCAAGGCTGATCATCACAGTGCGATGAACAGCAACCGAACTGCGCAAACTGCGTGAAGCAAGGCACGCTGTGCGAGTATCGAACAACGAAGAGTCGAGAAGGTTCAACAGGGTCACCTTTGCCTGTTACTTCGGCCTACACACCTTCATCGACAGAAGGTGGGCTGTTCGAACCAGCTGTGCCAGACCTACCCATCACACCGGCTCATGACCCTACAGCCCTCAACGTTCTTCAACTGCGTCTTCTGCACCACTTCACGACTGTCACCGCTCAAACGCTTGGAGCCGATCCGGAAGCCCATGGAGTGTACGCCACAATAGTACCGCAGACTGCCTTCAAGTATCCTTTCCTCCTTCATGTGTTGCTCGCTCTCGCCGCACTTCACCTCAGCCGACTGCAAGAGTCTAGTACGGAAGCTATCGAGTACGCGCTTGTAGGAAGCAGACACCACGACGCTGCTCTCGCAAGCTTCCAGGCCACCGTGCGCGATATCGATGAAAGTAACTTCAAAGCTGTTCTCATGTTTGCAGGAGCTTTGTTCCCATATTCCTGTGCCAGCTCTATCGACTCCAACCACGATGTGGACCACGCTTTCGACAGCCTCCTCTCCAACTTCTTTTTAACTAGGAGAGTTCGACCAATGGTTTCCAGCTTCTACAGCGCGATGAAAGCCTCCGTATTGGAGAAGCTAATTCCCAATGATGTCCAAGGCATTAACTGGCTCACACAAGAGCCACCGGAAGAGACCGAGCTTGTGCAGCTACGCAAATTCGCTGAGGCTGTACATCACCTTTACCCCCCAGACATTGTCGATACCTACGGCTATGCAATTCACATCCTCGTCTTGACTTTTGCGGCTGCAGAGAAGTCACATGAACCGCCTTCTGATGCACTTCTCAAGATCTGGATCCACTTCGTCACTGATCGATACGTCGAACTGCTGTCAGAACGACAACCGGGCTCACTGATCATCTATGCGCACTATGCCGTTCTGCTAAAAAAGAGTAGCAACAGGTACTGGTACTTGGCTGGTGTCGCTGAGCAGATACTCCGCGTTGCAGAAGCTCTGATACCCGGGGAGTGGAGTGGCTGGTTGGACTGGCCAAAGGCACAGCTTCGAGGTGGTCAGAACGTCCTCACACCAGGATGAAGGAGCCCAATACTGACAATATCAAACCATGTCCCGTATCCGAGACGAAGAACGCGGCGCAGTGCAGTGTGTGGCCAAAGACCTTCGTCTGAAGAGGGTATCCATTGCCGGAAAGGACATCGATACTGCAGGAACTATCACAGTTTTGGAGTTGCTTGCGAGGGTCTCCAAAATCGAAGCAGCAGCTACGTATAATCAGCAGATGTGAGTTCGGCCTGACCTAGACCTAGTTAGGACTCGAAGTTGGGGGTACTGACTTGTAACAGCACCCGGTCGCAGCAACTTTCTTTCACAACACACCAGCATGAAGGACGCACAGAGTTCTTCAACAAAGCTGCCACCAGCGAACCATACTTCAAATGAGTTTGACAAGGATACATTTTCCAGCAATGCGAAACTTCAGTGTTTTGCAAACGCTCGGCAGATCCCTGCTTGCCGCTTGCGGATACGCAAGCGAGTACGCGTATTCCTGAATAGGCAATACACTAGCTCGATCGAATGATACGCGTATTCCTTAGCTCCCGCTCGTAGGCTGAAGGTGTACGATTACGCATGCGAGCCTGCGTTCCCCTTACTGCTATACATAAGGTCTTTCTTCCCACAAGACGTTCGTGACTTCAGCTCCACTTGACATCCTCTACGACCACAACTTGAACTCCTTTCTTGACCATCAATCGACACACAACAGGAACAGATATATCCGGTCTCACATAACAACGCCGAGCCGAAGCCTGTCCGACCAAGCTATCACCCCAGAGCCCACTCCAGATCGACCATGGCGGACACATCGAAGCCGGAATATGTCCTCTGGCCATACACACCTTCTGTTGTTGGCGGAGTGATTGCTGCTATTGTCTTTGCTCTCCTCACATGCGCCCATGTCTTCCGACTCATCAAGAACCGCACATGGTTCTGCATACCCTTCGTCATCGGTGCTTTGGTATGTCACGCGCTAAGATCCCAAACAACTTCCACTAACTTCCTTCTTAGTTCGAGACCATTGGGTACGCCGCGAGAGCAGCAGCACACAATGACACTGTCACCAAGACGCCTTACATCATTCAATCCGTCCTTATCCTAATCGCTCCGATCTTGTTCGCTGCCTCCATATACATGATTCTTGGACGCTTGATTATGCGTACCGACTCCGCATCCTACTCGATCGTACGCGCCAACTGGATTACCAAAATTTTCGTTATTGGAGATGTCTTTTGCTTCTTCATCCAGAGCGGTGGTGCTGGTATGCTGGTGCAAGCTAAAGACAAGGACGGCGTCAAGATGGGCGAGAACATCATCCTCGGTGGTCTGATCCTGCAGATCCTGATCTTCTTGTTCTTCGTCGTTATTGCGGGTACATGGCAGCGCAGGCTGGAATCCAGGCCTACAGCTGCCTCCGCCGATATTCCGTGGCAGAAGATGGTGCGCTTCCTTTACGCTGCGAGTGCCTTCATCACCATCCGTAACATGTGCCGTGTCGTCGAGTACGCTATGGGCAAGGTAAGCTTCTTCAGCCGTCATGTAACTGTACATCAGAGCTAACCTGATCTAGGAGGCTTACCTTCTCCAACACGAGTGGCCGCTTTACATCTACGACTGTCTCATGATGATCGCTACTCTCGCCGTCTGCCTTACCTGGTACGACCCCAACATCAAGCCCGGACGTAAGACGGATATTGAGTTCGGCATGCGAAGATAGGATGATTCGTCAAGCCTTGTGGAGGCACAAAACAAATGTTCTACACACGTGGCTTCCCTGCTCGAGCTTTACGAGCGATAACGTGTGACTGGCTTTGAAAGCAAGCGGAAGTCAGAAACGCAGACGCAGAAACCTAATGGCTAGGCGTATATGGAGGATCTGTGCAGTCGCGATACTGCTATGCTCCATTCCTTTCGGCGGCATACTTGCTGAAAACAAGTCCTCAGAGTAGGCCTTGCTCTTCTTTCTCTTTTGCTTTCTTCTCATATATATACCCCATAAGTACTGCGACGTTCCGCCAGCTTAGTGAATAGATCACGACGAAGAATGAAGATTCGATGATTCCAAGTTCCTTTCGAAAAGTTGGTAGACTAGTGGTAGGAAGATCTGTGCCTCTTCGGTACCTATTTACCCGACGAGCGAACGCGCATCCACCCCGGACTTTGCGGGGCTCCGCATCACCACTTTGCATTATGGCTAAATTCAAAGAAGTGTCAGGTTAGCGATAGCATGGATCATTATAAGTACTGAACACTTGGCAGGGAACATTGGGCGTTGCTTCTACCAGTCCACTAGGTCTACGGGTTCCTGCATCTTCTCTCGTCATATCACTTAGCCGAACTGCACGATGAAGCTTCAGTCAATGCTCGCGTGTTTGTTGAGCACTGCCATCGTTGTCTCGGCAAAAGTATCGACAATCTGGCTAGCGGGCGATTCGACGACAGCTCCTGATGGCGGACACAACGGTACAGAAGGCTGGGGACAGTACCTCAAATACTCTTTCGGTGACCAAGCGGTTGTGAACAACTCTGCGTATGCTGGTAGATCAGCGCGATCGGTATGCGGCTCCATCCGTACTATTTCAATGCATGGGATCCACTGACTATGCTTAGTTCACCCGCGAAGGTCGCTTCGATAAGATCGCGCAAGCACTCCAGCCAGGTGACTGGGTGGTCATCGAGTTCGGTATCAACGATGCTGGTGCGCCTCAGAATGGGTCAACCAGCACAACCGGTGATAAAGGCAGGGCAGATTGTCCTGGCGCAGGAAATCAGACTTGCACTGTGGTCTTCAAGTGAGTTAAAATTGATCTAGGCTCTTGAATGTCTTGACTGACTTGACAGCAACGCCACAGAGGTCGTCCAGACCTTCCCAACATATGTAAAAGCAACGGCTCGCAAGTTCCTTGACCTGGGAGCAGCGGGTGTGGTTATTGCTGAGCAGCTGCCGACAAACGTCTGGGAGTCGGGAAACTACTCGTACAGATCTCCAATATTCGCATACTACAGCCAGTAAGTATACGTGCCATCTGAACCATGTTGATACTGATCGAACAGGCTGGCTACTCTCGAACTCGGTGGCCCAGCTTCCAACGTATTCTTCGTGCAGCACGGAGGCTATGCTGCTCAAGCACAAAGGTTGCTCGGGAAGACTGTTGTCGATGCGAACTATCCGATGGACCATACGCACACGGCTCCGTTCCTGGCAGATGTGGTATGTGAATAGCATACTCTGACGCTTTGACTTGGCTAACATCTTGACAGCACAGCCAGGCTTTTGTTCTGGGCTTGAAGTGTGGAACGAGTCCTCTCGCGAACTTGGTTGTCAATGCTACTGCACGCATCGAGCAGGCGAGAGGGCCGTGTCTGCCTGCGAACGCCACTCTTCCAATCTGAGGAAGGAAAGAGTTTTGTGTGCGACAGGAAAGAACATGTTAACTTATTCTTAACAATCTCGAATCGCAGTCCCAGCATCTCATGAAAACTAGCATAGCAAGTCCATCGAAACAAAGAAAGAACTTGGATACTGGTGTTCTGGTGATAACCTTGCACCTTCCGACGGAAGAAGCACTGTGGCGCTAGTGAGTTCAGCGAACTTTATCAACCTTCCGACGTTGCTTCCGCTCCTTCCGTCACCCCTCCACCACAACAAGCGGGTAATGCCCCCGCAATATGATGCTTAACATTCCAATCAGCGTGCGGATAAACGTCAAAATGTTCGTATGGGTCGTTACCTGCCGGTCGTGGGTCATTGGCGTTGCCTTCCGATACGTTGCGTATTACCGATGGAGTTGACGGCGTCCTCACGATAACGCGGATCAGCGCAAGAAGCATGCGGCCTGGTGATATATTTGAAGAACGGCTGGCGCAGTTGTGATGTGGTCATCACCGCCCATACATCTGCCGCATACCCTGAGCCTGACGAACCGCGGCCAACACATCGATCTTTCGACTTTGAATCTACTGAATCTCATTTCTACTCCTACGGAACGGATATCATGACGCAAGGCTGGCGACAACTCGATGTTGGTGTGATTGGTGGCGGGATAGGCGGCATGTCAGTAGGCATCGCCCTCCGCCGTGCCGGGCACAACGTCACTATCTATGAGAAGCACGATTTTGCCGGTGAGGTCGGCGCATCGGTTTCTTGCGCAGCAAACGGTACAAGATGGCTGCATGAGTGGGGAGTTGATGTTGCGAAAGGTGACCCTGTGGTCTTGAAGAAGCTCATCAACCGCGACTGGAAGAGCGGCGAGCCAGTGTCTACGTTCGACCTTGAGGACTATGAAGAGAAATGGGGATACGTGTACAATATGTTTCATCGCCAGTACATGCACAAGATGCTGAAAGACTGCGCTCTGCAAGAGGAAGGAGAGGGTACTCCTGCGAAGCTGCTTCTTAACCACGCTGTAAGTGCTCGATATTTCGCATCATGATAGTCGGCTGATTAGAATCCAGTGTGAAAGCATCGATCTCAAAGCAGGCACGGTCACATTTAAGAACGGCGTACATGCAAAACACGACCTGCTTGTAGGAGCAGATGGTATTGGCTCAGCTGTGCGTGGCATTATCGGGATACACCCAGCTAAGCGTCCCGCTGATTCGAGCTGTCTACACGCCAACGTTAACACCGACCAAGCCGTCAAGCTTGGCCTCGTCGACTATTCACAAAATGCTGCTTTGGAGTACTGGGGCGGCCAGGAAGGCAAGTGGGACAAGATTGTCCTCTCCCCTTGCAATGGTGGCAAGCTGCTTTCATACTACTGCTTCTTCCCACGCGAGAAGGGCGACTACACGACACAGGCATGGGGCACGGAAGACCTACCAGTTGAAGAATTGCTCGCTCCTTATCCGGAACTGGACGCGCAGGTCAAAGCACATCTCGAGATTGGTATCGAGGTACAACCTTGGAGGTTGTGGGTCCATGAGCCCTACCCGTACATCCAGAAAGGAAACGTCTGCTTGTTGGGCGACGCAGGTCACCCGGTTTGTACTACAAGCTCTTTTGACTGCTCTCAACTAACACACGCAGATGATGCCTCATCAAAGTCAAGGTGCATGCATGGCCATCGAAGACGCCGCTGCCCTCGGGATCATCTTCAACAAGTCCTACTTCCAAGGCGATGTACACGAAGCTCTCGAGACCTACGAGAAGGTCCGATTACCGCGTGCCACACGCGTCCAGGCTGCTGCTGCGAAAGCGGCCTACAACATCAACGAGCGCATTGGATTCTCGGCGAACAAGGATAATTGCTCAACATACAAAGTTGCGAATGAGAAGGAGAAGCTAACGATCGAGGAGATGAACGCATACGACATGTACAAGGACGTCGAAGAGAAGTTGACTCAGATCAGAGGCGAGAAGTTCCTCGCACCATTCATTTCCGGTCTGCCGATTGGGCTCGAGATGCCTAATGGTGTAACTGTTGGAGCTTGAGCGGCGACTCACTGTGAGTCGACTTGTTGAGATCTATTCTGTGTTGTAACTTTAGCGTCATATTCGAACTTCCGGATTACCAGTTCAGGTAGTAGCCTACTTTGAGGTCTTAGTAAGACGTGCAGCCGCCCTTATACCTATACGAGCTTCTGCTAACCAAGAGCGCGTTTTGTGTGCATAACTCCACGTAACCACAATTTCGCATCTTTATCTCTTCCATCCCACACAGTTCACCCACCTCCAAGATTGCAGATTAATGATCATGTCGTATGCAACTTCTGCTTTCGATGAACACGTTCGGAAAACCATCGATGAATGGAATGTACCAGGACTCGGAATTGCGGTTGTACAAGGCGACCAGATTCATGCAAATGTGCTTACTGTTCCTTGTTCAATCTTGAGGCACGCTCACAGAACTCTAGGGTTACGGCGTAGCTCATCTCAACGGCGAATTATGCACCGAAGATACGCTCTTCGACTGTGCAAGCACTTCCAAATCTTTCACTGCAGCATGCGTCGCGCTGCTCGTCGATGATGAAGCGTATCCAGACGTGCAATGGCGGACACCAGTCTCCAAGCTGTTGCCTGACGACTTCGGTCTCCCAGACCCGTATCTTACAGCCAACGTCACCATTGAGGATATCCTCAGCCACCGGACTGGGGTTCCAGGACACGATAATGCGCTCTTCGGCCAAAAGGCTGTGCAGCCAGACACTGCAAAATCTGTGACGCGGAAATTGAGGGATTTGCCATTCAATAAGCCGTTGCGAACTGACTACCAGTATAGCAACATTATGTATACGGTTGCTACGCATCTCATTGAGACCGTCACGGGCGAGTCGTACAGCGAATTCGTGAGGAAGAGGATCTGGGAGCCGCTCGGCATGTCGAACACCTACCAGGATATCACCGGTGTCGAAGCCGGAAATGCGAAAGATCGTTTGGCGATGGGCTATCATTGGGACAAAGAGAACAAAGAGTATTTCACTATTCCATCGTACGTACAGCCTGAAGGGCAGGGTGCAGGATGCGTCTTCAGCAGTGTCGGCGACTACGCAAAATGGGTGCGGGCGCTTGTCCAGCGCTCTTGTCCGTTGTCAGAGGAGGCTCACAAAGAGATGATCAAGGGGCGAATCATTGTTCCGTATGAGAGCAACGACGTGCTTCCGCTTTATGGACACTCTTTGTATGCCCTGGGACTGATTGTTGAATCGTACCGCGGGCATGTCGTGGTCGGCCACGGTGGATCTTTCGATGGGTTCAAGGCCTTGATGCGATTTTTGCCGGGGCAGGACTGGGGTGTTGTCATGTTTGGCAACTCAGATGATGCGTTCTACGTCCTGCAGATCTTGTTCCATCAGTTGATGGACGATGTGCTCAAGGTCCCGCAGGAGGAGCGTACAGATTCGCCTGCGTACTGGCGGAAGTATCATACGGACGAGGAGAAGGAAGAGGAAGAGGAGGACCCAGAAATGTTACCACCCGAATCGCCAGCACCGCTTCCAGTACCCTTGGGCAAGCTTGCTGGCAGTTACTTTAACGCTGGCTATCGCACTTTGGTGCTTGCGCACAACGATGGAAGATTGAAGGCTGACTGCACGGACAGATGCATGCCCTTCGACCTTGAGTTCCATCATCTGTCTGAGAACAAGTTCGCTGCTGAATACAAAGATCTGCTAGACAGAAGCAGACGAAAATTGAAGGCCGAGTTTGAAATTCGTGAAGATGGGGTGGTCCAGAGTATGGGTATAGCACTGTGCGATGGGATGAAGGATGAGTTGATATGGTTTCAAAAGCGTAGATAGCATTATTGCAGTCCATCTCAGAACATGATTATGCACGAACTGCTTAACATGAAAGTTGGCTTTGGCGAGAGATCGCGTCAACGCTTCTAGAGCTCAGCGTATGATGACGTCATCGTCGATTTTCGACACCCCTGCACCTGCCCTTCTTATTCTGTAATGATGACAACAAATGCGAGATGCAGGCTGGCAGACCAGCGTTCGGTAAGTCATCACTGCACACCTTCGTTACATCGTCCCAAACTTTAATAACGCCAGAATGGCACCTGCACAACCCAAGAACATCGCTATCGTGGGCGGCTCACTAGGCGGCCTCTTCGCTGGTGTAGCTTTGAAGCACCTACGGAAAGATCTGAACATCCGCATCCTTGAGCGATATCCGGCGCCACTGCTTCATGATCAAGGCGCTGGTGTGGTCGCCAGCCAAGATGTACAGGAATTCTTTAGGAAACATGACAGGACGAAGACGCCTCTTACAGTTACCAGCCACGAGCGGCTGTATCTCGACAAGAGCGGGAATGTTATTAATCGCGAGAGCAAAGAGCAACATATGACGAGCTGGGACCTGTTGTACCATCTCTTACGGGCCAATTTCGATGGAGTCGAGTCCGAATATGCAAAGGCACCTGCATCAGAGGCGAATGAAGGGACAACTACGTACGATTACGGCCACCAGGTCGCCGATATCAATTGCAAAGGCGCAAATGCTCTGTCAATCAAGGCAAATACATCGACAGGGAACGAAGTCACAATCGACGCGGACATGCTTATTGGCGCTGACGGGCCCAGCTCCACGATCCGCGGGTTCATTGACCCCAAGATCCAGAGGAAGTATGCTGGCTACGTAGCTTGGAGAGGCACGGTTTCAGAGAATCAGGTGTCACACTCAGCAATTGATGTATTCGTTGAAAAGTTCCCTTTCTTCCACACCGAGGGTATTCAGATCCTTGCGTACACAATTCCTGGACCAAATGGCACTGTCGAGCCGGGAAAACGGCTATTGAACTGGGTCTGGTATGTCAACTACAAAGAAGACTCACCTGAGCATATAGAGCTCATGACGGACAAAGACGGCAAGAGACATCATATCACTCTTCCACCTGGTGGCATTCAGGAGAGCCTATGGGAACGACGGAAGAAGATTGCGAGCGAGCTGCTACCACCACAATTCGCAGAAGTAGTCAACAAAACTGAGGTGCCATTCATCCAAGCCATCACAGACGTTGTCAGCCCCGTCGCGGTATTGCCAGGCGACAGTCGTGTACTTCTGATTGGTGATGCACTTGCGGGTTTCCGACCACATACCGCAGCTAGCACGAACCAAGCGGCAATGGATGCCATGGAGCTTGCCAAGGCCGTCGATCGAATTCTTGAAGGTGAGAAAAGAGATAAGGTGTTGAAGAATTGGGAGGAGGGTGTCCTTGACTACGCCAAATCTATGCAGAAGCATGGAGTTGACATTGGCAATCGTAGTCAGTTTGGTTTTCATCCGCTCCAAGGGTAAGGATAGGAACATAAAGTTCAAGACTTGGTGCAATGCGTGGATCAATTTTTTTAATACAGTTGCGTTGGCCAATTGACAGTCCCTGTGCATACTCATTTGTCACTTCAGCAAAATCTCAATTTTACATCGAACTCACCTCCACCTTGTGTCCAGAGGTTGCGCTTCAGTAGCGATTTTCTGTAAGAGGGTTCTTGGGGGAGAAACAATCCTTACATTCAACACTTTACACCTTACCTAATCCCCTATCGCGACCCTGCGTACAATCGCGGCTTTGACACGTCCAACTCAAGATTCTGCTATTTACACACTCCACTTCGAAGTCTCTGCATTGATCAATACCTCTATCCAGCCGCCAACAATGGACAAGCAAAGACCAGTGGAGCCAACGGAGACTGATCATTACTTTGAGCTGAACCTGCCCAACAACGCCACTGCGGAAGCAAGCAAGAGAGCCTACAAGGATCTAGCCCTCATTCATCATCCTGACAAACTTTCGGAAGGCGCGAGTGACGCGAAGTCCAAGAGAGTCTGTCTATTGCTTCACCACCTCAGTTTAGAAGACTTACAAACATGAATAGGTATGACAAGCTTATGAACAAGAAGTTATGCAAATCTGAGAAGAGAGCCGCGATGAGGTACTCAAGGATGCGGCACTCGTTTTCCTTGAAGCGGTTGGCTCGAAATTGAAAGCAGAAAGGACAGAGTCGCGCAAGCGAAAGTTTGCACCTGAATCGGGAGACCCCGGGCGCCTTCCTTCACTGGTCAACGATCTCTTCGCCAAGCTGGACGCAGGAAGTGAAGAGAAAGAAAGGGTCCGCTTTACTAAAAAGCGAAAAGCTTTAACAAAAAATTGACAGGTACGAGGAGGAGGGTTATGCAGAGGTGAATATATCGAGTTCACTGTTGAGAAAGGAGATCTTGGGTCTTGGGGGCTCAAACTCGAGTGCGCAATCTGAATGGTCGTTATCTGATCGAAAAGCGTGGATTTCTCCATTAATCCAAAGGGCGGAGTGATTGCATCCTATACTTTCGTTTGTACCAGTGCACAGAGCTGCAACATACATATGCTTTCACTGTAGCTCGATGTGTGTCCTTCCTTTCTTCTGTCCTTGCGTTGACAAGCGCAAAAACTACGCTAATTTGACCAGCTGTCTTTCGCCGATTCCAACGCCGACTAGTTGCAAACCTCTGCCGTTGCGCGCCTGTCTCGACTATGGAGCACCGGATGCCTGTGGAGACAACAGTTGCGGTAAAATGATCAGAAAGCGCAGGAGCATCTAGCTTCATACGAGGCAGAATTGGCTGCGAAGCGAAAGGCTGAAGAAGAGGCTGCCGATAGAGGAAGGGTAAAGCAGAAAGTTGCAGCTTCCTTAGCTGCGTCCAAGAGCGCAGCCGAAGATTTCAAACAGCGAGTGGTAGAGCAACGAAGATGCGAAGAATAGCAGAAGAAAGACGTGGCAGAAAGAGCTGAGAAGGCACGCGCAGAGCGAGAGTTCAAATATTTACAAGAGCTCGAAAGGCAGCGGGTCCAATAGAAGAGGGAGAAGCAGTCCAGAATCTCGCTAGCGAAAGAGCACGCACGCATAATGCATGATAACTACGCCAGAGGAAGACATACCTTCTCGATGGACATTTTGTCGAACTTGGCTGGCAGAAGAAGTCCGGATCGGCGACCTGCGACTTCTGCGACACAGTCCTCCGGCAATACCACATGGCGTGTCCGACCAGTGGCGCAACCGGCTGTGAGTCTTATGACGCGACTATCATTGTACACTCCAGCTACATCAACGAACAACAAGGCTGAAGCTCCTCAGTGGAATTACGCTGGCAAGAAGACAGGCAAGAATCATCCATCTGTCGTATCAAAACAAGTAGGTGCGCAGCGACAACGGCCCTCTCATAACTTTTTCTCGACTCTTGATGATAACGACGTCGACGAATAGCAGCAAACTCAAACAGGCCATCGGAGTTGCCCTGTTGCCGTTCATCGAAGATGAATGACTCGAGATCGCTCTCTAGGAGGTCTTACTGACGCAGCGCGGATATTGGGATCGCTTATGGGCGTGCGTGAGCTGTTTAGTTTAGGTATGAGCGTTTAGAAGCCTTCGAACATGAACAGATCGAAAATGGATGTGTGTGTGTATGTGTGTTCGATATATACATACCGCGAAAAAACATCTCATTACAGCATCATACAAACTATATTCCCGAATCGCCCTCGATCAGGATACCATTAGGCCAGTGCTCCGCGTGGTACTTCTGCCAGTCTGCGCAACCTTGCCGCATAGCGCCGAGGTTGCCGTTGCTCTTCAAAATTTCGTCTTTCCTCTCGACGAACTGGACACCAAGGCCTCCAGAGATGTGGAACGGGATGTGGCAGTGCATCTAGAATGTTTCATTAGCACTGATCTCTGTGTCGTGCTTAGTTGTGGAACTTACCAGCCATGCGCCGGGGTTGTCGGATTCGAATGCGAGCACAAGGTATCCAAGCGCAGGGAGCGTAGCCGTGTCGCGTCGAATTGGGTTATTCATATTCAGAGTTGAGATGTCGCCATTCCAAACAGCATTCGCTTTCTGGGCCAAAACGAAAAAGTCGTGGCCGTGCAAATGGATGGGATGAGGAACAGGGGGCGCGGTTACGTTGTCTTGCTGAATGACCCAGTATTGCCACTATACAACATTAGATCCAACCACCCTCCAGGAATCGGAAGGTTACTTACTGCATGCCCTTTGTCGCCGACTTGGAACACATTCTCAGCCTTGCCCCATGTCTCGTTACCAGTGAAGCCCTCGAAGACTGTCTGAAGAGTGGGCTTGTCGAGGTCAATCAACATGGGTACATCGTTGACCTTCCACTGAACAAGATCGCTCCCGTTGAAGCCTCCTGTGTCAGTAAATGTGAGCTTCAGCTCCTCGGGAACATCTTGAGGAACATTTGTTTTAACGTAAGGGACGATGACCTCGTCGTAACACCCAGCGGGTAGAGGCGCGGCAGCAGTCGAATTGGGATTGACCTCGTCGGCGCCTGCGTAACGAATGATGCTTCCGAGGTTGGCAGCATTCGCGTTCGGGCCGTCACAACGTCCACCTGTGCCGACGCGAAGCCAGTAGTTACCAACAGACTGGGTTGCGTTGATAATGACGTCGTACCGTTGTCCTGTTAACCGGGTGGCGGGTCAGTGAAACGTTGCTAGTGTGTTTTGAAGTTTACAGTTGGGGTCTGCTGCATGCAAGCGTGCATATTCGCGTGGGAGATGAAGTTCGGGTAAACTTACCAACTGCAATGTTGAGGGAGGTCGCCTGGAAAGGCTCAACAGGAACGAAATCTGCTGCAATGACTGTGAATGGGTGGCCGTCGATGCCAACATGGACCCAATTGTTAATGCCCATGTTCACGAGGCGGAGTCGGTGAGTCTTTCCTGGTGTCAAAGTAGTGACCGCATACTGACCTCCTACAGTTGACGTCATGGATCCGTTAATCAACAGATTGTTCGCCGTTGGTGGTCCCTTTGCATGGAGAGTTGCATGATTGACTGTGAAGGTTGTTGCGTGGAACCAGTCGCTGAATGGCAGAACACCAAGATCGAGATCGTAATCGCCTGTCGCGGGTCCATGAATGACAATCGGACCAACCAGGCCATCTCCGTATTGGACTGAATAATGCGAATGATACCACTGCGCTGATTAGAGTCAATAGGAATATTCGTGAAGCGTTCAACTCACTGATGTGCCATATTGCGTTGCTTTGAATCGATAGACCTTGGTTCCCCCTGGAACGATTGGGCATTCCGTTAGGCCGTTGGTGCCATCCATTTCGTTCGAACCAAGCTGTCGCAATCCGTGCCAGTGGATACCGGTTCCGTTGTTCTCAAGATAGCTGGTGACTGTAACCTCAATCTCGTCTCCCCAATCGGCCTCGATAGTCTATTCTAGTAAGTTTGCTGTGCCACAATTTTGATTTTGCACTTACTGGTCCTGGATACTGGCCATTGAAAACCGACATGGGTCGCTCGAAACCATCTGGTGCCATTGTGACATTCGTAATTTCAAGGTGGTACTACAGGGGTCAGCACATGCAGCTCAAACGTATATTGCCTCAGCAACTCACTTTCCTGACTACTCCAGTTGTGGGCCATTGGAGATCCATGTCAGTGTCAACATTGTAGTTGCCTTTCCAGCAAGATCTCGCTGCCGGTCCATGGTTGCAGCCTGTCGGGTAGCCATCATCTCTTTTGGTAACACTCTTCGCTACAGAACCGGAATAGAGACCTCTCTCTTTCCATGGTACTTCTAGACCAGAAAGTGCGCCGTTGCTTGATGCGCCCGGTAGTGCCCAAATTGCTGAGGGCACAAGTGCCAGGAGAGCTGTTGCTTTGGCGATTGTCGAGAGCATTATGAAATTATTGAGGTGTAGTAAATGAAAGTATGAGTACAGCCGACAGTGCCTACAGCACCTGGGAAGCGAGTGCTACGATCTCAAATATGAGAAGGTAAATTGTGAAGCGGCCTGAACTTCGTGGTGTGGGTGGGATAAGGGGAGTATAATATGCTCGCGGTTGCCTGCCCTGATTCCCTTGTAAAAACGCTGCGATGATCAGTGGACTATCATGGCGTCGCTAGATGGTGTGGAGAGCTGACACCAATAGCAACCATGCCCAGTCTCCCATCTCGTCATGGATACGATGTGCCGCAGGAAAACGGCCCAAGGGTGTCTAGTCTGGGAAACTCCGATGATGCATAGTAGAAATTCTTTGTTGATAAGTGGTCTTATTTCCATACACTTTCGGCACCCAACTGGATATTAGATGCCAAGCTAGGTATCTCAAGCCGTGACAGCAGGACTCTCCTGCATAGCACGGGACGAGAGAACTAGGCGCGGCGTAGTGCTGAGATGGCTGTCCCTGGGAAATGCTGTGATGAGTACATGCATGTTGTCCGTGCGGAAAGTGGGGAACGTGCATGCAGCCGCCTGCGAGGGTTGATGCTGTTGGTGGGTTACACATAGTCATCCGAGCTCTTGAATACGTCAAAGAGCTTTGCCCGATAGTTCGATGAGCATGCTGCTGTCAGTCAGCGGAAGGGTCGTCGAAGAAAGCTCCTTCAAGGACGGGTCGATCTCCACGTCTAGGTCGAATTAGGGTAAGACTCGCTTGTAGATCCCTGCTGTTGGGAGGTGGCGTGCCGGAGCTTTTGAGGGGAGCCGACTGTCAGCACCGAGCACAGCATCACCACCTGATAGCGAGCCAATCCGACCCACAGGTAGAGCGGTCTGAAGAAGACGCCACACGAAACTCAACGTAAATCTTTGTCATGTTGTGGCGTCGTGGTGATTTGTACCGAGGAACTGAGTTCAAGGCATCCCAGAGAGCCGGGCTGACATCTGTAAACAGGGTAAACAACCTGCCGATAGTCGAAGTCTCGGTCAAAGAAGTGTATGGTAGTTGTTGGAGATGTCATTTGCGTGATTTCCATCTCCTGAGCATGGCCTTGAGGAGATGGTATGCACATCAATGGCGGTTGATCGGTCTTCAGGGAAGCTCAAAGGATGAAGATGCTCGCGCCACATCGCGGCTACCTGTCAGCCCAACAAATATCATACTATGCGCGCTGTAAGGCATACTGCAGGCGACAGCTCAGGCGTCTCTCTTTGCCATGACATCTGGCAAAAATCAGCCGTATGAACGAATTATGCGGTATACATTGGCAGGTCTGACACACCATAGGTACCTTTTGACAGGCGGTGAAAACGCCACAATATTGGAAGGAAGGCATGACTTCTCTTACGTGCATGAGGAAGTGAGACAGTTGTCGCTCGCTTACGCGCTTCGATGTAGCACTCGGTGACGAGCAAAGAAGGCGAATGCAGCCTTGTTCTCGTGCCCAAGTCGTACTGAAGACCTCATGTGGTATCCAGATCACACCACCAAATCAGTGGCAGACGGCTATCTTCGGTCTCGTGGAGGCTTGCCACAAAGCACAGTTCGCGTGATGTAATTCCCCGCAGCTCGCCGGGCGGGACGACCCGCATTCTGAGATCGTGGATCGTGGTTGACTGATCGTGGTTGACTGATCGTGGTTGACCAAGTACAGGTTGAGTGAATATCCAGAGTCATGGAGCTACGAAGGCCTCGTAATTATATCTGCGTGGAGTCTTCGGACTTTCAGTGCGTCGGCTTCGCTATTCCCAGCTCAACGCAGGGCGTACTACCAGGGTAACTTCTGTCAAACTCCTAGCGCGAAAACTCTATGTCCGGTCGAATAATTGACGAGGCCGCAGTAGTAAACATAGGCATCTGAGGTGAGCTGTCAACCAGATGTTGGGGAACTACAGGCATGTAACTGCCTGATGTCTCGCAGGTGCTCGTATTGACAACAATAGGGCGAGCTGGGATACAGTTTCAGGGCTGTGTAACATCAGTGACACGAGGAAATCAGCACCCAATGGACAAAAAGGTACCTGTGGCTTTAGCATTGTTGACCTTGTCCCACCTCATGGAAGGGGCCGCAGCAAGATTGGCACAGTCGTGTTTGAAATTCCATGGAGATGTGGTTTTTATACTCAACGAGCATCTATACAAAGGACTCAGGGGAACGTACCACAAGGGTGAGGCTGCAGGGCTTCGGTCAAGCTTTAACAGTGGTGTCTTGTTTGGGTAACTAATTATGTTAGGGTACCACTAACCGCTACCGCCAGGTACAAGCATTCCGGACAATAGAACCACGGAACCGACCAGACGATCTCGAAATGCAGCTTATACCATTACAAACTTCTTAAGCCACGACCCACAGCACTGTGCAAAATGCGGTAGGGAGATGCGATGCGAATGCGTCAGGCGCTGAACTATATCCTCAACTCATGACGACATCAGGAGTGTGTAGGAATCTCCTCCGACGTTAAGAGCTAATGCTATGCAGAGATCGCCATGGAAATGACCACTGTGTGCCTAATGGTGGGTCAAGCAGCCTGGAATGTAAGAGAGAGCGGATCCAACATTCGACATCAGGAGTACCGGAGCTCGGCTCCGCAACGTACGCTACCCCATACCTCTTTAGCGGCGAGCTTTTACACCCAACATGATTGTTGCTCGATTTTGAATCTGCTACACTGACTGACAGAGCAGACAGGGTGTAGCCTCTTCTATATTGGTTTGCCTTGCTGTTCGCCAGCAGTTGGGTCACTCGCAGGCGAGGTGAGGTCGTTTCCCCGCGATTGCCGCATCATGCACGCACTGGCCAGAAAAGGTTGGGTCATCTTGCTAGTATCGGAGCTTGCGGATACTGTTGAAGAGCCTGCCTGACCGTTTCCATAATCGCTAGGACCTTTTCTTCTTGGTGGCTTTGGCCCATGACCTGCAAGCCAACCGGAGATCCGTGGAATATGCCCCTGTCATCTGCAAGATCTATGTCAGCAAGCGCAACTTTTAGCTAAATGTGAGTAGCACTAATACATCTTCCAATTTTCCATGTTCTTCTCGTTCCGTAGACTATGCTGAAATAGCTCGGGGCCCAGAGACTGGTCAGTAGAAGTAACTGGAACAGCACCTATCGTATAGTCAACAAGGTTTGGGACTGCGGTATATGCTTCTATATGTCAAGTTGTGCCTGAGAACAAACAAAAAGTCGTACCGTAGTGCTTAAACGAACCCTCAAGTGCTGCGGTATGTGTAGCAACGGGTAGGATCACTCTATCGACAACTCGTCCACCCCTTGTAGGTTTGGACGTTGACTTCCAATACTTGTGGTAGTTACGTACGTAGTCGTTTTTCGTCTGACATAACTTTCAGAACTCCGTTGTCGGTAGTGGATCACTCTCCTTGGCGAACAGTTCTGACAGCTGAGGTATAGGAGATTCGCCGCTTGCTTGTACTGCATCTCTCACAAGTTTACCAGCTGTGGAACCTAGGATCTGGAATTACACACTAAAGTCAGAGAAGGAGCCGAGCGAGGATACATGGTTGAGATGATTTAATATACCAACAGCTTGCTCCTAGTTCGATGAGGAGGTGGCTGCCATTTGATGACTTCACAGCCCTGTTGCAGGAGTGCTTCTGTCACTACTCGCATAGCTCCTTGAACAGGTGGATGCGGGTACATTTCTTCTTCAGTAGCCATGACTGTAAAGACAAGGCGTCCGTCGCGCTGACAAAATTGGCATATCTGATCAAGCGTGCTCTTGTACACATCGTCCCTCCAAGGTAGGTCGATCACTTTGTGGTCATCTTCCCACACCTTGCAGTTATATCCCACTTCATGATCTGCGTCAACGATACGCGATTGGCGCACATCGGACCAACAACACTATTACCTATCGGCAGACCAGGTAAACTATGTGCAAGACCGGTTGCGGAGACGCGACTGAAGCTCGGCCGCAACCCCAGAGGTTGCTGAAGATGGTTGGAATCCGAACAGATCCTGCGATATCAGCGTCCCATCCGAACGGTGACCCTCTCAACGCCAGCAGAGCACCTTCCCCTCCGGAAGCTCCTCCCACCTGTAAAGTTCTGTTGTACAGATTGAGAGTCGAACTGATGATGTTGTTCGTCGATTCACCGATGAACACGGAGGTAGGCACGTTCGTCTTTACGGAGACTATAGCCCCAGCCTGTTTGAGCTCTGCACCAGGAGTCCTTCGTCATCCTTAGTCTTCGTATCGCCAATCCAGCTATCGTAGCCCCGACGCTGTCAAAACCTTCGACATGGAATCTATCTTTGAGGCTGATGGGGAGGCCATGGAGCGGACCGACGGGCTGTCTAGTGGTGCGCAGTACGGAATCCAAAAGTTCAGCGCTTTCATAGGCCTCCTTAAAGCGGATTTCTGTGAGACAGTGAGTCTGTTGCTGATTAGTGATGTTGTCTCTGTGTTCGGAGCTTGTGACAGAAAGCCTCCATGGTCTTGACCGCAGTCCAGGTTGAGCACTGCACATTCTTCAGAACCGTTAACGCGCCCGCGGCTGTAATTTGTTGCTCTCGTGCATCTAGAAAGGTGGTGACGAAGGAGGTAACATCCTTAAAGTTCGTCAACGGATGGTACATCGATATTGTTCAACCACCATTTCAGAGGGATTGCTTCGAGCAGTGATATTATGACTTGCAAAAGATCCTGACCCCCCTGCTTTTCTGGTTACTACATACACTAGGCATACACTAGGTGGGACTTTCGGGAGTAAGAGATGACCGGGGGCACCGGAGGGGTATATATGTGGGTGCTGGACCCTGACCCGTACCTTCACCACCACTCACAGCCTGTAATATCGCCAAGCCTGTCATCATACATAGCATCATTGCTACCACCTCTACCATCTTGCTGTCACCACTACACATTGCCTGCTCTCTCCTATCACAACGCTGGAATCCAAACATACCATGCCTCCAACTATCAGATCCAGCAAGCTATTGCGATCACATTAATACTAATATTAGCCCTAAGGACAACAATGTTGTGTAGGGACTGATTGTACTCGGAAAAACCGGGGGGTCAGTATCTTTTGCAACTCACCGATACTCTTTTCAAAATGGCAATTTGCTGCCAGCCCCTTGCACTATTGGACATGGGTTCAGAACAAGGCGAAAGAAAGACTCGCGGGGCATGTCCCGTTGACTTCAGAGGTGTGCACACCATGTACCTTTGTAACCACGTTGCTTAAATCACAGGATATCCTATTGTAGTAGGCACTGCCCGATGGCAAGTGCACTGACCTCCGAACTGAGAGCTCGAAAAACAACATCATCGAACAACAACACAGATAGCAAAACAATCTTTGAACACTGCTTCCAACCAACACTGCTCATGCAGTTACAACCTTCGTACTTACACGCTCAACTAGCGCAGCCGAATGTGGCCTGAAGCGTTCGAGACCACACAATCGCGATCTGCGAATGTGCCCCACCTGCATCAAATGAATTCCAACTCCGCAGGTATTACCATCGAGAACCCGGAAATTCGATACGACCTCGAAATCCCATGAAAATCACCAACCGCCCTTGCTTCAGGTGTGTCTAGCAACGTCGCAGTCCGATCTCGAAATTTCTGGTCAGATCAACGATGAATTGTCTCTGGCGTTTGATTGAGAAGATCTTCGTCACAAAACTTTCCTATTCGTGAGCTGCTACGAGCCAAGACAACAAGAGGTTTACCTCCAGGGGCGTGGAGATGTCCAAGAGGTGTGATGAGAGGATATGGGGATGTGAGTTGACTGATATTGTTGATGCTACTGTGAAGGAAACAGATTCTATATATGGCGCAGGTATGCGCAGGTGCTGACGTAATGAGCTGGCCATTGAGATGGGCGATAGCTCCATTGGACAAGGTGATCAGACATGAGATCAGCGAGATGTGATTCAAGATTGGTGGAGAAATGCTCCGGTAGGGCTACCAATACACATAAAGTTTTTCCTGACTCCATCTCTTTAAAGATTTACGCAGATTGAGCACCCTACAAGCGTAGACATTACGAAAATGAGTCCTGCGGGAGGTTTTCAATTTGTCGATGGTGATGTCCGGAACGCTGGCAAGCGAATCGAAACAACGCACCGAAGGAAACCAATCTCTACAATATTTGTTTCTCCGCTGCACTGCATCTCTTCCTGACCAAACGCCAGTTCATGGAAGAAGCATCTCCAGCTGAACTTGGTCCGCCTCATCCATCATTGTGCTACAGAAGAAACCGGCAAAAACATGCTCTGGCTCTTGTCGGACTCAGGAAATCAGAATCAAGTAATCAGGCGTGACCTCCGCTAGCACTCTTGTGGCACCACTCTGAAGGCCTCCAGGGTCCTCTATTAAGAGCTAAGGGCCGTCTGCACTGATTGCTCCAATTCTGGAGTTCAATGAGGAGGATTGGTAACGTGAATGGCCATGTTCAAGACGCACTGCACAAGGCCTTGTTTCCGGGTTTCTCGATCGCGCGAGAGTGTGGGTAGGTCCATCTGCGATATTTCATGGCTTTGCTGAGAACACAGACGAAAATGATCTCGAAGCTAAGATACTTCAAATCCTCGCCAAACCCTGGGTATCTTGAGTACAGGTCTAGTCGCTCTAAACGCTGCAACAAAAGACCAAACAACCAAAACGCCGGCTCTATATACTGTATTGCAACCAAAATAATGTTGGCTAATTTTTGAGAGAGTAAAATAATGAGGAGTATCGAAACACCTTTGTCTGCAGTACTCGTAATACTGTCACCGTATGCCCTTCAATGTGGCTCATTGTGGACTGCTTGTGTCGTTGTTTGTGGATTGACGAGTGCACTGAAGGCCTATCCTTCCAAGTCGATTCGCAGATCTGATTGTGTTTTTGAGTCTATAGGTGCGCCTTCGTAGCCCCACAGGATGTCTGACATGATTTGGAGATCCATCGTGTTGTCTTGTACGAGCATTGTTGCCCGGCAAGACCAATCTACAGTGGGACTAGAGCCTTTTGTTGATGGGTCGTTAATTTTAAACGGACTTTCCGCTGTGGTGATAGTCCAGAAACGGTCTTATCTCTTGTCTTGAGGGATTGAGTCGACTGAGCCGGAGGTTGGAGTGGACCCATATCGAATCCGCTAGCTTGCAATTGCTGTAGGATACTGTTGACTTTGCTGTCATTGAGATATCGGTCTTGCAGATCTCGCACAGCCCTTATGATAGACAACTTCTGGTCTTCGAGCGCTGCGATGTGACTAATGGTCATGTTAGTTTGTTGAACCAAAGATATTTCCTCGGACATTCATCAAGGGCAGGCGTACCTCCTCGAAAGTTCTTTATCCATAAGTTCCGCGTCCGATCCTGCAAACGACACCGTCTCTTTCGCAACGAATGCAGGGTAATCGGCCATTGCACCTCACCTATTTGCCGCTGCAGCGATCGTGTGCTTTCCTGGCCCGAGTGCGCATCTTTTCAGATGCTTTTACATCTATCACGGTTAGGGTACTCCTGTCTGTCGTACCTCACCTGCCATGAGAGTGACTGCCACGTCACATTAGCGTTGTTTACAGCTACTCACCTATACATCCTGTTCGTAACTTCACCCATATACAACCTCGGTTCAATCCTTTAATTCTTCCCACATGCGTACTGTCCACGCTCCCCGACAACATCGGTGGCCACAACCTTAGGTTCTGGTAGTATCATGAACATTTCTGCAGCTGAACAAGATGAGGCCTCGTCTTCGCAACTTGCCCTGAGTTTTGTAGGTAGAAGGCTGTCAGCGTCCAGCTCCACTTTCTCCTGGGAACGTTAGCTTGCGCGTTGTCTGGCTAATTCTTAACGTGAGGATACGCTTCCGGCAGTCATTCACCCGCATTTGCTCAACTGTCATAGGTAAGTTTCAAGCCACCGCAAGGATATCCTTTCTTGGCTCCCACGAATATCCTCACTTTTGAATTTCTTCACTTTGAAGTTGTCGCGGCCCCGCAGCGATACAATAAGACCGACCTTTCTGACCCTCGGGTCCTAAAGGTTATATATACCGCAACAGACGTTATCCGAGCGATCAAAAAACCAGCTGTGGGTGAACACGAAGAGGAAATTACCAGCCAATCGGCTCACGCCGTGACCTGGGAGGGATAGTGACACCACAGCGGCAATGGCTACTTGTTCTTCTTGTTGCGAGTTGCGGCAACGCCAGCATAACCAAACCAGTGATGTACGAACACTTGCGAGCCAACAATCGAGGGTGAAAGGTACATAAGAAACGCAGCAGGCGGCACGCTCCCTTCTCTGAACAAGCGATGCGCTAGGCCGCATCTAGCGTAGTGGTTGATCAGGGTAAACAAGACAATCAGTGGAGCACACCATTACCCTGCCTCTTGAACTGGCAGCCGCTTAATCGTGCTACAGAACAGGTTGATTCGATAGCCAGTGTGACAAGCCTCACTGCAAACGCCCACTCAGCCTGCCTACTACATGACGCTACCTACCAGGCTAAACACCATTGCAAGGGCAGAGACCCGTGGTCCCAATTGCGCAGGAATGTAGGGTCCCGTATGGGACAGCAGAGGTGGTATATGAGGGTAGGTGTTGCCTTACAAGTGATCGCAGCAGCTTTTCGTCCATCCTATGCTCCGTCGTCATGGCACCTTTCGATGTACTTACCAAAATGTTCCGAACTGGACTTGCAAGTCCATTCGAGGCAGAACATACAAATGCGTTGCAAATGATCAACATCGAGCTCGAAGTGTTGGACCACGATGGAAGACGCAGTACAGATAAGAAGAGGAAACGCTACATCATCAAGCCCATTGCAGTACGTTTTTCTCGCCCAGGCAAGAAAGTCACTGACAAGAGTCCAGTTTCGAACGAGCGTAGTATATCCTCGAGAGCCGCGATATCTGACTCCCTGTTCATTCGGAGGCTCCGCTGGTCTCTACGGGATGTCAGCTTGATCGCGCCTGCGATCTTCTGCTAGTCACCCTCTCGGGACGACCCGTCCATCAGATATCACCCCCATGCCCAGCTTGCCCGTACCACTCGTCATCTTCGCTTGGAGATGTCTCGTATCTAAATTTTATCCCTGCCTCATCGTTCTACATACGCTACGCAAGATGTCTACACGAACCGGAACCCCACATATTGCAAGTTGGATAATATGTACATTATGGTCAGTTGATATGAAATCGTACATTGTTACACACGATGGTCATTTTGTTCCTGTTTGACGTTGTACATTCCAATCACCGTCATCTGCTCCCGCCGGCTGCCGACACCCGTGGATTGACACGATGCCGCACGACCTGCCGCACGACCTGTCAACGCCTTTCATGGGTTGTGTCTATCAACACTCCTGAACACAACCCCGCTGTCAGGACTGCTGGCAGTCTTGACACTTGCCACATGGTTTGTTTGTACTTCACAAGCCATGGTGCCACCCAAGAGATTAGATTAGACGGAATGGTGGTCGTAGCATCAGTATTGCCTCCGAACAATCTCTATGTAACAGGTTTGTTGCCTGCTGTATGTAGACGTTGCCACGCATGTCAGTGGTACCCTCGGTGACGAGAACTATCGTCGTAGATCGACAAATCACCACGTTCATCCATCCCCCTTCTCACCCCTGCCAGGCACACAGCATTCTTCGGTGACAATTTGGCCATATATTTACACTTTGTTCTGTGTACCTCATCGCTACACTCTCAACTACATCAAGTCAACGCAAAAAGCGCAACCTCTAGAATGCGTCTCAGCCCCATCATTCTTGCTGCGACAGCCTTGATCACAGCCTCAGCTGTTCCGCTCCCTCTCCACGACACCAATACGCAACGACTCCCAGATCATCCGACTTTCACCCATCATCCAGACTACCCAGCCACAGACATAGTCCAGAAACACAAGTATGTTCCAGAGATTGTGGAGCCTATACTACGGCTGTGCGGTCGAAGCCTCGGGTACCAGGACACAGCTCTCTTATCGCTGAGAGAGATGAACTCAGTTTCGTAATCTTACAAACTACGGAAGGACCTCAGCACGAATTTGCCCTATTACTGTCAGTCTACGTTCCCAGGCAAATTACAACTTGGTCTGCTTGGCCACCTTGACGCTGCTGAAGAACCCCTCACTTTGGCAACTGGACTAGAGACTGGCAACTACTGCATCCAGGCTTTTCTGTGACCTAAGGGTACGGCTGATCTAAAAAAAAAAGAAGGAACAGTTAGAATACGCTAAGAAGGCAATGAATGGTCTTGCGACGGACTGATGGGAGGAATTCAGAAGTGTTGATAAGCTTCGTTATCCGTTGTGTTTATATATCGTCTAAACTTCTCTCCATTTCCTTATTTTATTTGCAGATACCTGTTCCAACCCCTAGCACGAATAGCCGTTACTGTAAGCAGCAGTGTTCTTGATGAGGTCAATGTGTCATACCGCCTATTGAACATCTCCCGGGTACGGCTGCATCTGGTCGAAGATGCGAAGGCAGCCTCCAACATAACCATACTTAGGCTCTGTCATCTCAACCTTGAGGTACGCCTCCAAGTAGCAAACGTTGGCATGAAAACCGGAAGGACCCAATGACTCTCGCAGTCCCTTCACTTCCTCGATTGGGATGTTCTCATCCTTGCGCGCCAGGTCAACAACCCAAGGCAAGTCTGAGAAATCAAAGATGCTGGCGTCTTTGAGATCCCACTCGGTCGCCCTACCAGCGAGATACTTCCAAGTGTTGGGCCAGTGAATATCGTTCTCGCGGCGGAAGTCGGAGCGTCCAAAGAAGTAGATGCTTGCGTAGGTGGGGTTCTGCAGAAGCGGTGCGCTGCCAGAAAGGTTAATCGAGAAGCGGACACGTGGGTCAATAGCGCTGAGTGTCGTCGCAGTCGTACCGCCGATACCGTGACCAATAATGGCGTAAGAGCTGGTGTCGAAGGTGGCGTTGAACTTAAGGAAGGGGAACTGGCGCTGCAGCAGAGAAACGTCGTTAAGCTCCTGCAACACAAGGTCGATGTCCTGGATACGCGTATCGACTGTCTTTGTGACAGTCTCATTCCAGCTCTTGAGATCTGTGAATGGGTTCAGAGCTGCTGGGCCGCTGATTGAGGACTCGTGCGGGTGGTCGATGAGAGCAACAGCCATACCGTTTGCGCTCATGAAACGGGCTAGTGTGCTGTATAAGGACCTGCTAGTACCAGCTTGAGGTTCCATGAAGACAATAGGGTATTTGGATGCGTCGATGGTCTTGCTTCCGCCGCAGCAGGCCTTGTACTTCATCTTCTCGAAGACCCCGCTGCTGGTGTTGCTAAAGAACTGCGCATCCGAGGCGCGCGCAGTGTCAGCCGTCATGTAAAGCTTGTCGCACTCGGAGGTGCAGTCTGCCTTCTTCACTGGCACGAAGAGGCTCACTGCGAGGTCTTGTTTTGCGGCGTTAGTCAGTAGGAAGTTGGCGACAGCGGACTTGTATGCATGCGCGTCGTTGGGACCTGGAATGTAGACAGCATGGATGGGCTCGAAAAGTATGACCGACGAGGTGCAGACGGCGAGGATGATATCGAGGATTCCCATGACTGCGAGTTGCGCGACGTGGCGTCTATGGATCTGGAAGTTGAGAGCCGTTGTGAGGGTTGTCGCTATTACTTTAAACAAATCAAATAAATAAAACCACAAGTTAGATGGAGTGTTATTGTGATGGTAATCGAATTAAGATAACCATTTTGGTGGATGACTACCAAGGCTTTATGGTAAGAAGTATGCTCGAACTCAAAACTAGTATACGTTGGGGAACCTGGAAGGTGAAGTAATGCTTGGCACGCGCGGTTTGAAGTGAAAGCGCCTTCATGTCGAAAGTCCGTGGCAGTGGCCTTGCACGGCAGACAAGGCTTTGGAACTCCTACATTAAAAAAGTACCGCGACCTTCCTCAAATCAAGTCCACAATGCTAGTTATCACACGCGGGTGTAGCACGATGGACGGATGTCGCAGAACATTACCCGTTTGGACATATCACAAGGCACATTCGCAGCCTCAAAATGGATGAGAAATATTCACTGTCAATAATATTTGGCAACACAGGGGTATTTATGAGCTTTTTGAAGATGACCAACGCTGGACATCGTGAGGCGGTCCACAACGCTACTGCTGGAGGTCTTCAGTACAGCTACACATACTCCACAATGCTTACAAGAAGCCCTGCAGTCTCTTCATACTCTTCCGAGATGCAAATAGTCTGCAATTTGGGACTGAGTACCTCCCGCGATTGTGAGCAGGACCATAGGCTTGTTTTCGGCTACTTCTGCTACTCATGAGGCGCGCACTGCGAACTGACCCTCGAGGATGACAGGTAACTTGTAAGACAACAGCGGCGAAGAGCTTGAATGATCGCAGCTAATGACATGCGGGCATCGTGGAAGGTCGTGAAGGAGGTGAAGGAGTTTGGAATTTAGGCGTCGTCTGTGCTCGCGCCTTCTGTCGTCACGCTCAGCGCCAGCCTGACGCTCTTTCAACGCCAACCCGTCGCGAGAGCGCGACGCATCCGACTTGCTACAAACCGGAACGTATGCACGACACCTCACATTAGATAGTCGAGCATGTTGTTGTCACACTTGATCGTGGCATCGACGACACGGCGCTTGACCGGCGACCGCTCTGTCGCAGGCTTGTCAACAATCAAACCAAATCTGGATCAAACCCTTATCGATAGGTGATCAGACCTCTCTGCTGTATGTGCCCTCGTTCATGGATCACATGATTTGATTGTTGACAAGTCTGTTCGGTCGACAGGACTCCTTGCTTGACATCGCTGACAGGGCATTTGCGGATGAGACGCAAAGCCATGGACCCACAAGAGTCTCTCAAGCCATGAGATTTCTTGATCTCTGTCGACAAAGAGACATTTACAGCTGCTCCTGTCCGCGGGAACTACGGGTAGCTCGGCTACCGACGTGGAGATGGTATCAAATGCATTATGATTCAAAACAACATCACCATGTGTTACTATCAGGCAGACTCCTACACTTGGAGCGTTTACGAGGTGAACAGCACAACGGATGCCTTCATCCAACATACTCACAAACTCTTCTTCCTGGGGTTGTAACAAGGTTTGGATACGAAGCACACCGTTTGTCCGATATCACAATTCACGCGCATTGATCTGTTGTGTTGGAAAAGTCTTGATGGGAGTCGTGATGTTAGCGTACAACAGGAGTCTGCCTCGCGGTTTACCCACATGCAGGCTACGACACGCCAAACAAGCGCTATGCCCTTTCGGTTAGCTTGAACCACGCTCCGCCACCTCCTTCGCGCCATCATTGGTTCATTTTCGAGCTTTGTTTTGCAGACTCTCTCGTCCGGACACGAGATGAGGGGCCTTTGTATCAAAACGCCCGCCAGAAGTAGAGTTCGTTGGATACTTTGTTAAGGCGTGCAGTGTATACCCCCACCTCTGCAACAAAGCTCTCTTGGCGACAGAATTGCTGTTGCCTTGGAGATCCTCAAACGCTTATCAACCTTCGAATTTCATATCTCTACTGTCCTATCTCGATACATCCTATTTTCTATCGCGAGTTACAGCAACCATGGAGCCAGCCAGTGCCACGTCCCTTGAGCGACCGCTCCGCCTTCTCACGTACCTAGCTACGGCCATCACGATTCCTTTGAACATTGCTGCAACCATTCTCTCGCTCGAAAAGCAACGTCACCGATGGGCCCGTCGGCACGTCACGGCATACTGCTTCGTCTTCATACCCCTGGCATTGACGGTCGCTGCTTCCTCAATGAGTCTGCAGTACATGAAGAAGCATGGCAAGAGCCCTCGTGCTTTGCACTTCAAGGTCCTTGACCTGGTCTCGGCTCTCGCATACATTGCTGTCCTGATCCCTTGTTGGGTACTTGAGATCCGGGAGTTCAACGCCGGAGGATTCGGACTGCTGACGGGTTACGTTACAGCTCCTATGATTTTGAACCTGTAAGTCATGTCGTCCAGTGAAGTCACTTTACATGCTAATATGAGTAGGTTCATCCACACCTACTTCACGCTGGCCCACATCCCTTGGAAACAGTGCTTCTCAAAGGTGTTTACTTTCAGCCAAAAGGGCTCTTACCAGCAGTGTCCTAACTGCCAGGCCGCGTTCACCTCTGGCACAACTCAGACCACGACAAAGAAGGGCTACAGCCTCCTACGTGGAGAAGACTACCTCGATGTTGAGGCTGACCCAGTTCAGTACCGAGACTCGGAGGACTTCCTCGGTGAGGGTGCCGAGCGTGCTGAGCAGCCTGAGCAAGCCAAGGCAGCCGAGGACAGCGGCAAGGGCAAGAATATGGTTGAAGTCTGACGCTTGTCATCAAGTGAACGGCATGCATGATACAGTGCACAGTGTAAACGTACTCGATACCGGCAAATCGAAATTGGAAAGGTGTAGGCTGGAGGCACTCAGCCCTGTAGGTTTGGTATACGATGGTGGGTTCTGGAAGTAGTCGATGCAATCTTGTTGGCCAAGGACCTGGTGTCAATGTTCGCCGTGTTGGTCCGAAGAAGAACTAAGGTGCTAAGCAAAATCATTGGTTTAGGGGTATATATCATTCATTTGAAGTAGACAAAAACATCAACGAAGCACAAATGAAAAATAATAAAACACCCCGGAAGCCTTCAGTATCTCTCAGCGCAACAGAAAGGTATCAACAGTTAACCCAGGAGGCCTTCAGTCACTCTTAGTACGATATGAATACCTGCCAATGAAAGAAGCAAAGGTCAACAAAATCCATACAATTCCAGAAAAACACTCAACACAACCCCCGGAGCTCTTAAACCCACAAATATTCACCCATACCTCGTCGCAAGTGTATGCTGAAGCCTCTGTGTGTACTCACGCTACTTCCGCAATGCAGCCCTTGTGTTCAGCGTGCTACACGGCGATGTGTCGATCATGCGTAAGTAAGTCAGCCTCCTACCGTAGGTCGTCACGCTCTAACATTAGCTGGTTGCACTGGCCTAACAGCTGCCAGGCCTCATCTTCAAGCTCGTCGGCCCAGACGTCCATCTGGATCCGGTGATTGTCACGATACCAGATCTGGGCCTGGAGGAAGTTGACGTGATGGCGGGGTACTCGTGCTCAATGAGAGCGTTGCCGAGCAGGATCTGGTCCTGCTGGTGACGGGCGTGGAAGTAGTTAAACTCGTCCAGGAGGACTTGACGCTGTCTATGCAGCCACAACGCCTGATCATCGAGGTCGGCGAGGAGCGCATCAGCGCGGTCTGCTTCGCCCAGGAGGTAGTCGACCTCGTCTAGTAGTCACGGATGGTCTTCACTGACTTCTTTGGCGACTGCCAGAAATTCTTCATTCTCATCTTGGAGAGCATTGGATTCGGTCTGGAGATCTTCAAATAACTCATGCAGGGCCTCGTTTGCGCTTGCAAGCTCTCATTGTCATCGTCAAGAGCGTCATGCTGTTGAATGACAGCTTCATGATCGCAAGGTGGGTGTAGGAGAATACAATGGTGTGTGTGGTAAGAAAAGTGGTATGATGGGAAGCTTTAGAGAGTACGATAGCAGTCTGTATAGGCAAGCTGTGGATGTGGAGTGTGTTGGGTGGATACAAGTGTACTAGTGTGTGTGGAAAGGTTGTAAAAGTGGTCAATGATGGCTACAGGAGCTTTGAAAATCGGAGTACAAGTGTGGAAAATTGTAGAAAACTCAGGCAAGCATAAGGGCAAGTTCATATGGACATCTACAAATTTCGAGTGTGAATCGGAACTGTGGTTGCGAAGAAGCCTAAACCAAAGTTGAGTTTGAACGGACGATACTATATTCTCCTGTAAATCGACAAAGTGGGACTAGTTAGAAGGAAGACACAGTTCTATGGTACAAAACACGGGCCCAGGTATACACCTGAACCGAGTAACCTACAGCAGATCAACTGACGCCGAACTCATTACTCATCATCAACCCTCGTAATCTCCCCAGCATCCACCACCGTCTCATCTTCCTTGAAGACTTCTTTTCCCTCACAATACCCAACAACTGCCCTCTGCCACAACTCCACTCCCTTCCTCGTCGCAACCTCCCTATCCCAGCCCCTGATCTCTTTCATCAGTTCTCTCCTCTCTTGCACATCCAAGTCCGTCAGCCTCTTTACTTCCGTTCTTGTCGAGAAGACGATAGTGCCATCTTTGGGTAGCCGCCGGAAGGTCTGGTGCTCGCGACGCACGATAATGTGTTGGGGGAGAAGCGAGGAGAGGTTGCCGGGGAAGAAGTCTTTGGCTTCCTGGATGAAGAGGAGGTGTGCCAAGGGCCGGAAGTCGGGGTAAGTTTGGATGTAGAGTGTGCTGCGGGTGAGGAGGTCTACCAATGGGGTGAAGGGGAGAACGTCTGGGATATCTGAGATAAGTTAGTCGTGATGATGTAGTGGAAAGCAACATGCGGGAGGAGAGACCCACCATCCCATTGATAGATATCCTGGTCTTGCATGTAAGAGAGCGGTTTGCCGATGAGACTTCGCATGCGCCACCCGGCTGGGAAGAGAGTTGCGCTGGCTTGACTGCAATTATCTGTTAGTCTGCCGCTTCAGGGTGCATCGATCAGCCACTTACAGGTAGTACTGCTGCGTAAACTCTCCCTTGAGCAAGATGTTGAAATCCTCCATCGCCAGCCTTGCACACACTTCTAGCGGGTGGCAATCAAACGGACGCACCAAGGACCACTCTTCTTTCGTGATATCGTTACGAATGTGCTTGCGTCGATTGACGGTCTTGATGCTGAATCTTTCAGGATACTTCGAGACCAGCGACCTGACGATCTCCTGCAGTAGCTCTTCGCAAGCGGCTTCACCGTCGCGCTTAACTTGTATGCATTCGATATTCTTCTTAGCGAGGAGGTAGTCGCGCGCCGAATGCATATCCTTGTATGTGTTGTCGACCACAAGCCATTCTTTCGGATCGAGCTTCTTCAAGCCCACAGACTTGTTCTTGGCTGATTTTGTCCTGCTAAGACCGGGCGACGCCAGGGTGTTCTGCTTCACCTCGACCGGAGCGATCGCAAATGGAATGTCAGGAAAGTCGGAGCCGTCACCGCAGTCATCTTGGACGAAGGCTGGGAGTCGAGAGATGCGCTGTTGCTCTGCGAGGAAGGCACGGATCTCCGGGTCAGGCAACTCGTTTGGGTCGATGCCCGCGATGTTCATATGAGGAACTCGCGAGAGGGACGCAAGCTGGCGTGCTGGACTCTTTGGAGGTGTAGGTATAGGAAACGCAGTGACGCGCCTTTGGTGGCCGCGCTGTGGACTGCGATCGCGTAGATAGGCTGGCAGGATGACGAACCTCTCGGGCTCTGGGGCGAGTGCACCTTTGTAGAAGTATAGACGCATCGCGACGGAGCCGAGCCATGCGAAGTAGGCGCAGAGCAAGACGGCGAAGACCAGAAGGATGTATAAGGGTACTGGGTCAGGATCGTCGTACGAGTGTTTTTCCATGGTCATAACGAAGCGGTCAGTTGCAGAGTCGGAGTGACGTACAGAGATCAAGCGCGAAGGTCTGGAGATTGATTGTCCGTGGAGTAAGTTAGTGTAGTGGGGCAGTGGTGAGGTGAATGCAAGCTCGTCGCTTCACTGTGTAATCGCAAGCACCTCGCATTATCATCGTGACCCATTCGCGTAACCCGATATCGAGAGGCAGTATAGAAGCAATAGACGATAGAAGGCAGAGAGGTAGTAGAAATTATGACGCTGAATTGTGGACAAAGCAAATGCTGTGCTATGTTGTGATTAGGGGAATGTCGAAGAGGAAAGAACCCTGACTCAAAGAAGAAGCAGTTTGGTATCATAGAGAAAGAACGCCAAAAGAGTCAAAGAAAGAAAAAAAAAAACTCCAGATCACCATTATGATCCATTTACTGCTCTGGTGACTGCTGCTGTACCAAGGCATCTACCTTCGTGTACAGCTCGCTAGGATCTTCGAAAACATACCAAAGCTCCTTCGGCACGTGCTTAAATGCCTCCTCGAAGCGCTCAGGGTTGTTCTTCTTGCCCTCGTCCATCTCTGCAACACCGGTGACCTTACGGATATAGATAGCGCCAATCCACTTCGGGAACTTCTTGTATGCTTCGCCGTAGGCCTCAGGGTCGGATTGCGTCGAGTCTCCAATCAAGATGAACTTGCGTCTCGGAAACCACTCGTGGACCTTCTCAATCCGATCGACTTTGTAGGCCTCAGTACCTTGGGTAAGGTTGGCCAAGAAGCCTGCCAGGTTCATCCAGGAAGCGTCGCGCAGCAGCATGGTCCCTGCAGGATAGTATGTCTCGCGGAACTGACGAAGGAAAGGGTAGAGGTTGTAGGGCGACGCGGAGAGGTACCAGAAAGGTGGGTTGTCGAGTTTCTGAACAATGTGCTTGTACAGCTCAGGCATGCCCTTGATGGGTTCTGGGTCCTCCGCAAAGGTCGTCTTCAGGATACCGACAGGTGAGGACGTCAGGGTCTTCTTGATCGTGTCATCGATGTCCGAGAGTACGGCCCAACCCTTCGTCTTTGCAAACGTGGTCTTGAGAGGCGTTGCTGTTGCGCCGATCGCTTTCGATGTGATAGTTTCGCCGTCCTTGTAGCCTGAGCCAGGAATAGCGAGTTCATCTGTGCTGATGCCATCACGCCCACTAGGCCCAAGTCTGACTTTCATGCCCTGAAGATCAATGTTGACAGCGTGTGCAGGCAGGATCGCATCCAGGAATGGCTCCAGTCTCAGTGCGATGGTCTTCTTCGCTTCTTCGTCGTCGGCCAGTCCGATCTTTTCGCTGACCCAAGCTACCACTTCAGACAGGTCCTTACCGCTATGTCTGACAAAGTAGGCTGCGACAAACTCAGCCTTCCATCTGCCTAAGCGGTTCTGATAGGCTGTGTTGTCGAGGAGCCATACGTAGTCGGTATCATCGTTGGCTTCGGAATAGAATGGATTATTACGCCCAAGGTAGGAGGAGAAGTTGTCCTTCAAGGAGAACTGGAATCGATTTGCGAGTCTAGGCATGTCGGCTTCGAATTCTGAAAAGTGTCCAGCGCTGCGAGTGATGCGGTCCTCTTCACTCTCTTGAAAACGCTGCCTGGCTTGGCCTGCCATGGCTCTTGCTGGTTCATGTGCCATGTTGAAGGGCGCTGATGATGAGTCTGAGGTACTGTTTGGCGGCTGAAAGTGACGGGTGCCTTATGGGGGGCGAGGTCAGAGGGCAGATGTTTTGCACGAGACGAAGACGCATTAAGGGACGCCATATCAATGAAGTAATACTGGCTGCAGCCTTCTCAGCCCCTCAGGCTTGGTGCAGGCGCATGCAGGTGACGTCTGACGGGCAGGCGTAACTGGGCTGTGGGGCTGCAGGCGGGGACGATCCATGATCATCATTGCCGAGAAGCGAGATCGCGTACAAAAGCAAGTCGTCCAGCTCATTAAGGCACCGGCTCATCACCCCGAGATGCAAGCACTTGCTCGTGCCCACCAGGAAGGATTCCGTACCTCTTCGACATTGTCTCTGCCCTTCTTTGTTGGAACCGAGCCGCACTCGTAAAGCCATGCGGCCAAAGCCTGAGGCTCACACTTGAGCTTGAGTGAAACCTGTGACGCCTGGACTACTTCATGCGTACTACTCACCCCCCTAATGATTTTAACGTACCTTTGCAGCAGTCTGTCAAGCATGCTGTCACGTTGTGTCAATCTCCTTTGGTAGTACGGATTCAGCCAAGGCATCTTTTTTTTTCGACAGGACTATGATCAGTATGAACAGGGCGCTGAACACGCGTCTGGTTGTTGGAGTACAGTGTCACCCGGACGCAGCGTCTGTCATGTGTGTCGAGCTCCACTTCTTTGGTGACTAAGAGTCCCTGCATCACATCAACGGAAGTGCGGGTGCATCCATGCGTACGGTGGGGAGCGGCCTTGCACGGTGGAGGAAGTCAAGTTGGGGTTGATCGCTGGAATAGTTGCCTTTCGCTGAACACAGTCGTCATAGTTCCCTTCAAGCCTCTTGGCCCAGATACCAGGATGGGGGACGCGCACTCTTGCACCGACTTCAAGCCTTCTCGTGACAAGACAGCCGCGCAGAAGATGCGGCAAAGAAGGTGGCTTGCCACACGTAGTACGCGGCGGTTGACGTCTCTGCCGACACTCACATTCTTGGCGGGAAACGAAGCAGCTTTGTAGATGTGTCCGTGCAAGCATAAGCATAGGACCACCGTTGAGTCGCTGGCCGCCTTACCGCCCTACACTGCGAGTCTCACGAAATTACATATCCCTGCTCTGATCACGCTCGCGCGCAGCGTCTCGGACCTCGCATAACCCCAGTATCCAGTACTGCTATATCGCCATCTGTTTGTTGTTCTTATCAACCAACATCGCGGAGCCCCGAGTACCCCACTAACGTAGGTCCTCGCCGCCATGGCTCTTAAGAAGCGCCTGGGTTTGGGCAGCTTAATGCGCAAGAGGTCTTGTGAGCCAGCCAGGCTTCACTCGTGCGCGACACTGTACTGACTGGGCGCTCATAGCACAAGATGTTCCAGCGGACAGCGATGCTGACACACCTGACGCGAACGCCGCTCGAGGAGTGGTGAGTCGCGCCATGATGTGGCTCGGTTGACTGAGCTGATGTGGAAATAGAAGCTGTTCTGCGAAGCTGGCGCCGCCAACTCGGTATGCAGTTGTCTCCTATGCGTCCCTCCTGATGACATGCTAACAGTCGCCAGGGCGACGAAGTCCTCCACCTCCCAACTATCGTCGAAGCCGCCGAGTCCAGTCCTTCCGCTGCCGCCGCGTCTGCCTCACAGATCCACAAGTTCCTCTCCAAGGATAACTACACCCGTCCACATGTCCAATACAGTGCGATCATGCTCATACGCATCCTGGCCGACAATCCAGGCCCGTCGTTCACGAAGAACCTTGACAAGCAGTTCGCGGATACAGTGAAGCGTTTGCTGCGAAACGGAACAGACACAAGTGTCGCACAGATTCTCAAGGAGACACTGAACGCGCTGGAGCGGGAGAAGGCATTTGACACCAATTTGAACGCAGTCTTCGCCATGTGGAGAAAAGAGAAGGCCCTCATGGAGAATGCAGCGAAGCAGTTCGGTCCCCGCAGGCTCGACGCGCCAGGCTGGAGTGCTGGTCAGCAGTTCCAGGCTGGCTTCAGCTCAGGAGGAAGTCGATCGAAGTCAAGAGGGTTGCCTCCGCCAGTTGAGCTGGCAGCGCGCATTGAAGAAGCTCGCACGTCTGCTAAGCTACTTCTCCAGCTTGTGCAATCCACACCACCGAATGAGCTGATCGGCAACGACCTGGTCAAGGAGTTCGCAGAAAGGTGTATATCAGCTCAGCGCAGTATACAGAGCTACATTGCCTGCGATAACCCAACGCCCGACGACGACACGATGCTCACGCTCATCGAGACAAACGAGCAGCTCTCCCTCGCTGCATCGAAGCACCAGCGTGCTGTGCTTCAGGCTCGTCGCGCCATCGGCGCCTCGCCATCACCTCCCGCGCAACAGACACCCCCAATACTGCCTCCGGTCAACAATGCTCCATCAGGAGTTCCAGCAAGTTCATATGACCAGCCGGCGATACCCCAGCGCAACGACGTACAGGCGCCATCACCTGTGGACACTCTGCCTACAGACCCATATCCGTTGCCAAACACAGCACCGTACGGCGCACCACAATCTCAAGCATCCGCAGTTCAGAGCTCGAACAACAGCAGCATTCCTGCATCCCTTCAGGCGGCACCCAACCGCCAAAGCTCTGCCCCCCAGCAGCAAGACGAGGATCCTTTTGCTGACCACTACACATCGACCTACACACCGCCCACGAATCCACGATCAAATGGCTACGGAGGGTCGCCAGACTCGTATCATCCAGGTTACCAGTCAACGCCATCCTACCTGAATCGACAGGAGAGCTCTGCAAACAACCTGACAATGCATGGCGCAGCCATCCAAGAGGAGGATGCAGGTCAGCACCCGCGGACACCAGAGCACAACGCGACTCAGCCACAGCAACACGACGTATCTCCAATTGCAGAGCGCAACACAGTCACGTACAGATATTAGGGTGATGTTGAGTAATAAGAGCGGTTACCAATCAGGTCATGCACACGGACCAGATGCGGACGTGATGTGGGGGGCTTGGTCCGGCTTTGAGCTTGTAGCCGGTAGATGAGTTTTGTTGATACATTTGTGCGGACCTGTTTACTTTTATACTCGAGAAGTCTGATATTCGAGGACAGACGTTTGAATTTGTCGGAGACAGATACCATAGTTGGCCTTTCATGTTCACAATTGCATGTTCCAGATGCGTTGCAGCCGGCAGTACTCCACATGTTCCATGATTAAGCTGATGACCTCATCAAACCCCACGGACACAGACATTCCTATACGACTATGATTCCTTCACGTTACCAACACGCAACACCCGCGTCAACCACGGCAAAGTCATACAAGGCGCCGTAGGCCCGCTTTTGCTTATCCCATGGCTGACATGTTGAGCCTCGCAATGGGCACCACCAATGTGGAAAGCGAAACCGATACCAACCCCACTAAACCACTGAACTGAGGCGGAATCGACCGCACGTTAGCGCCGAAGAATTATAGATCCGTAATCTAGAGGTCTCTGACTAGGTATATACACTACTTCCTCCTACCCGTCCGCCCGCAGTGAGATCCGAAGACTCCCTCATGGCCTCTACTGCCTGCTGCAACAGTCCATGGCTCGCTCGCACCCACAATGCGTCGACACGGTGATCATCGGTAGGCATATGTCGACTTGGGGTGACCTTTGAACGACACCCGCTGATTAATACAAGGCAATGGGCCCTCGGCCCTCATCCTATCCTACATCCTGCACGGCCATATTCCCTACTACATCGGTGGTCACTATGATAGTATTCTCGATGCAAAACTCTCCAAGGACCCAAATCTGCTGCACCTAACGTCAGACCTATACGCGCATTTCCTCTCCTCACTGCGCTACTCGACACAGGCGCTGCCGGTCAACACGCTCCTCGACACCCTCATCCGGCCGAATGCAGATACAGAGATCAATCCAAAGTCATGTGTAGAATGGCGCTACGAGCCGGAGAAGGCGATATCGCACGTTGCTATCGGAGACACAGAGCAAGTGGGTGGGCAATGGGCCGACAACCCGGTCTCTGCGAGCGCCGACATCGGCACATTGAGTTACGCTGAACAGCTCTCGCTCCCGGGGTACTCGTATGCCGATCACCTGGGCAAGGTTGAGCAGGAGGACGATTGCGACTTTGTGCGCCCTTCACGGACCGAGTTTGCTGACTACCTGCGAAACTACCCTGAAGCCGTGGGGATCTCAGATTCGATCTTCACGGGCACCAAGGTCGACAATGTGTACCGTATCTCAGACGGATTCATCATTGGGTCGCTGGGCATACGCTGCAAGCACCTGGTGCTCGCCTCAGGTATCTTCACAGTCAACATCCCGCCTCCTCCACTGCTGGCGCCCATCGCTGAGCTGGACTCGAGAGAAGCGCCGTTGCTGGTCATCGGATCTGGCTTCTCTGCAGCAGACGTTATCATCTCAGCACCACCAACCCGCAGGATCATCCACATCTATCAATGGGCCCCCGACAAGCGGCCGTCTCCCCTGCGCGGCTGTCATCACTCAGCATACCCAGAGTACGCCACCGTATACCGCCAAATGAAACTCGCCGCCATCGCATCAACCAAGAGCCGCAGCGCACGAACGCCCCTCCCACGCCGCAAATCAACTACCAACCCGTTCTTCAGCCAGCGCGACTGGACCTTGTACAAAGGCTTGCCTAACGCCGAAATAACCTCCGTCTCCCCATCTCCCTCCACAGGCACCGCAACAATAACTCTCTTTCTCCCGTCCGGCTCATCACAAACCTACTCAGTCGGCGGTCTCGAGTATGTAGTCGGCCGTCGGGGCACCATCGACTTTCTCTCCGCCTCCCTGCAGGCCGAGATCCTATCTCCCACACTCGAACCAACGCCGACGCAGATATCCGGCCGCACGCTCCGTGCGAAAGCAGAGGCTTCGCTCGAGGTAGCGAAGGATGTGTTTATTACTGGCAGTCTGACTGGCGACTCGCTGATCCGGCACGCGGTCGGCGGCTGCGTGTTTGCTGCGGGTCGCATTCTGGGGGCTATTCCGCCTACGTTTTCTCCTGGCTCACCGACTACAATGACGCTGAGCCAAGCAAGTTCGACGCCAAGGTCTGCAAGTCCGACGAGTCAGTCGAGTCGGACGTTTGATGGGCAGAGCGAAAGCACAGGCACGAGCCCCGTGTCTCACGCATTAAAGTCGGGATTGACGACACCTCGGGAATTGACGAATGGGCATGCGGATTTGCATCTTGATCGGAGGAAGCTGGTAAGGAGTGTGGAGGTTGCGAGCGCGGAGAATAGGTTTTGGGTTGATTCTGGGTGGTGGGCTGGAGGATTGGGGCCAGGGAGATCGGACATGTAGTGGAGCTCGAGATCAGAATTGATGCCATAACACCACTGCAAACCAAACTATCATGCTCCACTGCATTTTCTCGAAGTCCAGCTCTCATTGTTTCGTTGCTTCGAGCGTTGGAAAGTGGCTATTGTGTCGGCGTGCCCGTGAGCAACCCTTCAAGACTGAGATGGCTATGATAGACTGATAACGGAACATACACGCCATGACCTGTATCCAACTCGGAACGCTTCCGTTTTTTTTGACAGCGATCGCAAGAAGCGTCAGCAAGGTTGGTAGAGATTCCCCACTTTGTCACTGGGCTTTTGGCGACTACAGTGCTTTTTAGTCCCATAGTCTTGTTCAATACTGGGCGGAACGTTCTGATGTGGTGCTTTGGCGGGGCCAGTGCTCGACAGAAATGAGCTTCTTGAACAATCTATATACAGTGAAGACTTCCCCATTACGAAACAACGGATTCTATACCCAGCATCAGCGCTAAATGACTTCGTACACCATCCATATTCTATGCACCGCCCAAGAACGCCCTCCCAGCATTCCTACACCTCTCTTTCGTGTGGGCCTCCATCTTCGTTGCACAGAGTATAACTTGTATCTTCTCATCTTCGCCTTCCCCAACAGGCTCGACTCTCACACGCCACTGCGCGCGCCTCACAACCCATACAACCTCCTTATCAGTGTACACGCCACGGCCCCAGACCCATTCCGTGTCATGCTTCAGCTCGAGGTTCCCCGCTGCGTCCACCGCGCCCTCGACCTCTTCCCCATCAAGCGTTAGCGCGCAACCGCCATCGACTCTAACCCGGACTCTCGTTGCCGACTGTCCTGTGAGTCCAGCAGCAGTTTGCGCATGCAGACCTAGGGATTGTGTGGACGGCAGACCCATTTTTGATGTTATTATATTCGAGAGGCTCGTCATGCGCCGCAGTGTATCGCCGTGGAATACGACCTGCGCGTCGAGATTCGGGAGGTTGGCGGAAGAGGATGGAGGGAGGATGAGGGTTGTTGACTCGCTGCCTGAGGTTTCGAGCACGAGGATGTGGTGCGCGGTGGCGTCGTCGGTGTAGGGACGGGCGTACGATACAAAGCCCGCTCTTGGTCCTGTATCCGTGTCGGATGCATTGGGCGTGGGGTCTGGCGCAAATGATATCCCGGACTGTCGTATATCCTCTAGTCGCATGAGGATTTCGCTCTGCCCCCTCTTCAAGTTGTGGCTTATCTCGCAAGGCAACAGTCTCTGCTCCAACCCCTTCAGATGGTAATACCGCGCATCCCTTAGCAAATTCGCTCTATGCGCCTCACTCCTAATCTCGACCTCATACCCCTGCAGCATCTTCATCAACTCGCCGAATGTCTCGCCGCTCTTGTTCGGCACGCTGGGCGGGCTGATGGACGGTGGACGGAGTAGCGCGTTGCGGTCGAGGCCGGGGAAGACTTCCGAGGGCGTGCTGAACCATTGAGCGAAGCCGAGGGAGAAGTAGTTGGGCGAGTCGCCCGGGGCGGAGAAGGAGTCGCGGGGGATGCGGAAGGGTGTGCTGCCGATGGAGATGAAGATGTCGGATTTGAAGAGTTGTTTCGTTAGGCGGGGGACTGGGGGCTGTCAGTGAGAGTCGTGGAGGGGGGGGGGGGGGGGTACGAGAGTAGAACTGTGCGTCTGCGAACAATTTAACGAAGTGTTCGCCGTCGTGAGGGACTATGTGGTAGCCCTGTAGGTGGAGGGCTATATCGCGGAATGTCTCGGGGTCGCGGTCAATGTACAGCGTTCTCACATCGTTGGCGCGACCACCGTTGCTATGTAGCTGTTCGCTGAAAAAATGCGAGAAGTATGAGGGTGCTCTTGGAGTGTCAGCTCAGTCCTTCCATATGAGCATACAGGTGAAAAGTTGCGTACCATCCGAACATAATGATGCGCCAGAGAGGCTGAACAGCACCGAGCCAATCTGTATAGGGAATACTCTGCCCGCCGGCAGCATATCCCCACTGCCAGATGACTCTACTATCCTGCGTGGTTCTGAAACATCGACTTCTCTGCCCTGCGGCCCCGTGCCCATGCTCGCATTCTTGCGCCGCTGTGCTTCACCATTGCCTTGTATACTTGACTGGCTTGCCGAGGCAGCGATCGGCGCAACGTTGGCGATCGGTGACGGCTGAGCATCGGCGAGGACGGTTGGTGCAGGACTCTGCGAGGTAGTGGACGATGCCCGTGACACGGCTCGACGTTTCGAGTGATTCTGCTGCTCGTTCGCGCTCTGTTGAAGCATCGTCTGCAGCTCTGGCAGTGCGTCTGACTTGCGCTTCATCTTTGGGGAGACGGCTGGCCTCTGCGGCAGCGGTCGTGGCGGGGGAGACAGCGGATTAACAAGGAGCGGGTTGCTGAAGTCGTTCGCAGGGTTCTTGCAGTCTCGAAGCTCTTGTATGAGCTCGCCCTGTGGCTCGTAGGGCGTTGGCAATTGGGTGAAGTTTGCCAACTGTGACCAGTCCCAGGCCGCCTGCGCGTAGGGATCGAAGCTATAGTGGCTCGGAACTGCTCCTGGGGCTATTTGTTGCGGTTGCTGCGGACTCTGATTCGGGTAAATCAGAGGTGAGCCTTGCAGAAATGCCTCGTTTGGGGTCGCATAGCCTCCTGGTCCATAGGCGTTGCCCTCAGGCGCATCGTAGCGGCCGTACGCTTGAGGTGGATATGATGCTGCTTGGTCAAAGCTCTGAGGTACAAAGTCCCGCGGATTTGATGCGTCGGGTGGATCTGGCATAAGATCCAATAGTCACTCGATATGGTTTTCCGCAATCTCAAGCGACCGGTAGCCGGATTGCCGACGCAAGCTCCACGGAGAAGAGAGAGAATCTTTGCAATCGCTGATGGAGAGCTGAGTAAGGGCAGCTTGCGGGGAGATTACTGGATGCGGAATAGTGCGTTCTTGCTCGAGGATCCTTATCAATTTTTAACGGTCGATAGCTTCAGTGTCGATGTGTGTGGGATTGCCGGACGTGTGGCTGTACCTTGTTTTGCGGTCGTTGCTGTATTATAGTCGCAGCCATATGCGCCTCTCATCGCGACTTCTCGTCACCGTAGTCATCTCGGACGCAGCGTTCGCACGAACGTAGAAGGGTCCCGAAAAGGGCTGCTTGTGCGCGGCGCCGCGCACGAACAGGCGGAATGATATGTCCCTTGACGCGAATAGGGCTGAGGCTGATGCTGACACACGATCAGAGGTTGGAAATAGGAAAGTGTTGTGGCTTGGCCTACGTTGGCAACTGCCATTTGCTGACGTGAGGTTATTCACGTGCTAACGCCGCTAACATTGGAAGATCGACATTGCATGTCGGAAAGTCGATCACACCGCGAACGTGCGAACAACATGAAGTCGGCCGAACGCTCAACACCGAAAAGGTGTCGTGGTGATGAGATATAGACGTTAAAACGCAGCACACGCCTTGGTCGGCTTGACTCAGTTGGATTTTATGATTACTATTCGAATATTCTTCCAAGTTTCCGCGGAATGACGAACATACCTCGCAGAGTATCATACCAACGAAGAAGCTTAGTTCTCCTGGATGCTGCGTTGGAATACAACCCAATCGCTGGCTTTGTGGAAGACCACGGGTAGTTTCAATAGATTCCGCAGATCCTTCAAATCTGCTACTAGGTTTTTCGAGTATACAATATTGACAAGAACCGAGGTTTTGGCCGCAGTCGACATGGCCATGGTGTGTTCGCCACGAAGGACTTGGCTGTTGGACTTGCTACCAATCTGGAAATATCGTTCAAGATGGTTCGTGGCATGATGAACGGAAGAATCGAAGATGTCAGGATCACGCCGGTCATCGAAGTACTTCGCGTCGAAATACCTCACTTAGGCCTATCGAATGCAGTTATTGATGGGCAACTTCGAAGGAAAGCCATGATCTATTTCATCTGGGTATATCTCTAAGCCACCCATCTAAGAAGTCTAAGCTCTAGGCCTTGCTGTAGATATCAGCATCGAAGTTGGTAGGGAACCTGTCCCTGCCCTCCGCATCAGCCCTCACCCACACTGCAACGCTGGTGCCAGGACACTTGAACAATCCATATCCATCCTGATCGATCTCGACCTCACCCTGTTCCCAGCCCAGAATGTCCGTCCACTTCTCTCCGGCATGCATCTCGCCAACCGCCATCTTGATCTCGCCAGGCCCCTTGTTGCTCATGACACAAGCTAGACCGGCTTTCTTGTCCCAAGTACCTCGACGAACGAAGCCGATGCAGTTGGCATCGTCGAGGTAGTCTTCTTGGGAACCGTACGCGTACAACTTGCGTGCGAGGACCAGGTCGGCGAGTTTCCCGCCACAGGAGGGGTCGGCGGCATGTTCGCCCTTGAGCCCGTATAGGTCGCCGTAGAAGGGGCAGGGGTAGCCTTCTTTCCTTAGCAGGATAAGCGAGTAGGCCAGGGGCTTGAAGAAGCCTTCAACGGGCGTCTCGACGGTCTGGCCAGGTTGCGTGTCATGGTTTGTTACGACTGTGACGGCGCTGACGGGGTTCATCGAGACGAGCGTCTTGTCGAAGACTTTCCTCAGATCTGCGTCGGGGGTCTTCGAGAGCTGGGAGAAGTTGTTGAGGAGTGGGGAGTCGTAGAGCGAGAACTTGTGGTCCATATTGTCAAGCCAGTCGCACATGAGCCTTGCGTCGCCAGACCAGAACTCGCCAACGATAAAGATGTCGCGTCCGCACTCGTCGCGGAGGTTGTCAACCCATTCATTGGTGAAGCGCTCGGAGAAGTGCTGGACGGCGTCGAGGCGGAAACCCTTGAGGCCAAGTTCTTTTGTGATCCACACACCCCAGTTCTTCACGTCAGCTTGGACTTCGGGGTGCGAATAGTCGATATCAGCGAACATCATGTAGTCGGCGTTGCCGCCTTCTGAGTCAACTGAAGAGCTCCAGCCTTTGTTATCACCGAGGATCTTGTAGACGGCCTTCTTCTCATTGGCTTGGTTATAGTCTGTGCCGCTGAAGTGCTCCCAGTGATATTTCTGTGAAGAGTACTTGTCGCCGCGGCCAGGGAACTCAAAACCGAGCCATCCCTCGATCTCGTAGGGTTCAGACGCGTCTTTTGTTCGGTCGTTGTTGTCGACCTCTACGACGCGGCACTTCTCGGTCTTATCGGCTCCAGCCTTGTGGTTGAGGACAGCATCCCAGAAAAGACCTATCCCGTTTTCTTTTGCAACCTTGCAAAGCTCCAGTAAGTCTTCTTTTGAACCCCATTTCGTGCTCCTCTGACCCTTCTGGTCGAACTCGCCCAGATCGTACAGGTCGTAGATGTCGTAGCCGTTGCCCTCTGGCGAGGCAGCTTTGCAGCCAGGAGGTAGCCAGATGTTGTCAACACCAACTGCTTTCAGCTTAGGAACCTCGGCAACAAGTCTCTTCCAGTGCTTTTGATCAGCAGGGACGTTCCATTCGAACCCCTGGAACAGGGTGTAGTTATCCGGTGTAGGTTGCTGGTCTGGCCTTCTCGTTAGATGCAAACAACAAGCATCGAAGTAGTAGTCGTACCGTCGGAACTCATGTTTACTGGAAGACGGTCAAGCGTCAGTATACTTAAGGGGTAGGTTTAATGATCAGTCATAAGAGATGCGATCACCGCCACTATTTGAAGAGACCACATGGCTGCGAGTACCATGGTTCATGTTTACGTAGTGCCGTAGCCCGAATATTGGCTTCTTCGATCCCTGCGCGAGCAGCAGGTTTCTCTACCGGTTTCCCTGCAGGCAGAGCCGCCAAAACAAGTCGTCCATACGAAACAGTTGTTTTGCGTGGGACTTCGCGGTCTGGATGCTCGGGTGTTTACGCGCGGCTCAACAAAAAGCGCCCGCTGACGTCAGGCCGCAGGAGAGCTCATGAGAGAGGGCACAGAGAGAAACGCTCCGAACATTGTATGGAGAGAGACAGAGGAGTGTGTAAATCCAAAGTCGTCTGTGCGTTACACAGCAGGTAATGGAAAGAGATGTTCGAACTCGTCCTTGCGTTGAGGGTCAACGTAGACTAGTCTCGATGAGGTTAGAACCAAACGTCGCGCCTTCGCCATCTGCGACAGCAAGCAGGAAGTCACGACAACCTCCAGAGTCACCTATCGTTTTCGACCTTTATTCAAGAGTGCGCAAGTACCAGAACTGATAGAATTAGGCCGTGACTTCAACTCGCGCACTTGTCATCGAAAGGCTTCGAAGGTGAAGCAGATAGTACTCAATTTCACTCATTGTTCCATAGTACCTTCACACAGAGGAGATCATAAAAAGCGTAGCGCGTGACAGCATCCTCTCGCTATATGAGGGCAGACACACTTATCTTCGCTTCCTCCTCTCGACTGTTCACCTCAACACAATCAACAAAATACATGTCAGCTAGCAAACGCCTGAAGCTATCCAGCTTGGCACCTCCAAGACAATCCACCGCTTCAACCATCGTCCGTTTCTACGATCCAGATGTCCAGGCCAAAGACGCATTCGGTCGTACACAAGAGCAAATCCTGGTATGGAACAACAGCCAGCTCGAGAGCAACCACAACTACATTCAGATGCTCTTCCCACTTCCTGAGGGCTCACCATATAACTGGTCAGCGCCGGTCATCGACCTCGACACCATGGAGGCGTTCCGGGCGAAGAGTGAACTGAGGCAGCGAATGCGAAAGAGTTTCGAGCGCATGCTCACCTTCTACGGCTTTACCACATCCATCCACCCTGAAGTCGAGAGCGAGGACGAGAAGGATGTCGAGAAGCAAGAGCAAACGACCACCGACACAGCATGGACAAGTACCTCAGCCACAGTTCAATCCACCGAAGAAGGCATCCAGGACGCCCAAACCCCTTCAGCTGCCACTGGCAAGGCCACCACCACAGAGAATGCTACAGGAGTGACCACTGCCGAGCAACCGTCAGCTAGACCCGAAGGTCCCAGATCCACATCTACTTCAGAAGCCTCTCCACTCGACTACCACGTCGTCCGCGGCCCCAACTGGCGCAAAGCTTCCCGCAATTGGTGTATCCGCATGGACCACAACCACCTGCGCATCACTCGCATCCTGCGCTGTCTACGGGTCCTGGGCCTACAGACCGAGTGTGACGCATTCTTTCTTGCCTTGAAGCGCGTCTACAACGACCCAGCTATCCAGATCGGTGAGAACTCGATGATGTTCTGGACTCGCGCCGTAGAGCGCCCACTATACATTGCCCCAGACAACGGCAAGTGCGAGTGGCTGAAGGCTTGGGAGGAACAGCAGGAGTAGCAGGAATAGACTCAGCCTTTCACTACTCGAACAGAAGACCGGCAGATAAAACGAAGGCGCAACTTTTACATGAAAGCATAGCTTGGAGGCATTCACGGTCGTTGGGGATAAGAAGTTGGTATCGGAAGCTCCGGCATAAACAGGATAAAGGTATTCATAGCAACATGAAATGAAATACCAAGAAACGATCAAAGGGACTTGAGCATATAGTGAAACATAAGAAAAGTTCATTCTTCCTGATCTCTTAGCTGTGGCTTCATACACGCTAGCGATCTTCTGCTCTTCTTTCCCCAATATTTCTCACGATTCAATCTCCCTCTAGAATTCAGAGATAGTGTCTCCCCTCCTCTTGCCGCGCATATCCCACTTGCCCTGCCCAGCATTAGCCCACGCCTCATATCCCAACGTTCATCCCACTCACCTCAGTGATATATCCGATGTATCCCAGAGTCGCAGGGACAACGAGAACGTATGCGATGTTGATGAAGGCGGTACGCTTCGTCCAGCGGAAGTACTTGTGACGGTTCACGGTCATGTCTGGCGGACGTTAGCCCTGCCTTCTTCCCTTCTGCTTCCTCCGTTCCAGCCTCGCGCTGCTACACAGCTTCCCGGCCTTCAACCGCAGTGAAAGTCGCGCCGAGACGAGGAGCGTGGAGGGTGCTTGGAAGACGTACTGTTCCATTTTATGATCGCGGGATCCTTGTGAAGAGCTGTTCTTCTGTCAGCCACTGCTCGCCATTGCGCCGCGTCTGCGGGGTCTCAAGGGAGCAGAGGGCGTGCCTTCGTGTCCGCCGGCCATTTTGACGGTTCTTGAGGTAGTAGAGCGCGGCTTGCGGGGTGGGACGGGGGTGTGTGGGCGCGAGTGCGTGAGGTTGAAGCTGTGATGTCGGCGGGCGGAGGTGTTGGGCTTGGCGAATTGAGATGACCGGGGATGTCAGCCTTGCGATTGCGGTTTGCTGTTGGAGGTGCGCGTTCAACACCACGACGTGCTCACTATTCAAGCTTGCATTAGGTATCTTTGTACAATGCACATAAATGGTGGCTTGGGATCTGACAGCCGATTTGCTGCGGCGCAATATTTTGAGATGCTTGCACAGAATCATGATTGACGGGTGACTTTCTAATCGCGGCAGACGTCAGGCTTGCGACAACTGATTGTGTTTGAAGGAAGCAACTGCATCAATATGTCTCCGTCAGGCTGAACACGAAGCCTGCCTTACCACCAGAATGCCAATTGCTGCAGTTCTGCATCATGTGCTGGTACATGTCGGCATTGGTGAAAAGCCTCGGTCTTTGAATCCCTCCGCAGCACCGCCGACAGGACCGACGCTTCTTGGTCAAAGAAAATATATAAACAGCACAACACCTCGGTGCTCACTGTGGGCATCCGTATTCCTGTACCCAAGCCCCAAGACTCGTTTGACCGGAGATCAGTACCATAGACCGTACAATACACATCCACAATGTCGAATCAACAAGGCGCAAAGATCACCGTCTACTGGTAAGCCGCACGTGAAACCCGCCCTACTTCACCACCACCACCAGCAGTCACGCCCTGAGCCTTCTTACACCAATTATCCCCAGCTACCTCCAAACACCAGTCTCGGTATATGGACTAATCACAATCAATCAGGCTCGAGAAGTCTCGCGCCCAGCGAGTAATCTGGCTCCTCGAAGAGCTCAAGCTCGAGTATGACATCCAAGTCTTCAAGCGCGACAAAGAAGGCCGTGCCGGCCCAGAACTGAAAAAGTTTCATCCTCTTGGCCGCTCACCCACAATTGGAATCACGCCCGCTGGATCTGACAAAGAGGTACATTGTCCCATAACTGAGCATTGATATGGTATATGTGAACATGTCAGCTGATACACCACACCCAGATCATCGTCACCGAGTCAGAAACAGTCCTCGACTACATCTGCGACCACTTCGGCCCACACCTAATCCCTCAGCGCTACCCAGCGGGCAAAGAAGGCCAACTTGGCGCTGAGACTGAGGAATGGATGAGGCACAAAGTATATAGCCCCTCGCCTTTGGCATTCATTGATTAACGCGTGCAGTTCCTGATGGACTACGCCGAAGGCTCCTTCCTTACCCCCTTAATCGTTAGCCTGATAACCTCATCTATCCGGTCCGCCCCAGTCCCCTTCTTCCTCCGCCCGATCACAAACGGGATCGCCAACAAAGTCGACGACTCCTACACCAACCCGGAACTCACCAACCACCTCGACTTCCTAGAGACGTATCTCAAGACGAGCCCAAGCCAGGGGCAATTCTTCTGCTCGGATGCTTTGACGGGGGCAGATATTATGATGCACTTTGCGCTCGAGGGCGCGGTCAAGAAGAAGGCGTGCACGGAGACGACGTGTCCGACGTTGTATAAGTATGTGAGGAGACTGCAGGAGTCGGAGGGTTATAAGCGTGCGGGATTGAGTGTGGAGAAGGCGAGTGGGGAGAAGTATGTGCCGTTTTCCGAGACTTGAGGTTGGGATGGGAAGGGAAGATCTGGGCTATGGGGCCTTTAACGCTACTGGTGGTGTGGAGGTTTTCAAGCTTGAGTATTGGGAGTGTTGCTTGTCTTGGGAAGCTGGCAACTATACGCCGAGGGCTGGAGGTCAACTGTAGTCTTTCCTCTGCTCATGGGCTTTCGAATATCAGGCGGGCTTGCATTGACTACCTCCCAGGATTTCGAGAATTGCGGCCATCATGCACTTGTGCATTGGGTGCAGCAGCAGCCAATCCTCGCTCCAGACGACGAAGGCTGGAGGTCTTAAGTGTAAATCAGGCGGCCTTCTGGCATCATCAAAATTGATCGTAGTCTGATTAGTTCCCCCAAGTCTTCGAACGTAAGGCAGGGTTGCCTTGGCAACCTCCCAGATTTTGGAAATATCCGGAAACCGTGCACTTGCAATTAGTTTCTCAACGCGATGATCACGCAGAAGACGCAGGTTGTGTCATTAAGAGCTCCGTCTATTGTGCAGCTAATCTCATAAAACCGTACTGTTACAAGTGCCACTTCTGGCTGGCTGAACGTACAAGTAGCTAAGCGGCAAATAAAACGCAAACACATGAACAGAAAATGGGAATATATCCATGCCAGCCATATGCAAAAAAGAAAGACTTTTCCGTGCACTACAAAGTCTCCCTTCTTAGACCCAATGTCGTGGCTGTCCTGGTATCATCGCTGCACCACCTCTTCTCCAAAACCGACCGCTTAGTTGGTCTTAGCGATCTCAACGCCGCCAGTGGCGCCAAGTGCCTTCTTGATATCGCCTGGGAGGCTGTCAGCGCTACTGGTGTTGTGCAAGGTTGTGGGTGAAAACTTACCGTAGATGGCGAACTGACCAGCGGTCAGGGTACCGACCATGAAAAGACGGGCACCGATACCGCTGTAAGAGCCACGGAGACCGAGCTCCTTGGCGATCTTGATCAGACGGCTGGTGGTGCCCTCACCGGGCTCACCCTTGGTCTTGTTGATCTTGGACAGCATGGTGTCAGCGGGCTGGGAGATGATGGCGGCAGCGAAACCGGCGACGAGACCGGAACCGAGGTTGTAGACGGTCTGCATGCCGTTGGAGGTCTTGCTCTTGTCGACGATGGTGTAGACGGCCTCGTTGACCTTCTCGAAGACGACGAACTTGGCGCAGGTGTAAGGGATCCTTTTCATGTGTCAGCGCAATCCGGGTTGGCGGAGCTTGTTGAATACTTACTGCTTGAACAGGATGGGACCGAATCCAGAGTAGAAAGCACCAACACCCTCAGTGGAGAGGATCTTGCTGAAACCACCGATCAGACCGTTGGCGAACTTGGGGTCGGAAACGAGACGGATACGGGTAGCCTCAAGAGGGCAGAGGGCGATATCAGCGATGAACTCAGCGCAGGCAGCGGCACCAATGTAGACGGCAGTGCGGTTGTTGGAGGCGGTCTCGTAGCCGAGGGTGTTGATGGCCTGCTGCTTGAAGAACTCGTATCCTCCGAACTTGAAGGCGCCCTGGAGGAAGTAGCCGGCGGCGGTGGGACCGAAACCAGTCCAGACGGCGCCAGCGCCCTCGCTGGCGATGACCTTGCGGAAACCACCGATCAGACCAGTGTTGTAGGTGACGGGGTCAAGCTGGATACGGGTCTTGACGCTGTAGGGCTGTTAGCTAAAAGCTCGCACGTCATTCGTGACAGCATTTGCGCTGCGCCGGAAAAACTGCGACGCAGCCATTGGCACGCATCAGTGCCATTGGGAGATGGAGAGACGTACACATCAACGGGGGTAAGAGCACCGTGAGTGATGGAGCAGCAGACGGCACCAGCGAAAGCGAAGCGCGAGTACAGAGATACACCGGTAGGCGCGTCAGGCGCAGGCATGGCAGCAAGCTTGGCCTTGGCGGCGTCGACCTTGCTGGAGCCGGTGGCAGTTGGGGGAGGAGCGGTGGACATTGTGGAGGGCGATGAAACGGACGACAGAGGGTTGAGTGGAGAGGTTGGTGGTGTTGATGGGTGAGTTCAAGGCTCAAAAGGTTTTACTGGAGAAAGGAAGCCGTAGCTTGGCGCCAGATTTATGCCCCGATCTCTTCCGGGCAGCCAACGGAATTAGTGTTATCGAATCCCGACACTCCTGCTTTGCCCATTGACCTATCACGTCACTGTGCATTAGGCATGGCCGCTCCGTGCACGCTCAACAACGCCTATAATCGCTCAAGAAGGCCTTGCCCTGCTGCTCTTTGGAATTCGATGCTGTTCAATTCCTCCGTGGCACCTGCCGATCTCGACGATCATGGAGACACCAACCACGACACACCAACTTCACCAGCACGACTATGTGCTGATAGCTCCAGACAACAATGGCGAGCGTAGTGATTGCAAGTCTATTCGAGCAAGCTATCAGTTGTCAGGGAAACGTTTATGAAAAGAGCTGGGATAGAAAGACTGGATTGCATGGCCACACTCTTTAACCACGTCTGGCCCTCTGCATGTTCCTGATCATCAGCAATATGCTCTCCCGGCGAGGCCCGTACTTCTCAGCAAGTTCTATTTCCACATCGCCGCTCGTATTGCGAGATTCTGTTGGGTCGAGCAAGCGCAAGAGTCCATCATACTCTCGGTACTGGCTCTTCGCTGCGTCCAGCAGGACGTCGAGATGGCTTTCGACTGCGCCCATCCGATTAAGCATCCTAGCTGCCTCTTCTCGTGCATCGAGAACGTCAGCAACGGTTCCGCTCACGTAGCCCTTTACGTCAGCTTTCGCCAATTCGACTAACGTCGATGAGTGCTTGTCTTCGAGCGAGAAGCCAGCCTCCATTGCCCGGGACAACAGGCTGGCACTCATACCGGCCAGGGCATTTGCGTTGTTCTGGACGACTTGGACATGTGCGTCCAATTCTGGCACTTGCTGCTGTAAGACTCGTCGGAGCTTACCGTTCGCCTGATCGTAGGCTCTGCTTTGATTCTGCCTTTGTTGACTACCACCCAGTTTGGCGTGAGCGTCCCACTTCTGCGCTGCTTGCAGCTCTGTTAACTGCTGCAACTCTTTCAACTTGCCTTGCAATAGATCTTTGCGCATGAGCTTGATCCTGTCAATCGCTTTCTTGACAATGGTCTCGCGCATCTTCTGTTCAAAAGCCTGTATCTTCGTCTCCAACCGCTCGACCGCAGCGGTATTCTGTTCGAGCCGAGCTACACTCAACGACCGTGCCAATCCAAATACCTTTGTCGCATTCGACGTATGCAATCTTGACTCAACCTCGTTGAGCAATGCCTTCATCGTCAGCAGCTTCAGTTCATCGTCCAAGTCTGGTATTGCAATTCGAACATTCGCCCACATCATTATCAAGATGTCGAAGGGATCTTGGCTCCTGAAGCTTGCAATCTCTGGCCTCAGGGTTGTCAGAGCCTGCAGTAGCTCGTTCGAAGACTCCTTAAGCGCATGTGTCCGATCAAGGCCATGGCTGGAGCTCTTCAGCAAATGAGTCCGCCTTTCGACGGCAATTTGCAGCATTTCTCTTGCATCTTGATCCTCTCCAAGATTACCGCTCATGCGGTCGTTCCATGACAGAAGGACCTTCCTCAAGTCGCCATACGTTTCGGCACTGTGGTTCTGTGGGTCGTTGTCGCGAAAAGCAGCGAGGAGGTCTTCGGGTATCGTGTCTCGCGGCCCACGCCCTTCCCGAATGCGCTGGAGGACCGCCGAGTCCAAGGGAGGACAGACAGCACCTTCGACACGGTAAGAACATTGTCTTTGGCCCGCTCTAGAGGCTTCCCCGTCATCCATTCTTGCCGAGCAATTGCCATCGTCTTCTGAGGCCTCATCGATCCGGGCCTGTTCGTGTTCGCAGAGCTGATCAAGCCAGGACTTGCAGCTTAGTAGGTCTTCTGCAGATGCGCACCTTGGTACGGTGCTATCATAACGCGAACTCTTGGTAGTTGGTATTTTAGGACTGCTCTTCTTGTATTCGATATCGTCTTCGACATCGGAGTCTTGCAAATGCTGCCGAATAAGCGTTTTGCTTATAGGTTGCGTACGCCTTTTAAAAATGTCGAGTTTGGGCATGGCTCTATTTTGATACATGTGCTGTAGAGCCAGAGGCCAACAAGACCTACTTATCCTACCGTCACGAAAGTCACATAACACATCACAAGAAAGTGTCAAGCAGCTCGAATGTGACCTTTGCATCGAGCAATAAGTAGAGATCATTGGCTGCCTCCGACTTCACCTTCGACGGTGATCATCGGCGGAATTTGCGTATTTTGTGACTATTGAGCGTCACTCCAGGATCAGTCTTATCGAAATGTGATGCTTTCCAGCAGGTTCTTCGAGTTGCGATCTCCATCATTTGTCTGATATCCACATCCATGCAGCAGATCCATATTAACGGTTCGCGATCAGGCTGTTCGGCTAGGGTTGCCTGCAAAACCGGGATGGTGCATCTGTCATTCAGCCTCGTCGTACGGTAGGTAGAGCCGTTGCAAAGAACCGTTACAAACGCTCAAGCTCCTATCAATTGAAAAAGCTTGCTGGTACACGGCCTTGTCGACGGCGTCTCTTCAGTAACCATGCTGCCGCTGTCGGACTCTGCACAAGCTGGGGTGATCGTCGATGGCACTGGCTCCTTCCGCAAGGTTAGCCGTCCAATCATGAGCGTTGCTATAAATGCTGTAGACCGTCTCGCTGCACGACGCGAACGCCGCAACAGCAGCAGTGTCGTTTACACATGCCATGCAGGGCACAATTGTCCGCATCGGACAGAGCCGAAGGTTCTCGCGATAGCACACCGTATCTTGACGCGTGACCTCCCGGTCCAGACTTGCGCCTGCCTCGTGCACCAGCAGGGTCTGGTCAAATTTAACTCCCGAGTGCCCGCTTTCTTAAGTTTGTACCGAGAACCCTTCAACCACAACTCCTTTCTTGCCCTGCATCTGCACTCCGAAGAGCTCCCCTGCTGCTCTTCATGTCTCTGATCCAGCATGTCACACAACAAGAGGGTACTGACCGAGAGGAGGCGCTCGTCGATTTGTTCTTATCGCCGATAGACCGGCTCGAAAGCCGAGAGCAAACCTCGGAGCGTCGGCTCTCTTTACAAAGTCAGTACTCGAACGCAGGCTTCTTGCAGGCAGGCAAGTCGGTGAGACGCGTGATCAGCTACGATGCGCTTCATAAGCCCCAGGAACCAGTTGCAGGAGACATTGACGGCGGCATAACACAGTATAATGTGTCGACCTTCAAGCGTGCTGGTAAGCATTCCCGCCGCGGATCGTATCACACGACCACTTTACTAAGATCTACACAGCACAGGTTTTCGCGGTCGTCCTCGCCTGCTGGTTTGGCAGTGGAATTGTCTTTGGTTTTGCAGCGCTGAAGCCCATTCTAATCAAAGAAGGCGTCTACAAAGACCTCTGCACGCAGCAAGAGCTAGACGAGAAAGTCGAAGTCTGCTACGAACAGGACTTACGCCTCAATTTCTTCTTTTCACTCGCGTCTACTACAGCCAATGTCTCTGCACTTGTTGTTGGAACGATGCTAGATCGCTATGGGCCCAGAGTCTGTTATCTCGTCGGTTCGGCTTGCCTTGCTGCTGGCAGCATCATAATGAGCCTCGCCTTTCAGATCGACGAGTTCGATGGCTATACAATCGGAAACTTCTTCCTCGCGCTTGGAGGCACATTCGTGTTCTTGCCGTCTTTCCAGATTGCTAACGCGTTCCCAAAGTACGGTGGCACTATTGTGGCGCTCGTTACTGGCGCCTTTGATGCATCTGCAGCTGTCTTCCTCTTCTACAGACTTGGATATGAGAGTACTGATGGTGCCTTCAAGCCGCATATATTCTTCCTTGTCTATCTCATTGTCCCAGCAGCGATTGTCGTCGCCCAGCTGACTTTCTTACCAACTGAGAACTACAAGACTGCGCCTCAATTGGAGATGAAGATCCAGCGTGCTGGAGAGAACGAGAGAGATGTCCATACTTCGGATGAGGACCTGCCCGATGACGAAGTCTGGAGACGCAGGAAAAACCGCAGCGCCCGTCGCCGTAAGCGTTTGAGCAAGCTCGACGAGCTCGTCGGCGACGAAGTCGCACGCAAGAAGCAAGAAGAGAAGCATGAGCATCATCTCGAGGCTTCTGGAGTATGGGGTGCCCTGCACAACAAGACCGCCATCGAGCAGATGCTTACGCCGTGGTTCATACTGTTGACCCTTCTTACCGTCATGCAGATGGTGCGCATGAACTACTTCATCGCATCCATTCGAGAGCAGTACGCGTACATGCTCGGATCCATCGACCTGGCTACCCGCGTCAACGAGTTCTTCGACTGGGCACTTCCCCTAGGAGGCGTCCTCAGCACACCTTTCCTCGGCATGCTTCTCGACAATGTCAGTACTCCCGGCGTCCTGCTCATCATCATTGTTATCGCCACTGCTATCGGCATCATTGGCTCAGTTGCCACGCTCTGGGCAGGATACATCAACGTCATCCTCTTCGTCTTCATGCGACCCCTCTACTACTCAGCGATGTCTGATTACGCCACCAAAGTCTTCGGTTTCGCGACTTTTGGCCGCGTGTACGGAACAATCATCTGTTTCTCCGGCTTGATCAATCTCTCACAGACCGGTATCGATGCGCTCACCAAGCGCACTTTCAACGGCAACCCGGTGCCCATCAACGCTTTCCTCGCTGGGTTCACGTTCATCATCGGTACGGCGCTTGTTGTCTACGTTACAGTACAAGTTTACCGCATGCGTAAAAAGCTAGACGAGGAGGACGCAATGACTGTCACCAATACTGATGTCGGCAGCATCATGGAGAGTCTGCTGGAGGAGGACGAGCCGAGGGACTACGGCAGTATTGCTCCCGGTCGCCAATCCAGGGAGTACGAGCAGCCCGGCCGCCAGTCAAGGGAATACGTCTAGATCAACGACACCCAACGCCTCAACGCCCTATATCACTGTACACGGACGCCCGTCGTCCCCATAGATTATGGATCGGCGGATATACCCACTAAATCGTTGTTTACCACGCATTATCACGTTACAGCGGCGGAGTCAGTAATTGTTTTGCACATGTCCAACATATACGATACGGCCGGATCTAAAATTTCTGGATAGCATTATTGTCATGTTGTGTTTTTGTTTTCATTTACTGTTCTGTACTGCATATCCCATCAAGCGTTATGTTCGCCACGGCTCTTCTCCTTCGCTGTTATCAAGCGCTAATTCATGGGCATCACTCAGCGTTTGGTTTGTATGTGCGTCTTAGCGACACTTAAGCATAGATTGTCCATTGTAGATTGCTAGCGATATGAATCAACATGAATGAACATCTACTAAGGAGCGTATCGTGTTGAACGACATCGGAAGCCCGCATTGCAGTTGGTTGGCATGCGGATCCTACTCAAAGACGAGCTCTCCTGCTCGTTTGGACGGTCAGCAGATTGCCACATACGAGGCACAAGGCATAAGACCACAGACCAAAAGCACCGTGAAGCGAGATGGAATCTCCATTTGATCTGTTTTCCAGAATTTCTGACCGTCCTCCTTTTCTGGCCTCTATCGAGACTCGCCCACCCTGTATAATCACAACGGAAAAATCAGACAAGGTTCAATTGGAAACCTTCTTCTTGCGATCTGAGAGCAACTAAAATACACATATCCCATCTTCTCGGCCCCACCGGAACCTCATTCACCCATGTCCCATTCCCACCTCACCCATTCCCTTCCTCGACCATCTACCGCCACAACCCAGACACCGTCTCCACCCCTCTCTCCACAACCGCCTTAACCCTTGCCCTCAACGCATTATTCGCACATTCGACATCCAGATCCTCCAGCCAAACCCGCGCCAAAAACCGATCGAACTTGATCTCAATCCCGGGAACAGGGATACCCAAGTTATGAAGCCTCTTGAGCTCGGCCTTGTCTTCAGCGGAGATCTCGTTCGGCGGGGATGAGGCGTCTGGAGCGATGTCGGCGCCGTTGGTGCCGGTGTTTGATGGGTTGGAAAGGGAAGAGCGCGGGTATGGGATTGGATTCACGGCGTCCTCGCCGAATTGCGCTTCGAGGAAGAGGAGGAGGCGGGCGAGGCGTGTGGAGGGGTCTGAGGTGGCGTGAGGGTGGTGTTTTGTTTCCTTGGGCTTTTCGGGGTGGGCGTGCGAGTGGGCGTGATGGCGGGATGACTCTGATCGTCTACATTAGCTGCCATTTCTTGCATCAGGAAGGGAGGGGAGGGGAGAGCAAAGGAGTGAGAAGGGGAATGACGTACGGCGCACAGCAGCAGGCGAGCTTTCCACGGTGAACAAAACAGCAAGCACAGCATCAGCAATGCCGTCGTTGATCACATTGCCTTCCCAGGAGACCTCGACGCGACCACCGGGCTTGACAAGGATATTTACACAGTCCATGACCGTGAATTGTGTGCTTGTGCGGCTGATGTCCTCGTCGACGTCTTCTTTCATGCCGTGGTCGTTGGTTTCTTTGCCATTGACGGCCTCGTCGGTGATGTCTGTTTCTTTGATGGCGCCAAATGTGCCCTCGAGCGCCCAGCGAATCAGCTCGGTGCCTGCAGCGGATAAGGTGAGGTGCTGACGGCATACGATTGTGGTTGTTGTGAGACCGGCGTACTCTTTTAGGTCTTCGGGCGCCATGAGGGAGATCTTGAAGTCGTTCTGGATCAGGACACCACTTATCAACGCTGGGTTGTTATTCTCTTCGTTAGCTTGGTCGGGTTCACCATCTTCGCTGGGTGATTTGAGCGAGCGAGGTAAAGGTGGTTGGATAGAGGCGAGTGAACCAACGACTTTGGCGATCTTATCGGTCTTGAAGGGAATACGGAGTTCTTCGCAGTTGGCTGGCGAGTAGATTTTGGTAGGTACTGTCTTGTGTGCGTTGAAGCCGAGGAGTTTGGATTTGAGACGGGTCATGTTGCCCTTCTCGCCGTGGACGAGGATCTAAAAGGTTGTCATTCAGGTGTGCTCTCACTTGTGCGAGACAGTCGCTGCATCGAGACTTACAACTACGGGCGCGGCAACTTCCTGCACGAATTCCATGTTCTCCTTGCCGTCCACGTGGGCTGCGAAACTGTACTCTTGTACTGTACAACGTCTGGGTATCATGATCTGCTCGTTCTCTCTCTGGCCTACGCGACGATTGTTATTCGCTGCTCGCGTCATGATTGCAGGGATCTGCTCGGGCTCATGAACAATCTGCTTCGCCATTGTGCCTTCGACCGAATAGCCCGTGATGATGACACCGTTTCTTGGATCGGGGGCCCATCGCTCGAGAAGCTCGCGAGATGTACCAGACTGCATCATACCAGGCGAAGCCAACATGACACAGCCACTCATATCGTCGAAGCGCTCCAGGTTCTTCAGCGAACGAACGAAACGAAGATCCCAAGCTCCACGGCGTCCAACATCGCCCTCTGCTTCAGCTTCGGCGAATCGCTGCTTGGTGAGGCGTTTGATGTTGTCGTTCATCGCGCCGACATACGTCTGGTAAACCTGCATACATCGTCGAGCCAGACTGGAGTTGTAGTAGATTGGAACCTTCTGATACTGTGGGTGCTTGCCCCAGTACTCGTCCAGGATAAGCAACAGCTCTTGAGCTCGTCCAAGGGCGAACACGGGGAGCAGTGCTCTACCGCCGCGGTTCAAGATGTCGGTGATAGCCTTCATCAGTTGTGTCTCGCGCTCGACGCGCGGTGTGTGTGTGGAGATACCGAACGTCGATTCGGTGATGAGAACATCGATCTTGACTTCCTTGGGGACTGAAGCGGAGACCAAATGTCGATCATCTTCTCGCGAGTAGTCACCTGTGAACAGAATCTTTAGGCCGGCGATTTCGACCAGGAACATGGCTGCTCCAAGGACGTGACCAGCAGGGTATGGTGTGATTCGTATCCCAGAAACCGTATGTGTGGTGTAGAAGTCGATCGACTCGATCATGGGGAAGGTGTTCAGATGGTCTTGTTCAGTGTACATCTGGATCTTGGTTTCTGACGAGCTGGACATGTTGCCAACACGAACAGAGTCCTGGATGAGCCACTTGTAGATGGCCTTGGTAGGATGTGTCATGAAGACTCGCCCCTTGAAGTTCGTCTTCGCCAGGACATACGGCAGTGAAGCTGCATGATCGACGTGGAAACTGATGTTACGTTAGCTCATATCGATGTATGCTCTCGTGCTGTTGAAGCAGGACAGTGGACGGGAGTGCTCGAGGCTGCTATGTACATGCGGGCCAGGGTGAGGAGGCACATCACCGGAGTCGAACTGGATGGTGCAAATGATATTCCATTGTTTCTGATATACAAGACGTTGGTCCCAAAATAGTCCTCCATGCATGTACGACTGCAGTGATACGCCTGGCCCACCCAGCTCGATGCTCGATCTAAGGGCAGATGTGTATACATACTGTGAGATTAGAAGCACGTCTACTGTGCTGAGATCAAAGTCATCGTAGAAGGGCATAGCTGAAAGGCCTTCGTACGCAGGGTGCATACCAGCATCGAGCTGTCTCAGTCAGCATCTTGCAACACTTTTTTGGGTATCATGGTGCGCACCATGACTGTCTTGCCCTTATACTGGAGAATGTGGCAGGACCGGCCGACCTCGTTACCGCCGCCCAAGCACAAGAACATCAGCTCATCAGCCGGGTCTATGGGCTCCACATCCTCTGGCTCCATCGCCGCGTGCTTCCTCTTGGACGCCATATCTATATATTTCCCTGGCTGCGGGTGAGTTACAAGTGCAAGCTGCGCTCGCTGAGTCAGACTGCGAGATCAGGAGAGCGCTCTCGTGCAGAGATGGGGCTGAGTTGGGCTGCAGGTGAAAGGGGTGCGCGAGCTGCAGTCGAAGAAGGGCGCGTTGGCCAGCGAAAGCGGCTGTTCAGTCCAGGGCCATTAGTCAGATGACAGGTGTCGCAAGAGCAATCGCAAGACCGCGATGTCGAGGTGGACAGCGATGGGCGAGCGAGATGCGTGTGAGTGTCGAGGTGAGTGTGCTGAGAGTGTTGTCGCGGGTGCTCTTTGTTGGCGCGTCTGCCAAGGAGGCCAGTGCGCAGGCGTCACTCCTCTGCGTGCCTTTGCTTTCGCGACCATCCACCACTGAGACATTATTGCAGCGACGCGCCCTCGCCAACCGCTCCTTCCCCTCGCATCGCCCCACCACATCGCTCCTTCCACCGCGAACCGAGACTTCCGTTGATGATACGCCAGTAAATACCTTCCGTCCGCATCTCCCTCCGGGGACGAGCTGCCCACCATGGCTCAGAACTACAACCAGTACCCGCAGCAGTACGGGCAGCACGCGCCGCCTGTGCAGACCCAGAACTTGAACCAGCACCCGCCGCGACCCTTCTCGCCGCCTTCCTACAACCAGTCACCGAATGCCATGTCACCGACCATGGGCAGCAGCATCCCCCCCGCAAAGCGCCAGCGCCTGTCGCCGAACCCAACGTCGCCTGCGCCGTACCAGTCGCCCTTTGCCGCACCGTCGTATCCCATGTCGCCCTACGCCTCGTCTCCGCAGAACACTGGCTATCTGTCCCTGCCGCAGTCGCCCGCCAACACGCAGCCCCCGCCGTTCCACCAGCCGCAGCCCTACCAGCATCCGAACAACATGGCGCAGCAACAGCAGCAGCAGCAGCAGCAGCAGCAGCAGCCGCCTCCGAGTTCCATGCCGCCGCCAAAGGTGCCCTACAGTAAAGCTACGGACAACGCTGAGCTGGAGAAGGCGAATGCGCGTGACCTGGATGTCAATAATATTAGCGACGTGCTTACGGGCTCTGGCATTGATCTGCGCGCCGAAGAAGACAATCTGCTCCATAGCTATGGAAATCGCAGCGGCTATGGAACATCGTTCAACTCGCAGGCTACAGGATCCACAATCTCTCCCCATGGGAGCTTCAACAACTGGAGTCAGCAAGGTGGCCACGGCGCGTTCCAGGGTTCGGGGCCGTTGAGCCAGTCCATGTCGCAGGAGCAGCACGAAGCCGAGTTCCTGAGGAAGCACGAGCAAGCCGCCCGCATCCTCAACGAGTCAGCCCAGCAGTGTCTCACGGACCCCTTCTGCGATGCCAATGTACTCCGTCACCGGATGGCCAGGCGTGCGTATGAGAATGGAATTCAAGTCAACGTCGATGGTTTGTTTGACAAGATCCCCGACAAGACCCCTCGCGACATTACCAGGACAACGCAGGCTGGTGCCAACGGCGAGCAGATTGTAGGCCTCGAAGCCGCCAGTCTCCTCAATCAGAACGCTCCGCTTGTCGAAATCCTGTCGCTACTGTCCTTGGCTGCTGAGGAGCGCATACGTACCATTGTCGAGGACTCGTTCGCTCTGAGCCAGGGCCGACAGAACACATCACACGGCATCATTCCACCGCAGATGCTCGACATGGCAGTAAAGGAGCCAGATGCTGAGCAGAAGATGGCTGCGCCCACAAGTGTTCTGAGGACGCCCTGGGAGGCACCCGAGAGTGCTACTAGCCCCACGGCGACCGCCAAGAAAGGTGAATCTACGCGAGCTGTGTGGTTTGTCAATATATGTACTGACATGCTTAGGGTTACCAAATGCCGCACGACTACCTACTCCACCGAGTGAAGCACCTCCCACACCACAGCCTACTTTCCAAAATGTCAATCACATCGCCAACGCCTTGAAGAAGCGTGTTCGCGAGGATGAGCAGTTCGAGAAGGAGCGACTCCGCAAGCGCCAGCAACGCCAGCAGGGCAAATCAGCTGCGGCGGCTGATACAGCCGACATAGCGCCTCTACCTATCCCAGAGAAGATCACCAAGAAGCAGCGAGACGCAATGAACAAGGCTGGCCAGACCGAAGACGTCCTGCACCGCAAAGCCAACGAGACAGCTGCCCTAGCGCTGGGTGGCGGAAGGAAGAAGAAGTACTCTTGGATGACTGGAGGTGGTGGCGGTGGTGGTGGCGGAGGTGGTGGCGCTGGTGCCTCTGGCGCATCGACGCCTGCTCGACAGGCCACCGGTACAGGTGGTAGCGGTGCAGCCACGCCTGCTGCCGCGACGACCGAAATAGGATTGAGGGCGAAGAAGAGAAACTATGGAGCAAACATCGAGAACACTGAGATTGGCGAGAAGATCCAGGTTCGGGACCTTGTGCATGTTCTGGAGAACGATGGCAGGGAGAAGAAGACTCTCACACTGATTCTGGCACGTCTCAAAAATACGGAGAAGGACGAAGGGAGGACCGTGGAACTCCAGCAGAGGCTGCCAGCAGCCGCAGCCGGAGTGCGATAGGAACTCTTACGGCCAGTCCGCTGCTCAGGGTCGCGACCAGCCGAACTTCGCACAGCGACCTAGCTGCGCGTGACACGGTCACCATCTACCTCTGCTCTGACTCGGAAGAAGGCCTCTGGGTCGGGACAGAGCGAATTCGTTCAAAATCTACATCAGCGACGGCGTTTACGAGGAGATGGGTGGGGGTTTTTTTTGGTGTCTCTGCATCCCAAGGGCTGGGATTGACTTGCATTATTTCTGACGATCTGTATCAAAAGCACGTGGCCATGGAACAGTTGCGTGAGTAACTCACTGAACCAATAAGCTTAATAGCTATACCCACAATCGTTCTCGCTGTGTGTGTGCATCGGTCTTCCCCGCGAGGCGCTGAAGTCACTCTTCCTAGCACACGGCATCATCCAACCACAACATGTTAACCTACTGACTACCCCGTCATGGAGTGTTAGGTTGGTGATGAAGTTTCTAGGCAGGATGTTTGCTGCTCATGTCGTTGGAACACCTCCACATCTCCCAGGGGACGAGGATAGTCGAGAATCCGCGTGAACATACAATCTCAGGTCGCAATCGAATGATTGTCTTAACAACAGGCAGACTACCGTGTATACGCTGAGCGTCGTGACATGTTTTCGACCGATGTGTGTTCTGCGCTTGAAATCGTTCACTCGTGCCACGGCCATCGTCGTGGGAACTTGCAAGAGAGTCGCATCTGTCTACTGTTGACCCTTCGTAGTCAAGATCGGCCATGTTACACCTTCTCGTGTCGTCGTACAATTGCCACAGTGACCATTGTGTCGTGTTCGTCTCCAGCATACAAAACGCCATCCAGCACCACGAAGTCGACCAGCGCTAGCACCCCCACCCCCCCAATTGGCCGCATCTGAATATAGAAACACTCAGCCTTACCAGCACTCCAAACGTCACTCGACCATGTTGCCAGACCAAAGACAACGGAATCGATCGGGCTCCAGTGGCGAGTGTATGAAACACGGCAGCGAACAGAGATTATCTGCCACGTGCTGAGAGCCGTGCAGCTCGCTTGTCATGCTGTTTGGCGAGGAACTGGCGAGGGATCCCTTTGTGTCTAGTGGAGCTGATGTGAGCATCAGTGCCCAATAAGGCGCGGATGGGCTCGCGCTCTGTGGTGCAGTGCCCGCCTGCACCGTCTGCTGCATGCAGGACACAATTCCTTCAGGACGAGCTCTTATCTCCAAGTCCTGCCTGCAAGCACATGTGTGAATCTGGGAATGATAGAGTGACTCTGCGGGAAACGGGACGTTTGACAGCAGCACGCCCCGGCTAGGCCTTGGGTGATCAATGACGATTCCGGCCTGGGGGCTGCGGGCACTGGTAGGGCCCTGTGCTCTGTAGGGTTTGGTCTCTTTGGCTGGAGCACCGGTGAAAGAATGACCCGGCTACCCCTCCGCCGTGAGGGCAGCTCCAGGGTCAAAACACACGCCTACTCAGGTACCATATCCAGCTCTTCGGTGCCCAGCAGCCGAATTCTCGTCAAGACCCGGGCCTGCGCTGGTGCGGATCGAGCAAGCGGAGCCAATTCCTAGAGGACTGCGCCCCGAGTAGCGAGCTGTTAGCTGTTGGCGACGACGCTCTCAGCCTTGTCTGTTTAGAGGCGCCCAGCGCTGCGGCTGTCAGCTCTCTGCCAATTTACCTGTCCACCTCCCACCCATTCTCTCAGCTTCTCTCCTCCCTCTCTGACTGATGAACTCCATGAATGCCCGTTTCAAGAACCTAGTTGGTTCGAAACGCAAGAGTTCCTCCCACCAGCCCACCCAGAGCAGCACCGGTGGCATCACCCCCACCGGCAACAACCGACCGACGTCGCTGTCGCCGCAGGCCAGCAACTCGAGCAGCTCCTCGCTCCCCATGAACCCGCAGAACAACCTGGGCCGCCCGCCCTCGTACACCTTCGCGCCGCAGCAGGGTGGTCTGGCACCGCAGCAGCAGCAGCATGGCCGCCCGACCAGCCCCCTCCCGCCCATCAACACTGGCGCGCCTGGCTACCCAGCACACCCTCAGCAGCCCGTGGGCTATCCTCCCCAGAGCGGCCCGCCAGGGTACCCGCCGCAGCCTCCGCCCGGACAGTACGGCGCAGGCTACGGCGGACCACCGCCGTCTGTGCCTGCTTCCCATGGCGCGCCTGTTGCACAATACAGGCCGGCGGGCATGGCAGAGGTAGCGGGCGAGGGACGCTCCAAGGCCCAACTCATCGTCGGCATTGACTTTGTAAGCTCCGAACCAGCTTGCACACAGTACGTGGGGCGCAGCTGCTGACTCGACACAGGGCACGACCTTCTCAGGCGTCGCTTTCGCTTTCGCAACCAACACCGAAGCTAAGGAGGACATCATCACCGAATGGCCCGGCGCAGGAAACCAGACAAAGCAGAAGGTGAGTGCGTCCGAAGTATTGGCCTGCTGCATGTGTGCTAATGGACGCCCACAGATCCCCACTGTGCTCTACTACGACCAGTACCAGAAGGTAGTGGGATGGGGCCCCGACATCGCCGATGCCCTGGCACCCACGGGCTACCCCAAGCCTGGCGTGCAGAAGGTCGAGTGGTTCAAGCTGCAGCTCATGCTGTCCGGCAACACATACATCGACCCCATCAACCTGCCCCCTCTACCACCGGGCAAGTCCGAGATCGATGTGGCCGCCGACTACCTCTTCCATCTGCGACAGGCGATGCGCAACCAGCTGCAGAAGACGCTGGGGGAGGTCTTCAACCGTGAAGAGCGCAACATCCGTTACTACCTGACCGTCCCTGCTATCTGGAACGATGCTGGAAAGGCCGCAACTCGTGCTGCAGCCATTCAGGCCGGCTTCTTGCGCGACGAGAACGACAACAGGCTGACGCTCATCACCGAGCCCGAAGCCGCGGCTATGTTCTGTTCGAAGACCGGTCTTCTCAACCTGAAGATGCACGACGCTGTACTGATCGTCGATTGTGGTGGTGGTACCGTCGATTTGATCGCCTACGAGGTCGAGGAGGAGCAGCCGTTCTCTGTGGCTGAGTGCACAGCCGGATCCGGTGACTCTTGCGGTTCGACAGCCCTCAACCGCAACTTCAGCAACATTCTGCGTGCAAAGATCCGAAAGATGAAACTGCCTGATGGCTCCAAGACAGCAGGCAAGGTCTACGCCAAGTGCATCATGGACTTCGAGAACAGGATAAAGGCTGACTTCCGAAACAACGGCCAAAAATGGGCTGTCGATGTTGGTATCGAGGCCGAGTTCCCAGAGGCTGGTATCGAGGAGGGATACATGACATTCACCAACGAGGAAATCCTGCAGTGCTTCGAGCCTGTAGTCAACCGCATCTTGGAGCTTGTGAGGAACCAAATCATCGCCATCCAGGCGCAGAACAGGTCGTTACAAAACGTCCTTGTCGTCGGTGGTTTCGGTGCATCCGAATATCTCTTCCAGCAGATCAAGCTTCACGTACCACCTCAATTTCAGTCGAAGGTCGTTCGACCTATGGACTCCGTCGCTGCCATCGTCAAGGGTGCCGTCACCGCCGGTATCACAGAACGAATCGTCACGCACCGTGTTGCTCGTCGCCACTACCTCATGGCCACACTTCAGCCGTTCAAGGAGGGCCATCACCCCGAGCAGTACCGCGTTCCGTCTCTCGATGGCAAAGACCGATGCAAGTACACACGCCAGATCTTCGTGCAGAAGGGTCAACGAGTCAAGATTGGCGAGCCTGTCAAGGTCTCGTTCTTCAGACAAGTCGCCCCTGGTGCAACCCTCATGTACGAGGACATCCTGTACGCATGTGACGACGACGTCTGCCCAGAGTACACCAAAGACCCTCGTAAGTCTACCTCGACGCTGTTCAAACCAGAATCGCCTGCTGACATCTACCAGGCATCAAGGAAGTCGTCACTCTCACCTCCGACCTCTCGCGGAAGAACCTCGAAAAGGATTTCGAGCGCATGGACACCCCACAAGGCACCTTCTATCGCGTCTACTTCGACATCTACCTCACGCTCGACGGATCCGAGTTCAACGCCGAGCTCGTCTGCCAGGGCGAGGTCATGGGTCGTTGCACGTCGAGGTTCAGATAATCGCATCTCCCGTCACATCACCAGCCTTTTGGAAAAGTTCATTTCGACGAATATAATATATGATGATATAGGGATAGGTGGTTGAGGTAGTAGGTAGTAGGTAGTTAGTGGGAGAGCTAGTGGGAGGGGGGTTGTGAGCGAGGATTTTGGAAGACGTGGTTTGATTCTCTCCTTTGGCATATTTGTTGATCTTGAAGGCACAGCTACAGCATACCCCCAAGCGTTCAATGACAATGAAAGCTCCATTCTTACAGCCCGACGGCAGCTATGCGTGAAAAGTGTTCATTGAAGCGTTCAGGGTCGATGTTTCCTACCTTCGTTATAGCCGCCAAGCATGACAACGTAAGCTCAACCTGCAATCATGAAGACTCCTTCGCTAACCTCGCCTCACATGTAGACTTCCAGCCCAGCATCGAACACCCTCTCCGAAAACCGCAGGACGCCCTGTGGCGGTTTTACCACTGCCAGAATGTCGTTGAGGTGGAGGTCCTCCGCTTTGGCCTTCGTCAACCATGGGTCTGGTTGACACCCCGCCCTGCAGTAAAGTGAGGCTCCCGAACAGGGTCAACAGATTGCGCATTGATAGAAGTCTAGAGACACGCCTGGATCAGCGCAGCCAGTCGGGCCACAGGATTGCAAGTGAAGTCTGCGATTTCTACATGTACTTGTCCATTTCTGGAAGAGATGTAGCTGCCAGACTGCAAGGTGTCAAGACCAGCTGCGAATGCTCAAAATGAGTAACACATCGGAGAAAGTTTGACCCTCGTATATTGATCTATAGTCAACTGCAGATCCAGGCTTCCGAGTACTCATACCCTTAGCGATTCCGGCTCACGACTAATGTTGTGCAGCCAACCACTGAGGCACGATACAACCTATCTACCCTCATCAAATCTGGCTCTGCTCCACCATTGCTATCTCAACCCTTGGTACAATCGGAGCAGAATTTTTCTGCATACGTTGCGGGATCTCAGGGTGTGTATACACCTATATCAACAGCCCCTTGCTCCTCTTCAATCTTTCCACCTGTTTCCGCAAATATACACTCACTTTCGCTATTCCACTTTCGCTATGAAAGCCTCTCTTATCCTCGCCCTTGCTGGCCTCAGTGCCGCCGTTCCTGGTGTCACCAAGTCGATGAACCCAACGGGTCTGCACAGGCCCATCTGGCCTACAGTCTCCGTTGAGGACAACTGGTCTCAGCGTCGTGCTAAGCCCGCCGAGGCTGCAGAGTCAGATGATGTTGAGGGTCTCGCCACCGCGACTTTCATCGTAGGCGAGCAGACTATCAAGAGCACTACTACTTCTACCCGCACCTCGGTCTCTACCTTCACCAGGGCTCAGACACAGCCTCTGCCCACACGCACGGCTACCCAGACCTCCATTGCTACAACAACTACGACCCAGACTCAAGCAGCTCCCACGCCTACCACCACTCGCACTACAGTCGTCACTTCGACAAAGGTTGCGTCTGCTACTTCTGAGATAACCACTCGTACCTTTGTCGTTACTTCGACTAAGACTACGTCGGAGGCCGCATCCACATCCTCTGCTACTCCCGAAGACTCTTCGGACTCGGAGGATGAGGATGATGCGTCGCCCGATGATGACCTTGAGGAGTTCATGAACATGCCTCATTACTCCCGCATTGCTCAGGAAGAGGCCACTCCCTACCCGTATGAGCGAGTCTTTACGGATCAGAATGCCACTGCTATTCACCAGCCCATCGAGAGACACAACTTTGATGAATACGATGCGAAGGACTGCGCCAGCTACTGCAACCACCACAGGGCTTGCAGGTCTTTTGCTATCTTCATCGAGCGCGAGCCGTCCTGCACGGATTGCACGAACCCTGAGAGCACTGAATCGAATGTGTGCGAGCTGTACAACATACCCTTGGAGCTCCATGTTATCACGGACGAGGGCAGCGAGCAAAACATCCAGGGCAAGACGTTCACTCGTGTTATTCGTGCTTCGAACGGATACAACCGTATCGGATGGACCTACACCACCACTGCTATACAGACCGTCACCGTTCGAGAGAGCGCACCGGCTGGTGCGACTGTCGAGAGGACCCGCACTGTTACATCCTTTGGTCGTCCCAGCACCGTGACTTCGGTCCGCACCAGCTACGGAACGCCGTACACCAAGACCGTGACAGAGACCTTGTATACACAGATCAACGCCCCAGTCAGGACCACGACCCGCACTGTTACTAACACGGGCGCTGCATCTCACTCTACTGTCACACAGACAGCGACCGAGACCGAGACTGAGACTGAGACTGAGACTGAGACTCTCTCCGAGCCCACCACGGTAACCAGCACCGCACGCCAAACCATCGTCGTCTCCGCCCCCGCCCCCGCCCCCACCGTGACCAAGACACGCACCACCACGGAGACGACGCTGCAAACGACGACCGAGACGACCGAGACGACCGGTCAGCCCACGTTCACTCCGGTCTATGATGGGTCTAGCTCCGAGGATGGGTCTAGCTCCGAGGATGAGGGGGAGATGTTTGGCGCACCGGTTGTTGGGTACTGGCGCATCTAGAATCGGAAAGTGAAGAAGGACTAGGGGATAGGAGGATAGAAAGGATAAAAAAAGGATAGAAAGGATAGGATGAGGGGGATTGGGACTAGGTTTAGCATGGCGTAAGGCGTTCATGGGGCAAAAGGTACGGAAGATGCGTGATTGGGTATCGGGATTTTTTTTTCTTGGTTGTGGACTTGGAGGTTAAGGGGGGTCCTCAGTAGAGGCCACCAAAGGAGGGTGGATAGAAATCATGATCTCATAACATGTCGTCTTTGATTGTACTGTCTCTTACACTATGACCTGAATACTTGCGCTTATTGGAGCACGTATGTCCCGAAACCTCTAAGCTGGAGCTAATGAAGCACACTGTGTTCGAAACGACTAATTAAGGAGCAAAAGACTAGGTTTTGTAAAGCAAAGAGTACGTCCCACCGCGCTCAACGCACCCTCAAACACCAAACACACCCACATCCCTCCTAGTCCAGCGCATAATCCACCCATGCACCGCCCTCCCTTCTTCTCGTCACCTACCCTCAATCCCTCGGCAAATGATTGACCCTCCCATCATACACACCCCTGAATACACACCAGTACGCCATATGTGCAAACAAAACACCCACCAGACTCCCGAACAGCACATCAGCCGGATGGTGCCAGCCGTCTCTGATCTTGCTCGCTGCGATCAGGAGCGCGACTAACCAGGGGAGAACCCAAAGGATGAAGTGCCAGTGCTGAGTCTTCCACGTTCTCTCTTTTTCAGCTCCATTGTACTTCCGCTCTGTTCCAGTGTCCTTCCGCTCTGTTCCAGTCGCTTTTCGCTCTGTTCCAGTTGCCTTTCGCTCTGTTCCAGTTGCCTTTCGCTCTGTTCCAGTTGCCTTTCGCTCAGCTCCATTCTCATCGCGCCCAAGTTCTGCTTTCTCTTCTTCTCCTTCTTTTTCTTCCGCTAAGACTGCGTTTGTATTGGGCTTTCGCCCGATGACTTTAAGTTTGCTGTTGAGGTATAAAGCGAGGAATCCGAACCCAGCGAACGCAGCGCTCGAGTGCCCCGAGGGGAAAGACATCTGCGCCTCTCTCACTAGATGCGGATCGCCGGTGCACACTACCGCCGTGTACTACACCGCATGACCTGTGGGCCCGAGACCGGGAAGTGGTTGTGGGATAGAAGGGAGGCAAATGGAGAGGAAGTGCGGACGTAAGCCGCCAATGAACCATTTGATGAAGGATTGGAAGAGGGTTGCTGTTGCGAGAGCGTAGCCTAGGCCCATGATCTAGATATTTCAGTATCGTTCCAGGTAGATGTGTGGCGCTGGGAGAAGGAAAGATTTGAGGTGATGGAAAGGAGAGAAGACGTACAGCAGCATTTGACTCCCAGAAGTCGCGGACGTACCACAGCCCGATTGCGCCCATGACCACCAGCGGGACGGTGAACGAAACCACCGCACTCACAAGCGTTGAGATATACTCTCCCAGATACGGCTGTCCATACTTCATCCCCCACGCGCTCGTCCACACACCCGGGTATAACGGAAAATAGCGTGGCATAAGCGGTGTAGCAAAGAGGTATATGAGCTCTGCGACGAGCAAGCAGAGAAGCTGCGTCAAAATACCGAGCCAACAATATCGCAGCCATATTATGAATGGGGGTTGATTCCGAAACCCCGGCATGAGTACATCGCGGCGGCGTTTGGGACGATCTATAAGCTGGGCTTCGGGGTCTGAGGCAGTTGACGCGTTGCCTTCGAGTGATTTGATGTTGGAATGAGAGGAGCCGGTTGTGCGAGGCGTGCGCTCTTCGAGAATGTCACTGAGTGAAGGCACGCGGATCGTGGAGAGCGGGACAGGAGGGGCGAAGTCGAAAATGCCGTCAAGTGGTGGTGGAGAGGGCACGGGGGAGTAGGAGCGGCGGTGGAGATCGAGCGCTGTTCGAGGGGAGGCGATGGCTGTGGACATGGTGTTAGTGATACTACGACGCCGTGGCTCGTCGCTGGGAGTGATGGCTGGCGTTGGCGCGTATAGGGAGAGGCTCAAGTCTCCTGTCGGTGTTGAGAGGCTGGCGGACCTGGGCGTGGCTTCTTGACTTGTCAGTGATGTGCGTGGCGTGACATTTGAGGCAGGAAGGACGGACGTTGGACGCCGCCAGCTATGACATCGACTTGATACACCAATAATCTTTGCCCATCTAGAACCCAAACACATTCTCATCCTCCTTAAACCCCCAATCCTTCAATGCCGGCAGCGCCGCCTTCTGTATCATAGCAGGCGGCCCACACAGGAAGACGCCCGTCTTCTCACCAGGTTCAAACAGCGCCTCCTTGATGATATCCGCATCGACATGTCCCTTCTTGCCCTTCCAGTCGTCGCTCGGGTGGCTCAATACATGCATCACCTTCAACCTGCCATTGCTATCCTTCTCAAACCCATCAAGCGCCTCCTTGAGCAGGATATCTTTCTCGCTCTTATTAGCGTCGACAACGCGTATCTCCGTCTTGTCGTCGGCAGAAAGCATGGCACGCGCGAGCAGCGCGTAGCCGGGCGTGATACCACTGCCTCCAAGGACCAGGTTGATGCGGTTAAATGTGTACTCCTTGTCTGAGATTGTGAAGGTGCCGTTGCCGTTGTACTCGATCTCTCCTGTTGGGCCACGGATCTCGATTTCCTCGCCGATCGGCATGCAGTCTAGGATGTTGGACATGGCGCCGCCGGGCTGCTCATCGGTTGGGAAGTAGGTTTTCACGGTGAGCTCAAAGCTGCCGTTACCGTCGCGGAAGTCTTTGTTTTTTTTGTCGCCGGATTTGTCGTCCGGGAGGAGAGGCTTGGTGGGCGTGTAGGAGCGGATCAGCATGCGATCTTTCATGTGGAAGCCTAGTTGGACGTGCTGGCATGTTCCAAGGCCGAGGTCGGGCTTGCCGTCTGGGAGCTGGAAGGTGTAGGCCCGTGTGTCGTCTGAGATCGATTTGCGGTTGAGCAACTTGACTGGTACCCATCTGTGTTTCTGTAGCGTGATCTGGTCTGTGCCTTCTGATGACTCCTCTTTCTCCTTTGCAGCAGCTTCCGCGCTTTGCTTGATGAACGCAGCAGCTTTGTCGGTCACAGTGCCGAGAATGCATTCTGTTTTAGTCAGTATAGTATATGGAGTCGAGGCTTGGCGACTTACCCTTAAGCTTCTGATAAGCATATCCATCGTGGATGCTCTCAAACTCACTGCTCGTCTCGGCATGTACCTTTCCAGCATGGCTCATAACCGCCGCTTTGCCACCCGGATGCCAATCCAATACACTTGTCGCATCATACACCTTATTATCGACCACAATCCAGCAATCACTATCCTTGTCGTGCTTCTCGATGTCTTCCCTCGTGAACTGCTTCGATGGAGCACCTGCCTCCTGCTTCGCAGTCGCAATCTGATTCTCAGTACTAGGCTTCATCCAGCCGCCACCACCCGTGCCCGGCTCAGCTGGATGCTTGTACAAAATAGACGGAGTCTCGGAATCCTCATCCTGAATAATGAAGGGCCTGACGACGTACCAGCCGTTGTTCATCATTCCCATAACATTCCAATTGCCATGCTGAGGCTGCGTGTTCTTGAACACATTGAAGCAGCGCACTGTGATACTCTTCGCTCGCAGGAGATGTGTGAAGTCGACGTCGATGTGCCAGTGCAACCATGTCCAGAATTTCTTGCCATGGCGGATTGGCGCGTCGGGGAATTTTCTGATGCAGTAAAGCCATGTTTCTCCGTCGTCAAGCGAGACTTCGACTCTTTGGACTTCGTGGCCTCCGCCGTCGTATGCGTACCCTTCAATGCGATACGTCTCGCCCTTCTTTGCTGATGTCAAGGGGATTTTTTCGCCTTGTGCTGGTTTGACGATGACAGAGTTGAGATTCTGCTCGTTGCAAGCTGTGTCGGGATGTCTGAATAGTGTCTCCGCAAACTCGCCATCTTTTTCTGTGACGAACGACGGTAGTACGCGGTTGTCCCAGATGTGATAGTATGAGTCGTTTTCCTTCTCGGAGATCCATATGCGCTTGAGCCACTTGACGCAACGACCGCCCACATATCCTGGAATCATCAATCGCACAGGATATCCATGATCTGGCGGCAGAGGCGTGTCGTTCATCTCGTAAGCCAGTATCACGTCGTTAGTGGGGTCCATGGCGTAGTCGAAGGGTATGCTAGTAGCATACTTGCCCTCGCTGGGCTCGTCTGCGCCCTCGAAGTTGACCCAGTAACGCTTGCCGTCTGGCATCTTGTGGTCAATACCGGCCTCAAACAAAACGTCTCTCAACAGCGGTCCCTTCCAGTATGCGCAACTGACAGCTCCTGCGCCCCAGTTGAAACCCTTGGACTTTTTGATTAGATTAAGTTCTTTGCGACGGTTGCCGTCACAAGCCAATGCAACTGGGATATTGACAGAGTCGAATTTGTTCTTCAAGTCATCCATGGAGAGAGTGAGTGTCCCGTTCTCAATGTCTAACTGATGGAACTCCCAGAGCAGCCTAGGAACAGCGCCGTGGTTACGGACATAGTGCAGCTCGTTCGGTGTGATCAGGCCCGCTTCGAAGAGATGTGTGAGATGCGCCTCAGCGTTCAGAGGGTGCTTGCCAGTCAAGCGAATTAGATCTGATGAGCGAGGAAGCCAGTTGTCAGGCGAGAATTGATCAGCCTCGTCGATGGAGATTGTGCTGCGGTTGTAGTGTTGCGGGCTCTTGCGCTTTCCATCATTTTGTTCGAGCTTGGTGATGTAGTCCTTTTCATGTTGCAACGCTCGCAGCAGGGCAATCTCTTGAGGCGAATATCGTTCCCTTAGCTTCTTATATTCGGTTTTCTGCTTTCCCGAGTCGTCGCTGGAGTACCCAGAGTCCGAGTCGCCCTTGTCTGCGTAAGCATCATGGTGCTTGCCGTCCTGGCCAGTCTCACGCTTCCACTTCTCTTCATCTTGATATCCCTGATCTTGATCTTTACCGTCTTTCGAATCTTTCGAAACTCCTCCGTCTTTGTCCTTACTCCCTTTCCCTCCCTTCTCATCCCCACCTTCCCCCTTTCCTTGCTCTTCTTTCCTCTTCTCTCCCTCCTCCTGCTGCCTTCTCTTGACATTCGCCGGCCACTCCTCATTCTTAACCCAATCCTCCGTAAATTCAACCACATATCTCCACCCCAAGGACCTATTCTCGGGATGTCTGAGATGCAAATCCTTCTCACCCTCAATCAAATCCCTGAAATTGACTAAACCCCCGTTCTTCGCCTTCTGCTTCAGCTTCTCATACTCGGCCTTCGCCTCATCGCCAAGCTCCTCTGCCTCCTCGATGCGTTCATCATCGTGGTGGGTGATACCGGGTAGGCGATCGCCTTGCTTGTTTCTGAACCCGACGCGGTGCCCGTGCCCGTGCAGGTTCTTCCAGTCCGGCTCGTTGGCGATGTCTGAGGCGGTCGAGCCGGGGTGGTCGGTCACCTGAACACGCCAGGGGACCTGGTGTGGCATTTTGGATCCCAAGGTCTCTCGCGTTACACAACAACAACAACAACAATGCAACAATGCAACAATCAGGTGCTAGATACACAGATCTGAGCAGGAGTATGGAAGCATTGTCTACCGACACCACGGACGAGGCTCCATTGATGCCGGCGCCGTGAAGCGGTTCAACGCCTTTTTCGTCACCATCGTGACCGTCGAGCGATGTGTCGTCATAGCTTTCGTCTTGCATTGGCTGCGCGTGTGGTTCCGGACTTTGCTCACTGGATCGTGCGCGGTTCGTGAATGGTCGCTGGTAGCAGCCGCTAGTCACTGGATCCGGCCTTGCTGGAGCTTGTTTGTCACTGTAATTCTTCTCCGCGGCTGCATCGGAGCGCTCCCGAAGTCACCGAATCTGGAATTGCAAACTTGAATTTCTCGTGTCGACAGGATGATTTCGGTAGGCAGCATTGTCAGCGGAGGGATTGGCGTGTAAGCTGGTGCTAAATCGAGATGTGGTGAGGCTGGAACGAGGAATGGAGACGAAGGCGGGATCGACGCGTGTGGGGTCTTAGCGTGCGTTGTGAACCTGGGTGGAGGAGACTTGGTGATGCTTGTGTGAAAGTGCTGGGGCATATGAATTTGGATGGGTGAATGTTGAGAAAAAGAGGATATCATGTTGTCGGTCGTGCAATGTATGGAGTTGTAGATTTGTCGCTGTTGAGGTATCATTGTAATCGCATATCCTATCCAAACCATCGCTCCCTTCTTCGTATCCAACAGATCCACTTCCCTTCCCTCCCAATTATCCACGTTCTTTCCAACGGATGCAAAGTCTTCCACTTTCAATTGTTCCTCTCCCATAATCCCCCTTTGCGCATACCTTCCATATTCAGTCCCCCTCAATTCCTAACAAACAAGAGCCCCAGCAGCAACCCAGCAAGTACCAGCAGCGCCATCACTACGGCCATAGCCACCACTCGCTCGACCGTGAACCTCACATCGTCCGCTCGCATCCTCTCAAGCATAGCCTCTTCGTCCAAGTCTACGACTCCAGGGTGCCGCGGTATATGCTGTAGCAGCGTCTCGCGGTACGATTGCCGTACGACAGTCGAGTACGCAGGCGGCGCATCGCGAGGGTAGAGGAGGAGCTGTGCAAGTGGGACGTCTTCGTCATCTTCGTCGCCTGAGTACGACGGGCGATTTGAGCTAGGGGGAGGTAGGTAGGCGGTAGGCGTGGAGATGTGGAATGTGAGTGGTTGCTGCTGCAATGAAGGAAGCAATGTATTCGGGCTTGTGGGCGAGCTGTCATGGTACGACAATGGTGGGCTATCAAGGTATGGCGCGTTCGTATATGCTGGCGGCTCGATTTGGTGCGGCTTGATAGTAGCTTCTGAACATGTGGAAACAGGTGATGTTGCGCGTTGTGGTGCTGGTGAATCGTGAAACGCCCCTTGCTGTGACCTTGACGAGTCGAGATATGCGTTTTGCGTTGTGTTCTGTAGCATCGCGTAAGTACTGAGCTCAGAGCTCTGTCGCAGTGTAAGTAGTATGTACCTCCATAGTGAACGATTGACTTTGCAATGCTTTGCTAAACCTACTATACTCGCCACAATATCCAAGTCAGTCAATAAGCATCAACTCGATAACCCCAAATCCGGAATCGTATCACAGTGCTGTTGCGTTGTATATGCAGAGCTACGTCTTATCACACCGCGCCGGATCCGTCGTGGGCGCAGCTGCAGCTGCTCGGGGAATGAGGAGAGCAGCTGCACTCGGTGATGGCATCGGGGAAAGACGCTGGCGCAAGAAGCGCAGCAGCGGCTCAGTGAGCCTTAGTGGGCCAGCATGCGTGGTGCCTGGATGGCTGGGATGTTGCAGCCGAGTTCCATCCGTGGTTGAGTGGTGATGCCTGCTACAGCTCGCTTGTGGCTGGGGCAAGTGCTGCCGTGTCGATCATCATTCTTCAGCACGATGCTCTTCTCTCATACCTTTCAGGGCTTCAATCATCATCATAGGAGTCCTTCTCGCAGCAAAAGCATTGGTTTGAAAGAAGTCACTTCATTGAACTGGCCCCAAGAAAGCATTCTGTTATTACAGGGCCTCTCTGTACAACCCAGCCTCAACGGTGTTACGCGGAGCCGCACAGGCAATCATTGGCAGGTCTCACTGTGGTTTCAAGCCTAAAATAGAGATGTACAAGCATCAAGTTGTACAGTTCCCAAGATAATGCACAATGTACCAGGATGTAGAACTATAGGGACGCTTCCCTTGCGCCCGACGTCTGATTTTACTGCTCCTCAATAGTACATACTGGGCCCTTCAGAACGCGACGGCGCTTGACGACATCCTTCTCTCCCATCGCCTCCTCGTCATCTTCGTGGTTGCGCTTTCGTACTTGAACATCGACACTTCTCGAGAAGTAATGGTGACCGTGCAGCTCCGTTGTGGAGTACTTTTGGTAGGGGTAGCGACCTTCTTCGTGCGAGAGTGGGATGCGTCAACATGCTCAATAGCCTTACGCTTACTGCCATGTGAAAGCTTCTCGTCAGACTCTGTACGCTTGTCGGTGCGCGCCTTGCGTCCTTTGTGCTCGCGTCCTGTTGCTGGAACAGCATCATCGGCCCGTCTTCGGAATGTTTGCGCTTATCGTAGTGCACGAGAGGTTGTTTCGCTTCGAATCCCTTTCGCTCGTTATTTTGCTGGATCTCGCGAATCGTTTGCTCGAGCGAGATCTCCAGCTCCTTTGGTCCTTCAGAGTGCTCAGTCATGCACGCATGTTCACCACCCAACACGAAGAGGATTTTCTCGACGATGTCTATCTCCATATCCGAGTGCCTAGCCACGAGTTCAACAGCAAGGCCGATGTAGAATACATGGTAACCTCATTTTGCGTGGTGCAGTTTTTCCTGCTCAACAGCACTCAGCTTGTTATCGAGCATATCGTTGACAGTATCGTAGCACTTTCCGCAGACGAACGCTTCGTTCTGGTACACTGGAAGTGGCAATTCACACTGCAAGGCTCAGTCTTGTCATGGCTTTCGATCCAGTGTCCACAGGTGAGCATGTGTAACCCTTCTTCCGCGCCACAAGAGCCAGTGAGCTTTAGTGATGGCTTGACGAACCGTATGCCATTCCAGATCCCTAGGTAGCCTTCAAGTAGAGGATCGTGTTTGTGGACTGTTCGATGATAATCTCTGAGGCATAGTCGCGTGTTGACTGTAAAGCTGTTGGCTCTAGCTGACGGTATTGTTGGTGTTTGGGAATGAGCATACGCCGCGCGTCCGGAGTAGTAGGTGGTCCTGTTTCAGAACCACCGTCGATAGATCCATTGCTTTCGTCGGAATCCATCGCTTGAATGTCCCCCCTCTTTTGGAGCCCTTGTCTCTGAGATACGCCCTCCTTCAAATCATCCTTGACTTTGCCTAGGGTGGCAGTAGAGGCAATGAACGTACGATGCACATGACTGGGAACATCTCGTGTGGATGCGACATTACTAAAGAAAGGATCTTCAAGACAGGTATTGTAGACGCTAGAGGCAAAGAAGCAGAGTCAGGTGCTTCAAACTTGCCGTCAGGTGGTGTGGCCGACGGTACAGACTTCGCGATATCTTTGTGCATCTGTTCGTCGTCGACACCACCGTCCTTGGATGTGATGCGTTTGGGGAGGTGTGTACGTTGGCTGAGCTCGTGAGATTGGGGATAGGCTGCGGTCGGCTCCAAAGCCCCTTGACGACGCGCAAAGGATTGAGTGACATGGTATTGTTAGATCAATGCAAGAACAGCCGGAAGCCGCTATGGTAGAGTCGCGTTCGGTTGGGTGATCGAATTTGACAAGATGAAGCTAGTTGGCGCGGCTTGGTATTGACTGCGGCCTATGGGCACATTCTTGGCATACACGCTAGAGCTGCGTTAAGTGAAGGTCGAGTAAGCATCAGCGGAGACATATGAGTGGGTGAAAGGATGTATTGTATCGGAGCCCCGCTGTCTATATTCCGAATTTGGCCAGCTTAGGATCGGTATGAGGCGTTGCTTGGGGCTCATTTGTTTGAGTTTTCATGGCTTCGAGTACCTCCAAGCTCATGTCGGCTCGTGGGCCAGTGAAGTTCTTCCGTCCATCGACGAACCACTGGATCGTGCTGATAAAGAGAATGATACCAAAGGCGACTATACAGTAGTCTGTAGCTGTTAGTTGAGGTATCCTAGAGGTCGACAGGAACGTTAGAGTTGACTTACTCATGTTGCTGCCGGTCACGGGAAGCTCCGGAGGGAAGACAAAGAGGACGGTGGTAACGATCGCGTACGCCAGACCAAGCAGGTTTGCCACCCAGCCCAGCCAATTTGGCAGTGAAAAGGCTCGAGCAGGTAGCATCTTCCTTCCGCGGCAGACGTTGATGGCTATAGGGATGGCATAGCTTACACCAAGGGCAACGACGGAAGCAGCAATCAGGGCATTGAAAGCACTGCTGGAACCGATCATAATCAGTCCGAACAAGAGCGTCAGACCAGCGGCGAGGATCAGAGAGTTGAGTGGTACGTCTAGCCGCTTATCCACCTTCGCAAAGATCTTTGAGGCTGGGAGCCCGCCATCTCTGGCAAAAGCATACGACATCCTGGAGGAAGTCGTCATGATTGCAATCTCCGCAAAGAGAATGCAAATCAAGGGGAACATCAGCAGGCAAACAGCTCCGGCGCGGTTGTTTGTCGCGGTGTAGACGATGTGCACCAGGGGTCCGGATGCCGACTCGATGATCGCATTTACATCGCCACCGGAGACAAAGAGTAAGATCATCAGGAAGATAAAGCCAGTAACTGTTCCGATGCAGACGCAGTAGATCATGATCTTGGGTCCTTCCACACTGGCATTGGGAATCTCTTCGATCATGTGCGCAACCGCATCGTATCCAGTAATTCCGAAGCCACCCTGCAGCAATCCCAGAAGCCAGGAGATGCCATCAGGCCATCCAGTCTCGTTAATGAACTCAGTGAAGACAAATTCGGCAGAAGCGTAGTTGGGTGATGCGCAGGCCAAAACTGTAATGCAGATGATGGCGAAACCGCCGATAGACCAGATGAAAGCACCCCGATTGACGTACGGGAGGAGCCTGTTCATGAAGGCATTGACGACGAAGGCAATGAGTGTCCAAGCCACGTATATCAAGTATTGTTGCCAGGGCTTGATGGTGAAGTCAGGGTGGAACAGTGAGATAAGGCCAGCGATGAGTTGAGAAGCCAGCAGACCTCCTGAGGTAGTCAAAGCAATCCATCCTGAGACATTGATCCAGCCGGTAATCCAGGATGCAAGCGGGACCCATTTCTTCGGTGTGATAACGGCGACCCAGTGGTACCTGTGTTGGTCAATACACATCAACGTTACATGAGGCTTAGTGAAACTCACTGTCCGCCAGCGGTAGGGTAGGCTGAGAGGAACTCTGCAAGTGATGCGGCCAGAGCCAAGTTGCAAATACCAGCAGTCAACAAGCCCCAGATGACTGAAGTGGAGCCGCCGCTAGGAAGAGCTAGCGAGAGCGAAGAGGAAAGAGCAGTCCAGGAGTTGAGGATAGCAAAGGCAAGACCCAGCATGGAGAGGAGAGAGAAGTTGCGCTGGAGTTCACCCTTATGGCCAAGGGCTTGGAGCTGGAGCTCGTCATCAGTGCGGTGAATGGATCCCATCGTGAGAGCAATGCTGATGGTGTGAACCGATCGTGGCGAGGTACGGCTGCCTTATGTACGTGTGAGCAGACGGACGAGGCAGCATACGATCACATTCATTGCCAGGACATATCGACGCATTGAGAGGAGGTGCGGAACAGGCCCAATTCCGTCAACTAGTCAGCGGCTGACGTCGCCAACTACATGGGCCATGTCCAACAGGAAACGAAGACGATAAAGGCCTGTCTAAGCTTGTGTCCAGTGTCGGCTATGGTCGAGTGATAAGCAGCGCCGTTATCTCGAAAGACGGGAAAATGACCAATGAGGAGGCTGGATAATCCTTTGGCGTAACGCCCTAATGGAAACGGCTGAAGATCTGGAAGCGCAAGACATGGCTGACATGGAGCTCGGCAGGCTGGCGCGCAATATCCGTGGCGGGGAAGTTTTGTGAACAACTATTAAGGGCATCTTGACCCCGGACCGGGCGTCAAGAGCGTATCTCGACGATACATGACTTATGAAATGACAAAGTCAGGGCCAACCCCACAATGTGCAAGAGTCAAGCTTTCTGATGCGACCCGCTAAGCCCATAAAAGCGGGCCACACCTGAACCCTCTGGACACGGACGCCATGATGGCCGTCAACGACGAGATATCGCTGAGCGACTGCTTTGAAGGGTTCCACCTCGGTCGCATTACCTTTCCAGACTAAAGTCTGAATTTGAGGCTTCCCGGTCCTCCACGCCTTCCCACACATCGAAGCTCCACTGGACAGCATACGTCACCGGTCAAAGCCATTCGCGTTCAAGCCCAGCGAGAGCCTCATCCTGTACACAACCAGCATGATGACGCGCGCATGGCATAGGCTGCGAGGCAATCGCTCACACGAGTACGCACCGCTACCACTGAGCGAGAAGGAGTCGTACCCAGAACTGAAGCAGCGGTGTCAGGAGCGTTCGCGCTTCACAATCCTCGGTCTGGTACTGTGCATAGCCGGCTGCTTGTTCGCTCTATATGGCCTCATTAGGTATGCTTGTCTTCTATACCACTCCCAACAGGACTTTGACACTTCCAGCTCCCTGGCCGCCTCGACGAACAGGTCCTGCGACACCATCAACGAAGGCTTCCGTTGCAGCCCCAAGACGACCCACTTTTGGGGCCAGTACTCGCTGTGGTACTCGGTGCCGTCCGAGATCAAAGTTGAGCCACCCAAAGGCTGCGATGTTACCTTTGCAAACGTCCTCTCCCGCCACGGCGGCCGCGACCCCACGGCCGGCAAGTCTCTTGCCTACGCGTTATTGATCGCCGAAATCCAGAACACGAGCACCGCGTTCCCTGACGAGTTCGCTTTCCTGAAGGACTACGAGTACACACTGGGTGCGGATGAGTTGACGGATGCTGGAAGGCAGGAGATGGTGAACTCAGGGGCCCACTTCTTCCGCCGCTACCACAAGCTCGTCAAGAAGCACACCCCGTTTGTGCGCGCTGGAGGCCAGCACCGCGTAGTCGAGTCAGCCGAAGAATGGCTTGGAGGCATTGCACAGTCACTGGACGCGAAGCCCAAAAAGGTCGATGTTATCATTCCAGAAGGCACCGAGTGGAACAACACACTTTCTCACGATGTCTGCCCTGCTTTCGAAGGTGGTCCCAACCACGGCCTCGGCGACAGAGCGCAGCAAGTGTGGGCATCCAAGTTCGTTCCTCCTATCCAGGAGCGAGTAAACACAAGGTTGGGCACCAACCTCAGCGCAACCTTCATCGTGTATCTGATGGACATGTGCCCATTCGACACACTTGCGCACCCAACCGCAAAGGTTTCAAAGTTCTGTCATCTGTTCACTGAGAAGGAGTGGCACCAGTACGACTACTTCCAGACTCTCGGCAAATACTATGGCTACGGTGTTGGCAACCCACTCGGTGCCACCCAGGGCGTGGGCTACGTGAACGAGCTGCTGGCCAGGCTCCAGAATAAGCCTGTCGACGACAACACGAACACGAATCGCACACTCGACTCTGATCCCGCAACCTTTCCTCTGGATCGCAAGGTGTACGCCGATTTCAGTCACGACAACGACATCAGCGGTGTCCTTGCTGCCCTGGGGCTCTACAACCAAACGAAGCCGCTCTCGAACACGACCATACAAAGCACCAAGGAGACTTACGGTTACTCTGCCGCGTGGACCGTGCCTTTTGCATCAAGGATGTACGTCGAGAAGCTACAGTGCAGCGGCGCGAAAGAAGAGTTCGTACGCATCATTGTCAACGACCGCGTCCAGCCTCTCGAGTTCTGTGATGCAGACAGGCACGGCAGCTGTACATTGAGCAAGTTCGTGGAGAGCCAGAGCTTTGCCAGGAGCGGCGGCTTGTGGACCCAGTGCTACGAGTAAGAACATCGACACAACACACTGCATTCAGGGCGTTTCATAGACTAGATGTTCACGTCGAGTCGACACGTTTCACTTTGACTCGAATACATTTACCTTTCTCTTTCTTTCAATATTGTGTACACCAACTTTTACTGACAACGGGTTGCACTGCACTGCTGGCGACAAAGACCACATCGAATTCAGATAAAGGGAAAGACAATGCGGTTCACGATGTTGAAAGTTTGCAACAAGGTCTTTCATGCCAACTAAGCGATCATACACCGGCAGAGATCTCACTTGTCGCACAGACACAACTCAGCCGCTGTATACAAGCAATCGAACGGCTAACAAATGCGCAGCAAACACAAGCTGAACACATCATCAGATAAATAGACGCTCACCAACATGTCGCAGCAACTACCAGACCGTGTTAGCAAGACCAAAGCTGCTGAAAAGATGGCCGCCATGATCGTGCAACCGCTGCCCGCTCTTACAGAGTCCGAAGGACAGAAGATCCGGCTCACGTTCGCCAGAGACATATGGAACGCCTACACACCGCGCACACAAAGCTCCACAATCTCACCAATAAAGTCAAAAGAAGGACAGAAGCGGAAACGCAAGCCGACACCCATCAAGACGGAAGATGATGCTTCTACGAAGAAGGCAAAGCAATCCCCGCCCATTTTGCGACAGTGCAAAGTCAAGGTATCGAGATTTCAGTACGGCGGTCCCGATGCACGTGTGGGAGGCAGGTATAGAGATATGATTACCTTGGAGACACCGTGTTTTCAGACAACGTGTAAGAATTGCTGGATGGGGCATGGGCATTTGATGCGCAGTCTTTCTCGCACTGACAGCGCGCATAATCTGGAGCATCCGGAGATGGAGCCGCTGAGTCCGGCCGTCGACCCCATGATTGTGAACGATGAATGGCAGATGTACCAAAGTCGACGTAACAGCACAACTGATATATCCGCTCTTACCGTCCCCTCAGCACGTGGGCAAATCTCCACGGATTCATCGCCAATATTAACGCCCGTAGACGCCGCATTCGCGACGCAATGCGGTTTCAACCGCCTGCTCACTCCTTCTCCTTACACTTCAACAGCACCTGCCACACCACAAAAGTACAACATCTTCCTACCAACCTCTTTGTTGAGACACACAGCCTCGCAGACATTGCCGAGCAAGACGCGCTGGCGCGAGACTTCACGACAGCACCATACAGTCAGACTCGCATTCTCCACGAACAAAGGGAGGGCGGAATTCAAGTCGCTCGTGCATGAGCAGGCGAAGAAGGGGATCAAGAGAGAGCGTGAGCGACTGAGACGAGCGACTAAGCAGGTTGTGAGGGAGATTTTGGGGATGGAAGGGGGTGGGGATGGTGTGAAGAGGAAGAGGAGGAGTCATAAACTGAAGCTGGCTTTCAAGAGCAGGACCGGCAAGGAAAGCTACAAAAGACTCATTGAGACATATCTGCGGCAGGGCTAGTAGAGGATACACAACTGAACATAACAAATGAGGCAGAGAACAATGGTGCCCATAATACTTTGAAGACCGACAGGTGGATACAAGGAGACTGTGAAGCGACGTAGGAGCGAGGGGGGCGGGGTGGTGGGTGCAAGTGCACAAGCGTATCAGGCATAGAGAGGTTGCAGTTTTGCTGGATGGAAAAGCGTGGGCGCGAGGGGTTGAGGTGCAGTATGGCGGGGGATGATGAGATTGGAATGCAATGCAGTGCGGCCGACGGTTCGACCTAGTTCTTTGCATATATCTGCACAAGAGTGGTGGAAGGGTATGTCGAAGAGAGAAGGGTATGAAAAGAACATAGGAGATGTAGAACAGAGATGTCCAAAGCCAGAGGTTCTCGGGGTCTGACAATCTAGCGGCAAAACATGCTTTCTCTGAAAGCTTCTTGGAGTTACTATGCAGGTATTCATATGCACTTGTTTCTTTGTGAAGGAGATTACTAGATTGTGCTGAGGACCTCCAGGTGGAAACTCGGAGGTTCGTTCGACAACGAAAGAGCGAGCGGAGGCCGCCCGGAAGTTCACTGCAATCGACAGTAAATCTTAGGAGTTGGCCGATCAGGAAGGTACGATATACGCCATGATCAGTCGAACGCCGAGCAGCAGCTTTGAGAACGAAGCAGACATGGGAGGAAAACCGATATCGTGGGCGTGAAAGCCAGTACACGTGATGTCTTCACCTGCGGCAGTTGCACGCTCACCGGCAGATTTGGAATCAAAACAGCCTCCCAGACATCCATCCAATGACACTAAAGACATTTATTGCCCTTGTCACTCGTCCATCACAAAGCAGACATCTCTGACCACACAGATGACGTAGCACTTACAACACCAAAGCCAAACTTCTCTAAGCGACAGCTTACTCAACGTCTTCAAAGCCATCTAGTCCAATCTCGACGGCTCTCGGCAGAGTTACTGCAATCCCCCACTTACTGCTTCTTACTAAACCGCCAAGTCGTCTGCATTGGTGCTTTATGGTATCTGCATTGGTGCTCGTGCGTGGATTCTCGGCCATGTCTCGTTAGCGTGCGGAAGCATGTCAACTCGCAGCCATCCCCATGCACGAGGTTAGTTTATATAGCTTCGCACGCCCGCCCCTCCAGATGTTGGGCGACGTCCTCCGACCCTCAACTCTCCTTGTTGATGGCGCCCATGGTTAGATTAGGGACACGGCCGGGCCCGTCCGCGCTGCACGCTGCTGCGGGTCGTGGCGAATGCATGAGATGGCCGTCGATAGGCGGGCTGCAGTTGAAACGGTCCCCGCGGTCGATACGCTTCTTGCAGTCGCGATGCATTGCGACGAATGCTGCGGTGCGCGGGACGGGCGTCGAGTTTCCAAGCAATACTCCACCGGGCGGCATACCGCCTGCGCAGACGCCATCGCGGCAGATTGCAAGAGAGCGCATACAGGCTATTGAAAATGCGAAGCCGTTCTCAGATTTCCTGACGGACAACTTCAAGCGCCAGCATGACTATCTGCGGATCAGCATTACTGAGCGCTGCAATTTGCGATGTCTATACTGCATGCCTGAAGGTGCGCCGCCTCACGCATAAATTAAAAAGTCAAATCGCTGACAATCTACAGAGGGCATTCCACTATCGCCGCCCGCTACAATGCTCACCACACCCGAGATCTTCTACCTCTCCTCACTCTTTGTATCGCAGGGCGTCACCAAAATCCGACTGACAGGCGGCGAGCCTACCGTGCGCCGCGATATCGTTCCTTTGATGCAGCAAATTGGCAGCCTCCGACCAAAAGGCCTACGAGAACTCGCCCTTACTACGAACGGCATATCGCTGCACCGCAAGCTGGATGCTATGGTTGACGCTGGCCTAACAGGCATCAACCTCAGCTTAGACACACTAGACCCCTTCCAGTTCCAGATCATGACAAGAAGGAAGGGCTTCGATGCTGTCATGAAGTCGATCGACCGCATACTGGAGATGAACAAGCTGGGCGCAAATGTCAAGCTCAAGGTCAATTGCGTAGTTATGCGCGGGCTGAATGAGCGCGAGATCCTGCCCTTCGTCGAAATGGGCCGGGAGAAGGACATCGAAGTACGGTTCATCGAGTACATGCCATTCGGCGGGAACAAGTGGAGCGAGAACAAAATGATCAGCTTCCAAGAAATGGTCGACATCATCCGCACAAAATACCCCGGCCTGGCACGGATACCGGGACACAAGAACGACACGAGCAAAACATACCAGGTCTCCGGATTTGTTGGCAAGGTCGGCTTTATCACAAGCATGACCAACGATTTCTGCAGTACCTGCAATCGCCTACGCATCACGAGCGACGGCAATTTGAAAGTCTGCCTGCACGGTAACGACGAAGTCTCCCTCCGCGATCTCGTACGTAAAGACAACAACAACGAGCCCATCGACCAAGAAGCCTTCGAGCGCATCAAGCAGATCGAAATGGACCGGGCCTCCGGGCGCCTCAGCGACTCCACAGTCCTCGGCTGGGGGCCACGCGAACGCGAACTGCTTAGCGTGATCGGGCAAGCTGTGAAACGCAAAGCAGAGAAGCACGCCGACATGGGCGATCTTGCGAACATGCAAAACAGACCGATGATATTGATTGGTGGGTGAAACACTTTTCCTGTTGTTTTTGGTCGCGGGGCGGGTGAACGTTTTTGATAAATCGAATGATACCACGGCGGTACGTTGATGTTGCACGACTGGCGTTCTGAGGCATATTCTGTTCACTCGCTTGGGATTGTGACATAGAGGTTCTGAGGCTATATACGAAATCACATACCCCGTTTTGTCTACACCAAGTTATTGTACAACGCCTGTGATGTACAACGCTGACCGTGTGCAGACCAGCAACGACGCCTGCATCTAGGCTCAGCGAGCAAGCAATTATCCCGACCCTTACGCTCAGCCCAAACGGCGACGAATCTTTTGGCTACGAATGCTTATCTAAATCCTCTCCTCGAAACGAGCCTTAGCTCTGTGCGAGCATTCTCTACAAATTCTTCCCACCGCGCTGATTCGGCGGCGTCTGATGCATGCGACCCTGTCGAAGATGAGATCAAGGCCTCGATCGAAAGGAAGCACCAAGCCTCCCTCAGTACTCCGGAAGGGAGAGCTGATGCCGCCAAGGTTGCCGCCCGTCTCGAAGCCAGAGCCCAGCGGGAAAAGGAGAAGGCGAAGCCCTTGTCGCCCAAAGCAAAACAAGACTCACAGAGACCTCAATTGCTTCGCGAACTGCTGCCTGGATGGACACCTTCTGCAGACGCGCCAAAAGAAGGGTCTCAGGCCTTCGAAACCCTTGTGCGCCAGCTTCTTACCAGCAGACTCGCTGACCTTGAAGCGTGTCTTAAGACTGCTATGGAGCGCGATTGGAGTGAAGTGTTCAGGATGGCACAGCGGGAGCACTCTTACAAAGACCTTGTTAACGGAACGAAGAATCTACCACATGCGAAACGGGTGACGTATATCAAGAAAGCGGAAGAGAAGTTCGCTGCCGCAGTCGAAGAGCTCAGGAAGGACAAAAAAGAGCATGAGGCGGCTGTGGAGGAATTGCAGAAAACTGTGGCAAGCTTGAGGGCATATCTTACTGGTGAAAATATAGTCACTCGGGGGCCAGACACAACCGCTCCAGCGAAGCAAGTCATGGGCAGCGAGCAGAAGAACACGCTGTCGGAGACCAAGAACAGGAGGGAGGAGTTGTTGAGGAAGAAGGATGAGCTTATGGTGAGAATGGCGAGATTAAAGGCTGCGAAACAGGGAGAACCGTCTCAGTCGAACAGGCTTGATCTGAACACACAGAGGGAACAACCCGGTGCAGCAAATGCGACAGAAGCCACAGTGCGCGCTCAAAGCAAAGAGTTACAAGGGAAGGTCGAAGAACTCATCGCTCAGACGTCTCAATCGAACGACGCTCAACGACCAGCCACCCCTCCTCAGTCTCTCGGCCTCGATTCACCAGCCCACCAGGAACCCGCTGCTCCGCTGAACCCGAAATCTCTGCGTGTGTACCTTCCCGGCGGCAAGTTCAAGATTGACGACGATCTGACCATCGACACTACCGCCCCTCCCAAGGATCTTCGCCGCCAGCTCTCCTTACTCCGCGAGCGTCTCAGGGCGTTCCATCCGCCTCTTGATGACCTACCTGTAGAAATTGATGTCAAAGGGAAATCTAATCCGTCGAAGAGCAAGTATATTTTGAAGACGTGGTTGAGGGTGCTGGTTGGGAGGTATCAGGCCAAGACCGGCGTTCAAGGGGTAAAGGAGGATGGGGCTGATCGATCAGATGGGAAGTCAAGCCGAGTGGAAGAGATGACGGTCAGTGTGAAGGTGTTGAGTGAGGGCGCGGAGGAAAGGGCGGCGAGGAGGTGGAATGAGAGATTTGCGAAGGAGAGGGGGAAGTTTATGCCTGTTGGGGAGATAAAGCAGGGGAGGGAGAAAGAGGTGGAGCAGACGAAGGCGATAGATGGGGAGGGGGAGGATTATAATGAGATGAGGTTTTTGGAGGATGAGTATGCAACTGAGGAAGAGGTGCGCGCTGCAAATGAGGAGCCAGATAAGCCGGCGCAAGCATCATCTCAGCCAGCAGCGTCCTCTCCTCCATCAACCCTACTGTCACAGCAGCCACAACCGCCAACGCAGGAGGGGAATGAGGGAGTGGAGGTTCCGCGGGGCTATGGAGACGATGAAGCAGCTGCCAAGGGAGAGTTCATACGCACTGTGCCGTCCAAGGGGCGGGAGATGAGAGCGAAACGGGCGGTGGGGAAGTTGGCGCAGGGACGGGCGTATTCAACCTCTTCACGCCCGACGCTCGACGAACTGAACCAGCGTCTCGCATCCAAGGAAGCATCGTCCTCTAAAGCCGCCTACCCTCAACCAACTACGCCACCGCAACCCTTCCTTCCGCACCTCACCTCCACCGGCAGCGCACACATGGTCAGCATCTCCTCCAAGTCCCACACAACGCGTACCGCCATCGCGGTCGGAAGCGTCTACTTCTCGAACCCCACTCCCCTCTCTCTTATCACATCAAACTCACTGAAAAAAGGCGACGTCCTTAGCGTCTCGCGCATAGCAGGCATAATGGCAGCGAAGAAGTGCCCGGACATTGTTCCCCTATGCCACCCCATCCCACTAACCCACGTCGGCGTCGAACTCCGGACCTTCCCACTAAATGCACCAAACGCATCATCTAGAGCTGAAGCGGGGCCTGCCGGGCCAGACAACATGAACTTTGGTGGAGTGCAGATCGAGTGCACGGTAGCGTGTACGGGGGCGACGGGAGTGGAGATGGAGGCCCTAACCGCAGTCATGGGGACCGCGTTGAGTGTAGTGGATATGTGTAAGGCGGTTGATAAGTTTCAAAGGATTGGCGATGTGAGGGTTGTGCTGAAGGAGGGGGGAAAGAGTGGGGTGTGGAGGGAGGAGGGGTGGAGGAGTTGGCAATCAAATCAAGAAGAGTGAGAAGGGATCGGGAGTGAGTGTACGATATTATACAATGTTAATTAAGAAGGATGGGGGGAGAGGGGGATAGGGTGCACGCATGGAGGGGGAAATGTATGATATGGTACACAGAGTTTAGAGATAGAGGCTCGAAGCCGAATAGAATTTTGTGTATTCATCTACACGGTGTTTCACGATTATCGCCTCCGCGAGCTGACAGGACCGCTGAGAATGCATCCATCAGCACACTCGGGGTCTGTGGAGTTATACGCGATCTGCCCAACACTACTGCCCGGCTCACACGATGGGTCTCTCGGGCTCTGAAACATGCGACCGTCCGCTGGGGACACGAGTGTCTCCAGGATATCGCCAAACGTGTTGCGCACGTGTGCAATCGGCTGGCCCTTTGCCACCAGCTCGTCAACCTGTACTAGGCGCTCGACGAATCCACCGTACTTGGTGTATGTATCGTGGAATGTATTGGCGATGTACACGTTTGTGAGATCAGGCTCGACAGTAATGTTGGAAGGTGTGATGTGTAGGTCCACAAGCACGCGGTTCACAAAGTCAACAGTGCGGCCAATGAGCGAGTTGTTCCAGATCTTCGCCTGCCCCATCTCAACCGTCAAACTGGGGACACCGTAGTCCACAAAGGTCGTCTCGATACTGCCCGGCTCGCCGACATCGATCTTCAACGTATCAGGCTGCAAGAGCTTGCTCAGACGCTCAACGTACGGCAGGCGCCAGTCAGAGTAGCACCACAGGCTCGTCTCGCCGCCAGAGGAAGGCGTGTGCAGGTCGATGCCGACGTCAACCTGGGATGCGTTGCCCCAGAGGTAGTTCCAGATGTTGTAGGCGAGGATGTTGGGCCCGCTACCACCAAGTTCGGCGGATACGCCGGGGAAGACGCGGTTTACGTTTGTGAGGGAGCCGGATGCTGAGGCGGTGAAGTAGTTGCGTTGGTTGAGGTAGATACCTATTGGATTGACGGTGGGAATGCCAATGACTTTGTATGTTAGATCATCGCTCATGCTTTAAGGATCCGGAGAGAGCACATACCAGTGCCATTCAATGTCGCAACCTGATCCTCCAACTGCTCGAAGATACGCTGAACCACGCGGACTGGATTGAGTTCATCGCCGTGGATCGCAGCAGAAAGTGACAGCTTCTGACCCGTCTCGAGACTCTCGGGTGTGCCGCGTGCGACCATCACGGGAATATGGATTGGGTGGCCACCGTTGAGCTCTCCAACACGCAGATAGTATCTGGAAACTTTCTGCGCGGGTACGTCCGCAAGGTTTAAGTCATGGATGACCGGCACACCGTTCAGAACATCACCTGTAAAGTTTGCGGCAGAGACGCTGCTTGCGAGGACTGCAGCAGTCGCGGCGACAGAAGTGAGGAGCTGCATGTTTGCGTATGGAGAGCGAAGTGAAGCCGTGCGTAGTGCGAGTACAGTTCAATTAACCCACCCTGAGCTCTTATACCTCGTACACCTCCAGCCTTCTGTTGATAAGGCTTTTCACTGTAGTTTTCGTGTAGTGTAGAGCTATTTGCTTAGTTAGGAAGGTCGACATGAATCTTGTAGAGAACATGACATTGCCCAGGATGCCCAGCCTAGCACCCCACAAGCTATCAGCAGTAGTTCCGTCGTCCTGAATAACGATGTTCGTCTGCCGAAAGTCGTTGTCGTTCGAGCCAGGAACGGGAAGCCCTCGAGAAGCCATATCGACGTGTGGTATAACTGCGTGCATACTTGGGCATGGGTAGGTTGAGAATCCAGATCATGAAAGTTGCGAGCGCAGAAGATTAAGTCCTTGCGCTCGGTCCTTTGGGAACAAGCCTTCGAGTGCACCAACCATCTCGAAAGTGGAAGCTCGGTTTATCAGCGCGGCCTTGGCAACGCGACGATGATAGGCGTTGGTGGTGAGGCTTGAGATCGGCAAGCTGGCAAGCTCCGAGTGGTCGGGGAAGGGAAGCTCACGCGAGTCATCGAAGCGTTAGTCAGGACTCCAAGTCATTGCTGCTGCTGTTGTCTAGTAGCTTCGAATTCATAATTGCAATAATTGGGCATCGCCAGCGACGTTTGACGTCCTGAAGAGGGCGTTGGAAAGTCTGAAGGATCCATGGATGAAGAAGCTCGAGTGACAGAAAGGGCTCATTGACTAGCCCTGGCGCTAGTGGGTGACTACCGGGTTCTGAGTCTGGAGCCCGCCTCCATCTCTCTGGGCTTCAAGTTCAGGATGTGCTACGTATTGCACGACCATATGGTCAAAGACTTGGATGGAAGAGTTGACCAATTGTTGTTCATTCAGTGTTCTACGCCAAGGCAGCTACACAGAGCCCCTAGATGTGATGAGCATCTGCTCATGTCGCCGTCAGTTCCAGAAACCATCACCTCAACGAACATCGTATGCAGGTTGACAAAGTCAACACTAACAAGTATAGCGATGAAGTGCGATGTAAACGGTAGGAGCGAAGACAACGAAGTAAGAATACACCAAACAAAGTGCAATGCCACGATAGTTGATCCAACGCCCCAAAACCAGCCTTAGAGGTACTCACGATGATGCCCTTATAGAGCAGCACCTAAGCCTCGACTGCAGGTCCGTCAGTACTCGCCAACCAATCCACCACATTCCTTCTGTAGACAAACTCACCTAAGCCGTCTCCACCATCAGCGGAGTTCTCCTCCTCCATGACCTTCTCCTCGTCTTCGGCCTCCTCAGTCTTGACCTTCTTGCTGCGCTTGCCCTTAGCAGGAGTCTTCTTGGCCTCGCCCTCAGAAGCCTTGCTGTTGACGGCGTCGGCGGAGGAAGCTTTGGGCTCAAGCTCAGCATCAGCGTCGGCGTCGGCAGCGTTGCGCTTCTTGCCGGTAGTGGCTTTGAAAGCGGGCGCGGCGGCAGCAGCACCTCCACCGATGAACGTGCCGAAGTTGGGGTGCTCCTCGACCACCTTCTTCTTTACAGGCGGCCAGAACTTCTTAAGAGTACCCTCTGTAAAACCGGAGAGCTTGGCGAAGAGAGTATAGTCGTACTATGTACGGTCAGTATGGTTTTTAAGCCGTCTGCAATGCCATTTATGGCGAGAGCAGTGGAGGATGGAGGTACACAAACCTTGTCGGGGCCGATAGAGGACACGAAGGCCGCGGCAAGAAGCCGGGTCTCCTTGTTGTCGTAGCCGGCGATGCAGGCCTCAGGTGCGGGGCCGTCCTTCTTTGGAGGCATGTTGGCGGCTGTCGGTAGGGTTGCGGTTGCAGTAGTGTTGTGAAGCTGTAGAATAGAAAAGTAGAGGTTGTGAATGAAGAAAAGCACAGTGAGAACGAAACCAGACCGCTTATCTGCGAATGAATTCGACGTGAAGGGGAAGTTGGCAGCTGACCAGCATAACACCCATCCAGGCTGCAATCCTAGGTGACTGACAATTACGAGATTCAGTTCCAAGCTCGTTACCATCGAGCTGCTTACTGGAAATCCATAATTTCGTAAGAACTGAGCGGCTTATGCAATTCCTCTGCTTGTGACTTAAGGAGTTATTAGGGCTACACCTGCCCAGCTGTTGCAAATACAGTTGGCAGTAACCTGCCTTGAGTGCAGCCTAGTTGTGCTCAGAACCTGCGTCACGATGTTTCGACTGTATATGACATCCTCCTTGATCTATAATGTTCGCCACAGAATCGAGGGACCATGGACAGCAGTCAACCCTGTGGGCTGATATGTGTCCAATGTGAAATCATCGACACTGACGACGAGAGTCATGTCTCGCTAAAAGAGCGAATGTAGGAGAAAGGCATAGACGGCGCAAGAACAAGGACCGAGAATCATTGTGAATCCAACATACTCTACCTATCTCTTCTTCAAATAGTGATAGCAGTCACATGACAAGAGTGAGTTGGGGGTTCAAAGCGAAGAACATCTCGCCAGTCTTGGTGTTAGCCGGCCAGCGTTCGATGGAAGTCCAGATGCCTTGTTGAACAGATCAGCATTGGTAGCGGCATATTAACCGACTGCGGTTCGTACCCACCGATCCCAAGGCAACGGTTGCGAACTGCATCTCGACTTTGGACTTTGACCACAGACAATAATGGTCGGTGTCAGCGAGGTGTACGTTGAAGTGGTACGACGACTGCGACTCCTATGAAGCATTTACCACGAATGGGGAGGCTCCGCAAACGCCTCCGTATCGTTCTCCAGATTAGCAAATCCTTCGTCTAAGACCCAACGGCATTCTCCAGAGCGGTTCGGTAGCACCGGGAAGACAAGGGAAGTGGGCGTGTGATGAACAGCTGCGGCGTACCTCACAGCATTATTGTGGCGCCAGTTTTGTGCAGCACAGCAGCATCGTATCGAGGATCAAACAGGCGATGAGTCGTGTAAGGGGACGAGTAACGCCGATGCATCGGTCTTGCTTTCAGAAGAATCGGACCTATACTAGAATAGAAATGCAGGGCAAAGGGACACACACAGTTCAGCTGACAAGCTTGAGAAGTCGCGTAGAAGAGGTTGCTAGCTCGCCAGGTGCGGAGCCTCGAGGTTCAGCGACGTCCAATGCCCGCAGCGTCATTCGACCGAGAGATAGACTCGGGTCACACCGTGGCTGCGTTAGCTGCGTTGCACACGACGGGCCGCAGAAGAGGGTAGAAAGGGTGCAGCTTGACTGACAATCTCGCACATTGGTAAAGCTTATCGATTGGCGGATTGGTGATGGGCTCTTAGACAACCGAAAACGGCGGAATGCAGACGCAGCGATTTGCGGCCCGCCAGGCGCAAGCGGCCTTGCGGCAATTTTCTGTGCCTCACACGCTTGTGAAGCCTCGCTCACTGACATTTGACCTCTCAGCCGCTCTTTTAAACGCAAGAGGCAGTCGCTGCTCTATCCATCCTTCCCTCTCTCACATCCGACCTCAACCAGAGTCGCGACTGCTGATCTTGTGGTCTCGTCCTTGTTCGCTCCTTCCTGTGCCACTCTGATCCCCGCAAGGGTCCCAGTCGTATAACATCCTTGAAAGCCCACGCCAACGAGCAAATTATCTTTCTGCACGCGTCATCCGCCGAAGGAAAGCGCTGCCCCATTTCTTGGGACAACAAACATCTGTCGTCTGTCAATAGTGGACCAACCTTCCTGTCACCTCCACTCACACATCACACACAATGGCATCTCATACCACCCTCACCAGCACATACGGAGCGCGAGCCGGACTCCCTACTACTGGTCCCCTGGCTTCATACCTATTGCGGTTGATCTCCATTAAACAGACAAATCTGTGTCTTTCTGCAGACGTCGAGACCTCCGCCGAACTTATCCAGCTCGCCGAAGATGTTGGTGACTCGATCTGCCTGCTTAAGACTCATTGCGATATTGTCACCGACTGGACAGACCGAACAGCTACAGCACTGAGGGAAATCGCAAAGAGGAAGTCCTTCCTTATCTTCGAGGACCGCAAGTTCGCCGATATTGGTGGTATGTCTCTCCCTACAAAGCATATCAATTACCCTACGATTCGACAAATCTGAACATGTCTAATGATATTGGCAGAAACCGTGCAGAAGCAGTACACTTCAGGACACCACCGTATCGCGCTCTGGGCTGAGATCACCAATGCCCACATTGTCCCCGGTCCCGCCATTGTCACCGCTCTCGAGAAAGCCGCCGAGTCGACGATTGCGAAGTACAACACTGGCGTACACACCGAGATTTCTGCTTCGTCTTGCGCCAAGCTGAATGGTGTAGACGAGGACGACGATGAGGATGACGAGGTCCCACCCATGGACGGTGCTCTCGAGTCGCCTATGCTGATGGACGACGGCGAAAGGCGGCTCAGCATTAAGCCCATGGACAGGAAGCAGAGCGTTGTCAGCGTCAGCACCACCATCTCCACACGAACTGAGAGCATCTCGCCGAGACCAGAGGCACTCAATGCTTCTAGCGAAACATTCGACCTTGACACAGTCAAGCAGCTTGTCCGTCTGGGCGAACCCCCCTTCCTGCGCTCGCTCCTTTTGCTCGCCGAGATGAGCTCCGCCGGACATCTCATGACACCGGAGTACCGTCAAGCTAGCGTTGATGTTGCACGATCTCACCGCGACTTCGTCATGGGCTTCATTGCACAGCGAAGCTTGAACACTGAGCCAGAGGACAACTTCATCACTATGACCCCTGGTTGCCAACTGCCACCGCCAGGCCAGGAGGGCGCGAAGCTCGGAGACAGCCTAGGCCAGCAGTACAACACACCGCGAAAGCTGATTTTCGAGTCAGGCTGTGACATCATCATTGTCGGTCGCGGTATCGTCCGTGCTCCAGACCGCAAGGCCGAAGCGCAGCGCTACAGGCAAGCAGGATGGCAAGCATACGAGGAGAGGATCGGAAAGGGCCAATAGCTCTCCATGGCACACCATCGGTGTGGGACACGACGAGTATCTTCGACATGTCAGCTCCTCGATTGGAGCATCACGAAGCATGAAAGGGCGTAACGTTTGGCATATCCATAAAACACACTGCATTGGGCGGCGCACTATCAGGTTGGATTTCTGGACATACAAACAATACCACCTAGCGTCACTGGCATACCGTATCGAAAATACAGCAAATGAGGAATACGATCAGTCACGCACCTTCGAGTCATTCGCACACCTCTTACGAAACTGCAATTTCATATTGCGTCAAGCACCTAAAGCAGGGTATCGGCACCTCCAAACGCCTCTCACATCATGACCAATCATCCCAAACATCATCATCTACAATGCGATCGCCACACCTGCTACCACAGCAGCAATCGCTCCACTGATGTATACGCCCATGCCAACGGACCTCGCCGCACCGCCTATTGTCTTTTTCACGACACTCGCCAGGAGCTCATCCTGCTCCTTTCGATTCTTCTCAATGTAGTTCTTCAGATCAGTGGGCATGGCGTTGTACCTATCACCTCATCAGTACATGGTTCCTTTGACTACCTCCTCGGCCAAGGAGGTTCACTTGCCAGTCCGGTGTAGTAGCAAAAGTCAGGATCCTGTCTGTGGCGGTGACGCCCTCAGGGACGTTCTTGCCTGTCTCCTGGAACTCGACCAGCGCCGAGTAGGCGGATGTCCATTCTGGCTGAGCTGTCAGGGAGGCCTGGTACGATGACGCAGCTTCAAGCAACGCCTTTGTCATTGAAGCGAGCTGTGCAGAGTCTTTGGCGGTTACTCTTGTGCCTGTGCCAATGCCGAAGTCGGGAGCTGCAGCAGCAATGGAGGCAAAGGCCACAGTGAGGAAAGACGTGAGCTGCATCATTAAAAGACTCGGTTGAGGTTGTGTTGTTGAGGCGACGTAGAAGGATGATAGACGACTTGAAGGGCGAAGTGCGGATGCTTTGAATTGACTGTGTCTACCTCTACATCGAGGCATCGCAATCAATATATACACAATATCAGTCATTACTGTCTATACTTGAACCCGCCTTTCCTCCTGTCGTCAAGGCCTCAGTCAGGCATCCAGTGCAAACTTGACCTTGCTAGTCCATTTTTGAGGCCGCTTACCCGTTGTAGTCACTGGTACCCATCGCACCACTCATTCTCGTACCTACAGCCTCAAGCAGCCCTGCAAATCAGCCTCAGCAAACAGGGCTGGCTGCCTAGTGACATCGAAGCTTAAGGCGCCCGTCATACGCCCTCTTGGCAACGTTTTGTACATGGACTGCTATTGGATGCAGGTACAGACAATCCCAGTAAGTGCGTCTTTTCAAGCGTGAAAGAGTGCGGATGCAGGTAGCCACGGTGATTCCGCAGGGCTGTGTTCGCCAACACGGCCCAAGTTGGATGCCTGTTCATCATACCTCCACAACTATCAAGTGAACAGCAACCACCTGATTCACCTGGCTTCGAGGGACGAAGCTACTCGATGTAAGCATGGTGTCATAAAGCTCACGTCGCGTCGCGTGGTCACGTGGTCGGATGACGCTCGACCGGACACCCGAGTGCTGCAGCGGAGAGTTTCCGCGCTGTCAAACCATCCTTACTAAGTCACGACAACCATCTGGCGGCTTCGAGTACGGTAAATACTGATTGTTAGCAACTACGATGTCTCCAACTTCTCTTCTCCCAAGACAGCTAAAAGTTTGCATTGATCTGCCCCAGTCCCAAACCCCTAAAACATGAACCTAAGCCGTAAGCTGCTCTCATTAGCAACATTCGGCATCGTACAACGACCACACACAGCATCCGCAGAGAACACGACCTTCAACCCCCTCGCCGGCATCCAGCAGTTCCCCATCTCTTCATATAGCAATAACATGACGCGCCTCGCCCCTGTGCTCTCCATCTCGCACGGCGGCGGTCCTATGCCTGTGCTTGGCGACCCCTCGCACGCTGCAATCACAAAGTCGCTGCAAACCAAAGTGCCCAAGCTCCTCAAGCTCGGCACGCCTGAGACACCGAAAGCCATTGTCCTTGTCACGGCGCACTGGTCGACGAATAAGGTACATGTCTCGAGCGGCGCGAGACATGAGCTGTTGTATGATTATTATGGGTTCCCGGATGAAGCGTATAAGCTCAAGCACAATGCGCCTGGGAGCCCGGAGGTCGCGGGGGAGGTAGAGAGGGTGCTGAAGGAAGCAGATATAGACTGTATAAAAGACGGTGAACGCGGTATGTCACTCTATCCCTTGAGTTTGTGATGGTATGGCCAGCAGCTAATGATGGACAGAATGGGACCACGGCGTCTTCATCCCGATGATGCTCATCGACCCCAAAGCCAGCGTGCCAATCGTCCAAGTCAGCGTCCTCGCATCCGAATCTCCCTCCCAATCCTTCGCCATCGGGCGTGCGCTGTCCGCCCTGCGCGCCCAAAATATCGCAATCATCGGCTCCGGATTTGCTACGTTCCACAACCTAAGACTCATGTTCTCTGGCATCTCGTCCACGCCGGACTTCAAGCAAGCAAACATTGAGTGGAGTAGTGCGGTGAGCGATGCCGCCATGACAGATGATGTTGCGGAGAGGGAACGCAAGTTTGAGGGCTGGAGGAACTGGCCGAATGCTTATACAATGCACCCGAGGGGTGGAGCAGAGCACTTTTTGCCGCTGATTGTGTGTGCAGGAGCTGGTGGGGAGACGAGGGGGAGGAAGTATGCGGATGATTTTAGGGGGTTGGATATGTGGAGTTATTACTGGGATGAGGAGGTGGAGGGCGAGAAGTTGTAGAGTGAGGTCGAATAAAAGTTCAGGCCAAAGCGGTATGGACCTTCTGCTCCCTGACCAAGCCTTGGAAGCGCATATGCGTAGAAAGTGCGCCCCATGGTTGTGATAATAGTGGAGTTAGTATCGGCTGCGTGAGAAGGAATCCCTCGCTCCTGTTTGCGCTTGCAGTGCTCGACCTGAGGGTTGCCAAACAATATCCCATCGTTCGACATCTCGTCTGTCGACACCACACAAAGCCAACAATTAGGCACTGGACTGACACAGACAAGCCATTCACATGTACATCGATGATTCACAACGGCAGCGCTGATATCCTGCTTTCAATAGCATGGTCCCTGTACCAGCTGCGTTCTCACATATGGAATGAGGGCCCACTTTTCAGGACGCTAGTGTCGAAGATCAATTGCGGCTGAGCGAGGGCTGAAGATGCAAAGATAGAACACCAGAATATGCGAACGAGAAGACAGCGGAGAAGAGACTGAACGAATGCGACTCGTGAGCTTCGTGAGAGAGAGATTACCGATGCACGACCGAATGCGCGTCTTTCCCACGTCGTCACACAACACCAAGTAAGGTCTTCATCACCCTATGCACGGATCTCCCTTATGTTCGACTCCACAACGTGCCCCTCTTCGCTGGTCTTCTTCCCCGCAAGTTCTGCGTGACTGCTCGATGTCTCGCTCAAGTCTTCTGGTGTGTCAGAGACGACCTCCTTACGCTCCTTCCCACCAAGGTACACGAAGCCTGCGATGACGGCGACCCAGTACAGGTTGTACGAGATGACGGAGCCGTATGTGGCACTATTCTGCCATCCAAACAGCGAGTTGAAGATGCCCCAACCGCCGGATCCGTCTTCAAGGGGTGAACCGAACTATTGCCTTGTTAGCAACTCCAGAGGTTTGCGCAAGACTGGACACAACCTACGTTGACATGCCACACGCTCTTCCTGATATCGTAGCTACCTGGGCCAGCACCAGCCTCTGCAGCTCCCTCGCCTGCAAGCTTGACCCACGCATCCTGCTCTAGGTTCCAGACTCCCTTGGAGAAAAGGCCTGCAGCTACAAGGTACAAGAAGCATGTTGAAGCCACTAGGAAGATCTGGAGAGATGTCTTGTTGCCGCCCTTGTAGATCAGGTAGCCGATGAGTGCTCCGGCGCCGAGGCCGCATATGGCTGCGAGAGGGATCGATGTTGCAGGGAGACCAATGCCCACGCCTGCGATGAACAGCACGGCCTCGATACCTTCTCGGAGAACGGTGATGAAGGGCAGGATGAACATGGCATACTTCTCGGACCATCTTTTGAAATGGCCTCCAACGGGCTTGCTTGTGTCCTTATCGTCAAGTACTTTGCGGATCTTGTTTCTCCATTTGTCTCGCAGTTTGCTGACGCGGAGCAGCGCCGCACCCATAATGGTGATAATGATACTGGCAATCAACGCGAAAACGCCCTCCCAGATGTTTTCGGCTTTCTCGAAGGCGTTCTTGCCTGCAGTGTAGACTACGACATTGTTAGCGGATGTCAGACCGATTAATCAACGAATATTCACAAGTTCCAATCACACCAGCGCAGATGATCAAACAGATCAAAACACCCAGCCCTACACCAGCCCAGACCTGGCGAACAAGCCTCTTGTGGGCTGCAGCATCGTGCTTAGGGCCGAGTGTTTGCTTCAGGAACGCCAGCAGTACAGAGACAATAATGCTGCACTCCAGGCACTCTCGGAAGCAGATGAAGAAGACTGTTCTCAATGTCAGTAACCTCGGTACAGTCAATCTGGTTAGGAGACAATTGTGAGGGAAGAGTCGAAGTTAGCGTACCTGGCACAGCAAAGACGTTTGGCATCTTGACGTTACAGATGAGCTTGCCCACACTTTGCAATAAAGATGATCAGATAAGAGAAGGATCGAAAGAGGGGATATCTAATCTGATGAGCGAAAGAAGCGCAGAAAGCTCTCAGGCAACACCAACTGTTGCACCTCCCGCGCGCGGCCCTTCCCAAAGCCACCATCGCCGAATCTCGCTAATCATCACCTCATCTGCAGCAAGTTTGAGTTCAACCTGAAGCCATACACATTGCGGAATGGTCAAATTCCCGCACCCCGCCGCTTCCTTGGGCACATGCAATTCACGATCTGCGGCCCGCCAAGGACGCCTATTCCAATCAAGCCTCGACCTACCCCGGCTAGCGCGGCCTTGAGATGCAAACAAGCAGTTCGCTTACCCTTCGCCTGTGGCGATCGGGGTCCAGATTATCAGATGGGTCGATAAAACCGTACAAACTTTGCGCTACAGGGAACCGTTCGAGTTTCGACGAATCGCATGAGCGACGCAGCACCGGAGGGAGGGCGCCGTAAGGTGGAGTAGAGTGACATTTGTAGTGCCGGATTTTGAATGAGGGAGTACGGCGCGCAAATCGCGAGGTCAACCCACTTGATGGCGGCTCTGGAACTGGGTTATCGACCGATGATCTGATAATCTTGACATTCCACTGATCATACAGGCAAGCCGGGATTTTTTGTGTAGCGAGAGAAGGCTTTGTCGACAGCTCGGGCTTATCTGATCGCGCCTCCTGCGGTCCTTGGCTGGGAGCATCTTATCTTTTTCATCTGATCAGCTTTGATCTCAAGGGCAGGATCAGTCGCTGGTCGCTGTTGTACTTCTCCAGTCTCAAGTTTCATTTCCTCGTCCTGCCTCGGTCGAGGTTTCTCCAGCTTCACCATGGCTATCTCCCTGACGAGCTTCCTCCTCCCAATATGTCTTTTCATCTCATTAGCCCGGACCGCTACCTTGACATATGACTTCGACGTAGCATGGACACATGCCAACCCGGACGGCCAGTATAACCGCCCGGTCATCGGCATCAATGGACAATGGCCGATTCCTTCCATTGTCGCAACCAAAGGCGACCAAGTCATCGTCAACGTCAAGAACTCACTGCGTAATGAGAGCACAAGTCTGCACTTCCATGGGCTGTACATGAACGGTACAACGCACATGGACGGCCCCGTCGCCGTTACTCAATGCGGAATCCTCCCCGGATCATCGTTCACATACAACTTCACCATCGATCAGCCAGGCACATACTGGTACCACAGCCATGTGCGCGGCCAGTATCCAGATGGTCTTCGCGGACCTCTTATCGTCAAAGACCCAGAGAACCCTTTCAAGGGCCAGTACGACGAGGAGGTTGTTCTCACCTTCTCAGATTGGTACCATGAGTCGATGCCCAAGCTGATGTCGGGCTTCATCAGCATTGCGAATCCTTCTGGAGCGGAGCCTGTACCTCAGGCCGCTTTGGTCAATGACACACAGAACCTGTCTGTCAAGATTGAGCCGGGGAAGACGTACATGTTCCGTATGATCAATATTGGTGCTTTTGCGGCGCAGTATGTGTGGTTCGAGGATCATACTATGCGTATCGTTGAAGTCGATGGCATCTATACAGAGCCCATGGACGCAGAGATGCTTTATGTGACTGCAGCCCAGAGGTATAGTGTCTTGGTCACTGCGAAGAATGACACAAGTTCAAACTTTGCATTCGTCGGCTCTATGGATGAGGTAGGTTTCGTACTTCCTTCAACCATACCACTTTGCTAACATGACTTCGCAGGATCTCTTCGACGTTTTCCCAGACGGCCTGAACCCCAATGTTACAGGATGGCTCGTCTACGACGATACCAAGGCAAAGCCCGAGGCCAAATTGATCGACTCATTCGACTCCCAATTCGACGACTTCACACTTGTCCCATACGACAAAGAATCCATCTACTCCAACGTCGACCAGTCCATCACCCTTGACATGAAGATGGATAATCTCAACGACGGCGCCAACTACGCTTTCTGTAAGCCATAACTCTGTATCAATGGTACCCTCGCATCAACTCACACCTCTCAGTCAACGATATCACCTACGTCGCCCCCAAAGTCCCCACCCTCTACACAACCCTCTCCACTAGCGCCAACGCCACCAACCCCCTCATTTACGGTTATAACACGAACCCGTTCGTGCTGTCACAAAACCAAGTCGTAGAAATCATCCTCAACAACGACGACCCGGGAAAGCACCCGTTCCATCTGCACGGCCACGCCTTCCAGGTCATCGCCCGCTCGGAGGAAGAAGCAGGCGCTTTCGATCCCAACAATGCCACGCAGATCGCCTTTGCTGCTACGCCGATACGGAGAGATACGGTGCTTGTGAGGCCCAATGGACATATTGTGCTGCGCTTCCAGTCTAATAATCCGGGAATTTGGCTCTTCGTACGTCCCCCTTCCATCTCCCCATTGCTGACTATTAGTTACGACGCTGATATAAAATAGCATTGCCACCTCGAATGGCACATGGCGTCCGGTCTCGCCATAACATTGATCGAAGCACCTCTCACCCTACAGTCCCAGCTCTCGGGCAAGATTCCGCAAGACCACTGGGACGTGTGCAAAGCAGGTGATGTGCCTGTGGTTGGCAACGCTGCAGGAAATACGGTTGATGTGCTGGACTTGACGGGCGAGAATAAGAGCCCAGGAGAGTTACCAGCAGGATTTACAGGAAGAGGTATCGTGGCGCTGGTGTTTAGTTGCTTGAGCGCATTCGTCGGAATGGCAGTCATTGGGTGGTATGGGTTGAAACCTATTGAAAAGAAGACCAAGTAATCAGTTGGTGATTTGACGAGGAATGATGGTTGATGGAAGATTGGCATTAGCGATGTCTCCTTTGCATTAAATTCTATTCTCCTTGCTCAACTCCCTTCTGTCTAAGCTCCGTAGTGTTCGTCTTCTACGTCACCGACTTCCCCTGCGTCGCTCGGACGGCTATAGTGCTCAGTCCGGCGCAAGGCAAGTTCGTCTGGTCTGCTATCTTGACCCGGCCTCTCCTTTCACTCCTCCAGAGTGTTGCGCTCGCAGCTCCACGTGATCAGCAGCCGCCGGCAGCACCTTCGGAGTTTACTGCCGTGGCGGATGTGCCTCAGTATGGATTGACTCCCATCTTTCAAGAGTTGTGCATTGGGTTCACCTTCGATCATATCTGTCAAGACTGATTGCCCCATGCACTGCCTCTTTTTCAGTGGAGTTGCAATGTATGCGTCGGCAGGTAACCTTGACAGGTCCGTGGAGCGCTCAGCTGTAAGTACTGTAATCGGGAGGAGGTTGTTCCCACACTCCGTCATAACATGGTGGAATCATCGGCGCCGGCTCCTCATCCTGGCCATTATGCTGGCCATCCATCGCCTGTTGCGTCGTCAGCGGACACAAAACAGTGTACGCCATCTCGTCCATCTTTCGGTTCACCAAATCTCCAGACGCTTCGTCGAATACATCCTCACCGATACGCAGCCAGACGTGCAGTTTGTACTCGAGATACACCGCGAACCTCTTCTGCGGTAAGCTGGGATCGATGGGTGCTTCGGACGAGAGCACGGTGTGCATGATATGTCCTCCTGCGACGGAGAGCGCGGTGCTATCGCCAAGCGAGATGTCTTTGAGGGCTGTGACGTTGAAGGAGATTTCCATGCCTGTGTTGTCTGGGAGCATGCGGATGTATGTGTTTCCGGGTCGTGTGAAGGGGTACTTCAGCTTCAATTTCTCTTTTCCGGTTGCGAGTTTGCGCTTCTTGAGGACGCGTTCAGCAGTTGACATTGGGAGATGGCCTGTAGCGTCTGGAAAACCGGTGATTATGATGGCGGTCTCTTCAAATTCCCATTTTATTTCACGGGGGACTAGCCAGCGTGTCTCAGTGATGCGCATGGAGCTGATGAGCGGCAGGTTGAGGCCGTTCAGTTGCAGTGTGGTTGGGATGGTAATATTCTTGGAACCGAGATCAGGCGGATCGAAGCTAGCTCGAACGGCGAAGGAAGTCTCTGGGAAAGACACTGTTCGCGATGGATCCAGGCGTATAGACTCGGCATTTTCGCGAAGAACGCGCAAGTCCTGGCTTGTTTGTGAAGTCTTCCCGTTTGGCAAGACGCATGTTGCGAAAATGGCATACGAGATATCGACAGATGGAAGCGCCGCCGTTGCAGGAAGGTATGAAGGAATCGGCAGTTCGAAGTAGCACTTGACAGTTTTTGATCCAGCTCCTCCCTGTGGCGGGCTTATCAAACATCCACAAAGCTTCTCTGCAGTCTCGTAATCGAATTGATGGCGTTTCTGCTCTTTCTGTGATCCCATGAAGCCAAGCTCACTCATGAGAATCTTCGAGGCAGTCCCACTCGTCGTCTCTTTTCCTCGCTCTAGTCGCCCAACTCTTGCAAGTGTAATTTGAATATTGCATTGTGGTGGTACGTTGCTGAACGACAGTTGTCCATGAAGAAGTGAGTCTGGCGCGCCTTCTGCGGGGTTGAGTTGGATGGTGTGTTCAGCCGGTACCTGCAAGGAAAGTTTGGGTTTGCCCATCACGAACTGTCCCTGGTATTTGGTAGATCGCCCATGAGTGATGCAGACTCAAGCATCAGAGAAAAAAGACGTCCTCACGAGATCGGCATCTCTCCCGACGGGACGCGGCCAGAACAATTCGTGATGCATCGATGGCATACACGCGCGCAGACCGCCTACCAAAAGGGCAGCCAAGACTCACTCTCCATGCAGTGTGGGGCTTAGCGTCAGGGACCAAAGTCACGCATGACTGGGTGGAGACCATTCAGTTCCCCACATTTTCATCGTGCATGATTTGAAGATATCGTGTGCAAACGGACATGGCTGAACCTGCAGATGAGAGCCGGAAAAGTTTGCATCGTATTTGTCAGTCCTCATTTCCACCACAAGTACTGAAAGCACGCTTAGGGAACACAGGAGGTGTGACTTGAATTTCGAACGTCTATTTTGATTCTATTTGATGTTGATGTTGCCTTAGGATATACCATACATAAACTTGCAAAGCTCTAGTTGTAACGGTATCTATTGTGTAGTTAGCATGTATGAACACTCCAATCGTTGCAGTCGATCACTTACGCATAGCGCTCTTTTCGAGGAGCCAGCGAGCTGGCTGGAGAGCTTTCGTCATCGATCTTCTTTCCAGCAATTGACCTCCTCCGCTCTCCAACAATAGCCGCAGTGACATACAGCAGCCATATGATAGCAGCAACGATGCCGTATGCGATGACCTGGGGGCGACTAGGCGCAAAACCCAGAGGTGCGTCGTATGCAAGAAGCAGGCCGAGTCCTCCATTGATCATACCCAGGGTGATAGCGATTCGTCCAAGCCACAGATGCCCATAAGACCAGAGTGTGCGGCATTGGTACTTCTTATACCTCAGATGATGGATGTAACCCATGATGGGCTGGAAGAACAACAAAACGAAAAGGATGAGACCAACAATGGGATGGTAACTGTGAAGCAGGCCTACTTGAGTAGGTGCCTGTCTGGCAAGCCAGATACCGATGCCAACCGCCGCTGTATACACCAGGTATGCGAAGAGCTGAAACAAGCCGTGGATGAGCCATGCACCGCGAAAAAAGCCCAGACGGATGAGGATGCTGCCGATGGGGAAGAACAGAACGAACGCCAACGATGCTAGAACGCCATGTGCGATGAGGACCTTTTGCCGGCCGTCGATGAAGGACTGTGATGGGCCGCCCCGCCCGCTGCCAAACCCTCCGTTGTTATCATTGCCGTTGCCGTTGTTGTTCGATCCGCCTGGGCCATATTGACCACCAGGGCCATACTGTGCGGAGACCGTGGTTACTGCTATGATGACTGTGAGCTAGTGCGGATATGTTTCGTCGTGCAGTCAATTACCTAGAGCCAGCAAAGCTGCTCTCAATCCGAATGTCATTATAAGATGATTGCTAAAGATTTAAGTGATGGAAAATCGAAAAATAACTAAGTTACGGATGTATGGAAAGAGGAAGATGATCCATACTTAACCAGCCACTTCTGGCGGACGTCGGTATATAGCACCGCCTCCAAGGTGCAGCCAAGTGGTGACAGCAGCGATCACAAGTCTAATGCGGGGTGTTTCTGACGTAAATGACGCTTTACGTAGCAAAAGATAACTCGGCTTACGCGTTTCGACTTGTTTCCGACTGATGAGAGTGGTCGCTCGGTGCCAGACTAGGGTCCGGATACTGATGGTGGAGAGCCGACCTGGAGATGTCGGCAAAACACCACGCTGAACCTCCGACTTCTATAATGACGTCTGCCAGGCTCTGCTTGAGGCTGTAAGCTTCGATTACGGACGATAGTTCATGTGACTTCGATTGAACGGTAAGCGGCTGCGTAGCAGGCGTCAAAGGGCGAACGTGAGTACGTGTGGGCGCGTACACGCGATGGCACCCGCGATGACACTTGCTAGCGCATCAAAGGAACGGCAGCCTTGCGGAGCCTCGGACATCATACCCAGATTGTTCAGATCATGGTCTCTGGTGCCTGCATGAACTGCTGTTTGGCCGCCTTGAACGCCATCTCTAGGCGGCAGACATCACGTGCCCCCATGTTCATTGTGACCAAGGCTGTGATCAGAGTGGAGCGTCCTGGAGGCAGTCACCCGGAAAACCAGAAGTGACATGGTCAAGGTCGTTGACTGTGCTGGCTCAACAGCCCATCTAGGTACAAGCCGCTAGCGATTCACCCCTGCACACAGCTGCAACACCGTTTCTGCCAGCTTGCAAGCAGGGGTTCACAGCCACACCTACAATATCCGGCAAGATGCCTTGCTTACGCGGATCACGCTTACCGACTGAGTAGACAGCTTTGGGCAACCCTTAAGCAGTCGCTCATGACTATATTGGATACTGTAACCCTCTGCATAACAATGACCTATCTCGATACAAGGATATGTAGATGCGTAATCTTAGGAGCACTACATCTATAGCTTAAATACGCTTGCTGTACTACTGCAGTCATTCTGAAATGCGAAACCAAGTGAAACTGCACGTAAAACAAAAATGGGCTTACCACAACTCGAGCAGTAACACCCTCCCAGAGGTGTACCCGAACGCAACCCGACAGCTGTGAACATCAGTATGGCTGGGCCGGCAGTCAGCAGGTATCCAAAGCGTATCTTGTGAGTTTACCGTCAACCAACTATGCCCCACAAAGATGCGCTCTACAGAAGACTTAGGAGGAAAAGTAGACGTAGACAGAGTTGCTAGCGGAAGCAACATGGACCCGCGACTCGTTTTCAGGTGCGCTCCATCCCTTGAGAAGGCCACTTTGCGGACCCGGTTTGTAAGCTCAAGCGTGTGCAGCGGCTGTCCAGTCTTAGCATCCCACACTCGCACCGTCTTATCCCACGAAGCCAATGCCAATCGATCTCCTGCCGCTGAGAAGGCCACGCTACTGTACCTGTCGATATGGTCGTTGAGTATGTGCGTCGGCCTTACAATATTCCTTGAGAAGTTAAGAGTGTGTACCGGCTGTCCAGTCTTTGCATCCCACACCCGCACCGTCTCGTCATCCGAAGCCGATGCCAGTCGGACTATCTCCAACGGCTTCAGATCGCGGACGAGGCGCTTGTCGTCTGCTGTGAAGCCAGAAGAAGCTTCGCTAAGGAAGGCTGCTTGAGGCGCAGGCGCCCGCATCTCGCTTGGACCCAAGGCTTCAGCTGACCAGTAGGTATTAGTGGTTCCTTCGGATGCGACTGGTACCTCGCCTCGCGGCACGACACGCGATTGACGACGAAGGTCGACAACAACTGACATGATCATCGCTATAGCGTACTCTATTGGATGTTTGCAGCATTGCAGTATGGATCGAACAGGCAATAGGCAAAGGTGATGTTTGCACGGCCATCTTCACAAGCTTTACCGCGTCGATCTCGTCAGCAAGCCCATGGAATACGCTGGAACATTAGCGACGGAGCCCAGAAGAACCGCTGTTTGTATTTGCGCAACGCCCTCGTGATGCAAGGTACAACGTCGCACGAACTGTACTCTGATCGTTGCGCAGGTCGACCTTTCAAAGCATGGCGCCACACCTCGCTACCTAGCAGCACGATCTCATCCGCGATATGATCGTCGACGACTACATAGAGCAGCTGCTCCCCCATTGCGGTAGGTGGCCGGAGCCAAAGTCTGTGCTCGTGATGGACAATGCGTCCTTCCACCACACGGAGCGACTCGAGCAGATGTGCTGCAATGCTGGCGTCAAGCTGATGTACCTGTCGCCTTACTCACCTGATCTGAACCTGATCGAAGAGTTCTTTGCGGAGCTGAAAGCGTTCATCAAGAAGAACTGGCGTATTTTCGAAGACGCGCCCGAGCAAGGCTTTGACACTTTCCTAGAGTGGCGCATCGATATGGTCGGCGGCAAGCAGGACAGCGCTAGAGGCCACTTCAGGCACGCAGGGATCACAGTGGAAGAGCTCTGGGCTTGCATGCATGTTTGTACAGCTGAATGTAGAAGTAAATCCAAGGTTATACTCTGTCAAGCTGAAAACGCAGAGCTCGCCTCAATCTATAGTAATCACACCTTCAGCTGCTGAACCCAGTGTTCAATGTCGCGTATGAAACGCCGAGCCACTCCAATCTTTATGCCTTTCGAGATGGAAAAAATCGGGATCTTGGTCTTTGTAGAGCTACTGCAGGTCGAGCCCATGTTCTAGAGCCAGGTCACACATGTTCCGAATATCGTCCTTCTGATCTTCACTCATCACTCGTGACTGCTGCCAATTGCTGTACTCTTCTACCGCAGCATATAAGAAACCAGGCATATCAAGACGAGGCTTGGCTTGCACTTCGGCTGAACTTGATGTGGTTCCACCTAGCTTCCGCGACTAGGGTACTGCAGGGACGTTCTCCGGACAATTACGCTTGCATTCCGACCGCTGCAGCTACGAGAGCTCGCCGTGGCTGCAGGTCTCTGGATCTGGGATCCAAGAAGCGCCGATGCAGGTATACTACGGTGCGCTTGTGTTTACGCCAGAGCGAAGCATTGTTCGGCGTCAGTTCAGACGGGAAATGCCAAAAGAAGTGCAAGTGAAGTCTGGGCTTGAGGAAGACTGGGGGCCTCTGCTGCAGACGCTCGAGGGCCATACGGACTATGTCACAAACGTGGCCTTCTCGGCAGCAGGAGATCGATTGGCATCGGCTTCGTGGGATCAGACGGTACGGGTGTGGGATGCGCAGACTGGACAGCCGTTAACACTTCGTGACCCTATCAGGCAGCATTCCGTCTCTTCCTTGAGTACCTTGAAACAACCCATACGGCATGTGGTCATCACGGAACATCATAGAAACCTGAAGTACGAGGAGGTGAAGCCTGAGTTGACGTGTTCCGGTGTTTGATGATCGGCTTCAGTCAACTGTCGATGACCGGTGCAACGCTATGGAAAGTGCTAGAAAATTTGAGGCTGTGCAGGAGGAGCTTAGAACAGAAGGTAGTGCCCAGGTGTCGCTGTGTCAACGTCTTGAGAGCGCGCCCTTCCGTCGCGGAGCGCAAAACTGTCATCGATGTGAGTCTAAACAAAGGCAATTTTGTTGAAAGCGAAGTTGGGCTGGTGTTGATGTTCTGACTCCCTGAGGGAGCGGTATCGGCTTCGCCACATCACTCATCATTCTGACGAATCACGCGCCGACACGGACCGCAAGCGGATCTGTCACGCCAGCATTTCCTGTCTTGCACGATTATGGTGTCTGAGTCACTGCAGCCTCCTGACTGTTGTAGGCATGATCTGGCATCGCGAAGTGATTGCGTCTTCCGTATCCACCCCCGTATATAAGGTAAGGCTGTCTCCCGACCGCCACTCCACTATCAGGAGTCTTCGGTTTGCGAGGCGACTTTTCGTTGCCTCTTGTACATCGCATTTCATCTTTTTGTATCTTTACAACATTAAAAACAACAACACATTATAAAATGGGAAAACGCCACAACAGGAAGCGGACAAGAAGTCGGCCTCGCCATCGAGACGGCAATAACACAAATCAAGCCATTCAGCATTTCCGAAGTAATTCGCTCGATACCACTTCTTCGCGGTCGACGATTGTCTCTCCTTATCAGCCATCGTACGCGCCCATCGCAAACGTTTCCGCGGACCACTGGCACCAAACATATTTTGTATGGCAGAACCGACTTCGGTTGGAGCAGGAGAGAGCGAAGGCAGTGGAGTCTCATCAGCTTCGCGTTTTTGGTGGCGAGCCAGGTGATGAAGTGAGCCTCTTCGAGCCTATGATGAAGGTAGTCACGGACCTCTTCGACGGCTATGATGACTTTGGATATTCATGATGGTTTTCTCTTCATGTCTTCAAAGCACATCCCTTCTTCGTCTTATGCTCTCTTCTCTCTTCTCAATCACCCATTGCCATGAGATTGAAACAATCACGAAGTCACGCATTATGACTCTCACCGCAGCGAGGCCCTCACCTGCTGCCTTTTCGTTGCTGCTAGCGACACATTTATTCCACTCAATACCTCGCGCACGATCAGCGCGTACGCGCAAAATCACTCAGGCTATAGCAAGCATATGCTCAACCAACAACACTCGAACGACGATGGCTCTGGCAGCCAGCTGGAGGCGTGGGATATACTGAGCTAGGACTTGTAGCAGTGAAGGCCCCTAATGAACACTCGGCCGTAGTGTCTCAACAGTGGTGCTGGATCGGTCCAACAAAACTCAGCCCTAGGACTCCGGTTTACGTATGAAAGGAAAGGGCGCAAGGGCGACTTGAGGCGGCTCGATGCACGCTTGGGATTTTCGATGGGCTTGAGCTATTGGCTCGCTTGGAAAGGTTCTCGGTTTGAGCGTCGCTGCCTAGATACATGGGAAATGAGGATGCGTGTTCGATTGAGGAGTCATCGCGTCTTAGTAAGATCGTGGTGTTGTGACACGGCTCGGGCGCTTCGTGCTGGCGACAGCACGTTCTCGAAGGAACACTTAGATTAGAAGATACCCCACTCAACCTTGAGACGAATAGACTTAGCTCTCAAGAGCAAGGATACGATATATAACGACCTATTGTGCTTGTGCTTGTGCTTGTACTTGTGCAACGTCTTATAGCGAGGCCCCTTGTCAGTAACGTAAGGGTAAGTGGAACTTGGCGTGAGCTCAGTGAGCCATCACGGGCCCTTCGTCACTCGTCGTGCAACTGCCGTAAGTCTTCGAGTTCTAATGGTACCGATGACAATCCGGTTGCTAGAGTTCTGTATCTGCTTGCCAAAGAGTCCTTGAGTGTCCGTGGTTGCTGATCACGCAAGTGCAAGGGATGCCTGACCGCAAAATGTCATGAAGTTTTCAGAAACTCAACTTCATCGTCGAACTGAAGCACAGCTGCTTGTTCGAGCACGGATGAATCGCTGGCTTGAAGGAAAGTAGTGGACTGAGGAGTAGCCTCTGGGATTAAGCCGTCAGTCGCGCTAGTCGCGTAACGCGTCGTCACGAAGTCACGATTCCTTACTTACGTGACATCATGCATTCACCACAACGTCCATGCACGCTCACCGCTTCGCATCAGTTCCGTTATAGCGTGCCGTAACGACGTTGGTGATCGATTAAGCTATGTCTAAAAGCATGCGGGCTGCATAGGCAATCACGCCCAGCGAACCCTCAATGGGCATGCAAGCTGTCACCCAGATGTCCCGAGGTCCCCGTATGCAAGATCTTAGATCCTAGCGTGAACTGGACATCTGGCTGGGTCCACTCCGCGTACCCATCTGCCAGGCAGGGCACTCTGACGTCTCATATGCAATTGCCTCTACCATGCCCACTCTAGTGGCGTTTGAATCTCCCCATGTTGCCAGCCTGAGGCGTTTGCAATTGGCTGTTAACTGTGTAGTTACCCCGACAACCTTCGGTAGCTAGGATAGGGTCAACCTGCAGTGATATCTTCATCTGCTGCGATGGGCTAACGACGTCCTTTGTCTTTCTTGAAGCATAAGCCTCCAAAGGGTCATGGGGACGGCACAGCGAAATGATCGCTGGATTGCGCTTGACGATATGTTTCCGATTGTCGAGAAACTTCGATCATTGACGTAGCAGTAGAGTACGACGAGCAGTGTGAGATGATGACAACTCAAGGCGCCCGTAGATGTAGAAGTATGCCTATTTTCCTCTTCTCTTCTCTCATCATCAACCCATCAACTCAACTTCCCATACACACTTCATCAACGCTACCAACCTTTTCACTACCAACCAACAACCTACAATCGACATGTCTACAGACACCCAGGTTGCTGGTGGCCACAAGGCCAGCATCAACAACCCCAACACCTCTGAGAAGTCCAAACAGCACAGCAAAGTGAGCCGAATAGTTGCATTATATACTTCCACAACCCGCATGTGCTAACGCATCACTTCGAGCCTGCCGGCAAGTCTGAAGGTGACAAGAACCCTAACAATGTCGCTGGCGGCCTGAAGGCTACCATCAATAATCCCAACAGCTCCGAGGAAGCCAAACAGTCCGCCAAGGAGCGGCTTGAGGGAATGTACGAAGCTAATGCTGGAACATGACTCCACTCCTGTGCGGTATGAGGAGGTAGTGTAATCCTGGGCTGAACGTAGTGGAAAATGGATAGCTGGTCTTCCAATAGCATGCGTCTCGAGAATTATTTTGGTGCCTTTTCCACTGCGACGTGATGTGTCCTCTCAGACGCAATGATTGACTCGTTGTTCGATCTTCTTCTCGTTGATGGCAGTTGACTGAGCACGTCGCTGGTCGAGTTCTTGTCTCTCCGTGGGGGGAGGCTGGATGTTGATACCTCCAACCTGGATCGGCTGCTGCAGACAGTATTCCTGCCATGCACAGATCTCCTGACTCTTGATCCCTTCTGTTGTGGGCTCTGTGTCCCCTCTTATTTCGTTGGCTCTTTCTCCTTATTCAGCAGACCCACGACGACTTCGACAACACGTTTGAAACCTTCCATCTCTTCCTCAACTGTGCCTCCCATACCAGCATTGGCAAAGCTGATTGAACTACTAACGAAGATTGGCTTTCCAGTTCTGCGTGCGAGTATTTTGGATAGCCGCGTCGTGAAGTCGAGCGTTGCGCTATGAGTGAAGAGAGGTGTGCTAAGAGGCTGGCTTGGTGTGACTCTCTACAGGTCAACGTTAGCTTGTGCCCGGCGGTGACTACAATGAAAGCATTTTTTCCATACATTTGGCATTGCATATACCAGAGACCCTAGAGGCACTGAAGATGCTGAATCAGGCGTGGACGTGGTCAGGAAGAGAGTGATATTTGGACCGTTGTCGTGGAGCCGGAGGTTGATGTCCGTCCGTGGAGCCTTAGGTAACGGGAAGGAAACCTCAATAGGCGCGTGCGACGCGTCGCCGTTCGTGACTGTGGTAGTCATTGTGTCGTGTAAGTGTGTTGTGTTGCTGCTGCAGGTGAGCTTGATTTCACCCCACCAGAGCTCATTGGCGCACGGACTTTGGTACCCCACGCTCCTTCCATTTTAGACTAAGCACTTGGCTTCTGCCATCCGACTTCAAAACAGACTCAGTTTGCGCTCTAGCTATTACTGCACAGAGCTAGAGAATTTCTGAGGTGCTCTTTCGCCATGGACTACTCGAATATGGAGACACGAGAATGGGAAGGCGACTTCGATCCTCTATCAGATCCAGATGAAAAGCGTCACCTTCTATCAGTCTTGGACTCCTTTCGGTGAGTTACACCCTCGTGTAAGCTCCAGCCTAGATACTGACAATTGTCAGGTCATACCGCCGCCTGGCACATTTCAATGGCACCCATGTCCGCCGACAAGCTTTTTACTCACTACCTCAAGATCACTGGATGATGTTATCCAAGCCCCCCTTCTCACTCCTGGACTCTTTGAACAAGCTGGACGACCTCATTGACAGCAATGCAGAGCTTGCTGAAGCCATCTTCATGGCTGGCTTCAAAGGCTTTATTGCACCAACTATTGACAGTGACTGGGTGGCATCTATCGTGCCTGAGAAATATGCTCGGGACGAGTATCAGATCTACTCTATTGTCATGGATCATCTGAACGTACAGACGACTCAAAACGATATGGACAAAGCAAGGAGCTGTATCAATCAGTTCTATCGAGATTGGAGTGCTGAGGGCAACGTCGAGCGAGAGAAATGTTTTGATCCAGTCCTGAGAGCTCTGAGTGCAGAGTATGCAAGCAGATTGAAATACACGCCTGAATTGGACAGATCAGACCTCAAAGTTCTAGTGCCAGGCGCTGGCCTGGGTCGTTCTGTCTTCAACATCTGTCAAGCTGGCTTCAGCGTTGAAGGGAACGAGATATCGTATCACGAATTGATGGCAAGCTCTCTGATACTGAACCACACGCAAAAAGCTGGGCAGTTCAGCATTGCCCCTTTTGCTCTCAGCTGCTCAAACCATCTCTCTCGTGCCGACCAATTTCAGACTTTTGCAGTTCCTGACATACACCCAGGCACTGCTCTGGCGACAGAACAAGGCTCGAAGGTTCCAGCACACGAGCGAATGAGCATGTCAACAGGCGACTTCTGCGTCTTGTACAGTTCACCAGATTACAAAGACACCTTCGACGCAGTTGCAGCCGTTTTCTTCATCGACACTGCGCCCAACGTTATCCGGTACATCGAAGCTGTGCGTAATTGCCTCAAGCCTGGTGGACTGTGGGCCAACCTTGGACCTCTACTGTGGCATCAGGCCCCTCGAGAGCCCAACAACGATGCCGAAAGCGATGGGAAATACAAGCATACCCATGGTCATGATGCAGGGATTGGTGATCCGGGGTCCGTTGAACTGACAAACGATGAAGTGCTAGCCCTTGTACAACATCTAGGGTTCGAGATTGAGAAGCAAGAGTCAGGCGCACAAGAGACAGGATACATTTCGAACCCCAGGAGTATGCTACAGAACACATATCGCCCAGTGTTCTGGGTCGCAAGGAAGAAGTAATCAAGATACAATGATACATTACAATGTCCGAAGGCACGTCTCTTGAGGAGACACGTCGTTGAACGATGCGAACCTGACCCACAGTCGTTGTCTTCATGTGGACGCATTTCACCAGTGTATACAATCGGCAAGAAGTTACTGGTTGATTGAGCAAGACGAACGAATCGATCGCACTCGCCAAAGCCTGGTACAACGTCTGACATACAGCATACCATTGCGCACTCCTCCGTTTAAGGTTCCTGGCATTTTCAAACGCCCATCATGGTGTTTGAGATGACTTTTCTACAGTACGATGCTGGGTTTGACCTGAAGTACGTTTCCAGTCCAGGTGGAATCGCTCGCACATGGTGTAAAGGCGATGACGACCTGAAATTAGTTCTCGGAGGCAAGTTGGCAACATCCCACCCCTTCAACGGTCTCCTGATGCAGTCAATGTCTGGTCTTCACCATGCTCTTCCGCTAGGAACTGTAGGATTTCCTATGAAGGCCTCGACCACTGAATCCTTCTGCAACGACTGGTCCTTGCCTGCCAACAGTATCGAATATGGTCTGCCCATTCAAATGCAGGACACGATGTCATCAGGTACAGGCTACCTTCCGTCTTAGTTGAGCTCCATCACTGAGTCCGACAACCTCACTTCATCATCGACCGGCCCAAACTGGAGTTTCTCCACCGCCCCTGAGCACACAGATCTCGACCACGGTATGACTGGGCTGCAGTAATTCTGGCAGTCACAGGTTCAAAGCACTCATGCCATGATTGGGCAAACCATTGCTCCAGCGGATGCATTGGTTGGCGATGGGGACAATCGCTTCGTCGAAGATAGCGAATCGAGCTCTTTCATCGAGGCAGAACCTTTCGACAACACAGCAATGTCTTTTGCAGCATCACCACACGACAACGCGCCGATGATGCTTCCACATTCACCACAGGAAGTACAGGTCAAACAGGAGCTCGAGGTATCTGAAGCTGAAGAGACGTTCACACGGTCGATTCATGTTTCACCCAAGGGTGGCAAGACCGTCAAGAAGGAGCGCCAGCGTCTGAATGGTGTCTCCAAGAGAAGAAGGTCCAAGTCCGAGTCCCAACTAGTCTTCAGGCGTTCGCATGATGGTCGCATCGACGCCGAGGGTTACAAACTCAACCCCGTTACTGTCGATTTCATCTCAACTTCTCTTCACATGATCTGAACCCTGCACGAACTCTGGCCCCTACACTGAACAGCCTCTAGATCAACCGGTTCTCTTCATTAGCTTCTTCCTTCCTCTGTTTTCATATTCTGCCTCTCTTCGCAAGTATCTAAACTCGTTTCTCTACCATTTTCCATCTCGTTATTTGTATCTGCGCTAAATTGTACAGCCTGACCGCGCGCTTCAACGCCACATCCACATTGATCTTGACCTTGAATATCCCCACTACCTGCATAAAGACCCAGATGCTGTCCTGATGGATGACGTGTATTCTCCAGTCACGAGGGCGAATAGAGCAGTAGAAAGGTAAGGCACGCCTGCATTCAGGTCTGCACACAAAGAAGGCCGGTTTCGAATTTCACTTTGATGCACAAGGCTTGCGTCCCTCGAGGGAACGTTCCAGAAGTAGCTGCACACACTGTCTAATAATCTTTCAACTCCGTATAAACCTTTACACGCTATGCGCTCTGAACACACATTACCAATACCGATACCTCCATAACCCCCTATTCCCTCCGATCTAGCGAGTGTCCGCCCTGCCCGCAAAAATAATACAACAAACCTACTCCTCCCTCCCTCTCGCCTCCTCAACCGCTCTCTCCCAATCATAGAACTTCATATACACCCCCTCCGTAACACTAATACAACTACTCCCGACCGCACAACCCGTCCAAAGACCCAACAACTTCCAATCGGCCTCAAAGCACAACCCCAGCGCCAACGGCACCGCGATGGCATAATACACGAACAAATTGCACCAGCCGCCAATCGCCTGCTTACCCAAGCCACGCAGTAGCGCATTGACAAGCGCGGTGGTGGAGTCGCATAACTGGAAGACGGCCAGCAGCGGCAAGACGGTGCTGACAATACCCTGGACCACGGGGTCTGTTGTGAACGCCTTTGGTAGGATGTTTTTGCAGGCAGCCAGGACGACGAAGTCAGCGAGGCCGATGGCGAGGAAGGTAAGGATATAGCATTTGGTAGCTATGCGTGCGGCTTTTAGACTGCCGGCGCCGATCAGGTTGCCCAGCCGGGTGGAGACGGCGACGCCGACGGAGAAGGGCACGTGGTAGATTGCGACTGCCATGGTCATGACGATGCTTTGGGCAGCTAGGTGGGCGGTAGAGAGGTAGGAGGAGGAGAAGGTAAGGATGTCGAAGGCGAGCCTGAAAAAATTTAGTTCGAGTCCATCACTTTTCACGACAAACATATATAGAACTCCATACCATTCGGTTTCGACCATGATGATGCCGGGTATGGCAAGCTTGGCCATCGGGGACCAATGCGTGAAGGCGGATTTTGAAAAGCCGCCCCAGCATTCGAGAGAGGAGGGGTTGATGAAGTAGACGTAGATCCAGAGTAGGAGGGGGAGGAGGTTGTTGGATACGACCGTTGCAAGGGCTGCGCCGGTCAGGTCCCAGTTTAAGACGAAGACGAAGATGTAGTTGAGGATGATGTTGATGGGTGCTGCGATGAGGAGGACGAAGAGGGAGGCGTTGAAGAGGCCTTGGGCTTGCGTGAAGCGTTTGCCGGCTTCGAAGATGGCGTAGCCTGGGGCGCCTGCGAGGAGGAGCGATAGGTACCTCCCAGCGAGATGAGCAAGCTCTTTCTCCGGAACCAGAGCTGCGAGGATCCATCCCGAGGTCAACCAGAGGGCTCCGATGGGGATGGTCACCAGCAGCATGAACAGGCACATGCGCTGCAAATGGAGACCAACCAACGTCTTCTTCCCACTTCCATACGCTTGCGCACACAGCGTATCCAAACTCGTCGCCAGCCCTTCGTATACCGCCAGCCCCGTGATATTCGCCGTCATGCTGGCTAAGCTCACAGCGCCCAACTCATCTGTCCCGATATGTCCCACCACAAAGATAGTCACCAGGCTGAAGTTGTACTGCAGCAGATACGTGAGAATCAACGGTATACTGCTCTTGAACAAGATCCTCGCCTCCGCGCCCGCAGTCGTATGCAACTCGACCGTCCCATTCGGGCTCACCCGTCTCTCCAGCTCACTCGCATCTGGCAGCGTGCCATACTGCTGACTCAACTTCCTGGCCTCGGACAACAATCCAACTCTTTCCTCACCGCTGGTCGAAAACCGCCTGGGTCCCGTACTCGCATCCATGTTTCGCTTCTTCTTCTTCTTCTTCGACTTGCCAATGCTGGGACAGCTGGACACAAACGGACAAGGCACAAAGTTGAGTGCTAGACTGGAGATGTCGGTGTAATATTCATTGTAGAAGGCTTCGTGTTTGAGATCAGCCTCGACGTCGGAGGCGACACACGAATCTGGTGATGGTGGTGATGGTGGTGATCGTTGGGCTCCAGCCTCTTGTGGTGGGCCTTGTCCCGCACCTCGGCGCATAGCGACAGCACAACTAAGAAACTTGCAGTAAAGCGTGGTGGGTTAGCGAACGCCCATTTCTCCGCCCGCTGCTGGAGCTGTTGTTGTTTTCCCCGAAGAAGGCTGAGGGTCCAGTAGAAGGATGGGCTTGTGCAAGCAATTGTGGATGGGAACCCTTCATCTCCGGATGTGGACCGGCCGCTTGCGAACAGACCGCCCAGGGTTCTTATCTGAAGCTGCAGCAACGATGAACCCCGTTGTGCTTGCCAAACCTCAGATCCCTCGAGCCATATTGCGTGCTCCGCGGCTGCTGACTTGGGCAGAAACGGCCAACGTCCGATTGGTAAGGAGCGGAGCGGATGTCGATGCGGTTTGCGGAGTTCTGGCTGCACCTCCGAAGATCTCCACGATCGCGATGCGCGGACGATGTGGGCATGTATTTGCAGCTATGGCTATTCTCGATCTACAACTTCACATGTCTCTCCAACAACGTGTATGATCAGCCATGCGCATTTGTGGTGTGGTTGTGCGACGGGACAACCAATTGCTGATGAGAAGTCAACGCCATTGTTGCTTGGATGCGTTGATGCTCGCCGATAACTGCACACATTTCCTGAGGCGGCGCGCACGTTGCTTACTCGTCTGCAGTCATGTTCTCTTTGCTTCAAGAAGATCGAAGTTGATATCTTCAAGCTGCGCGAGCAACTGAGGCAAGACATGTTCTTCCATCTACTATTCTACAGGATATCCCCATCCATGTAAGCAACGCCAGCGCATCCGACCGCTCCTCTCACAACTTGCCTCGTGACCTTCTAGGACGTCAGAGACATAGCCACGATAAGCGAAGACGTGAGGTTGATCACCTACTCTTGCCCTTCACCCTTCGGCCTCGCCAGCTTCTCAACCTCGGGATCCTTCGTAACCTCCTTATAATCCGGCCTAGGCAACTCAAAAGCCTGCGTCGTCCGCGCGTACGTAATACCTCCCAGCCTCGAGATCGGCTTCATCACCGCTGGATCAACAAGCACGCCCTGCTCATCAATCGCATCCTCCCTCACCCAGAAATTAACGCCTTCAAGGAAAGCAGTAACACCCGTCTTCTTCCCCGGTGTAGCCTCACTCTTACTCGTCCACTCCCTCGTCTCCACCAACTTCGCCTCGACACTAAACACCGCCTCCTTGACCCTATCTGGTCTCACAACCTTACTCTTCTCTGACGTCAAGCCGGCGAAACTCCACTCACTAACGCCCTCGGGCGCATTAGTGGAGGTGAAATTGGCTGCCTCGACGTACTCCTCGCTGATGATATTGATGACTGCTTCTTTCGTTTCCAAGAGGTTTTTAAGCGTGTCTTTCGCCCGGTCCATTCCCCCGGCGAAACCCAAGACAAAGATCGGTGGGTCGTGGTTCACCATGTTGAAGTAGCTGAAGGGCGCAAGGTTTGTGCTCTTCCCGTCGCCGGAAATCGTACTCGTAAACCCGACAGGTCGGGGGATGATGGCACTAATCAACAACTTATAATTGTGTACTACGGGGCGGCCTTCTTCGTAGGGGTCGATTGCGCGGTGTTGTTTCGAGAGGCTGGAGGCATTGTTGGGACCAGAGCCGGTTTTCCAGTCTGGCTTAGGGGTTTGTGTAAAGTGGAAGGTTGTCGATGTGTCAAAGGGTGGGCGTGAGGCTTCGACGGCTTTGAAGTCGCCGTGCGGGTTGCGCTTGATTTCCTTTTCGGCATCGTACTTGTGGTTTGCGGCATCGTAGTCTTTAGAAGACATGTTAAGCGAGCTGATGCAGAAGGAACGGTTGGTGGAGGATTTTATGTAGCGATTGTGCCTCTTATACGATTAAGTACGTTTCATCTGAACGACACTTTGAGCGGCATAGGAGGAAATTGATGGACAGTTGAGATGAGCGGAAAATGACGGCGGATATAATTCCGGGGCTATGGTGACGTGCCATCGAGTGCGGAACACCCGCTAGTCGTTGATCATCTTGAGTCGCGAAACCTGTTAGTGCTCGTCTTGAGATGTACATGTTTGGTAACTTGCACCTCAAAGGCAGCCTTGCGAACTTTCAACACTCGAATTGTTTGTCACCTGCCACCGTTCTCCTTGCAACCCAAGAGATGCAGCGCGCTTAGTTCCGGTATCGTCATGTAGCCGAAGCTACGCGCCGGCGGATAGGAACGTGTACCCCACCATAACCGAGAAGCTACCCCGCCAGAGCTAGCTATCAGCTCCACGGCCAAGTAAGGAGAGAGCACGCGGTACCAAGATAGCAGAAGCAGGTATTTGATATGTATGGTAGACTCAAACAGATACGTCTGTTAGCTTGACGTTCCTTGTTTTCTTCTCCACTTTGCTGCTTTGTCACATTGACCATATTGTGCAATTGTTTTAACATTCGGACATAGCTCGGCTGCCGTGCGACGTTCTGAAGGAAATTGGAAATCGAAGTGCTCGTATGCAAAAGCTTAGCAATGCATTCAGATCAGATGGAGAAACTGACAGTACAAAGTCACCTGGAAGAACCCTCTAAGCTGAGGCAAACCCGACCATGGCCGACTACGAGACATACAAGCTTGGAAACTTCAAGCTCAAGTCTGGCGGAGAGATTCCAGATGCGTTCATCGCATACAAGACACTGGGCGACCCCTCTCTCCCAGCCATCATCTACCCGACCTGGTACTCTGGCCGTTCGTATCCCACCTGTCCATGTACTTCAGACTCTCGACTGACTCCAGACCCAGTAATCGCAGACAACCTCTGGCTCATAGGCCCAGACAAGACCCTCGATCCCTCAAAATACTACATCATCATCCTTGCGCTATTTGGGAACTCCCAATCCTCATCGCCGTCTAACACGCCCTCCCTACGACCCTTCCCCGAAGTCCTCTTCTATGACAACGTACGCGCGCAGCATGAGGTCGTGACCAAGCACCTCGGCATCAAGCATGCACGCGCTGTGCTCGGGTGGAGTATGGGCGCAGGCCAAACGTATCAGTGGATGACGCAGTACCCCGACTTCATGGATATTGGAGTACCGTTCTGTGGAAGCGCAAAAACGAGTCTGCATAACCAGGTGTTCCTCGAAGGCGTCAAAAGCGCGTTGTATGCTGCGAAGGGGACCAGTTCGGCGGGTGTGTCAAAGCCGGATGTTGACACGGCGAACGCGCAAGGAGCGCGGTTGAAGTCGTACACTGGGTTCTCCGACGAGAACGCAAAGATCGGACTAAAGGCGTTGGGTCGCGTGTATGCTGGATGGGGATTCTCGCAAGCATTCTACCGTGAGAAGCTGTATCAGACGGCACCGTTGCTCGGTTTCAAGGACCTGGACGACTTCCTGGTGAACTTCTGGGAGGCGTGGGCTTTGTCGAAAGATCCGGAAAATATGCTCGTCATGGCGCACACATGGCAGGCTGGTGACTGTTCGCAACAGGAGCCGTATAATGGCGATTTCAACAAGGCGATGCAGGGCATCAAGGCTAAAGCTCTAGTACTACCTACGAAGACAGATCTTTACTTCCCACCGGAGGACTCGGAGATTGAGGTCGAGGCTATGAGACCGGGCGTTGGAACTCTGAAGGTGTTCCCTAGTATTTGGGGTCACTGGGCTGGTGGTAAGTATTGTATCCGTTTGTTGGATGTGGAGCTCGAAGCTAACATTCCTAGGTCCTGGTCAGAGTACTGAAGACGTCAAGTGGCTTGACGAGAACTTGAAGGAATTCTTCGCGAACAACTGAGATATGTTCAGGTAGCTGCGTGGTTGCAGTGGAGGGATTCAGCTTGTTTGATGTTCCTGTGCCAGGTCGACTGAGCCAACAACTGTGAATCGGCCATGGAAGCCCTTTCGTTCGATTACGTAGACCTTATCAACAAGCCACCCCAGAGTCTTGGGAGCACCATCTTGAAGTTGGCAGAACCCAGCGATGCCGTTAGTGATTTCTTTGCTGAGCTGCTCCGCTACTTTGTCAGTCCGTGCCTGGCCAACCGAAAGATGAGGCGTGAAAGCTCGTTGATCGCTGTCGCATTCACCAAACTCAGCTTGCAAAGCTGACTGCAGCTCCTTGACGTTCTCATCAGGGACCGGTCCAAGCCATACAGTTCTGCTGGTTTTGCTGTGCGTGAATGTACGAGGTGGGTCAGCACCGAGTGAAACTTGAAAAGCTCGAATGCCAGAGGTGGCCTTCTCGAGGCGTGCCTGTATGGCCTGACTCAACCGAGGAGCATTGCTATCTGTAGTCTCCAGCGGCGACGCAAGGAATGGATAGATCAAGTTGATGTGAGGCGGCCATCTTCTGTAGTTCTTGTCGTGAATGTAACGCACGGCTTCGATTGGCGGCGTGATACTAGCTCGTGGCAGCAGCGCAATTGCAGTCTTGTAAGTGAGATGCGCTGGAAGTTTGAGCGCCATGATACGATCTGGGGACAATGGTGTTGGTAATCAAGAAGTCATTGACGCGTCCCTGACTGAGGTGAGGCGTTGTGGCGCGTGCATCTTGGCACTTTGATGAATGCGCCAAAGACGGAAGCAGCATCGAGCTCTTTGACATCCATTCGCTGCACATAGACCTTGAGGTCGCGTCGCCATGTGGGAGCGCTCATATCGCCAGTACTAACATCGCAGGATCACGCTGTTAGCGACCGCTCCCTCCGACACGTAGCCTTTGCCAGCTGCCATCTTCTCCGCGCCCAGCCCGCCGCAGCACCTCCGAGCGAGTGCACCTTGTGAACGTTCTTTGTTCGCAACACCACCCAAGCGCCGACATGGCGGAGACACAGCCCAAACAATGGGGCGTCACGGCACCCATCTCGACACAGCAGCCCTCGCCGGCCGATCTGAAGCTGAATGATGAGCTTGTCGAAGAGCTCAAGCGCCAGAATGTCTTTGAAAGCCCCGAGGGTTCTGACACGAGGTAGCGTTAGATGTATAGCACTTATGCAGCATTTAGCTGACCTAGCTTAGAGTACGGGTTCTCAGGCATCTGCAGGAGGTCGTCAACAAGTTCTGCCAGCACGTCGGCAAACTCAAGGGTCTTCCGCAATCGACCATCGACACAATGAGCGGAAAGATCTTCTGCTTTGGCAGTTACGCGCTTGGTGTTCACGGGCCTTGTGAGTATGGTCGGTCTCTTGAGGTATATATGGTCTGACTAGCATCCTTTCCCAGCCTCTGATATCGACACTCTTATCGTTGCGCCCAAGTCAGTTTCCCTCAATGACTATTTCGATCACTTCGAAGGCATCTTCAGAGAGATGTCTGACGAGAAGCTCATCACCGAGATGAATCCTGTGCCCGACGCTTTCGTCCCGCTCATCAAAATGGAATACTCTGGAGTCAGCATCGATCTTCTCTTCGTTTCGCTCCCCTCCATGACGCAGATACCAAAGGATCTCGAGGGTGTTGACAAGAACATGTTGCGTGGCCTTGACGACACAGCTATGCGCAGTGTGAACGGAACTCGTGTCACACTGGAGCTCATGCAGTCGATACCTCAGATCAAGAGCTTTCGACATGCCTTACGAGCGATCAAGCTTTGGAGTAACCAGCGAGGCATATATGGAGCTGTGTTTGGATTCCCGGGAGGTATCGCTTGGGCCATCATGGTCGCTCGCATCTGCCAGCTGTACCCAATGGCGTGCGGTGCTACCATTCTCACCAAGTTCTTCAGGCTGATGGGCAAATGGCCGTTCCCACGACCTGTCATGCTGAAGAACATCGAAGAAGGTACACTGAATCTTCGTGTGTGGAATCCGACGCAGTATCCCGGTGACCGGGCCCACTTGATGCCCATCATCACGCCTGCGTTCCCGTCTATGTGCGCCACCCATACGATCATGCACTCGACTTTGGACGTCATGAGGGAGGAGTTCGAACGGGCTGATCAGCTCATCAACAGCGAGAACGGGATACTTGAGGGCAAGAAGCAATGGAAAGACCTCTTCCAAAAGCACACTTTCTTCACGAAGGACCACAAGTACTACTTGAGTGTCATCGCGGCAAGCCGTACTGAGAAGGCGCACTCTACATTCTCTGGACTGGTACAATCCAAGTTCCGTTTGCTGTGCAAGAACATCGAGGATGGCCAATGTGGTATCGAAATTGCGCGACCATGGATGAAGGGCATCAACCGGTTCCATCGATACGAGAACGAAGAGCAGGCGGACAAGATCATTGTAGGAAGCACCGAATTCCAGATTCCGGCGTCAGAGGTCCCTGCTACTTCGGCCGCCGAAGAACCATCGAAAGGCATCATGTACACCACGACTTTCTACGTGGGTCTCAAGTTGAAGCCTGGTACGTAGAAATCTCTCTTCATGAGTGAGTTGCGACTGACTTAAGATGCAGATGGCACCAAATCGCTCGATATTTCTTACCCGGTGGGCGACTTCAGGAACCTCGTCGTAAGCAATAACGGATATAATGACGAGACCATGTCCGTTCGTGTGGTTCACACTCGCAAGTAAGAAGTACCATCTTTCTGTTGCAGATCATCCGCTTACGAATCAGCACCCAACTCCCCGACGACCTGTTCAGCGAAGGCGAGACGCGGCCTCAGAAGCCCCCTAAGAAGGAGAAGAAGAGAGACGCGAACAAGGCTGCTAAGCGCCACTTTGCCGAGACAGGGCTCGACGTGCGTAACACGAAACACCAAAAACTCCGAGACGTACTCTCGCGGCTCAGGAGTAACTCACGCTCTCATGCTGACAATTGTGCTAATACAGGACAGCGAACATGCAACAGCAAAGCGCCAACAGTCCGAGCATGCCACCAACGGAGTATCTACGCCGACGGCAGCATAAGCTCTCTTTCAGCTAAGCTTGCACATGTTCGATATTTCCCTCCCCAATCCTGCTTGCTCGTTGAGGGTATGGGACATCTGACTCTACGTTTTGTCCAGTCACGGTTGCACCACGGTTCGCATCCCAGAGTACCACTACTCAGACTACCCCCATGACACGCCTACGACCACAGCCAAATGGCACCTATTATCGCCATTCAGACCGCGACTACAATCGGAACACCCACCGCCGCGTGCCAGGCTCGGCGCCACGCCTTACAAGATTCGCACAGCAAAACCAGCAAAAAAAAAAAGGTAAAAATGGCAGCATACTAGCGCCACCTTCGAAATACAAAAAGGTTTGTCCAAAAAAGCGCCGACTTCGGCGTATTCACTTCACTTCGATTCCATAATGCATTACCAAGTCTGATTCGGTTCGATTTCGGGGTTCAGGGGCGTTCTTCCAGCGACATGCATCTCACGGCGAATAGGAGAGTAGCAGAAGAGCTGCAACAGCTCACAGTTTTGATTTCAACAATGGTGAACGAGCAGGAATCCCACCACAGCAGGGTAGGGTGCTTTCGATGGCTGTTTGTATTGGAATTGTGTATATAACCTCGAAAGCCAGACACAACAATCCACTACCGTTTGGAGCCTTGGGGCTCCGCCAAATCGACACAGAGACCCCCATATGTCATGTCTTGCATCTTATCATCAATGCGATACAAAGAAGCGGGAGCAAAGCATTGGACCCCCTCCCGTCACTTTGGGCACAGGCTAGCCACAGACATTCGACTCCAGGTAAACAACTTTTCGCGGATCATTCTGATAGCCAACTTGACATGCGTTGATCTCTCAGTACTCCGTAACTACTTTCCCAAAACACTCTGCATCCGTTCTAAGCTTATGCAGCTCAATACAACGTCCCTAATGACGACCACCAACCCCAGCTCGGCCTGGCTGCTGCAAAACCGCACAGTGAATTGTTACCAGCATCGAGCCGAATCATTGACCGAGTCCTTCTATTTGCGTGGTCTTGTCGGATTCCTGGTGTGGCCTTCCAAGGCTCAATCAAAGTCTCACAGAACAGCATCACGCAGCTTGAATGGTACAGGTATACTGTTGGAGTTCAGTGAACTGTACGCAAAGGGAAGAAGTCGAAGATTGTACTGAGGTTGTATTGGGTGAAGCTACAAAGAGTATATATATGTGGGTAGCTGTAAACAACGCTAGTGTGACGTGGCAGTCACTCTCATGACAGGTGAGGTACGACAGGCAGGAGCACCCCAAACCGTGGCATATACAAGTCCAAATGTTCGTAACCTAGAGGCTACAGTCATGCCTTTGACATGCCTCCTTCCTCTGTTTTCGACACTGGTACGCCAGCAGCCTGTCCTGGGCTGCTTTCTTAGCATGGTCAAGTGCCGCGAGGACCTGTACGCTCTTCCAAAAGGGTCATGAGTCACTGAGCCGCCGGTAGCAAGTCTTTTTTAAAGTTTGCATTACTATGTCTGAAGCACTGTGGCTTCCTGTGCCCCCGTGGCTATGTGTCTTCCCTAGTCTTAAGTAGCGAAAGAAGTGGCTTACAAGATCGCCATAGAATGAATTGAATGATTCGCAGATCGGCGGAAGATGGAAGTAAGTACGAGAAAGAACAGAATCGAAAATCGACAAATGTCGACGAAATGTGAACCTGGGGCTTTACCCAGGAGCTCGAGATGGCTGCTAAAAGTTTGGGCAGCTCGAAAAGGTATGTGAGCGTAGGGTTGCACGGTTGGTATGGCCGGGCTCAAGGTAGCCGTTGCATGGTCGCGAAGAGGTTGGCCGCGTACTGTGCTCGCGCGCAAGAACTGCCTGCTTTGCGACTTATTTACTGTATCTTCTTGGACGTCTTCCTTGGCAGACCCGCAGCCTTCCTCGCCGCCCGATCACCCTCCGCGAGCCACGAGGCGGCCTTCTTCATCTGCACCACATTGATAATCTGCTTGGCCAACATGATCGGCGCAGAGACAAACATGCAAATCCACGGCACAGTCGAATCCATCTTGTTTGCGCGCGCCGCCTCCATAGCGCCAGCAGAGAATGGAGATGCGAAGAGCACGCTGGGTTTGGGCGCAGCGGGCGATCCGGGAGCGAGGGAGGAGGGGTTGGCAGGGTCGGCGAGAAGCGTAGGGCTCAGGTAGGGTGAGGAGAAGGAGAGGAGGTAGAGGGCGATGAAGAACACTTCGTTGAGGGCGCAGAAGGTGAAGAGGACCCACTGTGTGAAGTCAGCGGACGATGCTCCACTCGGTTGACCATTAGGGTGCTAAGTGATGTAGGGAGACATACCTTGTTCGAGTAGTACTGCCTCAGAATCCAGCTCCGGCTCGCAGACACATCCTTGTGGCTCTTCGCGCTTCCACCCATACTCAGCGTCGCGTACATGTGCATGTAGTGGCTCGCCAGATCCAGAGAGATCAGGCCCTGGAAGATGATGCTCCAGCGGGGGAACGCCTGCGCAAGGAACACAAGCAAGCATGACGTTGTGCAGCGATCGGTGACCATGTCCAGCACGGCGCCGAACTTGGTGCTCTGCTCGTAAGCGCGGGCAGCGTACCCGTCAAGCGCGTCCAGCAGGCACGAAATGCTGTAGAGAGCTGTGCATGTGCGAGGGTGGAGGGGCATGTAGTAGAGGGAAGTGAGGGCAAGGACGACGCGACCATAGCCTGGAGAATATTAGTATACAATCCCAATGCTGTTCGAGTATATGGAAGAACCAACCAATCAAGTTGGGGACAAACAAGAAGATGTTCTCCTCTTCCTCTTCCTCTTCCTCGTGCGTGGGGCGCACAGCTGTGCCGTTGCCGTTAATGGGCTGTTGTGAAGTAGCCATTGTGGTGCGTGGTCGCGTGCTAGCTATCTCACTCGCGCAGAGACGACACGCGACTTGTGGTACTTGCGATTGCTGCCCGGTGAGACAGAAAGTTGTCAAAGTCGGAGGACCGATAAGCGATAACGAAGCTCTAGCTCCGCAAGGGTAGTCGACAGGGGGCTCGGTCGTATTCGCGGGGTCACGCTGCTGGAGGTAGACGCGCGGTGAAGGGTGTTGATGTCTGGGAAGGAGCGACGTGTGAAGCAGACGTGAGCAGCAAGAAGTAAGAAAGTGGTGCCTGGAGAGCTTGATTCGAGAAACTTCAATGGCTTTCGTCCGCCCGCGAGATTCCGGTTACGCGGCTAGGCTCTAAAGGGGCTTGTCTTGGCAGTTTATTCCTCTGCTGACATTACGCATCTTGCTGCCAGTGCTGACGACAGCCTGGAGGTATTCGCACATGTTGCACGAGTAGAATAAGAAGTAAACATTGTACATTGGTCGTCGTACACCAACTGTCAGGCTGCAGATCCAGCAACTATAACCGCTTGGTGCGCTACCTAGTGCCCGCAACATCTGATTGGAAAGAACTCCTACCGTACGACTGAAGCATAGGCTGGAGGCGTTCAACTACTCATGGCCGCTCAGAGCTTCCTCTTGCCGTGAACTGCCTTCTTGGTCTTCGCCTTGATATGCGCGTTCTTCTCCTTCGACTTCGCTGTTGTCATACCTCGGTCTGCCTTGCCTTTCTTCCACTGCTTTCCTTCCAGACGATCGTCCCTAGCCTCCAGCTTCTTCTTATCCTTGTGACTGAGCTTCTTCGGTTTGCTCTTGACCGAGCCGCCTGAGGGGTTGTTAAGTGCTTGCGCACCCTTTTCCCTCTCTGCAGCCTTCTCCTTCTCCGTTTCAAACCATGTGCGTCTTGGTCTGGACTTGATCTCGTCTTCGTGCATGATCAGGTTCTCGCCACGCTTGAGATCGCGCTCTGTTATGCTCAGCACACGCTCCTCCTTCTCTTCTTTGAGGACCTCCTCGATCTCGTCTTCGAGGTCCTTGATCTTCGTGATCCACTTGTCCGCCTCCTCAGCTGGAACCTGTCGGCTGACGACCTTGGCACCTTGTTCGCGGCTGGCCTTGACTGCTTGCTTGACGACCTTGCGGTCCGGCTCGGCAGCGAGTGTGCACGCGCGACCACTTCGTCCAGCACGAGCGGTACGACCGACACGATGAAGGTAGATCTCGTGGCTTTGAGGTGCTTCGTAGTTGATGACTGTTGCGACATTCTTGATATCGAGACCACGGGAGGCAACATCGGTGGCGAGCAGGTAAGACGACGCTCCTGAACGGAAAGCCTCCACAGCTTGAATACGCTATATCACTGTTAGTAGTCGTTCATCAGGTCCGAACGTGAACTTTACCTGTTCCTGGCTCATGTTACCGTGCAATTCGCTCGCCTTCTTTCCGCACAAAGCGAATACGACTCGGACTCTGTGAGCTTCCTTCTTTTGCCTAAAGAATATGATGACGCGCTCGGTGTAAACCTTATCGCACAGGTACATGAGGTACGCCAGACGCCTGTCCTCCTTGCCTAACCTCAGACGAATGAACTCTTGCGTCAAACCTGCAACGGTCTGCTTCTTGGCATCAACCATCAGTCGTACAGGCTTGTCCATACCAACGCGCACCAACTTGTCGACTGAGCTGGTCATTGTAGCGGAGAACAACATGGTCTGCCTCGACTTAGGGATCGTGGTAAGAATCTCGTTCAACTGGCTTTCGAATCCTTCCTCGAGCATGCGATCGGCCTCGTCGAGGACAAGGATCTCAAGATGCTCGACCTGGAAAGAAGCCGAGTTTGTCATGTGATCAATGAAACGACCTGGCGTCGCAATAACTACATCTGGTCTTGTCTTGAGCACAGCCTCCTGCTCGCGCATAGAGAAACCACCGACCATCTGCGCAAAGGTGATGTCGGTAAACGAAGCCAGCTTGGTTGCCACGTTGAAACACTGGACAGCCAATTCACGGGTAGGCATGAGAATGGCAACGCGGGTGGTCGGTACTTTCTTCGGTCGGTAGAGGAGACGCTCGAGGATGGGGATGAGGAAGGCGGCCGTTTTACCGGAACCAGTCTCAGCTCCTCCGACCAAATCTTTGCCAGCGACAGCGATCGGGATAGTCTTCAACTGGATGGGCGTTGGCTCTGTGAAGCCTACAGCAGCCAGACCGCGAAGAATGGGCCTAGATAGCGACATAGACTGGAATGATCCTGTGAGTTTGCCACCCTTCTTGCCCTTCTTGACTGGCACGCTCTCTTCAGGTGCGAAGAAAGCTGCCGCCTTCTTTGCTTCTTCCGCGTCCTCTTTGTCGCTCACATCCTCGTCTTCCGATTGTACTGCGTCGTCGGGATGTGCTACGTCTGATGCGACAGACTCAGCGTCGGAGTCCTGCTGCTCAGCTTCGTCGTCCTCGGCAGCGCTAGCTTCAGCTTCTGAGTGTTCATTGTCCTCCTCCTCCTCATCATCATCATCCTCCTCCTCTTCAGCCTCCGACTCACTGTCGCTGCCGGCGCCCATGCCAAAAGCGTCGTCTGCCAATAGTTCGTCGTCGTCCCCAAACCCTGTGAAGTCTGCCTCCTCCTCCGCATCAGATTCAGCGGCTTCCTCCTGCGCCCGCTTGGCAGCATTGTTCTTCTTATTCCGCCGCCTCTCGATAATCTCGTCCACATCCACAGCCGTGGAGGTCCTCGCAGCAGCTTCTTGCTTCTCGGCGCTCAAGCCCCACCCATCAAAATCATCCACGACGCCGGTATCTATGTCGCCGACCGCAAATTCAAAATCTGAAGCAACATCGTCGTTGCCGTCCACATCCTCTCCAGGCTTGATCATTTCTGCTTCCTCCTTTTCTTCAACCTCTGGAGTCGCCTGCTTCGTCTTCTTGCCCTTCTTCTTCTCCTTCTTGGCCTTCTTGGACACTATACCCTTGGGCTGGACGTGCAGATCGGGATCTTCTGTGTATTTGCGTTTTTGACCTTTTCCAGCCAATTTTGCGACCTCCTGGAGGTCTTCAGCGCCGCCATCGTCGGATATGACGTCGTCGTCGTCGATCGTGAACACGAAGTCGTCGTCTTTGGGCGCCATGGTATACGTGAGGCTGGACGTAGTCAGGTAGATGAAGTGCGCAAAAGCTCGAAAGCAACGCCCGAGACCATTCGTCGAATTCCGAGGCAGAAAAAAGTTCGGGCGGCCGCTAGCATAGGCGGTGAAGAAAACCCTTGTCTAGTGTGGGACAACACCATGCATCACTGATTCTCGATAGCTATCACGAAGCCTGGAGGCATTCAGAAGGATTCTGCTTATGCTTGGCCAAGTTGTTAGTCTCCAAGCACTTTCGCGACGGTGGCCACTCAACCGCGTCTCTACGCCCTAGTAGACTACCTTCATGACACCATCACCAGCAAACATTGAAGACTATTCTATACACATTACGGACAGCTTCAAACATACCCAATAGCCTCTGTAATGCTGCACACCATCGGCATATAGTAGCATATTCCCGCGCTGCAGCCTCAGTGTGAGCCTACTTGCAGCCTACGCGCTTCTGCCTGATCGCCTATTTGCGCAAATGGACCAACATCACTGGCTCAGCCTGATCACTATCTCCAGATAGCTGTCTTTCTCAGCCGCGTTTAGAGGGAATTGGCAGCCTTGAGTCATCGTCCATCGTCATAACTAGCAAGTTAAGTACAAGTTCTTGGTTCTGTTCGTTCTCGGTTTTCTACCTCCGCTTGACCTGGTGACCTCTCACGTGCACGTCATCCCATCTTCTATTCTTACTCCATCTGAAGTCGTCAATCTCACTACCACCATCGATAACATGGCTCGTACCATAAACAGTACAAGACGAGTACTTCGCGCCAAGTCTCACTGCGGCAAGGGTTATAGAAGGTCGTTTGGGATCCCTGCGCCCTCTATCTCAACGATAGTCACACGCTCTCAGACCAAGGCTCTTGCGCAAACACCCTCAAAACCCAAGTTTGGCAAAGGAGCAAAAACAACAAAGCGCCGCAAGCGTCTCGACCCCTGGTACCCCAAGCGCAAAGTCAACAAGAACCCCAAACCCCGCGCTCCACAACCAACACACTTCACATGTCGGATATGCATCTCGCACCTCCCCAGCGCGGACTTCATCCGCTGGATACCTCCCAAGCGCGCTAGATACAGTGTACCGCTAGATGTACCGCTTCCATGCGTACCCCATCTCGCCCGCAACCCCTCCCGTCGAAACATCGACCCTATCTGCAAGACCTGCGTAGGATCCTTCATGGCAGCCCAGCTCGATACGCTCGGCGCCCGCAGAGTCGGGGTAGGGTGTATCGAGCCCGGATGTGAGACGCCCTGGCCCTGGGAAATGGTGATAAAGTACTTCCCCGTCTCCAAACTCGAAGCATACAACCTCGCCTCCTTCGAACACTGGCGTACCGATGCCGGGCTCTCCACCTGCCTCTCGCCCACCTGCGACTCCACTGGGCTCCTCGACCCCTCCGCGCCAGGCTATCCGCAAGTCCAATGCAACTCCTGCACCTTCCGCAGCTGCGCATCCTGCCTTACGCCATGGCACCTGGATCAGACGTGCGCCGAAGTCAGCGCTGCCGCGATGAATGCCCAGATGAGCGACGCTGAGAAAGACACCCTCGCGCTCATGCAATCTAAAGACGGCAAACGGTGTCCCAACTGCCAGCTCGTGATCGAGAAAGACGGTGGGTGTCCGTCTATGTACTGTGTTGGGTGTAAGAAGTATTTCAACTGGGAGACAGCAGCGAGCGCTGTGCCGGGCACGAAGAAAGCGCTGCCGGTCGCGAGTGGGCAGGGATACTGGCAGATACCTGGGACGGTGGTGTGTGAGCTTGATGGGCTGGAGGGGAAGGTACCTCCCGTGGACATAAGTGCTTATAATTTTGGTGCGTTTCCGATTCCGATGCCTCTGCCTGATGAGGACGATATGGATCTGTAAGATTCATTGGGGGGGGGGGGGATGTTACGATTTTATCTCTTTGAGCGCTACTAGCGATGTTTGATATGCGTAAAGCTTGAGTACGGCACTACAACTATGGGGTTGGGGCTTCTTGAGGAACTTAGTAAGGTGCGCCTCTAAATGAAGAGACACACCATGTCCCGAGACAGGTTGGTGGTTTGGCTCTCCGTTGTCTCCCCCTCGAAAGGTTGTGAAGGCGCCGTTGAATCTCACCATTCTTTGACTATCTCTTCTCTAGCGTGCCGGTCTCCGAGACAGATTACTGTGACGTTGGTGATGCTGTCGGTCGTTTCGTCAACACCGTCAAACGACCCTTTGGCAAAAACCCCCTATCTACTTGCGACTTTAAGAGCCTCTTCAGATATCGCAGGGTCAGGGGATACAGCCGCTAGCGAATGCAACTACACCCTTGCACGCAGCTGCAACACCGTTTCTACAAGCCTTCAAACAGTGGTCTGCAGCCCTACCTGCTCTATCCGGTAAACTGTCTAACCTACGCAGGCCACACTAAGGGAGTGAATAAACAGCTCTGGGCCCTCCCTACGCAGTTGATTATGAATGTAGTAGACCACCCCTCACATTGAAAATAACTAATCTCGCCACAAGGACACAAAGGATGCAATGTTAGAAGCGCGTATCTGAATTTCTTTTAAAATTGCTGTGCTACTGCAGCCAGGAACAATAGGCAAACACAGAAAAGTGCACTTGGAAACAACAGTGTGCCTAAGACAACCCTAAGATCAACACCCTTCTAGAACTATGCCCAAATGCAACTTGACTGCTTTGAACAGTAACAAGGTTAGATTGGTAGTTAGTGGGAATCCAAAGCATGTCTTCTGAGTTTGCTGTTAACCACCTATTCTTGACGAAGATGCGTCGTACATGCGGCGGAGGTGTGAGGGTAGACGCAGACAAAGCTGGGAAGGAAGTAGCATCGATCCTTGGTTAGTTTCTAGGTGTGATCCATCCCTCGAAAAGGCTAGGCGCATAGACGGCTTTGGGTCCTTCAAACAGCTGCTTGCCTACAGTCGCGTACCGCTTCTGCACATGTCCTGCAAGCTCTCCTCTCTGTATAACAAGCATGTAGATGAGCCCTCGGAGGTCCGACGACGCATTATTGAGCATTGGCTGCGTGCTTTGGCAGAAGAAGTAGGCCAACAGATGCGACTTCGTCACACTCTTGGCGTCCTGCTTTGAGTTACGCTTCAGCTTTGCTAACATCTTCGACATTGACCGTGATAACGTTCTAACCCCCTCTCTTCGAGACAGCTCGGTGATGAGACCCATCGTCATCATCGTCTTGCCTTTGCCCGGGTCGCCCTTGATCCACAGCAGCCGCGACTCGCTCAGCGCCTTCCATCGCTGGAAGCTAACATCGTCCAGTATCCAGGCATAGCAGTCCCTGAGCAGCCTGTCCTTGTCGCCTTCGATCCGTGCCCGGTCTCCGCGTGGGTCAGTCACTCGCAGGTCGCGGAGGCACTGGTTGTAGGCCGATTCATTAGGCCCACTATGGAATTGGACGTCTCGGTGATGGTGCCAAGGATATTGACCGAATTGCCGTCAGTTCTGATACCAGTATACGTCGTCCTACCAGCGACCAAATGTTGCATCGGTGCTACCTGCATGCCGCTGCCACGCGACATTGCGATAAACTACGACCGTCACGCTAGCCAAGCAAGCTTACCGTGTCTGTGCGCGCAACGCGCATGTTCTCGCAACGCGCACCTCGGCTAGTCAATAGGCCTCACAAAAATGAGGCTGTAGAGCCACATACATTAGTTATTATCGCCAGGTTTTTTGGTGGATTAATCTACAGGCCTATGCAATGATTATTGCTCATACAAAACGTGCTGGCAGCGTTGAGGTGCGGCCGCGGCGGGTGGTTGTAGTTGGAGCCACTGGAGCCTCGCTGGGTACTACTGCACGACTACGAGCAGCAGCAGCACCACGCCTCTGCCTCTTGGAGGCAGTAGATTTTGAGACCTTGCACTTGCCTCGATTAGGCAATTGACTACTTTTTCTGGCCTCAATTTTATTGCGTTTTTGACGCACTCTCTCTGCTTTGCGTGCATCAATTTGAGCGCGCTCCTCCGCGCGCCTCTGGTCACGCTCAACCTTCTCCCTCGCCCGTGCCTCACGCTTCTGCTGCTGCTGCTTTTCTCGTAGTAGCTTCTGGTTGTGTTGTAGCTCCTTCTGGGTAGCTTTTTCTAGCTCTAATTGGTGTTGATAGTCCTCAAATGCAGCGTCACGTGCGTCAGCTTCTCTCTTTGACGAGGGACTCCACCAAGTAGCTCCTCCGTGCCGGTTGAGGTTGTGAGAGTATAGAGGCAGTACTTTCTTCTTCTTTTTGACTCTCTCCTTAGCAGCAAGAGCATCTTGTACACCTCTTAATTCGTGCTGGGTGAGCTCTAATTGGACGTGGAGCTGGTGGAGTACCTGCTCCAAACCCGACGCCCCTGCACCAACGTTATCCTTCACCACACTCCGCAGCAACGTCTTAGCTTTCAACCAGTTTGGCTCAGTAGGTAGAGCTGCTGCTGCAGACTGCTCTGGAGGTGTTGCTGGAGGCGGAGGAGTAGGTGTTTTGAACCGAGTGAGTATGACGTCGGCGTTTGGTGGGTAGATGCCTGTGGCTCTGAAAGCTGTCAAAACAAGCGTCTCAGTGAAGGTTTTCACCCAGGCAGGCCAAAATAGTGAGAAGAAGTCGCTCTTCTTCACAGGTGCTCTGCCTTGGCTCCGTTGGTTGTAGTTATCCAGCTCAATTGAGTAGTTTTGAGCCAGTGGCTTGAAGCAGACAACGTCTAATGGCTGGAGAGTATGTGTAGCGTGAGGTGGAAATACCATAAGTAGTATCTTATTAGCGTCACAGTAGTCGATGAAGGCCTTCGTTATATGGCTGCCGTGGCCGTCAATTATCAGTAGTCTCCACTCTCTCCGAGCTTTTGGCTTGGTGTAGCGATCAAACACTTGCTGGAGCCATGTCAATCCTAAGTCGTTATTGGTCCATCCATTTGGTGATGTAGTGAAGTGGATAGAGTGTTTTCCAGCCTCAATTTCATGTACCCAGCTGCTCTGAACGTTGTTTCCAGCAGCTGGAAAGATGATGCCTGGAGGCAGGTGGGATCCATCGGCGCATATAGTAGCCAGCACCGTCACCCACTCTCGATTGCCATCGTGGGTTGATTGCTTATACTGCCTCTTACTATAGAGTAGCTTATCAAACACTCTTTTGCTCCTTCCCGTGACTCCAATAGCAAAGCCCTTCTCATCCATATTGTACGTGTGAGCCGGCTCAATTGAGTAGTCGGCAATCTTCTGGTGCAGAAGGTTGAAGTAGAGGCGATATTTTGAGCCAGA